TTCTTTTAGCGCGTCTAAGTGGTGTTGTGGGGAATGCATTAGTGTAGGAAGGGTGGTTTAGTGGGGTCTTGGCAAAAGTAAGCGACTCGGGTGTGTGAGCAACTCGCCTATGAAGTACGTTAATGTACATCCAACTGTAACAGAATAACCGCCGTAGCGGAATGACATTCTCTTCTCTAGCACCTGACATATACCAACGCGATTTTATATATTTATACGTGCTATCTTACTATAGGTTAGCTAATTCTAGATATAATGTCGAATTCAAACTAGAAAATTACAGCGGCTGAGGCTGCGGTCAGAGATTCCTATTATAGCGATTAATCGCGCTTTAGCTTTTATCTCTTACCTCATTACGAAATTCGGCATGGCTTAGAGTTTCGGGGTTATAGGACAAAGATTTGATTCAGAAAATCCCTGCCCTAGGCTTCAGCGACACAGCACACTCAGAAGCTTGGAAACCGAGAGTCTCTCCGTGTAGAAGGGAGATCGCCACATAGCTTGGCTTTTGATTAGGCCTGGCTATGTCATGATATATTAGAAAACGCACTATGTTTGATCTGATCCCTCAGCAATCACGTGTCTTATTCTATCCTTAACGCTCGTTGTCCTTTGCTGCATTGTCCAGTGCTTGCTTCTATCCGCAACACCACAGTAAGTAGCCATGGATCTAGCCAGGCAGGCGCTGGCACAGAATCTCCCTCCAAATGTACGTAGAACCTACGCTGCCCTAGCAGAACCCCATATTTCCAAATCACCTTTGTTTCACGATATACCACCAATAATTTGGATAGGTAACTTCGTTCGGCTTGTCTCCACACACTGAAAGGGAAGGTGACATCCCCTTCCACTTATTTACTTCAGCGTTCTTCACAAATTCAGCCCCAAGATTCTTCCAAACTCCCATCTCTCCCTGAATCTCAAAGTATCTAGCCGCAGTAAAGAGTGTTGGATGTGGAGCAAGTGCAAGATACTTGATAGTTGGGCCCCATTCCGCTTGTTGTTCGACCGAAAACCCCGAGTGGAAGGCTGCTGCTAGATCTGGCGTCTTGTAGAATTTGGTATCGACGTAGGCATGATATGGACCTCTCCAGGTGGTAATGGAAATTGACCGTCCCATTTTGGTACACGTGGTGCAGCACTGAAGTGTGTGTGACTTCTGGGTTTCGGTGTCGTCTTTAAGGTCCTCAGAAACATCCAGACCTACGAATGATATCTGAAGAGCTGTCAGCGATGGTAGAAGGTGCAACAGCTCCTCAAATGCAGGAACAGAGGAGAATTCAGCTCCAGCCGCGCCTATAATGTGAAGGTTAATCGAACCGCGAGTGCTGATATCGGGTATTGTCGCTTCTAAGGCAGCGATTAAGGTGAGTTGAATTGTGGTGGTGTTGGTACCATATCTTATATATTCGACGAATTCACGTTCTTTGGGGTCGTTTGCCTGGTACTTCAGATCTCGGTTCATTTTAGACCTAAAACCACCCATGTCTGAGAGCCTCGTGTAGTAATCATACCAGTCCGTTGCAGAAGAGAGAGGAACGTGTTGTTTCCTGGGAAATTTGGTGAAAGAAATGGTCGAGCTCTTTCCCGTTCGACGGCGCAGATCTACCATGATCTTGTCGTCGGTCGCAATATTTTGCAAGGTGGCGCACTCCGCTGATGGATGTGTTTGCTGGCAGGAAGGGCAAAACAAGGTAAGAAGGCAGTATTGGCAGACGTTCAACCTCGCCCCATCTTCAAGTTGGGACTCTCTTCTGTAGCAGTGATAGCAATATGGCTCGTAGCTAACTGCGAGTATCAGCTTGATAATTTCTTTGACATGGGTACAATGTAGTAACAGCGCCTAGGCTTGTTGGCGGTCAGTTTTCATTGGACATACCCAACCAATCTTCCAAATTCACTAGGATTCAAAGTACCAGATCTGAAGAACTCCAGCACCTGTAAAATGTCTCAGAATCTGCTTGCTCATCTTACCAAAGAGGCTGGATAATATACCTGCTCTTCATAGTAGTCCCCCCAATGCCTGCCAAATGGGGATACATATTCTTTCCGCTTATTTAGAGCAATAAGTTTCTTGCAGATCTTCTTGTGATTCCTGTTCCAGTCTTGCTTCTGGCACTTTTTTGAGCAGTATGAGACCCGTTTACAAGCGATGCATCGACTGAGGTTAGACGATATATCCCAGCAGGAAAAACATAGAGTTTGTTTAAATGCCAAAGTTGGGGTTTGATACGGATCTGAGCCCGAATCGGGGATAGGATCTTCGGATGCCATTTTCTAGGTTTAAGGTGGAATATTTAGAGTGTGGCATATCAGAGACAGTGTCTGAGCCCGTTTTTGGCCTTGTGGTGATGCCTCGTAAGACTGGGGAAACCGTGCATCCACAAGCTACACAGCCACGTATTATCTAAGTTAAAATGCAGCGTATCGACGGACGTGCGGGGTTGTTTCTGCGACGATCTATACTCGCCTTGATTGGGTGGCTTTTATTGAAGCTACCGACAGGGGTAAGGACCCCGTATGAATTGAGAGCCGCTCGCAGCCTTATTGCTAACTATTATTCCTAAGCGACGCTAATCGACTCTTCGGCCTGGGTGTAGGCGCTTGATGAGTTATTATAGTTTAGTAGTAGATTCGTGGTAGTGGCTCTGGAGGGAGTAGCGCTCGATTTCCCTCGAAAGACGAACCTTTGTAACTGAGAGGAGGCATCAACGCAAACGTAATTCTTAATTATATGACTGGGGCTTTAGGGATAAAGAAATAGTTTTAGTATTAAACCAAAGGAAATTATTGTAGAATTTAAGAGGTGCGCTAATTTCCTCTCGCTTTAGAGTCAAGTACCTGAAAATTTTCCGTTACGGTAGTTATTCCGTTACGGGTGGATGTATACTAATGTCCGTCCCTGGGCCGCGGAAAACCCACCGTGCCAGAAAATATGAGGGGTACTTTGACTTCAAGCGACTGTAACTCTGCGCACACGTCAGGCTTCACTAAAATTATGTATAAATAGTGTGCTTTGGCTGCTTTTAAATATTCAGGGCCTTTCTAACTTATAGATTACATTTGCATTATCACCTTCCTACCTAAGTTGCTCAGAGTCTTCTTTTATAGCAAAACAATCTCTATTTGCTACAGCACTACTATTAAGCTTTCTCTACTTGCAATACATATATAAGGTTCTTATCTAAGTCTTAGAGCCTTATTACAATAATAGGAAGTTGTTATTAGCTTTGTGCCTGCTGTCGCGCGCAAAATTTATGAAAGGTCGCTACCCTAGCCAGTACCTCTGATCAAAGCAATTACCAATCCTAGCTAGTGCAAAGCGACCCGCACCAGGAGGAACCAGCAGGTTCCATGGCGGGAAGCCAGTCTAATTGTAGCGCGCGTCTTTGCGTGCCTAGCACTGCGTCCTACGCTCGCCCCATCAACGAATGAAAGCCTCACCGTCTTTCAATCCCTAATGAAGCAGAGATTTCATGAGGTGCAATCATGTTGAAGATGATAATGATGGTGTTTTCTGACAACACTGTCGCTCTATCGGCGGTGTTGCGCATGGAGACGCCCAGCCCCGCGTCTACCAGGCAACTGCGACTACGTACACGGTTTTGACCCTTCTTCTGATGGCGAGAGCGTCTCCATTCTCCTTCAATTCACATACATAAACACTCAAGAGTATCTTCAAGTTTCGGATAGTGCCTTCAAGATGGACCCCCATGTGCTCTCCTCTGGCAAGATCTGGGTGCCCCTAGGTAATACTCTCCCTCTCCCCGCAGAAACGTCACCCTTTCTGGCCTGCTAACATCAGCCGGCCACAGAGAACAACCCCGATGTAATGACCAAGCTTGCACACAAGCTCGGCCTCTCTCCTAACCTTGGATTCCAAGACGTCTACTCCCTCACCGAGCCCGACCTCCTCGCCCTCATCCCCCGCCCCTGCCATGCCGTGCTCTTCCTCTGGCCCTCGTCCGACATATCAGACGCCGAATTTAAGAGGGAAGAGGCAGCTATGCCGGCGTATGAGGGGTCTGGCCCCGACGAGCCGATCGTGTGGTTCCCGCAGACGATCGGCCACGCGTGCGGGCTCATCGGCTTGCTGCATTGTCTGACGAATGGGGAGGCGGCGATGAATATTGTACAGGGCAGTTTTGTGGACAAACTGATGGAGGAAGCAGTCCCGCTTAAGTCGAAGGAGAGGGCAGATCTGTTGTACAACTCAGAGGAATTGGAGCGGCTGCACAAGGAGGCGGCGCAGACGGGGGATTCGCGGCCGCCAACCATCGAGGAAGACGTGCTGTATGGCTTCACGGCCTTTGTGAAGGGCAAGGATGGACACTTGTGGGAGATGGAAGGCTGGAGGAAGGGGCCGGTGGATAGAGGATTGTTGGCTGAAGAAGAGGATGTGCTGTCAACAAAAGCATTAGAGTTGGGTCCATTAAGGATTATCAACAGGGAGAAGGCATCGGAGGGACGGTTCAGCGTTATTGCGCTGTCTACCAACGATGACTGATTCGTAGAGATGTCATTCCATAGGACGAGATAACGTGTCTGAAAGAATGCATTAGGCTACCTCAAATTAATGTCAAGAATATCTTCCAGAATTCACCGCAGACAAGGTGAGGAATGCGGGAGTCCTGGAGCGACATAAAGTCCTTATTTCTTTCATCAACGGGGTACATTCCTTCTTTGTTGATCAAACGGTGCGCTATGTGAAGATTTGAGGCAGCATGAAAGATCTCATATTTTCAGTCTTCAAGGGGAGTATTCGAAATCTACTAGCATCCATCAAACTAGTGTGTGATCTTAACGTATGTATTCTTTTATAACGTTTCTAGTCTATTAACCTAACTCTTCTTGCTTTAAGTTTAGGATCGCGTTTCTTGAAAGCCTAAGCCTAGTTCTTGCCTGGAGGCTTAACTAGGTTATTTGTTGTGGACTGCTCTGATAGGGCAACCCATGTTCTAGGTACATCTGGAGGGAGGCCTTGCGCCAGCACCTGGCTGGCTCGGTCCATGGCTACGATTGTGAGGGGTCAGACACGAGAGACAGCCAGGACAAGACAGCTAGCACAGAGGAACGCTCTAGTCGCTAAAAATAGCTAGCACGTGACCTTTTATGGCCGATTAGCTCGCCACACATCTCATACCGCACTACGTAAGCGCGCTAAACCCTCATGCGAAGACACACTGCGGACACCTTCGCCCGGATAAATCCGGAATGCATACTTTCAAAAGGCTAAGTATCTTGAAAGTTAGAGTTATCTTCTTTTGTTATAGAATTATCAGTTTAATCCTCTGAGATTTAAAATTTTGTAGATGTGGTGCAGCAGGGGTGTAAAGCTAATGTAATGTTAGTTCTAGATGCTCTAAACGGATTGATCGACAGCATGACCAAGAGTGTTGTATTTTTTTGACTGCACACCGGTTTCCTAGAGAGAAATGCCCAAAGAATAATAGTAGATTAATTATAGCTAGACAGAATTGTCGGGGAGAGAGTTGCGATGCTTAAACATAGATTCATTTCGGCACAGGGGGTTTTCCGCCACGCAAGGGAGGACGTTACCCTTATATTTTTCGGCACCATGGGATTTTTCGCTACGCAGGGAGGGACATTAAAACAAATGTATATTTTTGTTACAGACAGATTTCCTGAGGAGAATAGTGACTAGTCTCAATCACAATGTTCTTTGTAGCACTACCCTTATAAATTCATATCTTGGCGTGTCCATACCGAAGAAAGTTTTCATCCATCAGGTTTCATGTACGAACATAAGCTAGCGCGACGAATACTAAATTGCTCACAAGTTTATCTACTCCTAAATTCTTTTCGGAAGGCCTGCCCCCTAAGCAACGAACACATCCCAACACAACAATTAAACTCATGCCTCGAGCACACAACTAACCTTAGAAACCAAAGCGCTATTTCCTCTTTTTAAACGACACCGATTTCTTCAAGCTCCAAAAAGAGACGTCAGGAGCGGAACGGGTCTTCAACCCAGCAAGATCCCCATCTAACAACGGCCCAGGGATAACCAGCTCATCCGTAGTTGCGGCCCTCCGCCAGTCAGCCCTCCGTGACTTGACGGGAAACCTCTTTCGTCCCATTTCCTCGGTCTCTCCGACGAAATGTGGTACTCTTGGGGAGGAATGCTTGCTTCTGGAAATCTTGGGTAGGGGATAGTGGCCAGTGACTTCAAGATGGAAGTTCACAAGCCTAGCCACATCATGATCTGAAGAAGGTTTAGGGTCCTTATGCTTTCGATTACAGAGTTTGCTTAGCCAGGAGATATTGTGTTTGGTGGGTCCGTGGGAGTTTTCTACGAGGGTGATGGCTTCAGCGGAGAGCGCGCTGGGTGAGGTAAAGACGACCTTTGGATGTTTGGGATAAGAAGTAGAGTTCTCACCGGAAAGAAGTGGGCCTGAGGTAGACTTGTCTGAAGACATAGCGGCGCAGGTCTCGAAACTTGGAAAGACTAGGTATAAGGAATCTGGAGGGAAAACCTGGGTTACTGGGTATAATTTGAGACTTATAGAAATATTCTGCCGTGCATTGTTCAGAGAAAGGGACCCACTATAAAAGCATTACAAACTTCCCTCTGTCGCTTCTAGTAGTGCGACCATTGTTCACCGTGGGCTTTAGTGACCACGGCTTTGTTAATCACACACAGCTAAACACCCAAAAGTCTTATGACGGGACTGAGACTATCATTACTCTACCGGAATGTATGCCTCAGCCAGGATGCCCTCTTGCGAATAATCCGACCAGAGAAATCATAAGCAACACGATCCAGAACAGGGTAATTATGCTGTAAAGACCCACTTAACCAGCCGCTCGGTCGTCCTACAACCAGAGCTCAAATTGTTCAGCTGAAGTTTGATCAATACCCCGGGAGATATTCGATGCGAGCTTACTAAACCAAGCTGCCCCATCTGTCAAATTACTTTGTTGCCATCGTGGGATCCCCGAACTCTCCACACACATATTATAGTCGAAAGAAGGAGCACCTCTCCTTGACTAGAAGAAGCCACACTTTGATTAGATGAACTCTCTAGGGGTGATTTCTGGGTAGTCGTAGTTGGACTCACCGCCAATTTCGGGATCCGGCAACTGAGGATATTGCACTCGCCCACTTTCGGCATCACTTAGCCCGGAATCCTCTGCGTCTGGAATGTGCCGGTTCGATTTGTGAGTGATATGTAGGTCCAGCGACTGAGCGTATTGTATTTGCACGCCCTCGGCGTCATATGATCCGGAAGCCTCGGTGTTTGGCGTATGCTGTTCCAGTGCGTACGTAGTTTGTGGGCCTGGGCAGTATGGATAAGGACTCTGTGGATTATTGGGTGATGGCTGGTTTCCTTCTGATTGATCAAGGATATCAGGATTGCATACAATTAGATATTCGCTTTGGGCAAGAGCAGAAGGCTGAGACTGTTTGTATGACTGGGCAGGTGTTCGAACACCTCGATCCCAGTACCCTCTCAAAGAAGCGTTGGGATTGTCCTTTAGATACTGAATGATTTTGTCGTTACGAGAGCGGATAGCCACACCTTGATTAGAAGAACCGTTCAGTGGCGCTAATGGAGAGTTGTTGGACTCATACATCAAGCTGGGATGCGGTAGCTGAGGATATTGTGGTCGCTCGTCTCTATGCGGCAGACTTATCCAATCTTGTGAGTACATAGACAGGCTAGGCTCTTCGGTAGCACCATCGAAGTTATTGAAGTTAACATCGATGCTCACCCCAGGAGGAACTGAACACTGTTCAACGATAGATTCGAGAATCTCCCAAAGATAGGGATCGTCGCCCCCATTTAGGCCTGGAGCGGACCTGGGATCTTCATTGTGCGTGTTCAAGTTGGTAGGAACGATTGGAAGTCCACTATCATCTGATTCTGCCTGGTCATTCCCACGTTGATCAGGTGATGGTGGCACATAATAACCTTGTGTTTCGACTTTTTGAGCTAGGAGAGCTTCCCCACCAGGGAATTCCACTTCATCATCCAATAGCCTCCTTTTTGACCTTGTCTTTCGTCGCACCAGATCCTGAAAGAATTTTCTCCCCCGCGAGAGTGCCTTTGCTTCTTCGCCTCGAACTCCGTCATAATCCCGATATGGGTTAGCGGGTGTCGTCTGAGGACCCGAATGTTCTTTGAGCATAGGCTCTTTGCCTCCAGGGAATAACTCCCCCCAGGATTCCGGGTTAGCTGGTAGCTTCTGGGGATCCGAAGGTTCTTTATAGATTGGCTCTTTACCTTTAGGTGATATACTCCTCCCGGATTCCGGGTTTGCTGGCGATAACTGGTGACTCGAAGGTGCCTGATGCTCTAGTTCTTGGCCTTTTGGTGATGGGATTCTCTGCCCCTCCAGGTTATTTAGGGGCGCTTGATAACTCAGATGCTGTGCATGCATCGGTGCTTTCCCTTTGCCTTCATAAGGTAGAAATTCTTCCGTGTCCAGGGAAGGGGCCTCAATATCCCCGTTCTTGAGACTTGCTGGAGGATTTGTGAATGGATTTTCATTGCTGACATTTTCATATTCACTTATCGAGGAGGGTATCTCGAATATATCAGGACTAATATCGTCGTCGCTGTTCCGGATCTCATTCTGCAAGGGGCTAGGCTTTGGTTGCGTTGGGATGGGATTCCCATACTCATCGATGCGGCGAGGTTGGTTTGACTGCGAGAGGTTCGGAAGGTACTCGAAGGTGGCATCGATATGCTCGCGGAAATGAGAAGGCCGCGGCGGTTTATATTGTACAGGGAGTGGAGGCACAGGGGGTCTCTCCTCGTCCCGTAACGGGCGCACTCGAACGGGACGTGGCCGACCGTGAGCTGAGGGGTCAGGAGTTGCTGGACTGGTTGTTGTGACAGTAGTTGGCTGGCTGCTCGAAGAGATGTTGCTGGCTGGTTGCTCTTCCCTAAAACTGCTGTCATTCCTCTGGTCTACCACTGGTTGTGCCCCTGTCCTCAGATCGCGTTCACTTCGACTTCGTATTAGTTTTTTCGGTGCCCTGGCAACGGACTTGGCCTTCTCGGAGAGTGACCTCCCTAATTCTCTAAGAGCCATGTTTGCAAATGAATCGACGGAAGTGAAAAAAGAGCTGTGGGGTGAAGTGACGAGTTTGGATTGGAGAATGGCTGGAAAGCGAGAGAACTGGGAGTAATTGTGGAATATGTATGACGTTGGAAAATGCTGTTGCGGATTGAGAAAGTGTATGAACGAAAGCGTGGGATGAAATGAACGCTAGTAGCAATGAGACGAGCATGGATGAAGAGGACTGGATTTTGCAAAACATGAAGTTGGCGTTCTGTACGGTCGAGGAAAGTGAGACTAAAGTAAATAGAAGTGGCATCTGGCAAGTCACCTCGACTGCCATCCCCGATGTATGGGGTAGTACTACAAGGCATGGTATGAGTATTTGGAAGCCTCTGTACAGACTGGGAAGCGCGCCCTGGTGTTGAGCGGTAGGGAGGCGCGGGCTTCATGATTGCGACAAGATGAAAGATGTCGAAGCCACGACCTAGAGAACCAAAGTTTTGGATTCATGGACATCATCAGATGTGGGCCGATGGGAGAGGTAATAATTTTTTGAAGGGTTCAGAGGTTGAGGGATGAAAAAATGGTCCTCTTCAAGCCTCGGCTGGTGTGTCAGCCCCCTGCCAAGCGGGGTATGGTCGCCAGCAGCAATGACGTACGTCAGTGGTCTGTGCTCTAGTCCTCAAAGTGGCGCGGTGCAGTGAATGCTCCCCCTCTCACCCACTGCTGCCTAGGTACAACGACACCACCACCACCACCACCACCACCATTACCAGACCAGTACCGCAGCTTCACTATCACAATACCTACAGTCTCCCCACTTGCATCCAGAAATTACCGCTACCATGCTCCAACTCGCTCTCGCCACTCTCCTCCAACTCTCGCTCGTCTTACTGGTCAACGCAGCGCCCATCGCGACACAATCCGAGCCATGGCAAGCAGGGACTGGTGGTGGAATCGTTGGACTCATTGTCCTCATCCTATATATCATTGCTTGGGGTATGTCTTTCTCCCGACGTCTCCGGACATGCCGTCCCGGATACAACCCACGGTGAACATTCACTCCAAACATTGAGCTAACCCACCATGCCCGCCACAGTTGAGATTCTCCAGTCTAATCGCCCGCCTTTGAACAAGCTCATCTGGTGCTTGGTCGTCTTCCTATTTCCTGTCGTTGGAATGATCATCTACTACCTCTTCTCGAACCGCGACGCTCATGGCCGCTCAGGCTATGAGGCTATTGGAGCATAGAGTGATGGAAGATTGGGGTGATGTGTTTACGGTCAGGAAGGCGGTGGCCGGCAAGGCGCACAATGAGAGGTGCTTGGGGTTAGTGGAGAGTTATATCTCTACGACGTTGACGGATTAGGCTGATGAAGCCAAAGGAGAATCCAGTCCACTGAGAGGCCGCTCTTTGGAGACGATCCCATGTCTACTTTCCCTTAGTGTTGGGGATGCAGAAAGTGTACAGGGCGACCCTTCACTAGGTCTCCTACCTTAATCCTTTTCGACAAGAAGATTTCTTTGACATAGATGAAAAACTAGGGGAGGATGGAAAGGAAACTGCTGGCAATTCCTAAGATTATCCTTGTTATGTACCACACCACGTCGTTCTCTGTGACGTATCATCCTCTGCTGCCTCTCATCCTTCCCAGCATGCCATTACCCACAGGACGCACAAACCAACTAAGACCCCGAAAACAATATAATGTGCAGATGAACACTAAACAAGAGTAGTCACACGCAAAACTCGTAGCAACCCCTTCCTCTGACCACGTCTATATTGAAGGACATCAAGATAAACCAAAGACACGAGCAACTATCATAGCATATCAACGCCAAATTTAACTGTGTGTGTAACCAAACTCAACCTATAAGGAGTCAAAGGAGACTCACGGTCGTTCGAAAGTCTCAAAACCGATGGAAGTGACCAAATTTCGTCCTCGCCAGGTTTGCCTTGCAAATTTCCAGAGTTAGCTCCTTTCATATAATATCTGTTCCGATGCTATAACACCCTAAAACTCAATTCTTCATCTCAACTATACTTATTTCTCTTCTAATTAACAGGCACAGTTGGGGCGATTTCTAGAAATGGATTTAGAGAGACCGTTCATACTTTTCTTTAAGAAACGTCCTCGATTTTTCTGACAGCGAAGTCCGCCCAAGTTGTAAGAACTTCCACATCAGTGGTGGTTTCATCCGCCTCGGAGTCAATTGTGTCGAGGAACCCCTCAAGAGATACCGCCCCCAGCTTAGTGCGACTTTCTCCTCGTATGTTGTCCCGTCCTGGATGCCGTCTTCATTCGCACGCATTCTGAAGGTTTTGGAATTTCGAAGACTCTTGGCTTCAAGATAGCTGCCTTCACGCGTTGGGAAAGGTTCCGGTTCGAAGAAGGGGAGCTCGCGGCTTTATCGGAGGAATATTAATCTGGTTCTTCGCCCTATAAGCCTCCTTTACGGGAGATGTGGTGTGGCTTTTCATACTACTCTTTCGATACTCACAAAGGCTCACTCTTGGAGCTTGAACTGCTGATAGGAAAAATTGGTCTCTTTGGAGATAATTCGGACTTCGCGTCACTTTCAATCTTCGGTATGTCTCCTAAAGTCTCGGGTCCCGCATCTCCTCCGTGCCTAGTAGTAGAGGTATTGCCCGCCATGGATTCTCAAGCGGACCTGCGGTTGTTCCTTCTTACCTCTTTCCATCGGACGTGTTTTCGAGGCTCAATCCGCCCTTATGGGTGCCGGACACGCCACTAAATCTCTCGCCCTCTTTCTTGTCTTTGACTTCCCAGTCTTGTTCACCCGTCTCAGCTAAAGTGTTGACCTGTTTTGCATTAGAACGCGAGGAGGGCAATTCCACATTTCAAGACGCACTCTCTCAGTCTCTACACCGCCCTCTTCTTTGGAGATGAGTTCTCCACTTAGGTGCTCTAATTTTTCTTCCTTCCTAGCAGTTTCATCCGCATTCTTGCTCCCGCTATTGCATGACGCATCACGAGCAGGAGCATCATCGCTGTGGTCAACTTCTTTTATATTCATAGCCTTGGCCGTGCCTTCCAGAACTTTGTTTTGTACTCCCAACTCTTCTCTCTTGTAGCGGAGGGCTTCATCAAAGTCTTGATCCATTTTCTCAATCTCAACCTTCAAATTCTTCAGAGGTATAACATCTAGCTCTTGAAGACTAGCCTCACTCTTCTCACCGAGTTCTGTAATTGCCCAGGCCCATATCATATGCGAATCGAGGTCTTCGTGATCTTCCACGTCACTCTTGCCAGTTATCTCCTAAATTGGCTCTACCGAGACAGATAGAACCTTGTATAGAAAACTATTAGCGTAGAATTTCCTTCGTTTCGGTAATATGATACCTTGCAGTAGTTTCCTTCTCTTTCAAACGACTCAAGATCGAAAATAGCAAGACCGGATTATCGCACTGCCCTTGTCATAATCCACCCACCAAATTGTTTCAGTAGCGAACACTTAGAACCGGAAGGGTTCATCAAAGAAATCCTTAAGTAGAGGCATGGGGGGATTAAACATGCCTCATTGGAACATAACTTCAGGGGACGGAGGCTTCGGTAGTATCTGAATTAGCCTAAGACGCGCGAATGTCCAGATAGAGTCGAAGCCGAGCAACAGTTCATAACCCGAAGGCTCCTGATTGGCGGCATGGGCTTCAATATTTCCAATGATACATTGCTCCTCATCTGCACTACTTAAGGAAGAAGGTGATGGGGAAGGATATGAAAGAGAGTGACGCACGTGTGAGCTTTCGTGAAATTGACTCAGCCACACTCAAGAAACTGAGTCGGACCTACAGATACTGAGTCACTGTCTTTGATTACAGGCCGGGGTAGAGTCGGCGCGACAATATGCATGAAAGGTACAGTGAAAGTGTACTCAATGGGGAGCGCAAGTATACGTAATGATCATAATGAAAGAGGACATAAGAACAAGGTGAACTTAGCTGTTACGACTCAAATTACTGACTCGATGGTTATTAGAGTATTCTTTGTAGTTTATCTTCACTGTCACGTATCAATCACAACCAAATACCAGCACTGGCCTGAATACCATCAAACCGCTTTGGCACCTCAATCAATCCTTATTATCACTCTCTCGCACCACCCAACTCCGAAAAGACTTCGCTTTGGACCCATTGCCACCTGCTTGTGCATCTAGATGTGACGCCGCACAAAACGCCTCAACTACGCTCATGGCGGGGGTGATCTCCTTTTCGTCGAAAGGAATGAGATTTAGGAAATTTCGAAGGGATAGTGCCCCAAGCTTAATCTGGGCCTGTGTAAGATAATCGGTACATCTCTCAGCAAGATTAGGCGTGATTCGAAATACCATTTCCCATCCTTCTCCCTTTGACGATCCTTGCCGTGCCTGAATCTGCTCATTTGCAGCTAAGATAGTAAATGCTTTTGAAACCCTCGCTTTGTCAGTAGTAGTGTAGTCCTTTGACATTTCAAGGAGCTCGAGGAAATCGTCTAAGGATGCAGTGCCGATGAAAGTATGACGGTGTTTGTACTCCAACTCCCGTTCCTGCTGTTCAAGGAAGAAGGCTTCTTCCACCTCGAGAGGTTTTGTTGTCACAAGGGAGGGGGTCTTTAGCAGAACATTGACTGGAAGTCCCAGTGAGACTTTACGCCGATGAGTGCGTTTCTTGTTTAGGCCCTGATCACTCCACTGAACTCTGTCCTTCTTTTCTTCTATCTCTGAAGTAATCGTCACGTCGTCCGCGAACGCTACGGAGTTGACATCTATAGTCCCGTGAGATATCGGTGTCCCACTCGCACACTCTCTGAGGTCTTGCGTATCATCGTCGTCTTTTGGAGAACTCTTTTCATCATCTATAGCCCTGGAAATAAGCCGAATAACAGTATCTTCCTCCCCAACGTAACTTCTCTCGGAGTCCTTTCCCTGAAGAGTATCGTCATGTTCCATTAACGAAAGATCTTCGCCGCAGAGGTGCTTTGTTGATTCTTGGGAGTCCGGTGTCGCTGCATCGTTATTGATGGAAGATTCAGATTCAGTGAAGCCCGCAAGCATTACCGCAGATAGTTTGTTGGGGGCGTTCATTCTAGTAGATTCCTTGTCTTGGAGTTGGTCAGGATCGGCGACTCCCTGAGAACAAGGAGCAAATTCGGTATCAGCGCGCACGGGACTGTTCTTGATTGCGAGCTCAGTTGCCCCTAAAGATTCCATTGTTCGAATTTCCTCACTAGCCAGCTGCAATGCAGTTTCGGTCTCAGCGTTGTCACACTGGGGATATTTGGCAATGTGATTGTGGACTGGCAAAGCGTATGTATCAAGAGATGGTTCGGGCGATGGCCGGGGTGCTTCATCTCTAGTCCCCTCGTTTGACAATGAATCTTCGTAGTCCTCCTCGCTATCGCTTTCATGCTCTTCACCCTCCTTCACCCTCATATCCTCTTTCGTGCTTTGCCGATGTTTCCTCGCCGAGGGTTGTATGTCGCCTTTGCGAGTGGCTCGCGACACGGGAGTATGGGACTGTCGGCTTCGCTGTTTCTTCTTTAGCATCGTGTTCAATGCTCCGCTCCATATCCCCGCCGACGTTGTTAAGGCGACTCGGCGCCGCCCGCTTGACTCCGTGTGGTTGTCCGTTTGCTGAATGTTCATGACCTCTTCGTGGTCTATTATGGCGTCAGAAGGAAATAAATGATGTATTTGCGGTGCGACAAACCATGATGTGGCAAACCCACAAGCCTATCCTCTCCGCTCAGATCAGGAGAATGTGTTTTCTCCCCCGCAACGGCCCTTGTCGGCGGGTTTCCATCAACTTGAGGCGTCTCCATTCTGGGCATGACGGAGAGGATGTTTGCAGGTAGTACCTGTGCTAGAGGGAGTGAATCCGCTGACTATAGCTCGAGCTGATCACGCGACGACGTTGAAAGAAATGATTTGAAATCAGAGAAAATGAGAGAGGGACGTTCATATCGCGCCCATGGTAGACCGTTTAGGTGGCGCACGTGGTGGCAGTCTGGGCTGTGCGCGTTATAAACATGCGCAGGAAGGTCCGCTGTAATGGCCAAGAAGCGGTGAAATGACAACAGAGGGTGAATAGTCTACAGCACTGTGATTTGGCGATGCTCATAATGTAGAATAAGAAGGAAAAGCTAAAATCAGAGTTACTCTCCATGTCAGCGTAAAGCCTCCAGCAGAGGGATTCTGCAGCGTTCCTTCCTTCTAACGTCACTACGAGCAGCCACGAGAACATTTGAGCACACATCGCTGACATATGGAGCCAGGGGCTATTCATGGATTTCTGAAACTAGACAGAGAATGGTTGGATAGAGAAGATATGACAGTACCCAAGCCACTGGAAATTTACAAGTACCATGATCCCCCTGGGTCACCAAGAAATCCAAGCAAGACGCCCCACAGTACCTGCCCCCATCCCAGCATTATGTATCGAGCAAGTGATCCCTCCCTTATTAGTACTTCTTTAAATAGTAAAGGCAAACTAAACATTTCCTGATCGTGTAAAAACCCCTAAATCAAACTTCCTATTACATTATGTACCAACGTACAAAAGCATCATCCAAATACGTTAGGAACAAAATATACTACCGAATAAACCGTAATCCCAGCTTACACCCGAGGGGAACCTTAGACAGACCTAGACTCAACGCGAATTTGCTGGAGACACGCCAGCTTGGAAGCAGGTGCAGCTCCGTCGAGTTATGAACATACCTTGAAAGCGTCGTCGACGTTTAGAATTGACGTCATTCCATCCTCGTCAAATTCTACGTCTTTCTAGAAAGCTGTGAGAGATGTGTTCCCGAGCTTCACTTTCGACTTGATGATGATTGACTTGTAATCTTACATTGCATCATACGCAACCAGCGTGGTGTTGCCCCCATGCATAATCTGATGCTCGTCGACAGGTAGTGCTGCGAATATCTCACAGGTATTGTTCTTAGTGGTGACCCCATCTTCATCAAACTCTAACAGATCAACAAAGGTGCGATGGTCCTCGTAGGTTTCAAGATCGAAGTTACCACTAGCATGCTAGTCCTCAATGGACGTCACAAGGGTCGATTCTGGCGATGGAGAGCCTAGGGTATACTTGACTGGAGAGCTCAGGTTAGGCATCTCTGACTCGTTTGACTGTGCCCTTAAATCGCGGTTCTGGAATCCGGCGCCAGCGTGGGAACCCTAGGGTTAGAAGACTGGACCACACCTTCTTCATTTATGGATATTGGCGGCTTAGCGACCGCCGGGTGGGAGCTATTCTTGATTACTTCGCGCTTCCTATTTTATCGACGGTTCTTTGGCACTAGGACGCTAGGCAGCACACCCATTTGGCCACCGCAGACTCTACGGTCTTCCAGGAGCGAGGGAGCGGCCACTCCTCGCGATTTGGTCGAGGTAGAAGAGGTGTAGGGGTAATTTGGGCCTTAAACTCATCCTTAAACCCCTTTGTTTTCTTCAGTACTAGAAACCTTCTCCATCAAATCGTCCTGATCGACAATGCTTGAGTCATCCAGAGGATCGGCGGATGAACCTATTAACTGATGCAACTGCATCTTATTCGTTCCTATATAGTCTTTTGCCGGTTGGACAAATTATGTAACAATGTGAGGGAATGATGGTGACGGTTCTTGGCCTTTGACTATAGCTAAAGTATTAGTAGCAACATCGACATTCTTAGTAGCGGTGACGGCATCGGCATAGCCAACCTCATGCTATTCTTCCGTGATCTCAGGGGGGCCCATTTTGTTTCAGAGATCTTGGCTCAATGGCCGACCTTGACGGGCCGGCTTTTCGTCTTTCCTTTACCCTTCTTTGAAATGGATGTCTCTGGGATTTGCTTTACCGGCAGGGCAACCATATTCTCGAAAGTTGCATGTGAAAATATAGGGGATTCTTCTTACGCTTCCGCATTGCTAACACGGTAGCTATGAAGTCATCATCAGAAACTTTGATCGCTTAAGGATTAGGCGTCGCCTCAGTGAATGTATGCAAGGCTTGCGCCAGAAACTTAGGTGGTTTGAACGGAGTACTTGTCGACATGAAAAAACCCCTCAGTCTATCAAGAAGACGCAATGTGGAGATGAAATAAACGGTCGAGGCTCATAATTGTAGAAGAAACTTAGCTGTTCAAAGATTCCTCTAAAGGACGCCGCTTTAAGCAAGCCTAGAGAAGGCATCACTTGTTATAGAATAACTTGGCAAAACTTAAAAACTAAAAACTACCGCAAGACTTAGTGTTGATGGAATCGATGAAAGAGGGAGAGTAGTGAAGGCGAGAGGAAGGCTGGAGTCTGATTAGGGCTAGCGCACGGACAGTGCGCTTGCCGGTTAAGGCTAAGACCAGTTCGCTGCCTGTGAAGCATCATGACCCTGAGAGACCTGTCCTAATTCCAAATCCATGATTTTCACTATTATAAGCAGCATTAAAACAAGCGAGATAAATGAGTTCCTTTCACATCTGATTTGGCTAAACCTTCACAACATCCGTAGACAGCATCCATCAGGAATCCTATTCTCTCCTCCGAACAATTTCACAAGCCGCTAATACAACCTTTACAAACCTTAACCTTTTTCGAGTTGTGCATCATTCTAAAAGATGAAACGAGGCGCTCATGGTGCTTGTCACAAGAAAAGAACAATTCGTCTTACCCTGCACCAAGCTTCCCTGCGCACAAAAATCTAGGAGGTCCAAAGTAGTGCAGCACCTTTGCCGTCACAGCTAAAACAATTAACCCAACTCTGCATCCTTCTTTCATAAAGCGATTTATGAACAATACTACATTACAGACTTGGGGAGAAGTTAGCGTCGCATGTGCAGTTTTGTCGAGGGGAGAGCGTCACACGCTGCTGATACTATTGTTTTGGCCTCTGGTAGCCTACGAGTCTTCCTAGAAATCGCGCTACTAGAGGGTATGACTTCCGTAGTTGAGATCGACGTGGATTTGGTGCTCGTGTTGCTGATACGTGTGCTCTCGGTTGTCGTGCTGGATGCGGATTTGAAAGTTGCCGATGAGGTTGGTAACGAGCTTTGAGAAGTCTTAGAAGATGCGGACGATGACTTTTCAGATATGATCGTCGCACTCTTGGATGCCATCGCGGAAGAGCTAGTGTAGAATGAGGATGCTGAAACTAGAGGGTGCAATGCTGTAGCTTGCTGTAGCTCACGGAACTTACACTTTCAGTCTTACGACCTGTAATCGATTGGGACTCAGATGGTGAGGGTTCTGAAGTTTCTAATGACCTAGCCAAAGTGAATGAATTTAAGAACCTCCCAAAGCTTGAGCTTGAGAAGGTCGTCGAAGTCAAAGTGCTCGAAATGACCTGTGAAAGCCTGCTACTTGATTTTGAGCTAAAAGATATGCTAGCACGGGTCGTGCTGCCGGAATCCGGAGTAAAATGAACAGTAGGTGCCGTCCTGGGGCTCGAGCTACTGCTAGGCCCAGGCTTCGAGCTGATCTTAGTAGGTGAGCTAAGTATGAAAGGGGTGTTGAAATGGTTGCAGGGGAGTTGGGATTATTCGATATCTTCGACGGTGAATAGCTGGCTGATATTTTCGAACCCGAAGGCGAAATACTCTCAGAGGTACTCTTGATCATGGATGTAGATGTTGTTAGATACTCCTTGGAGAAGGTACCTCCAGGTAACTCCAGGAGTGCGAGGTTTTGGCGGCTAGGGAATAGCATCATACAAACGATGGTAAGGACATCGTTCTTGCTAAACCTTCTGTTAATAAGTAGGTGCACGTACAATTTCTAATACTAAATTCTGATTTAAGTTGGTCTCAACTATTTCGAGCACGATTAACATGTAATACAAGAGCGCATTGGGGGCATTATAGGGGAGGCCGACCGGACAGCATCATTTGCGACAACTTGGCTACTCCCCACAACATCTTGATCAAGATCTAGACTCGAGACTTCTGCATTCCGAATCCTTCTATAGCGGTCTAGAATCAATACCGTTGGGCAAGTCGTGGTTGTGAAGTGGAAAAGTCCTCCATTTCTGGTATATAGCGCCTCTGAAATCCATATAGTCTTTAGCAAAGAACGACATGCAGATATATATGAAGAGTTTTGTAGTGGTTGTCCGAGTCAGGAGAAGAAGCCTCCATAAAGATACAATGTTCCGCCAGGACTTCGAATAGTGAGCTTTAAGCGAGGACGACACATTTCTAGTCTCAATTACTTGCTTCGTTTGCACTTCTCCCTGGTAGCGTCTCCTCATTATTGGAGCAACCATGTGCAGTTGCTAGCCAACAACACTTGGAACAATATTTAGGGGAACAAATCCCAGGTCAGTGTTAGTCTTGAGTTTTCGTAAGTCTGCTCGCATCTTCTGGAGGTCAGCTACGGATAATGCAAGACACTCCTCAGTTCAGAAGGTGAAACGTCCCTTTCGTGGTGTGCTGAATTCCACCTAACGTATATTGAGAGACTAGCGAAGATGTCGGACAGCCAGGAAACATCGAGTTGACATTTATAGAAGACAAAATTTCAGAAATAACGGTTAAGACAGTCTTTGCAATGATGTAAAATACGAGCATTATTGATCCTATTCTTAGTAAGTGAGCTTGTTACGAAAGGCCAACCTATCACCTACATTTGAAATACATTTCGGGATATACTGGAAACTCTTGATGCGCCTGAGCATGGTCGAATATTTCAAAGTCTGATTGACCCAAGCATCGAGCCAGGTGCGAGGGCAAGAGATAAGAATATCAGCCGAAGTATTTTCTGTCCTGTACCTCTCTGCAAATATTTATTTGCAGACAACTCTCAAGTTTATCTTAGAAGCCCTAAAATTGCTAAAATGGGCTTTATGTTGAGTGGAGGGTGTTTTTTCAACGATAATTTGGTCCAATCCCTGGGGTTGAGATTCTACACGAGGCTCTTAATTTGATCTAGATGAATGCTAGATGATCCGGCCAATGACGAGCCTGCTAGGAAATCCCACGAACTGTTCCTCTTGGGAAGGATACATTTTCTTTCCTTCCCTTCGCACCTTGACACCATAAATATAGAAATATGGGGCGATGTAGGATTTTCCAGTACTGCAACGCAACATCGTTTTCATGCAATCAAGCGATCACGAGTTGCAAAGAGTACAACTCCGAGGCGTGCTGATAAGAACTACTGTTCCCCTACACGAGGCACTATCTGTCCAGTGATACCCGATCTCAGATGTTCCATTTTGACAGGATGAAGCTGACAACCTTCCTATTCTTCCTCGGGTGTGCCTTCGCATTGCCAACTACGAATATCGATCCCATACCCAGACCAACCATCACCAACTTCACCTACTTCGGAGCGGGATGCCCTTCCGGTACCGTGTCTACCGCACTATATGCCATAAATAGCACGACGGGTTCGTACCAAGTATATACCTATCTAGACTCGTTCACGCCATGGGCTGGTCCTCATTTTGCAATCAAGGACTCGAGAAAGATCTGTACTGTAAATCTAGAAGTCGGAATTGCCCAAGGTTGGAAAGTCAGGACGAATAATGGGGGAAGTGATGTTAAAGGGTATCTGATGCTGCTGGATGAAAAGGTGACTGGGACATGGAGGGCGAATTATTCATTCGCTTCTGCGACGACGGGTTCTATAAGTGTTCGTATCACATAGACTCAGATTCTTTGCGCTGACGGAATAAAGTCGATCGCCGCTGTTTCGTTCGCGGGCCCGTTCGTTGGTATCTTCATTAAACATGCAGATGCGGAAGGTCAGGGGGTTGTGAGTCCTTGTGGCGGAGGGACGCTGAATGTCGAGCACCAGGTTCGGTTGAGCTCCGCAGGTTCAACTTATTCGGGGTACATAGGGCCGGATCCGGGGCCGGACGAGTTGAAGTGGACTGTTGTTAGTGGCGTGGAGGTTCTGAGATGTTGATTTGTAGCGGAGAAATGAAGATTGGGGAAGGGAAAGAAAATCGAACGTGGTTAGTAAATATTGGGATTGTGGTAATTATGTTAAAGAGTGGATTAAGGGACACCTCGGAAGTACACAAGAAATTGGGTTCGAGATCACTCAACTCGGGCTAGCATTAAGAGAACTGGTCTTTGCTCCGCATATTTCAGATAAAATTGGTCCGCGTCGAAGGATTTTTCACAATCAGATTGCCTTCGTGTTCGGTAATAGTCGCATCCCGATTGGTGTGTTTACATACCATCGCCCAAAAGAAGCTAACGTAAATATTACTCCTAAGATCATTCTGCCGTCGACCTCCCATCGAATGACAAACTCCTTCGACTTCACGCCCTTCTCAATCCCGCGTTTTCGACGCTGAAACTTCATGCGTATCACCCGGGCGTCCGCGTTGGAGGAACCACTGGTCTCGCAACGTCTCACAGGATGCCAGGACGGGTGATTTTCGGAGGTCACTTATTGCTCAGCGACCGCTCACTATGTTGTATTTTCCTAGGATTTCGGCCATCTTTTGGCGTGCGTCTTTATACCAAAAAGCCCGAGTATAGATCAGCACCTCGAAAGGAGGAAGAGAAAGTACGCCCGGTCCGGGCAAAGCCATATTCCCGAGGCCGCTACCGAAAAAATCCTGATCCTGGGGGATGGGCCTATCCTGACCGACCTCGGACTCTCAGAGATACCGAATGCCAGACAGTGCAGTCGGACTATGGAGGACATACCATTGGCTACGCGATGTATGGCGTACCTCTCAACAAATCGAAGAAAGCTTTTTTTTATTTTCACGGCACGCCGGACTCCCGCCTCGGAGCCCGGCTGTATGAAAACATGGCCAAGGGAAACTTGTGGACTGCCATTGGCATAGATAGACCTTGTTACGGTCTCTCTTCCTTGCGGCATGGCGTAGGTTATAGAGGCCTGGCTCAAGATGTGCAGTCCGTGGCAGATTCCCTTGGAATCCAGAGATTCTATGTAATCGGGGCCAGTGGCGGCGGTCCCTCCTCTCTTGCATGCGCCCGTTTTCTGCCGGAAAGGGTGATTGCGACACTTGTTTTGTCCACATCTGCACCGCAGGACGTTGGAGATGATCATTCTGGGTGGACGCACTGGCGGAGAACGCGCCTGTGGTCTCTCCCACTATTCCGGCCATTCTACCGATTGTATTTAAGTTATCGGTGGGATATATGGCGTTGGAAGGGGCTAGGGAACGAAGATCTCGCGAGGCTCGTATATAGTTCAGCCAACCACTTCCAGAAAAGCGAGAAAGAGAGACAATTAGCGTTGGAACAACTAAGGGATTGGAAAGTCGTCCAAAATAAGATGGCCGAAGAGTCGCAAATTTGGAAGCATGGCGTCGATGGCTACCTAGAGGACACTTGGCGTGATTCGAAGCGCTGGGATTTTAAAATGGAGGATATTGACTTGGAGACGGGAAAGAAGGTCTTTTTCCACGTTGGAACAGCAGACGTAAACACACCGGGTTGGACAAATAGGGGTATGCACGAAAGGGTCAAAGGCTCTCGCATCTTCATGTATGGGGGGAAGACCCACTATGACACTACAGCCAGTTACCCTATCGAATGGCAGTTCTTGAAAGAGAGATGGAAGGACCAAAAGTGGCTAGAGGAACAGCGAGAGAGAGGTTTTCTGGGCTAGAAGTTGACGTTGGGGCTCATTTGCCTAATTCTGAAGAATTTCGATTCACCATTAAAGCTAAATCGGAGTCTATGTGGAATTCAGCTGGTTCTCTTGTTATTTCTTTTTTTTTTTTATAGCCGTCTGGTCCACGCTAATTTACGACGAGGAGGACAGCGATCAAGAGGAAGAAATGTTAACAATTTCTCAAGAATTCAAAACGGTTAAACAACCTTACATGCTGAGAGCTTGGTGTAAGAAAGATCTACGCATATAGTAGTGTAAGTAAAATTAAAATCCTGCTAATGTTTGGCTCAGCCCAGGAAGGGCTCCTCAGGAGTTTTAATTGTGGTACGTGTTTCAATACTTCAAAGTCAGGTAAACAAACTTTAGAGCCGCTGTTGAAAGATCCTATCTGTAAAGGGTACTGGATCACTAGCACGTGCATGACGCGTCAAGATCGTGATTGGGCTAGCGCGTTCGCGTAAATGAAGTCATCACCTTCAACACCAATTGACGCTTCCCTGTTGCACCATAACCTTCACAGGAGGGCCGATGAAGTTGCCGTTTATTTCACCATGATCAGGAAACCATTTCGGCCGCCTACATTTGTCCGACCCGACGTAAAGAACAGCGAACCGCCACAGAAGAAACGTCGAATATCGTCTGAGACATCCGAGAGCAGCAGGGAACCGCTCGTGCCTGTCGAGAACCCAGCGCTTCCACCGAGGGACCCGAACGAGCGATACTATACTGTCTTGTGGCGGAAGTATACCAACAAGAAGAACAAGACGTGGGATGGGGATGGAGTCCTCTCGATCCTCAACGGCTATGCCGTGCTGGCTGATACAGTTAACGGGAAAGAGCTTGGAAGGGGGCCCTGTGGTCGGCCGTTGCTCCCGGGTTCGATATTGACGGTCGGAGGAAAAGAGGTGGAAATTGACAGCGTAATTTCGAAGGACGATTACCTGGCTGGACGGCCACTCCTTGGAATGCCCCTCCAGACATCCTTAGAGCAGCCGAAGCCACTGTCTGTGCAAAAATGCCTCCCATTTCAGAACATGCCAAATAGGGTAGGATCGCTTGCTAGCTTGGGCAGCGAACATGCTTCGGGCGTTGCTCAGGACCAGACCGGAGTCTCTCGGGCAGGATCTGGCCCACGGCCCACCGTAATGCCTCACGCCGCCCGCAAGCACTTCAAGAATCCTTTGCTATCCAGTACTATCGTTCCAAAGACGAAATCTTTGCTTCCACAGCCGCGACATGACCCAGAGCAGCCGAATTCACTCGTGATGAAACGACCGACATCCTACCCAAAGGGGAAGCAGATTGTGGATGTGGTTGTTGACCCCATCCTAGGCAGACACTTGCGGGATCACCAACGCGACGGGGTCAAATTCTTGTACGAGTGCGTCATGGGCATGCGGTGCGAAGGCGAAGGAGCAATCATGGCGGATGAGATGGGCCTCGGGAAGACTCTGCAGACCATCACACTACTATGGACTCTTATGAAGCAGAATCCCATCTATGGGAGTCCGCCAGTGGTCACAAAAGCACTGATTGTTTGTCCGGCCGGCCTAGTCGACAATTGGCGCAAAGAATTCCGAAAGTGGTTGGGAAACGAGAGAATTGGTGTCTACGTGGCTGATGCGAAGAATAAGAAGATTGCGAATTTTACAATGGGAAAGGCATACAATATCATGATAATCGGGTACGAGATGCTTCGGACTGTTCAAGATGAGCTAAAGAGAGGCAGCGGTGTCGATATTGTCATCGCAGACGAGGGACATCGACTCAAGACGGCCAATAACAAAGCCATGCTCGCCATACAATCTCTGAACACAGAGCGAAGAATTATTCTTTCTGGCACACCTCTTCAGAACGACCTTAGCGAGTTTTTCACGGCCATCGACTTTGTCAATCCGAACCTACTAGGGAAACGATCTGCCTTTAAACGCGAGTTTGAGAACCCAATCATGCGGAGTCGTCAACCCAATGCGAGCGGGGCGGAGCTAGAGAAAGGTGAAGCTCGTTGGAAGGAGCTCGTTTCTCTAACAAGCCAATTCATGATTCGCCGAACAGCAGAAGTTTTGGCAAAGTACCTCCCACCGAAGACAGAGCACATCGTGTTCTGTAAGCCAACAGTTGCCCAAGCCGCCGCGTACCGTACCATTCTCTCATCACCAATATTCACCGCTGCGCTTGGAAACACCGATATGGCTCTTCAGCTCATCACTGTATTGAAGAAAGTCTGTAATAGCCCCTCTCTCCTCAAAGCCAAAGACTCGGACGACACGCCTTCAGAAATGCTCCAGAGCTTGTTCCCACTTCTTCCACCAAACGTTCTTTCATCCCACGCATCTAGCGCTAAACTGCGAGTGTTGGATTCTTTACTCCACAAAATATACACTACGACTAGCGAGAAGATTGTTATCGTGTCTAATTACACGACAACTCTCGATATGATCGAACGTCTTCTCATATCTCTCTCCTACTCGTTCTTACGCCTCGATGGGTCCATCCCGTCTTCGAAGCGCCAAGCTCTAGTTGAAAAATTCAACAATAACTCCCAGAAATCCACCTTCGCGTTCCTTCTCTCTGCGAAATCCGGAGGTGTTGGCCTGAATCTCATCGGCGCCTCCCGTATTGTGCTCTTTGACATTGACTGGAACCCCGCCACCGACTTACAAGCCATGGCCAGAATCCACAGAGATGGGCAAAAGCTGCCGTGTAAGATTTATCGATTTTTGGTCAAAGGTGCTCTAGATGAGAAGATCTTCCAACGCCAAGTCATGAAGATGGGATTGGCGAATGCGGTCGTGGATAATAAGGCTAGTGCGGGAAGCTTTTCGAAAGAGGAGTTGAGGGATTTATTTAGGTTGGATGGGAGGGAGGGGCTACAGACGCATGATCTTCTGGGTTGTTCGTGCGAGGGGTTCGGGGTTTCGGAAGTGGAAGAGGTTTCTACGCCTGAGGTGGAAGGGGTGAGTGATGAGGATGAGGAAGGTGAGGCTTGGTTGGGGTTGCGGAAAGCGTCACAAATTGATGTGGAGGAACTGGAAAAACAGATTGAAAAGCGTAAGGGCAATGGTTCAACAGGTAAACAGCCAAAATTGAGGATGTTGATGGAGTACAGGCATATTGATACGAGCTTGTTAAAGGAGATGGACGAGGAAAGGGTAGAAGAGATGACAGCAGTGGTAGACGATGACGTTTTGGTGGGGGTGCTGAAGGAGCCGGATTCTCGGGTCAGTTTCATTTTGACGAAATCTTCGTCATAAAATGGGGGGTTGCATGGCGAGATGGGCACTTGAGCGTCAAGGTTTTCTGGAAGGCATGTTGTGGATTTAAAGAGCATGTTCTCGACAACATGATACCCATATCAAGTTCCGTATCCTAGCATTTAGTTACTGGTATGTTGATAGATAAGCACTTCGATTCATACGCTTCCTCTGCCTGTTTTGAGGACTCAGATTTATCTTGCATGCAAACTATCATATCTCATCACTGCCGTCAGATTCCCGGGAACATTTTAAGCGAAATCTTATCTAGGTATTAGATATTTCTAGTTGCTATTGTCGATATACATGTAGAGAGGTTGTCATCCTCGCTGGCACTCCATTCCAGCATGAATACCAACCATATCGACAGACCACTCCCCTTCAATCCAATACTGACTACTAAAGCCAGAAAAAACCTTCTCAACCTACAGATTTCTCGCTCTTTGCCCTCTATTCCTTAATCATCATACAAATCGCTCCACCTAGTGTTCTTCGTCCACGTACTTTCCCTCCTCGACCTATTCTCCGTCTCAGTCCCAGCCCACCTAATTCCACTCAGAACCCTCTCCTTAAAACCTCCCTCCTTCTCAATCCTCTCCTCATTCTCTCCAGCTGCTGCTCCCGCGGGACTCCGGGGCCGACTGACATTATCATAAAAATCATCATCCAATTCCACCTCTCTGAAGCCCGTGTACATTGATTGATGATTAGCCACCAAGGGATTCGATCTCATTCCTCCATAGTCTTCAACCCGCTGAGTCCGGCCCCATTTCGGCGCCCCCCCAGACTGTGTGGAAATATCAGAGGGCCGTAACGGTGCAGGCTCCACACTCCCCTTCTGTGATCGTAGTGATGAGGGGGCTGGAATGTGGCATTGGGGGTGGTTTGAAGGGATGCTGTGGAAGCTTCCTGAGAACAGGGGCTCGAGTTCTGGGCTCAGGATCTGGGTGTCGTTGGAGGTGAGGGAGGAGGCGATGCTGAGGGCGTAGGTTGAGGTTGAGGAGGAGCAGTGGAGAGAGGGGCTGGGGCTGGATGTCGGGGTGTGGGTATTATTGGGTGGATTGGTTTGGGGACACGGGACATTGGAGGTTAAGAGAGTGAGGGGCGTGCCGAAAGTGGAGGTGGAGTAGATGGAGGAACTGCGGTTGCAGAGAGTGTTGTATTTTATGGTTTTGGGTTGGTGTAGGTATGAGTAGAACGTTCGAGGTGTGGGATCGGGGTTGGGGCTAGTATTGGTCCCCGTGTTGGGGATGAAAGGCTCGGAGAGGCTGTAGCCATATCCAATGATAGAAGAGCCCTCTGAGACTATGCTCGTAGCCGGGTTAGCATTCTCTCTTCCAGTCGCATTCGAAGCAGGATCGAAAGGCTCCGAGATATCCACCTCAATAGGCGCCTCCCCCACCTCATTTCCTTTATACGAAACAACCCTACCATAGAAATCCCGCAGTAGGCGATGCCTTATATGCGTCTCCCAAGCCCTCTTAGTCCGCCTCAACTCCTCGCCTAGATCCCACGCATCATCCACAAGCTTCCCCCCATGCCTAAAACCCTTAAGCCAATACCTTACCCATCTAACCCGCTTACTCTTCACATTCTCCCTCGTCCCAATATACTTCTTCCTCCGCCTTCCCACCATGCCCGTAAGCAGTGCAAAGCAAACCCGCCAATCCGACCCAATCCTTGCAAGCATACAGGCCGGACATTTATCGTGCTGGAACTTCCATTTCGAGATAAACACACCGTTGTAGAATTCCCCCACGCAGAGGGGCTCCCGTCCTTCAGGCACAGACATCGCGGAAGTGAAGTCACATCGCCACATTTCGAGCACGGGTTCAAGTTGCCGGACTTTGAGTTCTTGGACTGCGGATAATCCGGCTTGTACGATGAGGGGGTAAAGGAAGTGGCCGATGCCGTGGTCGAATTCGTAGCGTACCCATTCCCACACGTCTTCTGTTAGCTCGGCATTCAGGCGTGAATGACCAGAGCATAAGTTCCCTTTGTCAGGCTTTCGAGATGATAAGGAGTGGAGGTTTGTGGGGAGATCGTATATTTGCTCTTTGACAGCATTCCAGTACTTTTGCTCTAAGCTCGCAGAACGAGAGGTTACAGAGGGAAAGTTGCGGAGGATGGAAGTTAGTCTTTTGATTTCGGTGTTGTGTAGGTCGTGGTAGCTGCGCGCCTGGGACCGGCCTGTGAGCGAGCCGTAGTTGGGGTAGAGGAAGGTTAGGGCTGCGTATGGCATTATGAGTTGTTAGGAAGGTTAGTTATTCTTGTACTGGTTGAGAACCGTGTTCTTGAACTATTGGCTGGCGTGCAACGATGGATGAGGTCAGAATATGGTTTCTATCGGAACTGCAAGTTCTGGAAGAATGAGGAGAATATATATTGCTCGGCTGGAAGAACGATCGTGAAGATGTTTTTGTTGTGAGTGAAAATTGCAGTAATTTGATTTTACAATGTTAAAATGCTGGAAGCTGAGTGAGTAGCCTCAAGAGAAACCAGCATTGGAGAGATGAAAGAAGTTGAATTCGAAAGCCATAAAATCTAGGGTTGTGCAGAGAAGAGCTATATAAATAAGGAAGACGAGAAAAAGAACAAGAGGGGAAAGGGTACAGAGCTTATTGTACAAGACCTGAGCTTAGTGAATAAGATCAGAATTGCTGAGATAGTCACTTACAATCAGCCTATCGAAAACAAGCATACACAATGTCGAGAAAGAAGATTTAGTGCACCATACACCCTCGTTTCTCGTGCGTGGGGTTGTCGATGTCGTTTTACGACTCCAACTCCTATGCCGGGTTTATCACAATTGCAAAGATATTATATAGAAACTTCTAGTCCATAATAGAGATTGAGCAAACGAGCGACAATTTGGATTGAGTTTCGTGATCCAACCGTCCAGCAACGCCAGGCACTTCAACGTCATAATAAAATACACTACGAAGGTGTCTCGCTCGAACCCTTAACGGGGAAATACCTGAAGTGTCTGCGGGAATACAAAATAATACAAAGAACGAAGATATCCCTAGGAAGTATACACCTGAAGACTAAACATTACATACGTTCGGCGTGCGGTGAAGCGATTGTTTAGAACCAGTAGATCCTTTGCTTCCAACAATTCTCAAGTTGGTACTAATGGCTGCTTTCTACACCTAAGACATTTCCACCTTTGCCGTGAAGGCTTTCATTAACCTTGTTTCTTAGGCCCTTCCAATTTCCCGCAGTTGACTGCGAGATGCTAGAGGACTTCTTCCGTGTGCTTCGTCGAACTGAGACGGATTGACCTCGCGAGCTTTCGTCAAGTTCTGATGCGGAGGATTGGGTTAAGCTGTCCGCGGAAAGTTCTTTCATGTCGCCGGCGTTTTCACGGTCGACTTTCTGCTGCGCATGGCGCCGGCTTTTCTCATAACGCGCGGTTACATCACCGCCATTCCACATGGTGTTGAGGAAACGATCCCAAAAGGTAAAGAAGGGCTGCGAGAAGTTGGTCTTGATTCCCCAACTCTGGTGATGGATATCATGGTAACCAGCATTGTTGGATGTAAGGAGCTGCATGGGATCGAAAGGAAGCGAGTAGCCGCAATGATCATCAACCGTCTTGACGGTGGCACAGGTAAAAAACCACATAGATTGCCTGACAGTCATACCAGAAGCCAGGTACGCGAGGCCGGTGCCAAGAGTATCCAAGAGGAAGCCCTCGAAGGGATGGTTGTACAGAGCTCCATAAGCATAGGGCACATAAAGGCGGTGATGGCGGGAGTGGAAGGTTGCTAGTATGGTCAGATTTGTGGTTCAATTAATCGTGCACGGATGGGATGATCAACGTACCATACAACCACTTGTTCTGGTGCATCGCGCGATGCAGGCAGTACTGCCAGGTATCCACCACCAACATGGCGAACAAGAATTGCAGTGCGGGAATGGCGAACGAGTACAGAATTCTCGCAGTGCGCAGCTCCCAGGGCGCAAAAGCAGGGGCCAGAGTGTGTTGGCCGGCAACCGTTGCCATCTTGACCAGCCACGGATAATTTCCTCCGGAGAGCGCAGCAGCAAGCATTGGCTGCGTGGCCGATAATTTTGTCGCCAATGCGCCCGAGTTGAGTCCAATCGATGCCAGAAGAGGGGGAATCGCTCGTTGGGCTAGTCGGATCTTCTGTGCGTACCAGGCCACATCATACTCCTCCTTGCCGCACATGGGCTCCTCGTCGATCAGCGCCAGTATGAATCCAAAGAGAGTCTGAATTATCTGCTGGATTACGACGTCGCGAAACACTTCCCACCGCGTTACGTGGTTGCGCTTCAAAACTTCGGCCGGGGTGTGGAGACGGTACTGGGGGAACAAGTCGTACACATCGAAGACGTGGAAGATGAGCGACACGACCCAATAGGCCACCACGATCAGCAAAAGCACCAGGTAGCTGTCGGGCAACCAGGATACCAGCGGTGGTAGCGGGCGAAGGGTGTAGTCAGGGAGCGGCGGCAACTCATGCGAGATATTCGCGGTGGCCATGCTGAGGGCGGCGTTGGGGTTTTGAGGACTGGGACGGACGGGCTTCAATTTGATATCAAAGAGGGAAGCAACGAAGTTCGACTTCTATAGAGGTAGCCCGGCTTGGAGGAGCTCTGGGGTGTGAGAGGGGATAGAAAAACAGGCGAAGACGAGCCCAGGTGAGTGCTGATGATGGCGCCGGATAGCGCGGGAGAGATGAGATTAAGGAGAAGGCGCGATGCACAATGGCAGAGACAGCGGGCCGCGCAAAAGAAATAGGAGACAAGGAAAGCTCAAGGAGAGGCTCGAGTGGGCAGAGCAGCAGTGTGGTGTGAGGGTGGTGAAAGGATAAGGCGTGGGAGAAAAAGACGTGCGCGCATCATGACATGTCGCGCTCTCCTCTGTGAAGCCTCCCAGGGCTGAGTGCATACGATTTCGCCTCTTGGCCCGTGCGCATATCCTCAACGCCCTAATCCCAGAGCGGCATAGCGACTCTTCAAATTCTCGACCCCACTAACAACCCCCGACCAACTTCTCGTTGTCTTTCGAGCCCGCCCAAGAATTTCCCCAGAGCTGCTCCCTTTGACGCCCGTTTCGCTCAAGCCTCTGCTTCCGCCTCTTCCTTCACTTCTTCGCACCCTCCGTCACCATGATCATCTACAAGGTATGTCCCAAACCGTGTCATGCACTCCGCAATCTTGTGCCCCGCCCGCTCCACCAAGGCGCCACCATATTTCTTCACTTCGAAGCCCCCGCTCTACACAAGAACTAGGTGTGCTGACAAGTTCGCACAGGACATCATCACCGGCGACGAGATCATCTCCGACTCGTACAACCTGAAGGAGGTCGATGGCATTGTGTACGAGGCCGACTGCACGAGGATCACTGTCGGAAACGATAACATCGGTGCGTCCTCCGTAGCCACTGGGCCCGCAAAGGCTCTTCCCATACAAGACTGGACATTATCTGATTAAGAGTGTAGACATCGGAGCCAATCCATCGGCCGAAGAGGGTGACGAAGGTGTCGAGGACACTGCCCAGACGGTCATCGACGTTGTCCACTCATTCCGCCTGAATGAGACTTCTTTCGACAAGAAACAGTATCTCACCCATCTCAAGGGTGAGTTTGCCTTGAACATTGAACTCGCACGAACTCGGACTGATTTGCACCAGACTACATGAAGAAGGTCAAGGAACAACTGAAGGCGAAGGGCGCAGACGAGGATGAGATCAAGACGTTCGAGAAGGGTGCGTCAGCATTCGCCAAAAAGATTGTGGGCAGCTTCAAAGACTACGAATTCCTGATTGGCGAATCGATGGACCCCGATGGAATGTATGTTCTCTAGTATCTCCCCCTTGGTCATGGCTAACTTTTGCAGGGTCATTCTCCTCAACTACCGCGAGGACGGCGTCACTCCCTACGTCACTGTCTGGAAGCATGGTTTGACCGAGATGAAGGTCTGAGTGCCCAGATGGGAAGGCGCGGGCGGAGGTGAAGGGGCTGGATTCTTTGATTTTACGACCTTGAATGCAGGAATGGATATCCGACAACGTCACACCCTCAAAAAATCTAGAACATCATATCCTAGCGTTTTTCGTGTGAGCCATGGATACGTTTGCTTCGTCCTCTCTCCCGAGGTAGTCCGCACAGTCCATTTGGGTTCGTAATAGCATCAATTACAATGCGCAATACAGGTGATGTTCTATATTTGGCAGGATGCCAAGAGGGGAGACTTTAGATCCGAACCATGAGATTCACTGCAATCACGCCCACATGGCTCACCGTGCTTATTGCGGTGAATTGTTGTGCCACGTGAATGCGCGCCGCCGTGTTCTACCAAGTGCACGGACCCCAGCACTAACCTGACATTCCAGCCTGAGGCATCGCCCGTGCTGTCAGCCTTTCTCACCTCAAACTTTCCCCTCACCGTTCTTCATTAATATATATTATCAATTCTGGCACCTGATTAATGCTCAGTCTGTCTCGCGCTATTTTGGAATTACAATTGTTGCCCAGCTCGTTGAACAGAAGCGGGTATGCACAGAACCCCTCGCCTGACACTTCCAGAGGACGGGAACCATGGGCCAGTACCACGCCCAAGAACTCCCCACCAGCCTTCCCCTGGGTCCACACTGGAGACCATCATCAATTCGCTAGAAACGAAATATAGGCTGGGCCTATCGAATCGTGGCGAGACATGGTCCCCCAGCAAAAAAACCAATTCCGGGGCCGATAAGGTGTACGGCAAGATCAAGTTCTGCTTCTTTTCGTTTCCAGGCGCACTTGATCAGATATTAGATAAGTTCGAGTCACAGGCGCCACACCCTACCAATCCAGGAGAAAGGCTTCAGCGGCTCAACAAGCTTCTAAACGAGCAAATACCGTCACCACGGACTGGCTCTCAAACTCCTCGTGGCAAGCCTCACACACCCCTCTGTTCACCTCTCTGTAAGTGTAGGATTTGGTGATCTTCGCACTCCTCAATTTCCGTACCTCGTCTATCGTACTTGATGGTCTATTCTTGTTCTTTCCTGGTCCTCCGGCCAACATTAGCTTTTTCGATTTCGTTAATTGTCCGATTTGTCGGCTCAATTTCCTCAATCCTCCGCTTCGAGACCTAGGGTTATACCACGACATATATCTAGTTAGGCTAACTCTCGATAGCCAACCAACTACCTCAAGCGTCACATCCATCGCCCCTCTTTCAACACGCAGAGCCTGAGTCAGAATACGTCACAGCACCCCAAAGCGGCTCAGCAACGGATGAAGACGAAGATGATTTTGAAACGCCACCGTCCCCAATTACCGAGTCTAAAGCTGCACAACGTCGGATTCAAGCCAGCCCTCGAGTATCATCAAGCTCGGCCATGAATAAACGGCCGTCGGACAGCTCTAAAGATGGTGAGAGTTCCCCCAAATTCTCAAGGACTTCAAGAGGCAAACAGCCTCACGGTCAACCACTATCTCCAGTAGACCGCCGACTCCATGGTTCTTCATCCAATGGCGTATTTAAGAAACCATCCATCGAATTGTTGCGGTCATTCCAGTCGACCGCCCCGTCAGCAACAACCTCATTTGGGTTTTCTCAGCAATCTGCTACGCAACCTGACACAGCAAATACCTCCTTTGCGTCAGAGGCTGCTGGTAACGATAGTACATATCAAAAGTTGACGAGGGCGAGCCCAACAACCATGGGATCCCTAGGCGACCAAGAGTTGGTGGCAGGGTCGTCGAAGCCTGTGATAGAAGATCAAGCACAATCTATAGAAGCCACAAGACAGAGCTCTTCGTATGGATCTGTAGATGTGGATGAGCTCGTCACTACGTCCATGAGCTGTGAAGAATATGAGACAATCAGAAACCCATCTGCCCGCCGGATGTCTGGCTTGTTTCCGACTGAATCCTTTGTGTATTCGGAAAAAACCTCGAGTTTACATCAGTCCCCAGTCCGACTGAGTCATTACATTCGGGACATACCCCACCAGCATCTTTTCGTGGAAGACGCAACGGAAGACCTGAAGCGTTTGCCATACTTCATACTGTTCATTTGCCTCCGAATTACCCAAGAAAATAGCATTTCTTTACAAGATTTAACACGTCATATTGGATCAGAATATTCAGACTACGAGAACTTTTGGCATTCGGTGAAGAGTCACCCAGAATCCCTGAACGTGCGCACCCGAGACCCAATAAAAGTGTGGGAGGCACCCAAGAGGAAATTTGAGAGGTACACTTTTAAAGCACGTGTCGTGTTCAACAATCGCCGATCTGGCCCCGTCTTTAACCTGGAACTCTTGCCTCTGCTAGCAGAGAAGCCTTGCCGTTTGCAACGTGCCTTTGGCTCTGACCGCTTCTTATATCTCACCTTTCCCTCATTTGAGTCGGGGCCTAGTTCACAACGTTTCCGCGGAGCCGAAATGATCCAGATACGAGAGCAGTGGAAGTTATGGTACATGGCCGAGCATTCTTTCTTAGGTCGAAAGTGGAGGGCCTTCCATGTTGAGGACTCCAAAGTAGGGAGACGCAAAATGTCTCGCCGAGACGACGAAGACAGCTACGGGAAGCGTGTCGTTCTCTTTGCCACCGAGGGAAATGATATTGAACGTTGTAGCATCGGGACGATGATGAACTGGTTCTTCCCTTTCGCAGGTGATCAGAATCAGAAGCAAAGCTTCTGTAAAGCATATGCTCGCTTAGACCTAGCGCTATCAAAAACAGAACCAACGCTGGTTTTTGAGCCTGCCCAGGTTCGTTATATATCCGACCAGGTAGCCGACGGCAGCCCTGAGGACTCAAGGTTCAACGATCCTGCTCTTGTGTGGGAAAAATGCACAGAAAAGCCCGTCATGAATGACGGTTGCTCCCAGATCTCTGTTGGCGCTGCACATGCGATCTGGAAAATTTACAAAAAGAGAAACGGTATTAATGGGCCTTTACCAAGCACATTTCAAGGACGGATTGGAGGCGCTAAGGGTGTGTGGATGATCAGCGCGGAATCGTACACCAAAGATCCTGATCATCTTGATATATGGATACAAATCAACGACAGCCAGTTGAAGTTTATACCTCACGCTGATGATTGGTTTTTCGAATCATACAATCAGTTACGACTCACCTTTGAGTTAGTCAACTTCAGCTCCCCTCCAACACCTTCCGATCTGCATATCTCCTTCATCCCGATAATGGTGGATAGAGGTGTACCAATAGGTGTAATTGCAAAGCTTACAGAATCGCGGCTTAGTTTTGAGAGGGAACAGCTCTTGGAGATACTTTCCGATCCAGTCAGGGTGTATGATTGGGTCCATAAACAAGGCGGCTCAGGACTTCGTGACGTCGACACCATCAGATGGCAGGCGTCCTTACCGCAATCGTTAGACGAAAAAGTCAAGTTTCTACTCCAGAGCGGATTTTCCCCAATTGAGTCTTCTTATCTCTCAAAATGTCTGCTAAGGTTCATCGAGAGACGACAACTTCAAAGAGAGAAGAAGCTCCGGATACCTCTGGGGAAGACAACATATCTCTTCGGCATTGCGGATCCTCTCGGTGTACTCTCTCCGGGCGAGGTCCATGTTCAGTTCTCAGCTACGTTCACAGATGAATCCACAGACGAAAGTTACCTTCGCCTCGACAACATGGACGTCTTAGCGGCCAGGCAGCCCGCCTGTCGACGGTCCGATATCCAGAAGGTTCGTGCCGTTGTCCACTCTAAATTGACACATCTTGTCGATGTCGTGGTATTTCCGACTAGAGGCCAATATCCGCTGGCTGGTAAACTACAAGGTGGTGACTATGACGGGGACATGTTCTGGCTCTGTTGGGACCCCGCCCTTGTGGTGCAATTCAAAAACGCTCCAGCTCCATTGAAAGCTCTAGAGTCGGCTAAGTACGGTATTAAGACCGATCAAAGGAAGTTGTCTCAAATTATGAATGTGCACGAGCCGTCCACGGTGGACAACTTACTCAAAGAAGTTTTGGAATTTCGCACTAGTCGTGATCTCCTTGGTATCGTCACCAACTACCTTGAGAAACAGGCTTATGCAGAGAATCGGGTATATTCAGGAACCCTTGACAGCCTGTGCGACATTCATGACCTACTCGTTGACGCCCCGAAACAAGGGTATAGATTCAACGAAAAGGAATTTCGAGAATTTACAAAAAGATTTGGCTTGCCCGCAAATCCGGAGTTGCCTATTTATAAGGCGGCCATGGAGAAGTGCGAACAGGGGCTGGAAATGGGAGAGGTAGACAGTGCAAGAAATCAGCAGTGGCTATTCAACCGCAACAACGTGCTCGACTACCTATATTTCGAGGTCGTACGCAAGCACAACAACAAAACCTTAAACCTTGTAAGAGATAAACTTTCCAATGCCCAGAAAAATGATGAGGTATTACAGTATCCCTACCTCTGGCTTCGAGAGAAACATATACCCATCATTGACCAAGAGCTGGATGTATTGGTACGGAGCATAGAGGGTAATTTCCGGCAATGGAATGGTAGAATGCACCACGACCTTACCTCGAACCAGTATAACGATGCCGTTGACGAATGCTTTAAGAAGTTCCTAGCAATCATGCCAACAAATATCCGGGATCCAGAGATTCAGCCATGGTTAGAGCCATATTTATATAAAGACTTCACCCTGTGGGAAACAATTCGGGCATCTGCATTATATGCGACATATCCATATCCTGAAAAGGCGCCTTTCGTCTTTCACATGGCCGGAAAACAACTTGCAAAGCTAAAGGCTGATCCACTTCCTGGAACTAGGTCTGTTACCTTGTCTATCCTTATCAACATGAAGCCGAAACCGATCCGAGTACCAGTTCAACTGGAAGACAGCAACAGTGAGGACGACTTCGAAACGGCCAATCAAGACGAGGTTTGACTTAGTATGTCTGTTATCTAAACTTGAGATGATTTCTTCAGAGCTCAGTTGACCGGGGACATTCGAACCCAATGCTTTCTTAGAACCTATCAAGAATTTAACCAACCGACGGAAAGGAACGGGAGGTCATCATACTCCGAGTCAATCATTTGCAACCGAAAACCCGTACGGCGATCGAAACAGCCTTCGTTACGACTTGGACCTCAATAATTTGAACCAAGAGATGATTACACTCAGAGACGATCAATCGCGGCCCAGCCATGATCACAGCAATCGGTGCAGGTTACCGTCAATAATTCGACTTCAGGATCGAATTTCTCTCCAATCACCCAAGAACCTGGAACTCCCAGTTAATTTTTGTTACATCACTCGTTCCTTCATAGAAACTACTTTGATTCTATGCAGATCCCTATCTCTATGGGAGAACATGGCTTCAAAGACGGAATTGGAAGAAGACCGGTCACATACTGAATATGACATATTTGCACAATTCAGCCGCCCACGCTTCACATGTTCATGATCTTCAACACTGGATATTTAGTGGTTGGGGATCTAGCAATGGCATTTCCATGTTACCTTACCTTTCCAAAAAGCTATCTCTACGTTGCCTTTTCATTTCTACAAGGTGGATGCCCCTTCAATCATATCCTTTCCCTACCATCTGTTCTATCCTATTTCTATATTGTCTCCGGGTTTGGGAGATTTTCCTTGGATAAATGCAGGCCTCTCTAGATTACTGGAATGGTACTGTACATTTGCAATTTCAATGTTTCCCGAGCCATGCGGCTTTCATATATTTGCAGCCGAAGCGAATGACGCGGCCTTTTCGAGTAATGTTACCGTGTGGTGCAACAGGTAAGATACAATGCGCTGTAATCGTTGATTGAGGTTGAATCGGGGGATGTTGAAGTGAATGGGAATGTGAGGTTGATGGGTGAGCATCAGGCGAGGGGACCAAATATGGATTGGGACAGATTTATCTCCTGCGGGGTAGTTGCATGGCACTTTCAACCTCACGTTAACGTTACATAGAGAACACATACACATATCCGCTGCGACATCTGGATTCCCCTAAAGCTTTTATATCACAGCTTCTGCCGTCCATGTATCTTCAATTGCATCCTCACAACCTCAACTTCTCATACTCAACACACTGAACTCAACTCCACCACCCACAATGGCCACTGTAGTCGAAACCCCCACCGCCCCACCCACCACAAACAACGGGCACACAGCCAACATGACCGCCAAACACCCTAACCCCTACCAAGAAGCCCTCAAATCCCTCGAACGCGACGGCTTCGTCGTCCTCCCAGCGTCCCTCTTCCCCTCCTTCGACCTCGACACCCTGCGCTCCGCCGCCGCTCGTCTCACAGCTGCCGCGCGCGCCGGCAACTGGCCCTACATCCGCACCTTACCCAAGCAATTCCCGCCCTGGACCTCCGACGCTAGTAACGGCATCTGGGGCGTTCAGCACCTCTTGCACCCCTCAAACCCCGATCACCTCATCTTCGCGAGAAGCTACTTCGACGCCGAGCTCCTCGAATATGTGCGCGTGTTAATCGGCTGCGAGGAAGATGAATTGACAATGGAGTTGTATAACATGCTAGTGAGACCTGAGCGTGCGTTCTCCCTCCGTTGGCACCGCGACGATATACCGGCCACTGCTACATCTGAGGAAGAAATGGACAGGCTGAGGAAACCGGGGTGGCATGCACAGTGGAATCTCCCACTATACGACGATGCGAGTTTGATTGTAATCCCTGGATCGCACAAACGCGCGCGTACAGAAATTGAACGGAATGCGGATCCTTATGCACCCGAATTACCAGGGCAACTTGTAGTGAAGTTGAAAGCAGGAGAGGTGGTGTTTTATAATAATAATATCCTGCATCGGGGGGTTTATGATCCGACCAAGGAGCGCATGACTTTGCATGGGAGTATTGGGAGCAGTAAGGGGAGTGCCGAACGTGCGAGGAACGTCTTGCAGCATGGTGTGGGGGAGTGGGTGGAGGGGTATGATTTTAAGGATTTTGAGCCTGAGGTTGCGGAACGTGCGATTCAAATGAGGACGAGGTTGGTGGAGATGGGGGTGGGACGTGGGGATGTCGGGTTTTATTCTAAGGATGAGTAGATGGATGGAGGTGGTTGTTATACCCACTAGGCTTTTGGACTAGGGCTTGTGAGATAGGAGGTGGTGTATGCTTTTTCTGTGTATATATTGGATTGGCTTGGCTTGAGGAGGAGTTTGGAGAATACAGTTTGCACTTCATTTTGTATATTCTGAGCTCACGTATAAGGCATTTATGGGATTTGCAAGTACTTGACTTATTCATAGTGGCCGCTTTCGTCCTTAATATAACCAAACCAAATGGTCAGCTCCACAATCTAAAGCTTTCTGTGCTCTGTGGCGTTGTCTCCAAAAGCTACCGGGTTGCCACAAAGGGTAAACAGAGTCAGCCTTGGGCAAACGATATCAATGACTAGATCCCAAGAAATGGTCGATCAGAGTTGAGGATGGCCATGCATGTACTATAATATTGCGTGGGTGTAGTCGGGGTGTATGATGGGGTCGGAAGGAAATGAGTACATAGATGGATTGGTGGCATAAACGTAGAGAGGTCGTAATTTGATGGATTTAGATGTTCGTGGAGACTAATAAGGTTGCAACGACAGAGATGGGATGAGCATGGAATAAAGATATTCAAAGTGAATGTACGAGGGGGTTGATTTGGACAGAATGAGTTTGCAGGAGATGAATAAGGAGGAGACACGGTGAGAGAAGGATACCCTGTGAGTCGGACGGTTATGAGATTAGGCTCCCAAGTGATGAATTCATCCACAATGAAGAGACTTTAGTCCCTACAATAAAGGGTTCCGAACTAAGACATTGACAACTGCGAATAACAAAATGTAAATCGCAAGATGGTTCAACACTTGCAGCAGCATGAGTAGTTGTATGGCCAATTGATAGTATTTTTGATGTAACGCCACTTTTGAGACATTTCACAGCTACTGTTTCTCGCTATTGGAGCCGGATTTGCTCGAATGATGCATAGTGGTAGCCATGAGCCCTGTCTTTGCATATCTCGAAGGCTGTTGGGAGCTGAAGACAGGGGTATGAAAGAATGATTTCCGTCTCTTTTGGCTCTAACTGGGTGGTAAAGGCTTTAACAAATGCAACCCAGTGGCAAATGACAATTCCCCGCGAATTGAAACAAAGTGATTTGTGGACCGAGAATCTGAGCTGACAGTTGAGATGCATCCGGATGCGCCGTCGTGTCGCACCCAGACTGTGAGAGTAGAAGTCGAGGTGGGTCCAAAAAAAACCAGCTACAGATATGCCGGACAAAGCTGACAGCTGAGTCTGTCAGACCTCTTGGAGGTCTCGAGGGTTTGGATTCCTTTTCTGAGCAGATGAAACAAGTGTTCTGCAGTCAGCGCCTGTCGACTGGTAGTGTTAAGATATCCAGTGTAAGCGAGGAAGTCTGAAGTACCAAAACCCACTCAAGTGAGACCACGATGTGCCCAAAGGGATGTTGGGCAGCGTGGCAGATGGCGCAATTGGGATGCGCTGGAGTAAGATGTCATGGACAAAGGAAGCGGTGACACATGAAGATCCATCTTGACCTGATTTTATGTCCTGCTCTCATCATGTTAAGCGAGGTCTCCGTCGGAGCCCTGCGGTGTTAATTAAGATCGCTAGTAGCCTACTACGTAAATGTGGAATTAATTCATATAACAAAGTTGCGCACAAAGGGCTAAGGGCTAAGCGTTGCAGTAGGTTAAAGAGTACTTACCCTGCGTGTCCCTAACGGTGCCCTCCGGTGCCCTCCGTTGCCCTCATAGTCTATCTCCACAGTGGGGGTTCCAGCAATCACAATGGCGTTGAATTCTCCGGGCGGCATTGTACCCAACTGGAAAGTGTCTACGGACGGCTGTGTTTGCACAAATTACTGGCGTGGCGGCTGGGAATGATTGTTTAAGGCCAGGCCGGCACTAAAGACAACCCGCCAGAATGAGGGAAATTGTCCATCAATGGAGCGGAGTCGTGGAGAAGATGGTAACAGTAGTAAGATCGGTGGTTGGTGTTGAGAGGTAGGCAAGTCACGCCAGCGACCCAAGGCTGCGGTGCTTGAAATGCTGTTTTATTCCGAGATCCGGCAAGGACTGACCAGGTAACTACACGAGGAAAGGCTTGTCGATTATTTTACCAATCGGAATAAGTGCTGGGGGGCCGGTAAGGGAAAAGTTCCAAGAGTCGAAGTGGGCTTTGAGATCTGTATGACGTGTGACGGGAAAGCCCAGAGGGTCTTGAAACACTGGTCTTGCCGGCCCCAGACGATAATTGGGCCGTTTGGGAAGAGGCCACTTTCTGTTTGGCTCTGGAGCCAATCCTTCTAGGACACGACTTTCACAAGTGTTTCGAAACAGAAGTTGGGAGAAACTGTTGAGATCGCGATGGGACGGAAGAGTGACATGGGTGAATAAAAACACCGAATTTCGTCATACTTGTCAATGGCATAGACAAGAGTTGAACAATAAGCAAGGGAATATTCGTACCCTAAAGCTCTCAAGTAGATAGGTGAATGGATTTTGGTTCAAGCGCAAGGCTTTGACACCCGACACGCTGCCGCTTCTGTCTAGCAATGTGGGACTCAGAAATGTTGGGGGTTGGTTGTATATTGTGGGGTGTCGAAGATGGCGGAATTATATTGATTTGGTAAGCTGGTGCGCTGGTCGTGGTCTTTTCGTGAAGCTGGTGGTGTTGTGGACGCGTCAGTTTTGCGGAGTTGATGACGGTTTCCCGAAGTTGACGGGCCAATCTCTGACAACTCATCCTTGTTGCTTCTTCAACACGCCTTAGCCCTAAGACAACAAGAAACTAGCGGTCTGCTTTCGGCCAGTCAAGATATAGAAGCATGACAAGTCGAGGATAGATGCACCTCACGTAGCAGCATCACGTTCAGCTTGGTGAAATAAATCCACTAGGAGCACACATCGGCATGAAGGTAGCCGGGCTTGGGACGTGCAACACCGATGATCGGCTGGGTGGGGAGGGTGTTGGCGGCTTGCCCAGAGATCCTAGCCTTGAGCGTTAAGCTAAATTGGCGGAGCAAAGCGCTTCAGACATTGAGGTGTAGCGAGCGGCTTCGTGTCGATGAGGTTCGCAGCGATCTGGAACAGGCGCAGGGAAATCTGCAACGAGCGAGGTGTGCTCTGAGGCGTCAAGGCGTGACGAGATTCCAGAATGGACAGGGGTGTTTGAACTCTCTTTTCCAGTGACCGAAGACAGGGAAGACAGATCAGCAGTTCCCAGTTGCCCGGAGGGTTTTCCCTGTGCGCTGTTCCACAGGATTGGTGCGCGGAAAAGAAAGTCACAGACGGCGTGCTGGGTGGAACCTCAGGAGAAAATCCAGCGTGCAAAAGCAACGGTTGTGGCCGACGCATGCAAGGAGGGAGAACCCGCTATGCTGCGTTGTCAGGCAGGAGGAGGGCCTACAAGCAGTCTGGACCGAAGGGTGACAATGGTGACAATGGTGACAATGGTACCTCTGTATACACAGTGCCAGAGGAAGGAGCGACCGTGAACAGAGAAAGAACGACTCTGATGTTAAGCTTCGAGATATCTAAATAGGAAGCTTTGAATGATCTGCAAAAACCAAGCCACTGATTGGCTAGAATTGTTCAAAAAGGAGACGGAACGGGATGCGTTGCTGCCACACAAGCCAAACACTCGCGTCATTCGGGGCCCATCTGCAGGAAAAAGCGGGGATTGGGGAAGTAATTGGTGCGATGGCTCCCAGCGAAGATGTCCACGATCAACACGTCTATAATTAAGAACACTGATAGCCATGGTCCTTCATCGACTTCAGCATCAGCAGCTCCCGGCCAACGACACATCTCGCAATTTGTGAGAGATGTGTTGTTCATCAGACGTCAAACGGATGGCTTGCCTCCTGTCGTTTCGCCTTCAGGGCCGCCCGCGCCGCCGTTCTGGAGATCAGTGACCCTGGAGAGATCTTGCTAGACACCTCCGAGGCTCGAGAGATCGCCTCGCGGAGCCGCTCCGCATACTAGATGACAATCCTCGCAGCGAACCTGCAGAGGCACTGTCCAGATGTCCTCACGAAAGGCTCGTCCTGTGCCACGCACTGCAGCGAGAGCGGGGAAAAGGCACATGTCGGTGAGCGCGGGAAGCTTCACGAGCATGATCATTGACCCTGGGTCCCTTATCGCGGCATGGACGCGGCACCACATTCTAGGGTACCATCTCAGGCCACGCTCATCGTGCGCTGCATCTCCTTCACAATGCTACACCTCCACTCCACTGCCCTCCACAACTGCTGCAAACTCTCAGCCGCAGTTGCCGACTCCTGCGTGAACTCCACTTCCAGTAGTGCTTCAACGTGACCGCCGTGCATAGCATCGTACTTGTCCCTTGGCCCCCCCCTCCCCCCCCCCCCCAAAGTTGCGCCCCGCCCCTCGTATTTCCTGGGCCAAACGCGTTGAAATGAGCATCTTTTCGCGCTGCCGGCCCTCGCTTCTCACCCACAGTTTTGGGCGCAAGCAGACGAAGGCGTTAGCGACCAGAAATTGCAGACGCCGTTTTTGTTCTGAAGGCTCCGGAATGCGCGTGAGCGTTTGTATCGCCTTCGGAATCTGCTCGCTGCCCCAAACCCGTCGTCGTCGTCGTCCGGAATGAGCGACAATTGCCCATCAGCAGTGGCCGACCGCGGCCCATGGCCAGCGTGAACAGACTGCCGTGTTCCATTGCTATGCATCATCGTGTCCTCCGCATGGCAACGAGACGGAGGCACAAACTGATGTATCTGCAACGGGCGAGTAGAGCCCACGGCGATATTAGGTGCCGGCGGGGGATTGCTCGGGTTGCTAATATCAAACGGCCCAGTACGGCACCCTATAGGCCCGAATAGAGTATTGGGATAGAGAGGGAGCGATGCAGCTGGGAGAAGCTGGGGCTTTATGCTATCCTACTGCGATCTGGGCGTGGAGTATCAAACGTCGACCCCAAATGCCACTTACCCGCAGCTTCGCGCTCGCTCCCCTATGCTGCATCGGGAAAAGAATAGGCCAGCGCATTGCGAGAGCCATTGCTGGAGCGTACAATGCGTGAAAGTCGGTCAGGCAGCTCGCAAGACAGTTGAATGTAATGATTGTTGCAAGACGCCGCCGAGCGTGGAGACGACCTGCACTGGTCCACGCTCGCGGCGCAACAGGAGCAGAAGCAGCAGGCAGTCCGTGCACCCTAGCCGCTTTTTGGACACCCCGTCCCTCTCAGGAGTCGTCTTCATCCAACTCTCCCACCGCCGCCGCCCACCTCACCTCCCTCTCTATTCTTTCCTTGTTGCTTGCACTTCTTGAGTACCCCGTCGTCCCCAGCGCCCTTCGTCGACATTGACGCCCATCGCTCGTCCAATGCTGGCTTGACCGTCCGCACGGGAGGCTTGGTACACGCTGCCAGCTCCGTCGATTTCACGACAGCCTCTCTAGACTCCAGTGCTACCGACGACTTTGTTGCATTCTACCCGCCTGTTTTAATAGACTCTCTGTTTTTTCCTTTGTTATTCCGTAGCCTTCACTTAATAGCCAATCCGACCACTTCGGCCTGGTGAAAGGGGTACGTCGTCAACAAATCTCCATCGCCCGCCCCGACTTTCACTGTTTGGCCTGCCGCGCCCTCATCACGCCAACGAGCCATCGCCATCATCCAACGCCCTTGTCTTTACCTGCCGACGAACCCTCTGCTAACGACATTGCTGCCTGCAGATAACCACCGCCTCGCTGCGGTTGCTGTCCACGCCAAAGACGTCCTCGCGTCGACCCACGATCGAGCACCTGACCACCAGCCTGTAGAGGGTCCCGATGGCTCAGGTACTCGCGCCAATCGCTCAGACTACCGGCTCTATTACGATGCTGCATTCTTCTTCCGATGGCTTCCAACACCCCCAGGCACAACAGCCCCATCATCCACAACCACGATCCAACCAGATGCCGCGGAGCCAGCTATACAACACGCAAAATGGGGCTGTAGGATATCGGAGCACGTCTTCGGCGCCCATTGCACCATATGCCTTCTCCAGCACGCCCCAGCTGCGGCAAGAAAACCGAGCGTCTTCAGCCCCTAGTCCATACACCCAACAACAGGCGGTGCAGCCGAGCAATGCTGCAAGGCTTGGCCATCCGTCCCACCCGTCGTCTTCATCAGACTCTACTGTGTCGACATCCGGCTCATCCAGCCGCTCCATGGCAGGACAGCCAATGGCTTCAAAAGATGACATGGCGTTGGCTTCCGACGCGAGGAAATCGACCGCGGATAACTTTCCAGCTTCGACGGTAGCACTATCCACCTCCGTTCCTGACCTCACTCTATCCGCTCTAGACGCCCCTGTCAAGCCTTCTCCAGATCGCTATCGTCGGGGTGCTCGCCGAAACGAGTCTTCCAACGGAGCGACGGCGTCTTCGTCCACCCCCACCCCTACTCAACAGTCACCCTCCATCGGGGCGACCCCGCAATCAGCAGCTTTGAAGATAAGCAGCGTGCCAGCGTTAACGGCTCCCGAATTGCAGGCTCCATATCGGCCAGGTCACAATCGGGCTAATAGCGCCGATGACATGCAGCTACCACGACAAGGCCCAATCGACCAAGCTAAGCGTTATAGGAGGCGAAGTCTGAGTGGCTTTGAGGCCAGCTCAGTACCAAAGACAGGACCGGTGACCCCTATTTCAAGTGCTCCTATCACTTCTTCAACCAAACGACCAGCTCAGGATGTCAGACCGGCATCCAGCTCAAGTCGCCATGGGAGCCGACCCAGCTCTAGTCACGAGAGACAAGGCAGTGCAGGAAGCGTCTCTTCAAACACTTCCCGACCTTCGGTATGCTCACTCTAATTGGCCTTGTATGTGGGGACGCACTAACCGGTACACAGTCTCGACAAGATGCCACCTCTCTCCGCGCCTCTGGAATGAGCCCTGTCCTCCCCCCCTCAAGAAGCTCGAATGAACCTCCTCGGAGGACTGTTGCTCCCTCGCCTCTCTCAAAGCCTCTCTCACCTTCTGAACCTCCTAGCCCCGCGAAGAAGGCCGTGCAGCCGACTGCAGGCCCACCGAGTCCGGCCATGCAGCAGCTGAGCGTGATAAACGATAAGGAGTCGGGCAAGGGCATGAAATCGCGCTTGCGACGCGCGTTTTCTTTTGGTAGTGCAGCAGAGCTCCGTCGGGCTTCTGCTGAGAACAATATGTCTGCCGAGCGTGCAAAATTGCGAAAGGACAAATACCAAAACCAAAACGAACAGGATGTTGAGAATGATGCCATTATTGCGAAGCAAGAAGCGGCTGGAATTGGGGCTGGCATCTACTCTGGACAAGGAGGGTTCTCTGGATCTACCGACAATTTGTCTATTTCGTCGACGGCTTCCTCGGCTTCGATTATGCTTCGAAAGATGGGTAGTGGCATGAAGAGGGGTACAAGATCTATCAAAGGTCTTTTCAGGCCAAAGTCTGTCATTGGGGTTCCTGCCGCAGACACTGCTGTTACACAGGCAAGTGTAGGTCAGGTCTCCATGGTCACCGTGGAAGCAGAAAGGCAGAAGGTCAATGTCAATGCCGACCCCCATGATCAAGTCGGCGGCGGAACTGGTTACCCAAGGCTAGAACGCAACTCTCTCGATGCAGTTCGAACTGCCAGTGATGTCGATGGTTTACCTAACCTCTCAACAACCGAGTCGTCAAGGAAGAGCATCGTTGGTGGGGACCGAGAGCGTGCGGAAGTTCTTTCTTCCATGAAGAAAGGCATTTTGAAACGTGAGTTACAGAAACTCACCTTGTGGTTGTCGCTAACATCTTCTTAGGTACTGGTACGAGCTCGGGCTCCTCTTCGCCCGTCGTTAAACCCACGGACATCCTGCATCCCAATGATTCGCCCAAGTCTAGCGCTCCAAGCACCCCGAACGATGAGCACGCGCGTCCAGTTCATGTTCACATCAATGGAGAGGATTATTTTGGCCGGACTCCCCGTCTTCCGAACAACAGTACAAGGAGTCTTCCTAATACACCACACGGGTCTAGGAACATCAGCTTCAGCCCCCGCCTCCAATTCCACGACGCATGGTCAAGCGCTGAATATGATCGTCGCGGAGATATTGCCACGTGCAATAGGCTTACCCCTATGCTTGCACAACAGATCAAGGAAGAGCTCAATTCCTTCAAAATGGCAAGTGACCTCTTGGAGCTGCCATAGCGCACGTCACTAACACTTTCCAGGAAATGGAAGTACACGAGATGTCAAAACCACACACCCATTTCTTCTAATGATTATGCATCCACATATGGACATTATGGCGTCTTGGCGAATAACTTTTCAACTTCAATTGGGTTTGGTTTGGAGCAAACAGCATTCATGAGTTGACCCTAGCTCTGTTCCATTTCTGGTTACGACGGACTTATCTCCATGTCTTTCGGGAACTGCAAGCGAACCACGGGGCATTTCATCTGTCTTCAATAGCGAGCATATCAGCCAGATAGTGAGGAGCTTACTTGCGAGTGAGCAAGCGAAGTTGTGTCGGCAGGGAAAAAGCAAGCAGGTGGCACACGCTAGGGGTTTAAGTTTCCTTGCCTTCACTGTCTCTATCTGTCCTCCTTTAGCACATGTGTCTTTAGGATTTCCATCTCTCATTGTCTGTTTCGTGCACATGGTGTGGTATGGCTTTCTCTTTATCTCTCTTCTCGATCTTTCTTTTTTATGTTTTCTCTATCGTGGTGCACCGTAGAGAAAAATGCGGGAGGACAAGGCTGGCTTCAGTGTCCTCTTGGGGTTTGCTTGCTTTATTGAAGGAGGCCCCGTCTTAATTAAGCCAATGATTGGAAAGAAAGCTCTTCTTCCAAGATTGGATGTCCGATGCGCAGTTTTGTGGCCAAGTTTGTTGATGTCGTGCGCACTGAGAGTTTTCGGGCCGTTATCTTTTTCGAGGCGGTCAGGGAAGAGGAAGGGTCGGACATGGAGATTTAGTCCAACCAACCAGATTCCTAAGCACCTCCACACCTTCTCTGTGCCATTGACGTGACCTGCTGTTGTGAAGAAGTGTTCCTTCGTGCTTGAACGACGGTCCATGCTTCCATTGACCAAGTGAGGACATTCCTCCGCCTTAGGCGTGCTGTTGACATATAATCCTTTGTCAATCACATAAAAATCCCTTGCCGATCGCATAAGGCTCTCGCTCGAGGACCCTGATGGCGGTGACACAAGAACCGTGCCCGTTTCCAAGTATTTTCCGCGCCGTCTCCTTGCCTTCCATTTATGGAACTCTTCGATGCGGACCGGGGTTGTACCGTTATTGATTCTGAAGTCTTTGGAGACGATCCTCCGGAATCAAGGTGTGCCCCATGACCATAGTCCATGCATCCCATCATGCTTGGCAAGATAGCGGGAGCGCGCGGGAAGAGCGAATATCTCCATCCGAATTGGTGTCATGGGAGTGGATCGCGAGGCGAAACTGGAGTGAGGGGATAGCCGCACGTGTACTCAACCTGGGATTTTCTGAGACCCAAGATGTGATTACGAAAGTCTCCAGGGGCGCCTACTAAGCTCCGCGAGTAGACCGCAATCTGAATTCGCTGGGCAAGCATGGATCATAGGTTGAGTTGGTAGCTAGATCACGTGCCCCGGCTCGCTTGGAGTAGTGTGCCAAGGCTTGATCTCCGCACTTGAATTTCTCATTTGCGAGTTGAACGTCAGGTAACGCCATCTTTGACGACAACACCCACATTCATCACAATGGTATGTAAATTGCATCCTAAGGGCGAAGTAAGAGGAGGTTTGGGAGAGGCTAATAAGAAACAGGCACCCGCAGCAACCGGCGGCAAGAAGCAGAAGAAGAAGTGGTCGAAGGGAAAGGGTACGTGAACCATGAATTTTACAACGACGGACTCAGTACACCTCGCAAAATTCCTTTCGCCGAATTTCGCCCACTATATCTTTGGCGTCCATCTTTCTCGCTCTCCCTGTGGTCCTTCTGAGCTCTCAAATTCCAGCGCGTCCAACCAAGAGTGCCACCACTGACAACCCTCACAGTTAAGGACAAGGCCAACCATGCTGTCGTCCTCGATAAGCAGACCTCAGACAAGCTCCAGAAGGATGTCCAATCCTACCGCCTGATCACCGTCGCTACCCTCGTCGACCGTCTGAAGATCAACGGATCGTTGGCTCGGAGAGCGCTTGCGGATTTGGAGGAGAAGGGTTTGATTAAGAAGGTTGTTGGACACTCCAAGTTGAGCATCTACAGTACGTTCTCCTTCCATGTTAATCTTTCCCGAAGTTGTAGCAATACGCCTGGGAAATGTTCTCGGAGAATGCCAGATTCCTCAATAGATCTTGGATCTGCACCGAGGAAATTATAAATCTCAGAAACCAAGCTAATGCACCCAACAGCACGAGCAGTCGGCGCCACAGACTAAACAACCTCGCATCCAAACGACAAGAAAACGAAAATTGGTGGATGCGTTCCTTCTTGGGGTTCCTGTTTTCTCTTTACCAACCTTCTTCCTCTTTCCCATTATCGGCGGCGTATCACGATGAAATAAGGTCATCATACATTTGGGCATGGCGGACATGATATGAGAGGACGAGCCCGGGGGTAGCCTCATGGGTTCAGATTATGTATCGAAATGAGAAGGCCACAAGGAATGGATCCAAGATGTGCATTAACGCCAGTTGCGGTGTCGCTTTCGTGATTGGCGTATGAGTCGTGTGAAATCATGAATAAGGTGGAGATTGTGATGAATGTCTTGATATTGACATGGTAACAACACCTTCCTAGAGGTTGTGGAGACTTTCGAGGCTCCCTCTCGTCCTCGGACTATATCTTGACTCACTGTCCATTTGACCTGCATTCTATTCTCATCTTTTCGACAATTTAAACGAATTCTCTGCACATTCAGCTTTGTGCCTTTCACGTAACACACGATCTGAAGATCCCGAGTCATTGAAAAATCATCAATTAAGCCAGGGTTTAATATTCTATCAACTACAGTTTAGAAACTAGTTTTAATAAAAAATAAGAACCAATATCAATAAACGATGAGGCTTTAACAGCCTGCCCCTGGATCTGGTAAATTCTGAGCAATTGGACTTGATACACTGCTGCAATTGTCGAAGAACGTGTCGTCTGTCCATGGCGCAACGTAAGATGAATGCAGCACAAAATCCAAAATTTCTCCGGATACTCTAGTCCGATGTATTTCAAGCTAATGAACAAGAAAAAATGTGTTTAGCACACTGGCATGCTTTAGGAGTATCAATATGCAACCCAGTTCAACAACCCCCAAACAAAGAGGACCACACTTCTCAACTCCCACCAGTCAATTAGCCCCCAATCCTCGAGCCCAAGTAGCGACTAGCTCTTTCAAAATATTCCAAGGAAGAAGAAAAAAAAAGGGAAACATACAACAGCCTGTATTCGCTGCTGGTCACCCACACAACTACTACTAGACCGGCCGCAAGCTTAGATATTCGAAAGCAGACGGGATCGCTCGGTTTCTTGCGCCTTTGGTCGTATGTGCTTGATAAGCCAAGGAGAGTGGTATATATTGCTGAGTTGGGCAGGGGACTTGGGGTGGAGGATGGGCTCGGATTCGGAATTTCGGTGCGTAGGAAGGAGCGGTGGAAAACTGGGATGTTGAATCTGTGGGGTGTGAGTGGGTGTGGGAGACTTGGTCGTGATAGTGGCTTGGGAAGAGAGGGATTGAGATTTTTTTTTTTTCAAGGATCTTGGGTTTTGGAGATTTGACGAGTTTTGGATTGGGAAATTTTGAAGTTGTATTATTGGTGAAGGGACTCCACCCTGGAGAATTTGTTGAAGGGAATTTTTTGAGATGCGCGGCTTCTTTTGAAAATATTTGGAGTTGCGTTGAATCATTTTGAAGTCTCAGGTACGTGGCGTTCTGCTAGTTTACATGTCAAGTTCGTTGTGTCTATTTCATACCTCCATCCTATCCTATATTGGCTTCGCAACTTTCTCCCATTTTTAGAACCCTCGCCATCTATTTTACCGTCAAATGCCTTCTACTCCTCCACATCTTTCCTGACAGGCCGACTCTTCTCCGCATGCTCACACAATGTCCTCTTCTCGAGTTTCTGCAGCCACCCTTTCTCCCTCACCACCTCTCCCGCCTTGAAATACGGCTTCCCCTTATCACCTCGAAACATCTGATGCCAGTGCTCAAGGCCCTCTTTGACCTGCTTCCTCGCCTTCCGCAGCTCTTGCGCATGGCGATTCTTGATCTGCGATTTTGAGAGCGGTGTGCGCCGCTTATCATGACTTCTGGCTTTCCGGTGTTGCTCAGCGGGATCATTTGGATCTGCGACTTGGGTCTCCTTTCCGGCCACTGGGTCGTAGGATTGGGCTTCCGTGTGTTTCTCGCCTGCCGTGTCGTCCAGCGGGGCGTCAACGGGCATGTACATCTGTTCCACACCCCTCAAATCCGGCGTCAAATCTTCCTGGAAACATCCTGTAAGGAAGGCGCGGGCGGCATCGCGGCCCGCGAAGAAGTGGTAGGACCCGCCGGGGCCGTATGTCTGGGGCGAGGCAGAGACATCGTATATGGTGCCGTTGAGGGCGAGGTAGATGGGTTTTTTGGGGTCGGTGCCGTCATATGCGAGGAGTTGGTCGTCGGTTAGGAAGACGCCACCTTGCTTAAAATACCGTTAGCTTTGAGGAAATCTCGTAGATTATTAGATATAAGGAGAGCTGTGCTAACCTACCCACAAAGCCTTCCACTCCCTAGCTCGAGTCCACCAAGGATTGTATCCCCATGTCATCGACTCCCCCGATGTAGATAGATAGCTCATGCCACAGCTCAGTACTAACATACCCGCCAGTATCCGTAATACATCGATCACTGAAAGGGCTGGCGCGCTATCATTGGATGCGGACTTCTCCGATTTTACGACCTCAGGGGCTGAGGAAGATGGTGTCTTCGAGGAGGCAGACGCGGTCTGGCGATACCGGGCCGCCATGGTTGGTGTGTGCGGGTGGTATGTGTAGATGGTGTGTGTAGATGGTGTGTGTAGATGGTGTGTAGATGGTGTGTGTAGATGGTGTGTGTAAATGGGGTGTGGTTTGGGTGTTTGGAAATTTGGGTCGGGTTGGGAGGAGATTGATGATGTGAACTTATGGGTAAACGTTCCTGCACATCGCCATCAACAAACCATTCCATGCTGCATAAACCGGTGAAGATTGGGCCTACCTGTCTGCTTACCGGCTTCCTTGGTCCTTCCTTGATAGCCAGCCAGCTAAAATCAACGTCCACGGGTCTAGGTCAACTCGGTAGTCAGCTCTTCAACGATTAGCGCGAAGTCTCAATTTGAACAAATTCGTTTCAAGCCTCTACTCTCTGGCCATGGTGGCCTTTGGCTTTTACAATCTGTGCACCCGGACCGCAGCCCCGCTTTGAATAGATTGATGCAGAAACCCTGGAAGACTGGCTCGGGGTTAAAGTGCCTCACACCATGTTACAGCCGCGAAGGAAACAGCTTGGCGGATGTCATTGCCACGTGTGTCAGCCACTACCACTAGCCACAGTGGAGATGATCGTCAAGCCCCCAGACTGGGAAGTTTTTGGCGACCTGTACGGGTTCAGAGCGGAATCATAGGACTCCGTTTTATTTTCTCTTTTTATGCTTAGCATGTTAACGTTTGGCAAGTCAACGAAGCTTTCAGAATCCACGCCTAGCAAGATTTGAATCGACAAGTGGATTCCATTCACCAACGGATCCTATGTCCATATAGTACAAGCACCCATAGGATCTAAAGCCCACCGTATTCGAAGTGTAAAACACGCTAGGCTCGTACATATCCAGTATATATATGTGTGTACTTTTCCAATACGCCTTAAAATGCAATGATTCCAGAACCACAAATTTTCAACGCAGTCACTCCTCCGATGTCGTCTGTGGGACATCGCGCTCAGCACGAGGAAACACTTGCTTTAAGGCTGCCTGGAAAACGCCCACGTTGTAGTCGATGACTGCTTTCTTCTCTGCTGGGCTGTCGTCACCCATCAAGCAGATCAGGGCGAGATATCTACATCAGTCAGCCCGCGTTGTTAACGATATGGATGGGGTTTGCGCACTTGTTGATCTCCCGTAGGTAGAGGTAGTTGTTGCCTTTCCTCTCCATTGTGATCAAGCTCTCCGCATCATTGTTCCCCGTCTCGGCAATCTCAGAGTGTCCATTTTCGGCCGGTCGATCCCATCCGTAAATTTCACTAACATCGATCACTACATCGATGTAGTCGGAACATATCTCATAACTGCCAATATCCGTTGGGCTTGTGTCTGTAGCGATGTATATCTTGCTCATGATGTCGAAGAGATACGCCTTCTCGATATGACAGGTACTACATAGACTGTTGAGTAGTGCCTCCAGTGTTGGAAGTTGTGGTATCAGTTTCTGAATGACTTTTGAGAAAGCCTCGAAGATTGAGTGATCGTAGATGCTCGTCTGGTAGAAGGATACGGGGGCATTTTCGTAACCATTGTCGGACAATTCATCCTGAACACGCTGGATGATGTCTCGGAACGTATCGCTTTTGTAGTCTTCAGAAAGGCCGTCCACTTTATGAACAAAGACCTCCACGTTGATGTTTGGGTACGAGTTTTGGAGATTGAGGATGGTCATGTTCAGGCGCATGATAGCTTCAAGGTATTCATCTTGAGCGTCGATGACCCAAATCAGTGCTCCGATCTCCTCAAAGATATTGTCAACATCGAAGGCCGGATCGAAATAATCAAGATGGCCAGGGAAATCCCACACTTGGAAATCCATGAAGGAGCTGTACCTCTCAGTCAGCTCTCACTTGTACTGGGAAAGGCAGCAGAGTGGACTAACTGCATGGACTCCTTCTTGATACGAGTCGTAGTCTCTATATAGAGCGTCTCGCTTGGTGGTAGTTTGTGAAAGACGACGCTGGAGATTGATGATTTGCCACTCCTGCAAGGGTTAAACAGTCAGCCAAGCAAACCTGAAGCGGGACGTACACATCACCAGCACACACCTTCTCTGGCCCATTAGTAGTAGCCGGGGTTTGCCGTCACCAGCTTTGCTATTAGGAAGTCTTCCAGTGTGATAGCGAGGAGGTACCGGGCTGGGTGGAACATCTGCATCCGGCAAGTCCTGAAGATATCGCATTAGTGTGAGTTGAGCGCCAGGTTTCAAGCGCGAAGACCCCGCCTGGGGGGCTTCGCCGTGCTCGGATAGCGGCTCGTCGGGGTGGGAACGCTGAGAATGTGCAGACAGACGGCGGTGACTCGAATCCATGATGAGGTGAGGTGAGGTAGTACAGGGTATCAACGCGCAAAGGACAAGAACCGGACGAAAAGAAGAGCAAAGAAGTCGACGGCAAGAGACGTGGGCATAAGCGCAGCAAGTAAAGAAAACAGCCTTTACTGCTCCTTCACCTGACCGACATGGCGATGGAGGAACGTGGTGACCCAGGGACGAAGATGCGAAACAGGCAACTGTGCGCTGCTATGACGTGTCTGACAGATCCAGGTGATTCGAGGAGCACACAGAGGGTAGGTAACAGGGAGACAGGTCAGGATTAGCGGCGACGAGGGAATTGGGAGGTTTCTGAGGTTCTACAAGCGTGATACATGCAGATCTCGTCGCCTCAAAGATGGCACAGGGTGGGTCAAGCCATGGCAGGCGGGCCGACGAAGGCCAGGGAAAGTAGGGCTGAAAGAAGGAGCGGACGGCGGCCAAAGGAATGCAAAAGAATAATCAGATGCTGGGTGGGAAAAAGAAAGAAGCAGATTCTCACCTCCATGGCTGGGGAGTAATAGACGTCTAAAGACGCACGGCCAGCGGTAGTGATATGCTTTGGGCCGTGAGCCCCCTTGGCCCAACCCAAAACGAACCAGGACTGTCCTGAGAAACGGGACCTGGTGGCAGCTTATTTCTGTGCGGACCCTGACAGCGCCGGTTGCTGGCGGGCGACGGAAGAGAGGAGCACAGAGGCTCGCAGCAGAAGCTCTGGGCGGGAGCAGATATGAGCAGGGATGTCCTATCCTATCTGGCTGACAGCGGCGGGATCGGCTGGGCGGCCGTGGCACGGCGCAGAAGAAGAAAACGTCTCGGTTCACGAGTCGCAGGCGCGCAGCGGGACTGCTGGGCTAGCAATGCGACAATGGGCCCATATTAATCCACAGGGAGGTGGCGGAGAGGATGTCACTGGCAGACAGTGCAGTGGATGGCGAGGGCGGAAGAGCGTGGCGGGCTTGTCGCTTAGATCTTCAGGTACGACGAGCCGCTCCGTATGCTGGAATGGAGATCCCCATCCAACAAGACATTCACCACCACGCCCAAAGTCATGATGACGCCGGTGGTGAGTGTTAGCAGCTTGTGCGACACCCGATGCGGCGAGCAGGCACCAAAGGATGTCTCCGACGCGGATCCGAGAATAATGACTCGACTTCCCTCGAAACAGCGCATGGCGCCAGAATCGTGTGCGCGCCAGGACGAATTGCTACCGGAACTGTCCGACCTGCAATCCTCGCACAGCATCAAAAAAATTTCCTCGAGTGCCCGGGGCCAGCAGGCAGGCCACATATGCGGCCACCCACCTCCTTCGCTACCTTAACCGCGACGGCATTATCAATACAGGCCAGCAGATATATCATGTCGGTGCCAATAGATGCCAGCAGCTCACGCTCAATCAAACGGCCATCCCAGGGCCGGCCCGCATAAATGCAGCGGCGCAGCGTGTGGCCAGCCAAAACACCTATCATTATCACCAGTCCTATCGTGCATAGAAAGTACTTGGGTACATGGCTAGTGAACGTTGAACCAGCATGACAGTTGATCGCCATCCGTTACCGAAGTAGTATAGTGTGCCCGCCCGCCATCGTAAGCTAGCTTAACCTCCGCTTCATCAACACCTCTCTTAATGCAAGCCTCATAATCACGAAATGCAGACAGCTTTTTCAACGCCTCCTGTGTCACACAACGACCTTCACGAGTACAATGGTGGTACATCCTGTCCATGCTTGGACTCAAGTTACTTCGTCACGTTTCTCGGTTCCGGCATCCAGGTAACAATGCAAGCGAGCCCTGCATCTAAGGCCTAGGCGGATAAATTGCAACACTACCTTCCATTTCATATCAACATCCAAGTACCGAATCTCTCGCGACCCGTCGCCAGAACGCAGTCATACTGCTACCAGACGCATGTCAGACCAACTGCCTATCTGGATGCAGTCGACTGACAAAGAAGTGCTCCAAGCCGTCCTTCGTATCATGCAAATATCTCCAAACTGTCCAATGTCCGGTGGGTGTAATGTTGCAGCACTACAATCCCATCTTTCCTCCCGTCCGATATCGAAATGAGCCGACTCTATAGACGACCGGTATTAGTATCTCAAGTCCCTCTCTCGAACGCCTCTCCAGCGCAGTGGATCCAGGTTCTACATGGGTGAGTTGAACCTGTCCGGCTTTCTAAGCTGGGCAGACTGCCCTTCTCCATCCCCAGCGTCCAGCATCGTCCTTGTTCCTAACCGCTCCCCCGAAGTTTCACCAGCTAGGCAATTCAAGGAATGGCGATTAACCTTGTTAGAGCTTTGCACTGGCCTCATTGCCACGTGCTATGGCACGAACTGACCCATTAGACACCACTAGACGCAGTCCCAGTGACCTCAGCCCCTAGAACACCAGCCCCCAGCTGTCCAAGTCCACCTATAAGAGCAAGGAATAAGGCTAGTGCTGCTGACTCTCCTCCTTGTACTACGCCTTCCGAAGTCATAGATCCGTCCGATTCTATTTGCTTGACCTCTGTAGCTGCTTGTTCGGATGGCTCATAGGAGTCTTCCATGTCTGACTCAAAATCAACTCTCGTCTTGCGCCTTGTGCTTCGCCTGAGGCTGCTCGCAGAAGATGCTGACGCCGTTCTGGTAGAGTTTGTAAGAGCTCCGTTCTTTCTAGGTCTCCCCCTGCCCCGTTTTACTGGAGATCCTGCTGGAGGCGCCTTGTCCTCGACTTTTTCGACCTTATCTTCAAATGCCACGTGCTTTTCTGCCTTGGATGAAGCCAGAAATGAGAGGAAACTGTTCTCCAGGACATCGTCCACGTCCAGATTCCTCAAAAACGCCCAAATACAGAGGCTGATAGAAGTGAGGAGAACATCGCTCGCTGTGACGCTGATCGCTGGGTGTCGACTAACAAACTTTAATTTCTGGACGGTATTACTTAACGCAGTAACGAATCGATTGGAGTTGTCCTGCTTTCCAACCGCATTCGTCAAAAGGTCATATGCCGAGGCCTGCTCAGAAGGAGTGTCGTTCGAAAGGCTTGTGACACCTAATTTCCAATGCAGAAGTAATGAGGTCACCCCTAGGATGTAGAACGTGATCCGATATGATCGGTGCGCGGATGCTTTAGTAGTATGCTCGTGTCCCCAGCTCGTAGGAATAATCTGCCGTAGATTAGCATATGGACATGTGCATCAAAGGTTCTCTGGAGGTACATACCTGCGGAGCAAAGGCGAGGAAGGGCGGGATAGCAAAATACCCGAATCGCATAAGGGTGATGTCCGATCCTCTAGCCAGAAACCAAGGTAATGAGTGCAGCAGGAGAAAAGAGGCCACGATAGGCACACCATACACCGCGGATTTGGGAGTGAATAAGGTATCACGGGCAAGAGGACCATCGCTGTGCAGCGCCACTGGTGTGAAGAGCATTGCGATGAAGAAGAGGTTGAGCGCGAATCCAAGGCTTCCGATTGTGCTTAAAGCGACAAATGACGCGATTGCTAAGGCTGGAAGGGTTCGCTTACGCCCTAAAGTATTTCAACACCTGTCAGCATTTTAGATAGCACTCAGCGCAGGAAATGACTACAGAAGTTGACAGCCGTTCGTATCTGAACCAAGATTGGTCGAAAATGTGGTCATTGGACGAAGTATCAACATTGGGACATAAAATAGTGGGCAAACCTTCTACACCCATGAATATCGATGCGGCGACCAGGCCAACAAATTGCTGGCTTGTGTAGAGGAAGCCTTCAGGGGAGTTTACAGCTAGACCATCCGCCTCCCGAGCCAAGTCTATATCTCTTACCCAGTCACCCAAGCGCCAGCGGCTAACTCCCTCGTCGCCCGTCCCATACCAGCCGGTCCACAGACTGCCCGGGGTTTCATGGTTGCCCTTCTCGGCCCAGTCGAAGTAGGAGAGGACGCGCCAGGCGACCGCAAAGGTTGTCACGGAAGCTAAAGAAAGCAGGGCCAGGACAGAGAAGACAGCAACATTTCGGCGACGCACCGGTTCTTGGGCACGTGTAGAGCTTGGAGGGGGGAGAGCGCGCGCAGCTCGGCGGATGGTGAGGAGGATGTTGGTCGCGAGGCAGGCGACGAGCAGGACCTGTCCGGAGAAAGTTGCGAGGGGAATAGTGTTGGTGCGCGCAGTCACATCGGGATCAAGAGGAGCCATGGTGTTAGTATAAAAATGGAGCGATGCAAGGCGAGCAAATGCGCATGGCAATTGGGATGTTAATGACACTGGGAGAGGAGAGCGAGCGGCTTGTTTTGGTCTGACGCGTGAGCTTACACCTCCCCCCGCCCACGTCACTCTTCCCTGGCTCCTGCGACAGAGCTTGGCCCTCACACTAACTCCGTTTGGATTTCCTGCTATTTGACGGCTTAGTCGACCCTCTCCCCGACCATGTGAAGGGTGAATGCCTGCGCCAGACAATGTACCATCTGTTCAAGTCTATATATCTGCATGCTACCAGCAAAGAAGGTTTGTTTGGCCTAATGTGTATGCCTGCTTAACTCATATGTCTCGCAGAATATTCCATTCTCCTCCTCGGCCTCGATAACGCCGGCAAGACCACCCTGCTCGAACAGATCAAAGCTGCATATTCAGCCAATCACCCGAACCTCAAAACCGTTCCTACTGTCGGCCAGAATGTTGCAACTGTCTCCCTACCTCCTCCAAACCCGCCTGTCTACCTGAAGATCTGGGACGTCGGTGGTCAGCACTCGCTACGTGGTCTCTGGCAGTCTTATTATTCGAGCTGCCATGCCATCGTCTTCGTCATTGATAGCACCGACGTTGGCGATGCCGATATTGCTCACCTGAGTACCGACGCTGGGAGGGGGGAGGAGCATGGCAGGCTAGACGAGTGTAGACTGGTTTTAGAGTCGGTGCTCCAGAACGAAGAGGCTGAAGGTGTCCCCATTCTCGTTCTTGCGAACAAGCAGGACAGGGAGGACTGCGTTGAGGTGGTCAGGATAAAGGAAGGCTTCGTCCGGAAGGTGTTCGAGGGCGAGAAAGGAGCGAACGTGAGAGACAGTCGAGTTCTACCCTGCAGTGCGCTTACCGGAACCGGCGTCCAAGAGGCGGTGGAATGGCTGTGTAGTAGGGTGAAGTGGAATAAGGAGTCCCGTCCGCCACTAATGCGATAACGAGAATATACCCCAAGACCGTAGTGTCGGTCTTTCCTACAAGAAACGTGCTCTAGAGCCTTGTGGAGAAGAACCCAGCACATGTCGCGGCTGTCGGCCCCTCCTTTTAATCCTAGCTCTGGCTGTATAGGAGGCTACCAGCGCGTTCGATGTGAGCAACCATTTCAGGAACGCCCAAGTCTAGGCGGTCCTTTCCTGGACGATTTTTAATCGCTGTCTTCAGCAAACGGCAACTGCCTGCTCGACACGCAACCGATATTCTAATTAATCCTATGATTTATAATGCAAATAACAAAACTCCAAAGGAAACCAGAGCAGAGCTCGTATTCCTGCCTCCGAAAACCAAACCAGGTATTTGAAATACCCTCTCACTTTCCAAATTCGTATCTCATGTAAATTTCCCTAGTCAGCTTCCTCTTTAGCAAAACGTGCTGTTACACCGAAATAATCCAATCAAATATCCCATTTCTTTTCATGCCACCCCGCAGGCCTGTTTCTTGTTGGTCATGCCACATCAGGTACCCGTGAAGGAGCAATAAGACGGCGAATGCCAAGCATCCTCGCCGACTACAGGGAGAGCATCGCCGAATCAGTCAGCTTCCATCATCAGAACGAAACTTTCAGGCCCAAATTTAAATATCATGCTGAAGGGTAATTATTCTCTCGTTATCCAGTGATACTTTCTCGTTATCTCGCAATTTTCTCCAGCAGACTTTATCGTCGAAAATTGCCAAACCATCATTTCAACCTTGACCTCTCAGTCATAAGTTCCTACAGCAAATAGCGACCACCCAAAATTCCGCTCCTTGCCCGTATCAATTTTCCCCTCCCCGCCTTCAGCATGGGCGACCAATCCCCATCCCCGCTCAACCTCGTCGTAGTTGGCGGCGTCGCAGGAGGCATGTCCTTTGCAGCCCGTGCCCGGCGTCTCTCAGAATCTGCGAGTATCACCGTCTTCGAGAAAGGGCCCTTTGTTGGCTACGCAAACTGCGGTATCCCCTATGCACTCGGTGGCATCATTCAATCGGACGAAGCCCTCATTCTCCAAACACCAGACTCGATTAAAGCACGATACAATGTCGATATTCGTCACAGCACTGAAGTCATTGCCATCGACAGAGAGAATAAGACCGTAGAGTATAAGACCCAAGGCCAGGAAGCTAAGAGTATGAAGTATGATAAACTAATCCTAGCCCAAGGCGCTGATGCCTTCCGCCCTCCTATTTCAGGCTCTAATGCTCCAAATGTCTTTACTTTGCAAACCATACCGGACATGACGGCTATAAAATCCTACGTAGCCGCACATTGCTCTAAATCTGTCGCCGTCATTGGTGGTGGATTCATCGGTCTCGAAGCCGCGGAATCACTCCATGCATTAGGGATGAAGGTCTCGATTGTCGAGTACATGCCTCATGTTTTTCCGCCTGTGGACCAGGATATCGCCGAGCCTATACATGCCGAGATCCGCCGAAATAACGTGGATTTGCACCTCAATGCTCGGGTCAAGGAAATTGTGGCTCCGATTGAAGCCGAAGGGACTGGGAATGGGAGCAGTCACGTCCTCTTGGAGTCCGGAGAAAAGGTGCCTGGGGATATTATCTTGCTTGTCGTGGGCGTGCGTCCGCGTATCACGCTTGCAAAAACCGCAGGCCTTGAGATAAGTCGATTTGGCATCGTTACGAATGCACAGATGCAGAGCACGACGGACCCAGATATCTACGCAGTAGGCGACATGGCGGAAACAACCAATAGCATCACCTTATTGCCACAAAACCTCGCTCTCGCAGGCCCAGCAAACCGGCAGGGCCGCCTCGCAGCCGACCATATCTTCGGTCGAGATGTGAGCTACAGAGGGAATGTGGGGACATCTGTATGCCAAATCTTCGGCATTAACGTCGGGCTCGTAGGGCCCTCTATCACATCCCTCCATTCACAAAGCCCCAATCTCGACCCCGAGTACGTAACCGTGCATCCGCCAAACCACGCGGCATACTATCCCGGCGCCACACCCCTGACCCTCAAACTCGCGTTCAGTAAGCGCAATGGGAACATCCTCGGCGCGCAGATCATTGGCAAAGCAGGTGTCGACAAACGCATTGACGTCCTAGCCACAGCCATTCAAGCACGAATGACTGTCTACGATCTCGAGCACCTAGAACTCGCATATGCACCGCCATTTGGCTCCGCAAAAGACCCCGTCAATATGGCCGGATTCGTCGCCTCTAATGTTCTGCGCGGCGACACCGAAATCATCCACCCCGAAGACTTGACCCCAGAGATTTTGGACCAGTATCAAGTCATCGATGTACGGAGTCCGGGGGAGTTTGCAAGAGGGTATGTTAGGGGTGCGAAGCTGGCGCCTTTGAATGAGTTGAGGGGACGATTGGGGGATTTGGATAGAGAGAAGAAGGTGTTAGTGTATTGCCAAGTGGGGTATAGGGGGTATTTGGGGTATAGGATTTTGAAGCAGGAGGGGTTTAAGGTGGTGAATTTGGATGGCGGGTTTAAGGCTGTGAGCCAGGGAGGTTTTGGGTTGTTGGTTGGGTAGGTTGGAGCCGATGGACGGACAAAAGACTCGACAGCGATGGATTGGGATGCTGGATTGCATATGTATGTCTATCTGCCTCTGGGTCGACATTAATGAAGCGTGTGTATCATTACAAATTTCATATTGCTTTCTTCACTTATCCTTGATCCCATCCATCCAAGTTCAATCCCAAAGCTCTATCCAATCCGTCCCGCTAGTTCTCCCCTCCTCACAGCTCTAAACTCTATCTCCCGGGGTCAACCCCGCAGGCCTCCCATCCGTAATCCCCGGGTGCGTATCATAAACCCCACTATAAACCGGAATACCATCATCCCCAATCCTAACCTTAGTACTCACAACGCTAACCTTCAACCCGGGCACCTCCTCCCTGGGCTTCTCACTCCCATCAAACAGCGTAACCCTCCAATGCAAGTTCCGCTCCAAATAACCCTCCACATCTGCCGGTTCCAAACTCGCCAATTGCCCTGCCACTATATCCTGTAGCAGCGCCGAAGTCAACGGAACAGTGCCGGTGATCACCAGTTCGGATTCTTGGTCCTGCTGGCACTTTTCACATGGCGTGTCGTCGCCGCGTCCTAGCACAGTGAAGCGGCCGACGACGTTGAATTCTGTGGGCCAGGTTTTGGGGTCCGGGTTGAAGTCACCCAGGAAGACGAAGACGCGGAATGTTTGGTTGAGGCCGTGTTTGAGGGTGCGGAGGTTAGTGATCCATTCTGTGTACATGCGGTTGGGGACAAGGTGCGCGAATTTCTCGGGCACGTTGAGAGGGACCACGGCAGGTTTAGGAGCTGGCGCGCCGATTTGAGCTCCTGCTTTCGCCGGTGCCGGAATCGATGCTTGGGCCTGAACAGCAGCTGGAGCTGGGGCCGCAGTTGTAGCAAGAACAGGAGTTGGGGCCGCGGCGGGTTTATCCGTAGGAGGATGTTGTGGTGCGGGATTAGCACCGGCTTTTGGTAGAGAAAAGTTGGCCTCAGTAACCTTAACAGAGGGTTCTTTCGTTGGTTCCTTGTGAAGGATTTCTTGGGCTGCTTGGATCGGATGCGCGACGGCCTTCTTCGCGAAGTTCAAGCTAAGCCCAGGCTCATTGGAGGCGCTAACATTGGCAACAGAGGCAGTGGCAACAGGAGTTTGTTTAGAAGCCGCAGCGGTCGAAGCCTCTTTTGGAGGAGCTGCGCTTGCTGCAAGATTCGTAAAGAAACTGGTAATCCTGTTGGCACCGTATTGCCTCACCACCTCATTAGTGACGGCGGCTTGGTATGCTTGATCGTTTGGATAAAGCCAGCGTTGGGTCTCCGGGTAAGCATGGCCGAAAGGTGTTGTGTATTTGACACCATTAGAGTTCCAAAACTTCGTTGCGGAAGAGTCGTACCAGGGTTTGAGATCGGTAGTGCCGCTGATGCGAGCACCAGCTGATATCGTGAAGTTAGCCTCTGCAGCTTGGCTTACTTTATCAATGACATAGGCGTTGGGGTGCAGGGCCTGCCAAATGGCCCAGAGGCGGTCGACGTTGGTGTGGTGCATCCAGAATACGGGATCGAACGCAGATACGGCAAGAGATCCCATGTGACCTCCTTCGCCTACCTTATCGTGGATCTCACCATGCAAGTCCTCGAGACTTCCGTAGGCGCCTGCGTCCTCATCCTCAAGCCATGCGTTGTTGCTGAAGGCATCAAAATGCGTGTACGAGAGCAGAATAAGGGATACATTAGTTCTCAAGGACTCGTTTTCGTTAGTGATGACTTGTGATACTACGCCATTCTGTGAATTGCCGCTGCTGTCAGGGGCACGTTTGGTGTTGGGAAATTGGCGCCACTAATGGAAGTTAGAACAGGGCTGTAAGCACTGAGAATCTTCTAACAGACGTACACGACTGTCGAGAGCGAGCTCTGTGGGAATTGCCTTGTCGTTGAAACGAAAGCTGTACAACGGGTTGTTGATCGGCTTCTCCACGCCATCGACATCGATGACCTTGATAGTTGAAGAGCTGACCGCAGCAGGGAAAGCACTAGTACCCCTTGTGATGCGAGCAGCCCAATCCCAGTATGGCAACCTGAAGTCTTTTGCAGCTGCGAGATAACGTGTCCGCAACGGTTCGGCAAATTGCCCGGCAACCTTCTGCACGGAAGCGTATAGAGCTTGCTGGAAAATCAATCAGCACTTTGGTCGCAGACACCGAATAGAGAATAGGTTCCTTCACTTACTTCATATAGTGCCAGATAGGGGCGGTGCCAGGTTAGAAACAAAATGGAGCTGTGCGTGCAATAGCCACCGAAGCGAGCATTTGGGTTCCCAGTGACGCCATTCCAGGCCACATATGGCTCTCCGTGAATTCCCGCCAATTGGTAGTACGAGAGCAGCTCTTTGACAGGCTTCTTCTGAAGGTCCACCAGTCCTAGTAGATAGAGATTGAACTGGTCCTTGAAATTGGCCTGTAAATCTCGAATCTCACGACGGAGTGGAAGTGAGCCTATATCATGGTAAGATTAGCTGTCGATTAGAGACAGTTCTGTGTGGACTTGCCGTTAGGGCCTAGCGTAGTAGTTATGCCAGTCGCGGTGATCCTTGGGTTTGCCATCCTGGCAGATTAGGGGTAATGTCAATATAACAGAAGAAGGAAGTTCTCCTGGTAGTTCACGTCTGAGTATGAAACGAAGTTTCTTGATCTGAGAAACTGGGATGCCGCCTTAGGGCCTTATATCTGATTCAATTGCCTAAAGCAAAAGGTTTCAATAAGACATTCAGCTCAGCTGAAAGGGGGTCCGCATAAGCCAAGGCAAAAGCGCCTAAGAGAATTAGCACGTTGTACCATCTAAACGTTGTCATCTCAAGCCCGGTGCGAATTCAGCAAGGGAGAGCTGGATGACGGCAGAAAATGAGGGGTAGCTCAAGCCAGGCAGAGTCTGGACGGGTGCGTCCGCACTGGCGGCAGAGAGAAACTACTACTTGGCCAATAGCACTATTAGGAAAGGCAATTTAAGACTGAGGCCAAGCTACGGAGAAGAAGAAATCTGACAAAGGGACCATCTCGCGAGCTGAGCTCTCAGCCCACCTGATGAGTAACTGTGATTTCTGTTGGTAAGCTGCATTACCACTAATGAAGAATTGGTGCTTCTGGATCGAAGGCTTCTTTTGCCTGAGCAGGCTGCAGGACGCAAACATGCTTATTTGATAGAAGCACAGATGGCGCAAAATCTGCGAGCCACAGCGTCGATAGTGACAATCGACCAGGTTACAGCTAGCCAGCGTTTCAGGGCTGAACGGAGCTGAATGAGTCTGGCTTGGCCCATGAGAAGAGCCGATGTCGCTACAGCAACTCTGGACCAAACGGCAGGAGTGGTCCGATTGGATTCTCTGCAAGACTGGAGGTATCAGTGGTACGAATGAAGGCTAGTTTAAGACTCCGGGATCGAGGATCGGCTGGTTACCGGTGAATTTGAGGGTTGAATAACGAGCTGTTTGGAATCAGCGGTGTTATGAACGGGTGAATGAGGAGATGGCGAGCTGAAGTTTGAAAATGATGGATGGGTCGTGGAGCTCCGAAGCTTGGACCACCTTACCACTGAGGTCTCATCCTCCCGATGTCTTGACATTCTCCGCCAATGTCGCTCTACTACGAGGCGGCAACCGTTCTCACCAACCCCGACAAGGCTGGCGGGTCGCTGAAGTCTAGGATATACAAGAAGGAAGACCGGAAGAGTTCGCCAGCTCAGGTCTTTGCTCTTGTGACCGAGGCATCGAAATGGTCGCTAGTGTTGAAGGAGGTGATTGAGAAGAGCGGGCTGCTGGCAGAGGAGAGGAAGGTGCGTCCTGTATATTCCAATTCGTTGTATTTACGTAGTTCTCTATTTCTGCTCATATGCACGTATAAATGCTCATATTCCCTCTTCTCTTAATTGGACAGACTGTACTGATGGTGGTATTCTTGGCTTCAGCTCACCCCAATCCTCGCACTCCTCCTGACGCACGACCTCCTCGTCTCAAAGAACGGCATAGCCGCACCCACAAACCATGTCCTCAAACTGTCAATCAACAGGCACAAGGCACGATTGACTGCTGAATTTACGAAGGCACGGATACGAGCTGGATTTTCTACGCTAGAAGCACTGAAGAATGCAATAAACGATGAAAAGCTTGAGAGTCAGGACACTTCACGAAAAATACCCTTATATCCACGATGGGTCCGAGTAAATACTATCAAGACTACATTGGCGAATCAGTTGTTAACCACCTTTGCGGAATACGAGGAAGTCAGAGATTTAGGACAAATCCTCTCTGCATCCAGCCGATCGAAGGTGTACTTCATTGATCCGAACATTCCCAATCTTATTGCCCTACCTCCTAAAGCCGACCTGGGCAGGTCCTCGGCTTATGCACAGGGTGATATCATCTTCCAGGACAAGGCATCATGCTTTCCAGCTTATCTGCTAGACGTCAAGCCTGTAGACGGAGATGTGATCGATGGTTGCGCCGCCCCTGGGAACAAGACTACACACTTAGCAGCCATCATCTCAGAGAAAACCTCTCAGACCCACCCTCGAAGCCTATCTCAGAATGTTATAGCGTTCGAGAAGGACAAGATTCGAGCCGTGATATTGGAGAAGATGGTGAACCTAGCTTCAGCTGAGCATATTGTTTCAATCAAGGGTGGGTACGACTTCCTAGCAACAAATCCAGACTCACCTCAGTTCGCAAACGTTGGGGCTATTCTTCTGGACCCTAGCTGCTCTGGCAGTGGTATTGTCGGCCGCGATGATGTTATTCGGATGCATCTCCCGGATCCACAGTCTGGGAGAAGCGTGGGACCCAAAGCAAGCAAGAGCAGGAAGCGAAAGCGGGACCAGAAAAAGGATCACGACTCACAGCTTAGCCCTACTATAAAGCTAGAGCTCGACGAATCAATTGCCGAGGAAACTCCCGTCAACGAGGACTTGAACGAGCGCCTTGAAGCTCTCTCCACCTTCCAGCTCCGAATTTTAACGCATGCTATGTGCTTTCCAAAGGCGCAGAAGATATCCTACTCTACATGCTCCGTTCACTTCGAAGAAAATGAGAATGTTGTGTTTCGGGCCCTGGGCTCAACTGCCGCAACCGCACGTGGATGGAAGATATTGAAGAGGGAACACCAAATTGATGGATTAATGAGCTGGAAGAAGAGGGGCTTTTGGGATAATGGTAAGCTCGGGAACGATTTGGGAACGAGCCTTGAGGAAAGACAGGATGTTCTTAATGGATGCATCCGGTGCGAGAAAGGGACTGAAGACGGCACCATGGGATTTTTTGTCGCAGCATTTGTTCGAGACGATGCATCCGCACAGAATGGCTTCAAAACAAATGACGTGAGGCCAATGCCTGCGCCTCTTGACAGTTATGAGGAGCATGATTACGAGGATGATGAGGAATGGGACGGCTTCAGTGACTAAGGCATCCACCCCATTCAAACGTCATAACAGCCCAACTACAAGAAGCCAAAAGACAAGAGAGAGAAGAAGATAAAAGGGACATAGAGGTAAAAAGGGAAGCCTGGCATGATATTAAGATCTGCCCCTAAAGAGGACCATAAGCAATTCCCATTCCAAGGTGTGTGAGCCTATCACGTAATCAGACGATCAACCCCAATTTTTACCCCACCAGAGCCCACTGAAACCTGATATGTGACGATTCCTACCCAAGCCAAATTACTATGACTGCTTGAGTGCTCCCGGGCACCAAAACGGGCCAAGAATTATTTCCTTTCTTGTATTGTTGCGGTGCTGACGTCGTTTTGATGTCAAGCACAGGAAATCGCTTCGGACCCCTATAAGAACTCTAGAAGCTCTATTTTTGCCTCTCTTTACTATTTTCCAACTTTCAGTAACTTCCAGGGCCTCAACTTAACAATTTTAGTTTTGATTTCGAAGGGGTTTCTAACTTAGAAGTACAATGAGCGTCTCAAGGAGCTCCAATACAGTGGCCAACCAAGGCGAGTTCCACTCGCGTGAGCCTCGCGATGAGCCTATGATGACTTCAGGGGTAAGACATGTGCTTTTAGCTTCTTCTTCGAATCTGGTCCTTAGATTTTCTTCAAGCAATTGTGCTCTCCCACCCGTAGTTGCTTCTGCTATTGAACGACTACAGCCACAAAGAGCTTAGGTCTTCTACCAACCATATCGCGTTCTTCGTTTCTCAAAGACTGATACGTCGAATGCTTAGAAACAAGCTTCAACTTGAACTGACTAACAATCCCTAGCACAAACCTGGCGTCCTGGCCTCCGAAGCCGACCGCGCCCCCGAATTCTCCGCACAACCCCTCCCCGCAGGCAGAGCTCCTAAATCCTCGACTTACGAGCCCAACCCTGACCTCCACAACCAAGGCATGTACCAGGCCGCGTCTTCTACCCTCACAGGCGCGGATTCGGCCGACGTGCACACTGGTTATGGACACCCCGGTCAGGGCCAATCATCGGCAGAGCTGCATCACGATGGCGAGCATCATCGTAAGAGACAGGGCATGGGGCTTGCAGGGCTAGCAGAGACTGAGAACAAGGGACAGGGAGTTCGTAGACAAGATCCGGCGTTTGGGAACCAAAGGAATTTAGGGGAGGGTGTTTCGGTTGGACAGACGGCGGAGGAAAGGATTCCTGAAGGGGCCGAGAGTGTGGCGGCAGGGAGGAAATAGATCTGTGCTGAAGTCGTGTTTGAGAGTGCGAATTTTAGTCGAGAATCGTCCAGATATTGGGAGGAGTTTTGTGATTAAGGAAAAGTCAACAAGGGGAATTAGTATGAAGTTTATGTCGTATTCCTCATCCCGATGATCTTGAATAAATTTAGAACTAACTGTAAGACAGTGCTGAGAAAAGTGCAGCCAACAATTAAGGGACTGGGAAAAGGTATACGACACCTGTACTCAAACACGTGATTGCCGGTGTCTCAAATATTAGAATCCCATTCCCATTATCTGACTCCCGAAGAACACATTCACGCCATCTTCTTCGCTCTCACCTGCCACACAGCAACCGGTTCCCTTCATACAGCTGAAATCCACCCATTCCCCCCCATGACCGCCGAGAATTCCCCAGTCCTCCAATCGAATGTCATTCCTGCTTGTGACGCCCACAAGCCCTGCGTAATCATGGCATGCATCAATTTGTGCCTGCCATCACCCACTTTCATACCCTCCTCTGCCTCCACTTTTCCCTCCCACACATAATCATGAAGGAGTGCGGTCATATCGTCCTCAGTGCCAGTTTTGGCTGGCCAGAATAACCACACGAATTCTGAGGCCTCTGGGGCGGCAAATGCAAGAACCCAAGCGCCGGTGGTGAGAATCGCGGGGACGAACGCGATGCTCCAGGAGCCTGAGGGGATCTCATCACGTGGAAGCTTGAGAGTCGAAGTGTGCAGAGAAATAGAGCTTGAAGCACAGAGGTTCTGAATTTGGTCACGTAGGTGAATGGGTGCGGTGGGGTGCCGACTTGGGGTGATGAAGCAGCAGACTTCTGAATTCCAGCGCGAATAGGGGACAGTAACGACATCGATTCCGTGATATTCGTCGTCCTGGGAGGCGCCGTCGGAGTTCATCTCGTCGCGAATAGAGCCCCAGAGAAGCCTCTCACGCTGTGGGATCGTGTTCTGATTCGCAGTACCCTGATTTTTGGTTCTTAGGTAGAAGGATCTGTCTGCTATCATCGTTTCAGATGGTTGACCTGGAGATGCTACAGGGCCGTAGCGATCTGCGCGACTAAAATCACGATTGGGGTTGACGTTGAGTAGAAACTTGAGGAGCTGTTCCGCGGACCGCGGAGAGAGCTGATTGCTGGCGTTCATAGCTATGAGGGCGAATAGTAGTAGCAATTGCTATCTAATGGAGAATATGTTCTGCTGTTTGTTATCCTAGATCTAGTTCTTGGCATAAAGTAGCAGCGTTGGGGTGAAGTCGATGGGGACTGCCACGCAAGATGGCATTATTTTGTTTGCTGTAGGTGGCATGGCTGTGGCGGTCACCTGGTAACCGTTTGTTGCTCTGCTTATCTCCATTTCGCCTCAGTGCTGTGACGTAGAAGAAATGTTGGTTCATGCCAAGTGATACAAGCCCTTGCTCGGCACGTGTACCTGCTAACCTGAAGCGGCCTAGAGGAATCGGTGAGGGGTACAAGGTTTTCCAGTGACATCAATGGCAGTCGAACCATTTCGCTGTTGACAATCGCATTACATCCGAGCTATCCCAATAGACATGCCGTGTCGTCACACGCGGTCCCAACACCTGCTGTTCGCCTCCCCCACGAAACATCCTTTCATCTGCCGCCATGGAACCCAACAGGCCAGACGCCACGGTTGTACGGCAGCTGCAAAGCATGTGCTAACCTGCTTGTCCTGACGCCCATCCGCTGGGACTGATTGATCCCATCTCAGGATAGCATCAAGCTAAGCCCCCAGCTATTATAACTAACAGGTCCCTTCTTTCCTTGCATTTATCAAACGTGGAACCTTACGTCTTTTGATCACCCAGTTTGCGGTTCACAGCCCGCCTTTTCTCAGATTCTTATATTCTAGCGCGCTCTGCGCTCGGCGGCAGTTGCCCACGTTCAGATTGAAACATATTTGAACCTGCTCTTCTCCCGCCCGCTCTTTCCTCGCTTGTACGGAGATCTTGGAAAATAGATTTTCGCCTTCGAGACAGTGTGAATATAGACTTCACCATGTCGGCCAAGCCTATTTTTGTGGCTACACATCCTAGAGCCTGTTCCACGGCCTTCGAGCGGGTATGTTGAGTAGCTAACCTCGTACCTGCAGTCTGATTAGATCTCTCAATCTTACCGCTCTCCTAGGTGTTTATGACCCGCCGAGACACGCTTCAATGCATCCACGAACCGTTTGGCGATGCCTATTATTTCGGTCCAGAACGACTGGCAGAGAGATATGAGGATGATGAGAAAGCTAGACTCGACAGTGGCTACTCTGATAGCACTTACAAGACCATCTTTGACAGAATTGCGAAAGAGAACTCCCAGGTTGGACCCCTTTCCCCTGTCATTGATCGCGTCTCACCACATTTTCTTCTTTTCTTGTCGTTTGTTGTTGCACATATCCAATCAATATCCTTCATCCCCTTCAACCTTATTCGCCGAGACTGCCATCGCGTGTGGGTCCAAACGCCTTCCCCACGATTTGACGACACCTCGTGGCTTCATTGCGCAAGATGCGGGTGATTCAACTCGCCGGCCGGTTTGCGGCCCGAGCTTTCATGCAGGCAACTTCAAAGCCGCATACCCCAGGGCACGCCCATAATCTTTCCTTTTCAATCGATATCGATATCTTTCCCTTCTTAGCCTCACTAAAACTCCCACGCACATACACGCACATGACCCTTTACCTGTTCTTCACATCTCCTCTCGACATCGTCATTGCTCGATGACACCCCTGGCGTGGGGTTGGACACCTACTCACGATGTGTGCAGGGCAAGCGCGCCTTTATTAAGGACATGGCTCAATATTGGATCCCACCCTCTGCCAGACCGGCCACTATCGCACCAAGTCTTGTTAGCTACAAGCGTGGAGTGGGAACCGACCCCACCACTCTTCGAGAGGGTCCTCCCGCACCAGTCAAATCTGAACCGCCCTACCCGTACAACACCAAGGGCGAACCGAACAATCCCTCTGTTGTACCAGCGAATCTCTTGGCCAACTTCCACTTTGCCTTCCTAATCCGCCACCCACGCTCCAGCATCCCGTCGTACTACCGTTGCACTGTCCCTCCACTTGACGAGATCACGGGATTCTACAACTTCAGGCCTGATGAAGCTGGATATGATGAACTTCGACGCCTGTTCGATTACCTCCGCTCAGTGGGCCAGGTCGGTCCGCACTTCGCTGGGCAACCTGCCACTAATGGTACTAATGGCGTCAACGGAGTTAATGGTGCTCACAAAGGAGTTGAAATCTGTGTCGTCGACGCGGACGACCTCCTTGGAAACCCATCTGGCATCATCGAAGCGTTCTGTCACAGCACGGGCATCAAGTACGAGCCGGAGATGCTGAAATGGGACAGTGATGAGGACCACAAAGTCGCCAAGGAGGCGTTCGAGAAATGGAAGGGTTTCCATGAGGATGCCATTAACAGCACTGAACTGAAAGCTAGAACGCACGTACGTCCAGTTCATTCCCTTTATCTCAATTGATTAGTTCTGTACTTAAAATCCTGTTTGCTTGCCCGCAACGTCTACCATGTCGCTCAAGCCCAGACATCTAATGCCGCCTAGAAAAAGATCGCCAAAAGCGATGAACAGCTTTTCGCAGAATGGACCGACAAATTTGGCGAGGAGGGCGCTAAAGCCATCCGTGATACCGTTGAGGCCTGCGTCCCGGATTATGAGTACCTGAAGCAGTTTGCTATTAAAGTGGCACCGCCTAATTAAACGCAAAATCCCTACCCGTGAGATATTCTAGCACTATGAAACAGGTAACAATATCTTTGCCTGTCAAAAGCGGGTTTGGGCTGATGTCATGTTTCATTGGTCCACGTTGGATTCAGAGCTTTGACAGATATCAAAATTGATCGTTGGAGATGGATGTACCGTAGTGCTTTTTGCAGGCCTCTTATTATTTAGAATACATATGAGCTGTTGAAAACAGACTTGACGAATTGCTTGTCTTGCTCTTGAGTCTCCGTCAAAGTAAATGCCAAGGTTGCCTGAGCACATGCAATGATCTGATCGCTGAGTTATTCTATGTCATTTCCTCTTCAAAATCCATCGCCCCACACAAAACGCACAAAGTATAACTAGGTTCTCAAACCTTCAACCACATTTAGAACTTTGAAAACTAATTTCCGTAGCTCCCTCCCCTCCTCTCATTACCCTTGTGCAACATCATCCATGATCAATCACGAGCTAGACACCACAGCCACAGCCACAGCCACAGCCCTCCATTAGCTCCCAACAATCACTGTCACCATTCGGTTAACGATCGATAGCGGCAATCTGCAACTTTTCCACAACAGGGTCCGTTCCAACCATACCACCCACCTGTACCACGGTACCTGCCCAAGTGCTGCAAGTCAGGTAATCCTCGTTCCTGACCTACCCACAACCCCGGTCTATGGAATTTTTTAGCGATTTGGCTGCAGAATGGAATGAAGGTGTGTCTGTTGGATGATGATTGTAAGATCTATTCACGGTTTTGGGTGGTAAGAAAGGATACATGGATGATTAAGTGGGTGACTAGAAGATGAGACGAGTTGGCGAATGGATAGAACGGCGAGTGCGACAGAACGGGAATTTCGGAGGAGAGCGTGAGATGAAATAGTGAAAGGAGGGTGGGCGAATAGGCGAGCGTAAGTGTTTCACACAGTCTCATTTGGTGGTGGTTATATGTTACGGAGTTACGGTGCACACGCATACAGGGTACAGGATCTCGGAGGATTGTAATGGGGGCCAGGGACATCAAGATGAGAGTATGGAAAAATGGGAGAACCACACAGGCACACACAGCGAACCCCACTTTTTTTTTCTTTTCCTATGGTAGACAGATTACACCAAGGACGCTCTCTCTGATCCGATCCGACCTAATCTGATCAGAGAGAATGGTCCAAATGTCCAGTGGGGTGAGGTTTAAAGATTTCGCTATCCGATTGATCAAGCTAACGTTTGGTGGTGGTATCTACCTACATACGGCACTAACTACTTGCTGATTTGCACTTTACTGTACTACAATAGGCGTATATATCAAAAAGAGGTATCAATGATGCCTGTTCGAAAAGAAACATATATCAAGGATCGTGGTTCATTTCCCATTACCACATGCCCAACTCCAGTCCAAAATTGGCCCCCCAAAATAATCAAAACTCCAGGAACCCGTGCCATTTCATTTGCTCAAAACTCCGAAAATCCTTGGCTCCTGAAACACGCCTTACACCGTCGCTGCCAATACCTTGAAATGGCTTGGTTCGGAAATATTCTTTTTAGTAAATGCTGAGATGGAGGTGAGGTGGATGGACAGTTGCATAGTATCACGACCCCATCTCGATTTCTCTACGACGTTCCTCGCGGCTCATGGCTCGGGAGTGGTTACTTCGGGCTCCGACGCTCGATGGTCGTGCTGCTGTCCGTCCGCGGTCCCACCGCTGCCATGCCTGTTCTTCGCTTAGGCTATCGGGTCTGCTATTGCTATTTGCTCGGCTTCGATTCCAGTCCGGATGTGCAGTTGGCGGTGTGCCCAGTAGCTCCTGGCTATTGGCTTGTCGCTCCCGCTCTTCTCGGTCTTCTGGCAGGTCTATTCGGAAGGTGGCACTTGCTGCATCCGGCGATGGGCCGGGGTCGTTCTTCATGAGGAGCATGGCCATTTGCTGGACTATTCGGTCGTCCTCAGTCAGTGGTACTTCGGCAGGATTGGGTCCGGTTGCGTTTGTGCACGTAGATGGGTACATGTTTTGGATGAAGTTTGTGTAGAACGACTGTTCGGACCAGAGGTTTGCAGTGCGCGTGCTTGAGGCTTCTTTTATTTTTACGATGCGGCGATGCGTCCAGAGGAGGAGTATGCCGTAGAGGACCGTCGATGTGGTGGAGATGACGGTGCCGGTTATGGCGGCCGTGTTCCAGAGGAAGCGGCGCGAGGAGAGGAAGTTGTAGGCGATTGTGAGCAGGCCAAGAGCTGAGGAAGTGAGGGCCGGACTAGGGGGCTTGTGTTAGTCGAGGGCTTATTGAGGCGTGCACTTTGGGCGTCGTACAGGAAGATAGCTTCCGCCTGGAACATCTCATTGCGGCAGGCGAAGCAGAGCAGTGCGGTGAACGAGTACCCAGCTGTCATGAGAGCAACAACGAAGACCGACAGTACGGCCTGGCTGAACTTGAGCTCTGGATCCTTCGCATACAGGCCGGGAAGGATCAGGTATCTGGAATGTACATCAGCCTTGTTTTCTGCGGGAGCTTCTTCGGCTGGAGCTCTGTGTAGCCTACCCTCCCAATATCATCCATGACGCAGTGAGAGCGATGAAGCGCCAGTACCAGGCCGTATAGTCCCGATCATGCTGCAGGCCTTGCAGGTTGATGTACCGCTTCGACCCCGAGCGCATTGACATTGGTGCGGTCGCGAGCTGTATCGAAGCAAGCCTTCACCGAGGAACCCTCATGCAGAGGTAAAAGCGAGTGTGGTATATGAGGTGCAAACGAATGCCAGGAGTGCCGTCTCTAGAGGGGTGTATTTAGAGTGGTGCTCTCGAGGGAAGAGGCGAAGTCGATCACGTCGAAACAAGAGCACCACAAGTCAGCCTAGGAGCCTACGAGGGTTTCCCAGGATGGCGGATCGCTTCGGTAAGTATGCGCTCAAGGGTCGGCCCACGGCACAGCACGTCGCGAACAACAAGACAGCGACGGGCGGCAAACGGCTGGTGAGAGGCTGTCGGGGAGGGAGGATGTGTTTCGCGACGCGGAGGGCAGAGAGGAGAAGAGAACAATATGCGACGGAGCAAGGCAGAGCTGGAGGTTGGGAGAAAAGGCAGCGCAGAGAGCAGTACGAGGCCGAAGGAGCGACGACATCCGGGCTCAGCCACTCACTGGCTGAGGACGCAGCTGCAACCATGACAGGACTTTTGCACTCATCTGGCGCCGCCGCCCTGAGTAATTCGCTGCCTTCTTTCTGCCTGAAGAAGGCGTCGTCTGCGCTGTGGGCCCGTGGTGCAGCGCCCATCCCCCGTTACCCTTTGTCGCTCTCGCAATCCCGCTCCCGCGATTATCACGACTCGCCTCGCGATCTCGATGGCAAGGCTCCTCACAGACCTCCCGCTAAAATTAAATATAGTATCAAACACACAAGCGGAGTAGTTCCCCAGAGCCCGCTTCAAACTTCTGCGCTTTCTTTTTCTTCTTGTTTCCCATTTGCTGTGGCTGGTCTACCCTCTTGCTACGCCGCATGTCACCAATCTCACCTCGTCCCTGCCGAGCCACCACACCTCTTCGGATCCGCCTTGCGGCGAATTTCGACCACTCGGCTTTTCGTCTTTCGTCGCATTTATCTCGTCGCTGTGCCGTCACAATTTGCCAAAGGGTTGCAAAGCGTGCTAAAACAATATGACATCATTTATCAGGAAGGGGTCGAAGTCCGGATCCTCTAAATATCTCTCTAACGAGGAGGATTAATAGTCCAACAGGACCATTTCCCGTTCTTCACAAACGCCTCACAGTCTAATATTCGTTCCTCTGCTTCATATCCTGCAAGATTCCCCTGATTCCCCTGATTCCCACTGCATGCGGCTGTTGGGACGAAATGCTTCGCCCCATCGGCAGACGAAGGATTCTGCGCCGCACAGCGAAACCGACGAAAGAGACGTGTTAGAACCTTGGAACCATTAACACCTCGCAGATCAAGCTTAACCCGACGGACTGCATTCAATTGCAACACAGAAGCGGAAACCCAACACGAGGACGAGGACGTTGCCGCACGTGGCACAGTCTTCACCTGCATCCTTCGGCAACTCGAGCTTCAGAATCCCAATTCGCGAATAACAGAGCAACGAAATCTTCACCCGCCTCAAAAACATGTCCTTATCTTAATTCCCATACAAACCTGTGTCTTTCTTCAGCATTGATCTCTCCTGTACCTGAGGCTACCCTGTTGGGAGCCTACAACTGGCACTGGCGCTGACTGCTTCCAGTGCACCGCCTCAAACAGGGAGACCCACTGGACCCCAATAGCTTAATGATCGCCATGCGTACACAACACATGTATCCTGTAACCACGTTGTTGGTGGGCCATGTTACTTGATGCAGAATCTTCAACAAGCTGCGGAGATTTTGTGAGTTCTATCCTCGGAAGCTTTGTCGTGATATTTCCTGTTTTGGTCACTTACAGGGTCTGATTGGCTGAAGCACTCTCTCGAAAGATCATACTTCGAAGTTATTTGCTTTTCACCTCTAGCCAACACCATTGACTCGCTAGCACCCAGGTCTTGGATAACCCGTCTCTGTAAAGTCGACACGTCATGGCAACATGGCACCCCCCACACAGCACGCCTGAAAGTGAGATCACCCATCCACGACTGCGCATCCAGCACTTCCATCTTCCCTCAACTGAGCCTATTCGCACACAGACAAACACAATCGCCTGCAATATCTTTTTCTTGCTCAACACATGCCATCACCAAACCAAACCAATCCCCCTTCCGCACCACCCTTGCCAACGCCTCAACACGCACTCATCCGCACTCACCCGCCGACTAAATCACTCAAACTCGTTCAACTCGTTCAACTCTCTAAAACTTACCCTTCACCTTCACCGGTCGATAATTTACTTTTGCCAAACAGCCACATCTGCAGCCACAAGCACTTTTCTACTGTCAGCGGAGCCGAGCTAAGGGAACGTGCGTGACTCACTGCACGAGCGCTGGATGCCTGAGGCTCCGAAGTATGCTTCCTCTCTTGTTCCGGTCTGGAAGTGAAGCGTGGGCGCTGAAGGTATCCGATTGTGTGTTGGAGAAACGTAGATATTAGTTAGCAGGCTTATTATTCGTGTGAATTAAAGGTGTCGACTATCTTCCAGGTAACCCTGTTGCTACTCCAGTATGATTTCACTAATGCGGCTTTCTCGTCCCCTGTTAGTATTTCCTTAACTAGGCCAGCCCTGAGCAAGCGGAATATTGCCCACAGCACAACTCTAAGCTGCCTTCTCAATAGGCGTCCTGTAATCGCCTCCCAGATTTAGATAAAGTATTCGCAAATATAATGATAGGGACAGTATTAATTGATCGATGATATAACGACCAGTAGGTCTGGCCAGCTACAGAAGCTCCACTACTTACGGTCTCCAAACCATCAATCCCATTTTCGCCAGACACCGGTATCCCTCATACTAGTCGTAGAGACTCCTTTCATCCACCATCGTCAATAATATACAGATTCCAGCGTCCCAATGATTAGCTCGCTACGTTTCCCGGCCAAGCAAAGCAAAGTACTCCCTTGATACAGACACCCTATGCACAACACACAGCAGTGCAGCAGGCAGGCAGCAGACAGCAGACAGGAGGCAGCAGGCAGCAGACAGTAGGCTGCAGGCCGCAGGCAGCAGGCAGACAGACAGACAGACGAACACGGGAAATGGGTAGATATCGCATATACCTCAAAACGCAAAGTTAAGCCTCATGGTCCAAATCTTATCCTCAACGCTCGAAGCATCCCACGCGCCATCCAACTGCGCAGCCCAACTCGCCTTCTCATCCGTACTCGCTGTTAGGAATCGCTCCACTAGATCTCCATCGATCATGTTCTTTATAGGCGAGTAGTAGCTGCGGTATGCAAGATGATCTCTGCCTGCAATCGGCTTTTCCTCATGTCGGAGAAGCAACTCCAATTGCTGGAACATTTTGAAATCGCGCCGGGATTCGAACGGTACGAAGACGCCAAGGGTACCTTGCAGACCGGCCCAGAAGATGATGCGGTCGCCGCCGGCGATGAGGTTGGTTTTCTGGATAGCCGTTGGAATGTCGTTTGTGAAGTAGTGGGCGCAGAGGTCGAGGCGGTTGGGTGCGCCACCAAGGTACGATTTGTCTTGGATGAGGTGCTGGCCATCTTCTGACTCATCTGAAGCTTGGGACACTTTCTCGGGACAGCGGACGATCCAGATATTGCCGAATTTGTCCCCCCCTACTGTGGTGTCGTAGTCGGCCATTTCGACGGATGTCGTCCATCGAGGAACAGTGTCGTCGGCGAAAGGGATGAGGCGGTTTGGATGCACCAGATCCTTGTGGACAACATATGTGACTGATTGGGATTGATCAGCAACTACAATGCGGCTTCCTTGTGTCTTTAGGTCGGTGATACGGGTGCCAGTACAGTTCGATGCCTGAGCCTTGCGGAGTAGGTGCTTAATACCGCAGTCAAACAGGACCAAGTCATTGCCTAAACCAGCCACAAGCTTACCCTTGAAAGCGAGTAAAGCGAGTGGTGTCGCGGTGACTTCCGTATCGTGGTAGAAGGTGAGTTTTCGGCCATCTGGAGATACTTGATACAGATGAATATAAGCCTTCTTGAAACTGTACGGCGTGAATTTCAAGTCCTGGGCCACACCAACAGCCAAAAAGAGCTGGTTGCCTTTGCTCTCGAATGCAACCAATGCAGCGCTGACGGCACATTGATTCTCCTGCAACTCCACGGTATGGACGACGGCTTTTTCAGTGACCGGGTCGACAACTTGAATGCATGACGCCCAACGGCCATTTACTTTCGGTAGACCAAAATCGATGGCTGCCAACTCTTCAGTCTCCCCTTCACCATTCGCCAATTCGCCATTCGTCAGGCCATCTTCTTCGGATGTCGCCATAGGCTTGTCTTCACTCTTTGTTTTCACACTATCCTCATCTTTTTTGAGCATCCTACATGTAGCAGTATCCAGTGTGTTGTTGTCGCTCTCAATAACGTAATAAACCTGCTGCTCGTGATTGCCAATGAGCTTCCGTGGGGTATATTGAAGTGGTATGGAGTCGTAGCAGAGGTTGGTAGAAAGGTCAACGTCGTCCAAAGTAACGATTCTGTATAAATGTGTTAGTCGGCTCTATCGACTCTGAAGTGGAATTCCAAGGAATGAGTGATATTGCCTTCGGTAGGAACAATTGGAATATAAAATGATCCTCATGTGGAAATTCGGAACCATGGAGTCATCATAAGGCAAAAAGGAGGTACTTGAAGGATCAAACACTTACCTCAAGTCTTCGCCGCGGACGCAGATAATGCCTTTGAATGATGCACTCTCAAAACTCCAAGCAGCTTCAATGGACATGTAATTTAATGGAGTCAAAGCGAGCGTGTTGTTGACTGGATGTGTGTAGGCTAACCAAGGTCTCGTCGTCAAGGCAAGAATTGCGGGTTCGCCGCCTACGCTCACCCGTGCGAACTTGACTGGGGCTGGGCCGAGGAAGCGTCTTCGGAAACCACTCAGAGTTCCAGAGAACTCATCAACTAGAGCTCGAACATAGATACCGGAATGGAGGCCGACGTGGGCATACAGGCTGTACCCTGCCGGAGATTGATCCCGCATGGCGTGAAATGCGATCGAGTGGGGCAGCGCTGAAAGACCCATGAGCCCCGTCTGACCCAATATGCGATGGTCCTGGTCCCTCGGGTTAAGATTGAAGATACGAAATGTCTTGTCGCCACAACCAACGGCCAGGAAGTCACTCCCTTGGCGGCCTTCGGGTACGTCTGGCATTGCAAGACAATGAATTGTGTGCTCTAACATGGCTTCATCCTCTGCCTGTGCGAGACTTGAATCATAGTCACACGCAAAATAGTAAATCTCTCCCGAGCTAAGGGCGATGCAAACCTGTCGGTTATTTGCAGCGCAAGCGACGATGGAACGGTGTGCTGGGGTTTTCCAGTCTGTGATTTGCCCGTACATTGGTTTTGCTGGGTCTTCTTCATCATATGGAATAGTACGGATGTGCCGGATGCCTTTTGGATGTATTTGAATAATGCAATCCTCTCCGAATTGTTGAATGCCAAGAGTTGTTGTCTCAGCTAAAAGGCCGCTATGTGGAGCCTCCTCGACATCATCACCAATCCTAAGAACAAGTGTGTGATTAACCAGGGAGAGAACAATATATGTGTCGTGCTCATCATCAGCCCTCAACTTGGCAGTCCAGACAGAGGTAGCACGTTGCGGAAGTTGGGAGTCTACAAGCTCAAGAACATCCAGTGCATTCCTGGTGGTTCGGAAAGTGCTTCGTGCACCGGTCCCAGAAACGGTGTAGATTTGAGGCGCGTCTTCCATACTCAGATTGGCAACTTCCATATCCATAACGGGGCTCATATTTGGGATCTTTTCGACCGGATTGAGATTCTGAAGCCCCCTTAGGTGGAAAAATGGTGGGGCGTAGGATGCGGTCGGATCAGATGGGAATTGGTCGCTAGAAAAAACAAGCTCACTATGGTCATCCCCAAGCGTCTCAAGTTCATAAAGAAGTCGATCCCCGGCTTCGGAGGCACAGTAAACAAAGCCAGCTCTCAGAAGGCATATGCTTGAGGCGACAGGGATTGTGTCAAAGTACCATATGTTAAGGCGTTCTACCTTGCCATTCTTGATATCGAAGGTAACCTTGAAGACATCGCCGTCTTCAGACTGGAGCAGATAGAAGAAGTTGCCTCCCTTAAGCGTATACAGAGTTCCCGCTACAATATATCGTTTGCGATTGGGGTCCTCGGTTGCACCTTCTCGGCGAGGAATAGCTAATCGGAGAACCTTGTGTTCATAAACATGGTAATACGTGATGTTGTCCTCTCCACAGCAAAGAACTCCGCTTGGGAGGTCATTTCCTCCTGGTACGCGGAAGAGAATGTTGGATGTCCGGTCGACTGTAGTGCGTCCCCGGTGAACGACGTGATTCAGGCCTAGGTCTAGCTCATAATAGCTCAACTCCTTCTTGACTTCTTGATATGCCTCTCCACTAGCATCTGCATCCGACTCCGAGTAATCTACTTCAAGAAGAGCAAATATAGGGTTCTCGTATCCAACGTCCATGCCAAGAGCGTAGTACACCAGGGTTTGGGGACGGTGCACACCCAAGGGTGATGAGATGGAGATGGAGACGTCAGTCTGGCCAGTCCGGCTGAGGGTCCAAACGAGCTTGTCTTTCTCAATTGCCGCCATCAAAATGGCTCTGCCTTTTGGGTCTGCCGCAAGGTACTGGCCCGGTATTGCACGTCGGATTCCAGACTTGCCGAAAGTTTCATAGTGGATCGTCTTCAACTTGCGCTCAGCAGGCAGGTACTCGAAGGTCACAAGCCGACCAGAGTCGGTAGATATGGCAATGAAATCTGGAGTACTTTAGCATGATTCTCAAGTGAAAGCCGCATTCTCCACCGCGTGTTCTAAGAGCGAGGCCGTCGGAGGTGTGGTGGTGCCTTAGAAAATCACTAAGTGGGCTTTTGCGCGTGTGCAAGAAAAACATACCTTTGCTTCCGCCGGCGAGCCGGAACTTATCGATGGCACGAATGATGCCGAAGACATCCTGAGAAAATATCTCCGTCAGACCGCCGTTGGCCTTGCGCGAGACTTCCAGAATTGCGAGACGGGATCCGCTAGCAGTGAGAATGTGCTGCTTCCCGCCGCCCAGGAAGTCGCCGACCATGGCCTGTTGCGTTGCAGTGGGTCGCTGTATGGTCAACGCATACAGCGACATGGTAGAGAAGCTTGTCATCTTGGGCGACGGTGGGCACAGGCCCAGACAGTGATTGGGATATGTGGGCTCGACGCAACTGACAGCGCGTCCTTGATGGCGGCAGAAGTAGGAGAGAGAAGGAGCACAGAAGCAGGGCGGCCCGCGGAGTAGGCGAGAGATGAATGACGGCTACACCTTGGTTGCGAAGAGAAGTTTTGGAGTTTACGGAGCTTGGGCCACTTGCGCCAAGCCTCGTCTTGGCATTTGCTTCGTGTCGAGTGGCAGTGGATGGCAGGTGGCGTCTTTCACGAACACTATTCACTCGTCATACTATCTCAAACAGCTCCATACAGCCCTCAGTGAGGTGATTTCTAGCGTGGATGTCGAAGTCCTTTAGGAATTCCATTGAGAGCCGCATACATCTTCCTATCTTGGCCCTTCTCTATTCCTTCCTGCTCAACCCTTTGCATTTCTGCATTTGTAAAGCTACGGTTCTCTTACCCAAGAGTCCTTTCATAACACCCTTTCCTCTAAAACTATATATATTTCATTTCAGACGTCCAAAGGTCTCTGTTATCAAGATAGAGGAAATCATCATTAGATACAGAGACAAAATCTTACTACATATAGCCATCAACCAGCGCCGGGTATCAAATTGCCTCCCAAACTGTCATCTATGTGGTGGGAGTGGTCTCTTACAGCAGAATTACAGCGCCAGCTGCAGCCGCCGCCATTCCAGCACCGACGTACTTCACTGCTCCCGTCGGCCTTGCAGCAGGGGCAGCGTCATGGCTGACAACGCTGGAGAATATTTTCTCCCTCTCATCGGCCATGCTCTGGAGGTAGTCCTTGACATCCTTTGGCATAGCTGTATACCACGCTGGCACCCTCGTATACGTTGTAGTCTCGTCTGTCGCAGTGATAACGGACGCATCAACATCAGTTCGTGTTGCGACGAATTCGCCAATCGCCGACGTCACACTAGCATACTTCGGATCGGCTGTCAAATGTGTGACATAGGTCGAGTAGGCCGATTCTAGCTGCGATTCTTTCTTGGATGACCATTTTGAAGCCTAAGATCACGTTAACTAGACTGTCCGGGAGGGCAGAGGTGCCTCCATACTGCAGCGGTGTCCTTGAAGCTCGTTGAAAAAACCGAAGTCGTTGTAACGATGACGAAGTCTGCAGCAACAGTGCCTACAAAGGCTGCAGAGAGGAGGCGTCGAAAGAGCATTCTAGGTATAATAATGAGGGATTCAATTTTTGAAAACGAAAATGGGTCTCTCCAGATGCAGAATTTGAATTGGACAAACGGTTGGCTACCCACAACAGTTGCTATCGCGCGGCGGTCCCTGACTTTTATACCTTAGAAGCACGAGTCCCCAAGTACGAGAACAATTCTTTGGGTCGTGCGACTACCTCGATCAAGCTCATTAGGTAGCATTCGTCCCACCCTTGGGCCTAAAGCTGGACGAATCGACATGTGCCAAGGCGAGGGTCTCCGGCTTACCTTCGTATCCGCTTCAATCGGTTCTCCTGACCTTGTGTATTCTGGAGCGACCATCGTTATTCCCCGTCAAGTTGTTGTTTGGGGCGCACGGGGGAGAATCCTGACAGCCTCGTATCACGCTCTAATTAGCTCCCCTCCAAAAGAGACCTTTCTGTCCTACCCTGCTAGTTGCTCGATTTGTGTGCTTCGACACACTCCATCACTTTTCCCGCTAAACATATCTCCATAACAGTTGTCCAAGACCGCTTCAGCCTTACTACGCTAAATCTAACCTTGAGTAATTTTTATTGTATTCCTTGATGAATCCCTGATTCTCTCCGACACTATCGAGCGTCTCACGCACACAGGCAAGCTACTCGTCTGAAGGATTCAATTAGACTCATTGGCCCGGCATTGTAGCTTGTTACGACGTTACCCATGACCAGGCGTCCCGGAATGTTCCCTGAGCAAAGGCAAGGGCGCTAGTTTACTCGGTTCCCTCCAATGAAATTCCTCCATCAGGGGCAAATGCGAGACTTAGTATATACTAAGCACTAAGCACGGCAACCCACTGCAAAGGTCACGGGGACACAACGATCTGCCTTGCCCACGTCCTCACCGGAACTTTCTTACCGTAATATTTCACTTTCCTCTGTTGGAACCAACATATGATTGAAACCAAGTTGAATGACTATCCATTGTGCTGAGATTCTTTCCACTCTTTTACCGAATCTGTGTGCTTCTCATGGCCAATACAGCGCCTAATAGCACCACACACTAGGCCAGTATCATTTGCATTAACTATTACCGCAAAGGCCGATGTCTTAAGGGATGTGTAAGAGATGCGGAGCATACCACCATGCTAAGGCATGAAACATGCCTACGGATGCCGTTGTCCTCACTGCGAGCACGCCTTTGGATCCCAGCTCTACTTGCCCCCGCGAAAACCAGGGTAGTGACTGACGCATGCGAATGTAGTCTCTAACGTCTCAAGACTAATCCCTGTGACAGAACCTGGAGATTTTATCTACTCATGCTATGGGGAGCGATAGAACTAGTTCTGTTTGAAGATGCCATTCCTTGCTTTGGCTCAGACTTTGATGGAGGTGAATCTGACGCCAGCTGCAGAGAGAATTTGTACAGTTCCCGTACGTTATCTCATATCACTAAAATTGGGGAGTAGGGTTAGGGGGAACTCGGAGAGGTCATTGATGGAAACAGTCTCAACGTCTAAGCCTCCTTTTTATTTCAGATCCCTCCCAGTCAAGCTCCGCTAGTGAGACCACGTATCAAAATGTACCACTGGTTTCCCCATAAACAACCTCCTTGAAACCTCTCAGATGTGCCCCACGCACTTTCAATAACACGCCTTACACCACCCATCATGCCAGGACTACAAAAGAACAGCGCCGGCAGCCGCGGCCGCAGCCATCCCAAGACCCACGCCAACCGTCCGCATTAGTGCCCCTCCCGTCGCTATCCCCGTTTCTAGAGCCTTCCGTATACTCACGATGTCACTCGCAAACTGGTCCGGAAACTCCTTTGCTTGTTTTGGAAGTTCAGTGTACCAATCCGGCACGGTCGTGAATATGGTAGGAAGGACATCATTTGTCACAGCATCCGGGATGTCGGTATAGGTGGCGGTACGGGCAAACCCATCGATCTCGCTCTCGGCTGATGAGAGCGCTTCTATCCAACTGGTACCTTTTTCGGAAGCATATGAAATCAATGCAGCGGCGATAGCGCTTTCATAGTCACTTGACCATTTGGACATCTGAATAGAATGAGCGGGGGATTTGGTGTGAAAGGAGAAGGTCAAAGAGAGAGCGATATACATCTGCGTCGTTTTTGAACGTAGTAGTGGGTCTTGGTGGGAGATTCGTTATGACGACGAAGTCTGCGTAGATTCCCTGGATGCTGAGGGCTGCCACTGCAAAAAAAGAAAGCTGGAGATGCATGGTTCCCAGTCTATTCAGAAGATATAAAGGCTACTAAGTATATGGTATCTACTCCCGGGACAAGAGAGATTTTCAGGGAGAGCAGGAAACGATATGGAAGTTGTTGTCGCGGGTCACAATTGACAGGAGATATCACGTCTGCCTTACGAACTCCAGCAAGCTTAAATATTATCCTCCAGACTTACTTCTCCCTATCCACCGCCTCATCTTCACGCCGTAATTCTCATAGTCTTGAAACCACATCGTGCGGCACGGAAAACGGAGTCACACCGGAGACCCGCGCAGCTCGGCGAGGAATCTTAGGTGCTATAAAAACTGAAAGCAAGTTCTGCTCGAATTCTCTGTTAACGGTCGAACTTGATATTTCCGGGGCCGCGATCTCAGCCCTTACTCTTGCGAGAGTAAAGTGCCTTCAACAGAACTACTAGGTAAGAAATCCAGGAGGTTGAACGATGCCGCCCGGCCCCCACTCGCGACATAGTTCACATCCTTCAAAAGTGGTTAGCGCTTTGATTTATGCTCAGACGATGCAGACAGTAAATCATTGCCTCTCAGCCATGTTCTCCATCGTTAAATACAGAAAGCTCTTCATCATATCCACCACCTTTTCCCAGCACCGTTCACCTCTCTGTGGTCACCCATCACATCGCCAACAAGTTCACTGCTCTGCAGACAATAACAGCGGCCCACTTGTTTATCGAGGAAGTTCCGTATTCCACAGCAGAAGTGGCGGAGAAAGAAGCCTAGAATAATATACAATACATATCCAGACAAGAAAACATGCTTCTGGCGCTCAGTTCCATCTTGAGAATCTACTATAGAGCCCAGTCATTAGCAGAGGGCTTATAAAGTTAGGACGTTAGAGAACAGCTAAACGTGGGTCTCACAGAACGAGTGGGCTTTGATACTAATAAGGGGATGTTGTTGCTCTTGGAAAAGACGAGCGGCACTATAGCAAAGCCACTGGTTTGAGCCCGAAGATCGTATTCATTTGATAGGCTGCTGTATCGCACTTGTTGATGCAAACGCCCTGTTTGCTAATGTATGCGGCTGAGGCTGCGGGTTTCTAACGCATGTCAGCATTTGAATCGGAGGGGTGCGGCAATGACTGTTCGAGCCTGGATTGGAAACCATGTGCCTCAATTTACTCGGGGTTCTCACTTGCGACGTTGGGACCTACGCCATGGCAGGGCTATAGATGACATCACAATTGATCCATGTACCCCTCTCTGGTGTATATATAATTTTTTGTTCTTGTTTTGTAAACACAAGGCTGAAGACTAGTTCTCGCTACATCATAGACTTGCTTCGTACTCTATCAAGCTTTATGTTGACAATGTTCTGTCTCGAGCACAAGACATTCCTTGACTCGCACAGAATGAATTCACGGTTCTCTCGGAAAATTGCCACGGATACGTTCCTGTCCTGAACTTCTGTAGCCTGTAGCAAACTCACTAGGCATACAAACTGATAGGCGTTGGAGCTTTAGTATGTTCGGCCGTAGAGAAGCAGTGTGGCTAGGGTTGACTCACTGTACATCGTCTTTTCGAAGGAACCTTTCTGAATCTTGAAATTATGGCTGTTATTCTCGGTTCCTTCCATTTCATTGTAATTTGAAACTGATAGGATCTCTTGCGCGACCGTCCAGAAGAGTCGCCAATATGTTTTTCTGGGAACCGAAACGAACTTCCTCGTCCTCTATTGAAAGGTGTCGTAGAGGGAAGTGGCTTGAATGTTTGCCGTCGGACAACGGTTGGTAGCACACTGCGGATACAGCTAGGCAAATTACTCCCTGTCGTGATTTACCAACGTAGGTATGAAGCCCGATCACTGTAAGGGGCGGCTTAATTAGGTATTAAAATATGATACCTGCAAGATGCAAAATTTTACTTCAGTGGGGTAGGAGCTAAGAAGGGATGACTCCCAAGGAATGGTAGTATAAGGACTGGAAGTCATAGTTATGTCCGTACTCCATATTGTCTCATAATCCATCAGGTCTTCGATCACTACAAGGAAAATCGCTTAGGAGCCGGCAAAGCGAAGTGCCTTAGAAATAGCTAGCATTGGTATGGCAACTATCCAGGGAGCGGAAAAGCAATATGAGGATCGCTGTAAGCTAACCAGGAAGGACGCGGGTGGATATCTTGATGCTAGGATATCGATTCCATTCTCTTTCTGCTAGAATGCTAGAAAGAAGAGAGCTTAACAGAACATATATCATTGATACGTGAAATTGGCCTATTTTGGAGAAGATAGTAATGCATAATAGCCTATTCTGTGTAGTATTTACAAACATGCTTGGTTATATTAATGTCTAGAGAAAGGACCAATAGTAGAGAAGAAACATATGTCAACCTTCATACCGAGACTCGAGATGTTACCATGTGCCCCATATTGCAGATGCTAGATGCACCAATATCAAGCTAGATAAACTTTGAATGCCTCGGCCCACCTCCTCTCGTATTAGTAAAGCCACAAATTGCATACATTTAGTTAACACTCCGAGTAGTAACGACGATAGTAGATTTATGACGGCATGCAGGACTGATGTGATTATAGACACTTTCTTGCAGTCTCCACGATAGATAGTTAAGTTCAAGAATCTCAAATGAAATACTAACAGGGGCCTTATCCTAAATACAAATGTACTTTTTTCAGGGCTCTTCAACTCATTCTTACACCAATTGATTCTAATAATTATTCTCTGTGGACCCCTCTGCCATCGGTAGCAGATAAACAGGATGGCGTGTGACGTGGAACGAGGTAATTATGGTCAGTCCCATCTTTTGCAAAGAATCTGACGTATCAGCATATCTAGAAATGCAGGATGCATTCAGCGTAGCATGCGAGCGTGCGTCTCGTATCCCCATTCCTTCTAACGCCAAGTCCTCATACGCTAGAAGCACGCACAGCAGCGTCCTGGTAACCTCGACGAGAATATATTCTGATATTGTGTGTGCCCACGGCTACTCTGATCCTCCTCGTCAATTTCATTATGTGCTGTCTCTCTAAGTCCTATTGCACTGCCTCGTTGATTGCATTACGCTGACTCCCCAAAGAATAACTGCAATGACAGCCTCCGCCGTACAGCTCAGAAAAACTCTAGTTACACAAAGGATTAACTCGTCACTGTGCGTAGGAGATCCCTCTGGAGGTACAGCAGACGTCGGGACCCGTACGGAAAGGCTAGGCATCATCCGTTTGACCTGAAACGAAGTGACTTGCGGCGACACCCCTTATTATGGATGCGATTGTTTTAACTCTGCACTTCCTCTCGAATCTTCCTCTCAAATAGATCGTAGAAAGGCCGTGCATAATTGTGAATCCCGGCTTTATTGACTGGACCCACAAACGGCCAACACAAAGCTGATTCTCACAGCCTCGCGCCCTGTTGAGAGGACCCGCGTAGAGAAGGCAAAGTGTGGTACACCGTGAAGAAGGTGGTGAGAATTGTGGCTAGTTACACCCGTTCTACAATTCTGTGATTGAGCTTAACTTCTGTGTAACAGAAACGTGGATAGACTTCAGATTTGGTAACATTGAACGCATTCGTGTTAATATTGTGTCGTATACAGCAATTACTTTGACCCGCCCTTCCTTCCTGCCTCCTTCGCCGCCTCGCTCCCGGGTTCGAAAGAGCCGCCCGAAGCTTTGCCACCCATGGAAGCGATCTCACGCTATCGGTTTTAGAATAACGTTCCTCGGGTAGATTCAAAGTAGGATTGACAGTCATACCTGTTTGTCTGCATCCATACTAGCAAAGCCGCCTTGGTGCGATGCCTCTCCACCCTTCTTCGCGATCTTCTGAACCTCTTCCGTTGGGCGGTTGGCAAAGTTGCCGGGATTGGTGTTACTGGTCATTTTGATATAGGGTGATGGAATATGGTGGCACGTGAGGGTTATCGAACTGGCTGATTAAAGTGAATATTGGCTGATTTGCTCTGGCGAACTGATGGTGGTAAGAGGTGACTCGATATGAGCATTTATATGTTTCCTTTGGGACTCAAGGATGGCGGTTCTGCGTCACAGTATCATCATGGTGCATTCCCGCAACGGAATCGTCGCTCCAATTGCACAATATAAAATTTGATATGTCACGATCGTGTCGGAATCGTGAATATCGCACCCAGATCCACAGATGGTAGCTCTTTGACATGACGTGTACATGTCGTTAGTCTTTGGCACGGACGTGGTCGAACTCAGTGGACTACTATGATGCGCGCGATCTGATCGAGGGATCGAATTTCGACTGCGGGATTGTAGGGAAGTGGTAGATGTCATCACGAGGCATGGACTAATTAGAAGTGTTAAAGTCCAGCTCCAAACCTGAGCAGTACGGGAAAACTAGATTATTTTTAGATCCGCCTGAGGTCTTAGATTATCTAGAGTCTGCCTTTGACCGGTCCAGAAAATTAAATAGGTTAGCACAGCGAGGGGTACGCATTCACATGCTGGTTCTATTCACCTCCAACTTTTTTTTTTAATAAAAAAAGCTGTATTGATCTATCTAGATGGGTTTGATGAGCTCCTCGATGAAATGTTTGACGAGGGGCTTGGTGATGAGCGTGATGGGATGAGCTCAGTGAGATGAGATGCGCTCACTGAGCTGAATGAAAGGAAACTTTAACCCACCTTTGATATCATACTGTAGAAGGAAGAGTTGAAGATATATAGAGAGGGAGGGGGAGGGAAAGGGCAAGGAGAAGAGGGTACATAGAGTTATTTCAGCTTTGCTCCGAGCTTAGAGGGTCTCTACTTCCTGTACGGTAAAAAGATGACCCCCTGAGGTCTTTATTGCACCAAATTATCTAATTTAGAATCCTTTTTTCTAACCAACCCTCTGTACCATACAAAATCAGTGTAGTTTAAACTCCTGGTGGGCTGGGTTTTACCCGGATTTCCTGTTGTGAAATTGGGGAAGCCTAACCGACGCTAGTCCTATTCCTAACGCGGGTCACGGGAATATGCTAACACTCCTGTCATTGCGGGTTTACAGATTTTGATGAAGTTGTGTGAAGACCGGGAGCGTTAGACTTCACACGCACAACAAAATGTTTCAAGATCTCCTTTCATGCCATTACCATCCTTCGCCATGGCGACACTTTTCACGCGAAGATCACCCAGAAGGGCAAGGAACTTGATGGAGTGTTCATACAGAGGACGATTCATTCAGACTTTGCCTTGCACTGAAACCTTCTCCTCCCGATTCAGAAGTTTGATGGATTACGTCATGTAAGCCAGCACACACGGTGTACTCGCCTAAAGCGGAGCCAAAGTTTCGCCATCAGCTATTCCGCGGAACCGTCTATCCGCTAAAAAGACTACTGCCGCTCGGCATCAGCCCTCGACATTGATGAACTGTGAGCTAGGTTTGATTTCATTCTTTTCGAGCCAGGTTCCTCGTCCACATGAGGTTCACGGATAAGGTCGGGACTGCTCCGTTCGAACGAATCCCACAAGTTCTGGCCGGTTAAGTACTAATGAGGATATCCGAGGTATGTAACGTGCTTAGGATTCCACAGTTTATTCTTCCAACCCGGTCCAAGCCTGGGAGGATTCACTACGTAGCAAGGCTAACTACACCTTTGCAATTACCTATGAGACTCTCTTCCGTACTAGTCTTGAACTCGGAATTTTACAAAGAGGGTAATGTTGTCCCTAAGCCTCAGCCGGTCCTTAGAAATGACACTATGCCGGCCGAAGGAGGAATCTAATAGCGTCAAGCGTCACGATGGATCCATTCGTGAGAATCCCAAGGCCCAGTTCGGTAACCGAGACTTGGCAGCTTGATTCGGAAGCCTGGAATGGCTGCGAACACATTTTCAACTATATATACAGGATTACTACAATTATCGAACACATACGACCAAAGGCGCTTGAAAACGATAGACCCCGTTTGATCTCTGATGTCTAAGCTTGCGACCGGCCGGTCAGTAGTTGGGTGGGAGACCACCAGCGAATCCCGGCTGTCGTATGTTTTTTTGGGCCTCATGGCTTCACAATACTCCTTTTTGTAGGGTTGGGTCTTCTATTCAGCGCATGATGTAATTAATAGTTATAAGGAAGACATCTTGCAAGATTAGAATAACTCAGTAGGGATGATTTGATGGACCACGACCAGGCTCATTTGTAGGTCAGCCAGTTATCCTTCTCCGGATCCGTACGATAACCCCCTTCGACGAGAAAGACAACATTCAGCACTTCATGAATAATTTCAACTCGGAAATACGGTATTTTAAGCCTAAAATCATTCAATTTAGCAAGCGTAGACGAGACGAGCAGATTGAATCGGCTTCAACGTCACATGAATCCTCCTTGAGCGGCAGGAGATAATCACAAGCATACTTCGTCGCTTCATGTTCACTTCAGCTGTCTGTCTTCATCAAGATAGATATATCGCTGGATACTATTTGTCTGACCACACTATATACTGACATCGCAATTGAAGAATTCCATCTTTCGAAGCACCGACTACAAGACTTTATCCCAAAGCAACCCATTTACAGAAAGAATCGCAGATCCAAGTCCGCAGAATTCCAAATAAAACGCCTCCTCCAAAAGTCGCTGAAGCCTTTCCTAAAGGCCAGCCGAGCTAGACAAACAAAAGAAATCATCAAGTCATACAGATCCAATCGGAAAGAAAGACTGCCGTTATTGGCAGGGAGAGGCGATGCCAGCCTGAGTGGGGTAGCGAATGCTTGTCTATGAAAACGGATCCGTTGATACGGAGAGAGGTAATCCCGAGCCGAGCCAAGATACGACTGGGAGCCCGAGAGGTCGAGCCTCCTTGCAGAAGGCATTGAATTGAGATGACATGTCGGGTTCAGTGTCTCACGAGTCGAGGTGGGACGTGAGTGCTTGTATCCTCTGAAAGGCGGGTTCCATGGCAGCACACATCCTCTCGAAGCGCTCCATCAACCGTTGCGTCTCAGCTTCATCAGAGATGAAGAGCTCAAAATGAGCGAACACCTTCTCCGGGCTGGCGTCACCGAAAAGTGATTCATGGTCTTCGAGAGGAGCGACAGTGGTGGTAATGGTAGATGGAGCGGGCGAGGAGCGGTACAGGTCAAACTCGGGATCATCATCCTCCTCGTCAACCTCAACAGGGGCGGGCTTCTTAGATTCTATGGGACGCTCGATCACGGGGAAGTCGGGCTTAACGTCTTCGATGGGAGAAGAGTCCTCAGCGAGGAACGAGCCGTGACCTTTACCAGACAAAGCATCAGTGTCGATAGGGGTCGATGGTCCCTCTGGGAGCTCGAGGACAGCGTAAACCTGGGGCTGCTGGAAGTTGAATGAGTTCATGCTGTTCATTCCCCAGTTGTTGCTGCTCGTGTTGAGGTTGAGTATAGACAAGTCCAACTGCGTCTCGGGGATAAGAGCCATCCCAATCTGGGGGTTCTCGGGTTGCGATATGCTGCCAAACTGCTGACCCTGGTACGGGTTGATATCCTTACGGGCTGGGGCTGGAGTCGGAGTAGGGGCTGTTGACATGGACATGCTCGGCTTAGCCTCGAGGCTCTCATCACGCGACAGTTCCTCAAGGAACGGAGTGAAAGCTTGATGTCGCAGAAGGCGCTCGATGAAAGCCCTTGAGCGAGCATTCTCCTCCATGAGAGCGCGGTTTTGGGAGCGAAGCTCGTTGGCTTCATTTGTCTTCATGGCAACTTCGCCTTCAAGCTGGCCGATATACTCTGCGAATCGTTAGCGAAATGTTGATTATACTCCCTGATATACTGACCCTTTCTCCTGGAACGGAAGGCGCGAGCGGAAACCTTGTTTCGAAGTTGGCGTCGCTCCTTGGAGCTGAGCTTCTTGCCTTCTTCAGAGGCAAGGAGCCTCTCATCCTCGTCCATGTCTTCCTCATCCTTCTTCATGCGGACGATGTGAGGTAGCAGGCCTTGAGAGTCCCTGTCAGCTTGCGAGCCTAGTGTATTCTGGCTGTTTTGACGGATCTGGTTGACGACCCGAGCGATCGTCTCCTCGGTGCGAGCATCGGTGATCTGATGGGAACCACTCCTCCTATTAGGATGGAGACGATTTTGTTGCTGGTGGGTGGCCTGCTTCTGTTGCTGCTGAGCCAGCTGCTGTTGTCGCTGCTGCTGGGCTTGTGCCTGAGCCTTCGCCAAGGCGGCCTGTTGCTGATGCATTCCAGGCCACACGCGGACGTTCGTAACCTCCTCTTGCGTAATGGCGCTGGGGTCCACGAAAGCATCCGGCTGTGATTGGGACGCGTCGTTGGGATAGAAATAGGCGGGTTGCGACAGGGAGAGGTCGAGATTCATGTTCACGTCTGATCCCATTCCCAGCCCACTATTCCACCCAGCATCCAACATGGAAGAATCGCCCATTAAGCTCACCTCATCCAGGCCAGTGGACGAGAACATCGAGTAGCCTCCATTGAACGGCTGGCTGAGACCAGCAATAGAGCCAGAGGGAAGACCGGTCTGCTGCTTGAAGCGATCATACTCATGGCTGGGTTTCGCTGGAGTCTGAAGGTCCTCGCCGTCGAGTGCGGTGTTTGTAGGGCTAGTGATGGTCGATGCAGCGTTTGAGGGGTGTCGTGATGCGCTGGAGGGTGTTGGGGAAGGAAGTTGGCTGAAGTCAAAGAAGGAATCCGTGTCAGGATCCAGACACTGGCTGTTGAATGACGGGGTCATGGTCATTGCATGCTGTATTGCAGTTGCCATGGATGATGATGCCTATTGCGAGTCTCTGAGACGGGTGCGAAAGGTAGCAGAACGGGCTCCTCAGGCGTCAAGATGGTTATGTTGCGAGGTGTTCGTGTTGCAGATGGCCACTGGAGACAGGACAGGCTAGGCGTCTGAAAGTCGTCGTAAGCTCGCTTCTTTTTTCCGGTTGATCCGCTGCCGTGGCTTAGCCTGGGTCTCCTCACGTGTTGGGCGTCTTCGCGGTGCTTGAGAGTCGTCTTTTAGCGGTGGAAGTTGATGAATATGTGTCGAGAGAGAGTCGTGAAGATTGTGTTGCGAACGAAGGAAGTTGTATGAGGACGGTCGAAGGTCCGTCGACGGGTGCTGGAAGTCCTTTTGCTGGTTCCAGCGTCAGGGAGGCGTTTCAGTGAGGCGGAGCCCACCAAAAATACCCACTCGCCATGAAATCGCGCCCCCAGTCTCCTCGGCGCTGCTCCTCTTTCGGCGTCCCCTGAGCGCTTCGTGCCTGCTTCAGGCCTTTCACAAAGGCTGCAATTGAACGGTAATTTATTTTCTCCGTGTAATTCATGCTGAATTGTCGCAAGTCTTCTCCATTCATGCTTCACATCATTGGAGACTCTAGGACTGGCTTCCATCCAGACCTCAACCCTCCACCCATCGCCAGGTCTCTCCACAACCTGAGTCCGATGCCCACACTGACAGCATCGCGGACAGCAGATCCAAGGCCTGGTGGCCTGCCCAGACGAGATGGAGGCAGGATTACGCACTCATCTGCACGTCGGTCGGTGGAGACTCGCCGACACCGATTTCTTCGATCTGTCGCAGGCCAACCACAGCACAAGAATCACCACACAACAGAGGCTGTGCAAGCAAACAACCTTCTTTGGGGAAGACCTTGCGAATGCACGCGATTCGCCCGCAAACGGCCCTTCTTTGGCCTTCTCTTTGGCCTGCCAGCTGAACTAGTAGTTACGGCCTGCTGAACGATATTGTATTTCCTGACTTGGAAGGTCTTCCCAGTGGCATGCATCCAAAACTTGGAGCAGTGAGGCTCAGGGAGACAAAGCCTCTGCAAAATTGTCATGCTCCTAGGCAGATTCGCAGCTTCTCACATCATTCTGCAATGATTCCTTCAAATCGTAGTCTTTGGTGACCGCTCTTCAGCAGTTGGGCATTTGGCAGATATGCTCGTTGCTGATCCACCGGGCCCGAGATGTGCCCTCGGAACCCCAGACGCTCAGCGACCGGATCCGAAGACAACCACCAACGTCACCAGCATAAGCATGTTTCCTGAATCTCTCCGCCTTCCGGTCTGAGCATATCAAAGATGAAGTCAGCATTTCTTACATCCTTCTCCTGTTCGCAAAAATCAATTTCCAACTGCCGAAGACAGCAATCGGTCGTTTCTCGAACAAACAGTCTCATAAGGCCTCTGACCCATCGGTCCCGTTGGCTGCCATCACGGAAGTCTTGAAACGCCCTAACGGTGCCATGTGGGCCGACAGCACTGTCGCTGGGAAGCAGTCTGTCCCAGGGATAACTACCGGCTCGGATTCTAATTCGTACGAGGCTTCGGGCCATCACCCAACGACTTTCCCATGCCGTTCCAGAACTTCGAATGCATGACCAAAATGAGCAAAACCCCCTCAGGAGACCCGAAGACGTCCCGAAACCTGCTCATTGATCTACCGGCATGGTGCCGGATTGAGTGTGTGGAGCACAGATAGCTGGCGCAGGTGTGCCCCAATACTGCGCCACACCCGCTCTGCTTGCCCTGTGAAGTAACAAAATATTCACTTCAGCTGTCAAGTCCCTGCAACACGCGTCGACCTTTGGGGCTTTATTGATCCTTCAACAGTTGATTTGGCTTCTGGATGGAATCTCGGTGCGAACACGAGGATGCCTCAAAATCTACCCCTATTCACCGTTTACGCTTATCCATTTCCCCACCTATTGATGTTTCGATCACTGCCTCATCTATCTCTCATGTGGATGCTAGACCGGGCTATTGGCAATTCTGGGAAACGTGCTTACCAGACTGGAATATTGCTTGGGGATGTCATGCAATGAGACCCACAAGCTCCGCCCACGGTTCCCCTGAAAGATTCGTCAATCCTCGACCGAAACGGTCTTTTTCTCTCCCCGTTAATATTCTTTAGACCACAAGCCTTTGGGCAAAGATTCAAGGCAAAACAAGAACATCCTAGCAGACGAATGCAGCAACCTTGTGGCTTCCGTCTATCGGGACGTCTCCCGTTCCTCCACTGCTCGGATTCGGATCGATATCTATAGCTATAGTGATTTCTAGAAAAATCTGACCGATATTCCCCGACATCACTACACGATGCTACTGCGTGTTTCCGCATTGATATTGCTACCAAAATATCTTCGATCTTTAATGCTCGTGCAGATTCCAGACAATAAAAGACAATGCTTCGATATCCAAAGTACAAGAATAGCTAGGAAATATTGATCTCATACGCCCTGCCATAGAACGCCCTTTCCAACCTATGAACAGGAAATTGATTGAATACAGTGCGCTTTCTTGCACCCCATCAACTACTGTCATAATTATCCTCTCTTAATATCACCACTTTATGTTACGGTTCCTTCTCTCCGAAGGCATGACGACCTTCCGGCAAGTCCCGTTGCAGACCCCCATAGCATAAACCACTCCACCGCTTCCAGCCATCCTCCGATGCTCTCCCTGTCCAACGCACGCACGAACTGAAAACAACATCATTGCCACAATGCAGTCGTCGTCGTCGTCGTCCTTTCAGCTCAGCTGTCTTGGTCTGTGGATTCCAGAGTCTCGACCTGTGTACGACAACTATCCATAGAATGTTTCGTCCCTTGAGGAGTTTCTCGATATGGTAGCTTCCCCATATAACATCTAAAACAAGACCAATTGAATCTACGAAATCGACGGGCGAAAGCGTTATAATATGCCACTTAGTGGTGTGGCTAGCCATATGGGAATTGTCGTACACATCTAGCGTTAACGAGTAGATAGTAGGCGCCGCTCACATTGACATCCTACGTTTCAACACCCGATACCTAGGAAGGTGGTTTCCTTCATGGAGTGACGGAAAGCTGTATCAGCGGCAGTAACTGAGTCCTACTTGAAGAGTGAGAAGCATTCCGGTAGTTCACGATAGCACGGTGGAGGATTAGGATTGAGAGGAGTACTTATTTGGCCTCAACGCCTGCTACCATCTTCGACATTGACAATCCGCTCTAGTGGCTCCGATTATATAATAAGGCTCCATCGTTGAGGAGCCCCGCATTCTAATGGCCCAGGCTTACAACCTGCTTCTCCTAGAATTCACATCGCTGCCTTCGACACAGTTCATCTTAGCCTTCGCCCTGTACCGCTCTTGGCTTCCATGATATCTCCTCAGCCGACCTCGCTGTAGCATTGGCACAACTGTCTTCAGCCCCTCGAGCTTGTGTTCCTCGCTCTACAACTAATTCGAGGGGAACAATCTGCAGTCCAGCCAATCCATTAGTGGCCCTTGCTATCACCAGCTCCCGCTCTGACGAATAGATGAGTGACACGACAGCCTCCTAATAGGACATTCATATCATCAACGTCGAATATTGCTGGAATTAGGGATGCAGGATAGCCTGCCCTACGTTTGTGTGTAGCGTATGCATTGCGTTAAGAGTCTAGTTACTGCACTTTTCCGCCCCCCCCCGTACTGCAGGTGTTGCCCCGACTAATGCTGTGTGCCAGAATGTCTTGCACTTCCCACCTACGCCACATGGCGTCCGATTTAGTATCTCTTGCCCAGCGGACACAAGAAACAACATGGTCAACATCGTCTTATTCCGGAGTGGAAGACTGTGGAACTAGTATCTAGTTTATATTCGCCTGGGGCAACGGCAAAGCTTGTGAAGGGGATCGGCTTCAGCTCTGAATATGCCATTTGAGCCTTAATCCAACCGAGAGATTGTCATAACACTAGTTTTACGAGCCCAGAACCCTGAACCACCTTGTACATTCGGTCGCTGTTTTGGAGCTGTTTGAATATATGTTGATATATTTAAGAAGGTCGGAGAGTTCACTGCCACTCTTGCTCCATTTCTCCAAGGTCGGCTTTACAAGCATTTCTCCAGACTTGGCTCCTGGCGTCTAATGTTTCCATCAATCTCTCACAATGACCTACGCTGCTCCCGACATAAATCAAAACACCTACTAGCTCCACCAGTATCAGAATAGCGCAATGGGATATTCCGCGAACGTTGCAGGCTGGACGTAACCCCATCGCGTGCAAAAACAGGAAAAAGCAGAGTTATTAAATCTGTTTAATCGGCCTGCGCAAAGTAATTTAACAACATTGCTAGCGGTCAACTTAGAGCAGCTCTATTTGACGAATTTATTCGAATTCTAACAGAGCCAAGACAAATTGTACTAGGGGGGCAGAAATGGTTTGCAGTCTGGATTGGGCGCGTGAATTGCGCAGTCATGGCAATCCGGGATGCGGTTTGGGAAGGGAATACAGGCCCTATGGGACCCAACTAGCGAACCAAAATATGGGGGAATTCGATCGGATTAACTGGCCAATATTACATGTGGACTCAAAGTCTGGTAAGACATACTATATCCCTCTCACCTTTCAATCATCACGCTGAGCAAGGTCATGTTCTGAATTTGTTCCTGTCACCTAGACCATTCTTCCAATGCCACAAACATGAATCACACGGTCAATAGTGAAGTAAAAGCATTGCTACTATTTTGAGTTACCTCGGCACCAATACTTCAAAGTAACTGTCGAGAATAAACCAAACACGATCTGTGAATTGGAGAGGCCAAACCTAGAAGTTCTGCCTCGTAGCCTACTCCTTTCGACAATCATAACATCCTCCACTTTTCTGATCGCTATTCTTGAAGCCTACGATCCTCGTTGATAATCTATATTTAAATTTGAGTCTGACACCCACAAAATGCTTTCCAAGTAATCTCACATGAGGGTTGTATTCGCAAAAACCAGGATGTAGCCACTAAAAGTCGTCCTGTTCTGAATGCAGAAGTAGGCACTGCTGATAGGTATTCTTGGCGAGGAAGACCTTACCCATGACCGCTTTCCCAAAAGCCGTATCTCTGGGTTGAGTCCCTTCCAAATTGGATCCAAAAATTCATCACCCATTTGATTCGGGGCCTAGTGCCTATCCCACCAAGGGTAGCAGCCAGCCCGTTCCCAGCTAATAACTGCGGTGATCTTTCCCTCATGGACGGTATTTTTCTCGATAGTTATATCAGTATGCGTTAGGACGTATAAGCCTCCATCTAAAAAGTTGTCTTTCAGTTGTAGCAATTTCTCCTTGATAAGATTAGCATCTTTAATATCGTGAACTTGGGGGAGTCCATACAGAAGCCCTTTGGAAATATTTCCGAAGTATTTGCATCCAACCGAAACAGGGCATTTACCAGGCGGAATTCTCTTGTGGGGTGGACTGACATCTATCGTTTTTGAGAAACTGGTGAGGTATATTGGCGTAACTTCCCAAGAGCTGTCTTGATCCGGTTCCCGTACTTGCCCTTTCTTTTCAATATACTTAATAATCAAAAGATAGTATATGTCACAGTTAACTAGGACACGCCTCGGACTCTCTCCGGAGAGCCCTCAGGCAGGCCCCCGGCACATATATATCCTTTCTCGTCTATCAATACTATCCTATAACCCTCTTCTGCGCTTCATGCTTCCTGCCTACAGTGCTCTCACAATATATAATTTAAATAATAGTTATATTACATAAAATAAAATACTATATGCTAAACCTCCTAAATTTAATCCCTAGCCATTTAAAAGGGGTTATAGATTTACTAGTTGTCTTTTTTATCCTACGCTTATTTACAGCCTCAGGCGATGATTTAGTATGAGACTCTAGGATCTGGTTCTGTAGCCGGAGGCATTCTTCAAACAATGAGAGAGCGTCACTATTGCGCCCTTGAGACTCCAAGGTGAGTGCGAGGTTTGTCATGCTGATCAACGTATCTGGATGGTCTGCCCCGAGCGTTCGCTTCCTCGTCTCCATCACTTGTGTTTCAAGCCCTTCGGCCTCCTTCCCCCGCTCTTGCTTCCTATATGCTGAAGCTAGGTTGGCCATGCTAGCCAACGTGGCTGGGTGCTCCGCTCCTAGTATTCTCTTTCTTGTATCTAGCACTTGTGCCTCGATATCTTCCGCGTCTTTCCATTGGCCTTGACTTCTGTGGAGGGACGCTAGGTTAACCATGCTATCCAATGTGTCTGGGTGCTCTACCCCTAACACTTTCTTTCTTATTTCTAGCGCTTGAATTTCTAGTGTTTCAGCCTCTTTCCATTTACCTTGATCCATTAATGTTGACGCCAGGTCGGCCATACTAGTTAACGTGTCTGGATGCTCCGCCCCTAATATTCTCTTGCTTACCTCCAGCACTTGTGTCTCAAGTTCTTCAGTGACTTTCCACCGCCCTTGATTTTTGTACAAGAACACTAGGTTGACCATACTGGTCAATGTGTCCGGGTGCTCCGTCCCTAGCATTCTCTTTCTCGCCTCTAGCACCTGTGCCTCGAGATCTTCGGAGTCTTTCCACCGACCTTGACTTCTATACAGAGACGCAAGGTTGGCCATACTGGCCAATGTGTCTGGGTGCTCTGCCCCTAATATTCTCTTTCTTGCATCTAACACTTGTGCCTCGAGTTCTTCAGTCTGCTTCCATCGGCCTTGTTTCCAGTATGTTAGGGCCAGGCTGGCCATGCTTGTTAGCGTGTCTGGATGCTCGCCTCCTAGTACTATCTTTCTCGTCTCTAGCACTTGTGTCTCGAGATCTTCAGTGTCTTTCCACCGCCCTTGATCTCTGTACATGGACGCTAGAGTGACCATGCTGGCCAATGTGTCTGGGTGCTCTGCTCCTAGTGTTCTCTTTCTCGCCCCTAGTACTTGTGCCTGAAGCTCTTCAGTCTGCTTCCATCGGCCTTGATCTTTTAACGTCGACGCTAGGTTGGCCATGCTAACCAGCGTGTCCGGGTGCTCCGCCCCTAACAGTCTCTTGCTCACCTCCAGCACTTGTATCTCGAGATCTTCAGTGTTTTTCCATTGGCCTTGATTCCTGTACAAGGAAGCTAGGCTAATCATGCTGGTTAATGTGTCTGGGTGCTCCGCCCCTAGTATTCTCTTTCTTGCATCTAGAACTTGTGCTTCGAGATCTTCCGCGTCTTTCCACTGGCCCTGATTTCTGTACAGGGACGCTAGGTTGGCCATGCTCGCCAACGTGTTCGGGTGCTCCGCCCCAAGCATTCTCTTTTTCGTATCCAAAATTTGTGTCTCGAGCTCTTCAGTCTGCTTCCATCGGCCTTGTTTCCAGTACGTCATAGCTAGGTTCTTCATACTACTTAGCGTATCTGGATGCCCCTCCCCCAGCACTCTCTTTCTTATTGCCAGAGCTTGTTTTTCTTGTGTTTCAGCCTCTTTCCATCTGCCTTTATCCATTAGCATTAACGCCAGGTCGGCCATGCTAGCCAACGTGTCTGGATGCTCTTCCCCTAGCACTCTCTTGCTCACCTCTAGCACTTGTACCTCGAGATCTTCCGCGTCTTTCCACTGGCCTTGACTTCTGTAGAGGGACGCCAGGTTGGCCATGCAAGCCAACGTGTCTGGGTGTTCTGCCCCTAACACTTTCTTTCTAATCTCTAGCAGTTGCATTTCTAGCGTTTCAGCCTCTTTCCATCTACCTTGATCCCTTAATGTTGACGCCAGGTCAGCCATACTAGCCAATGTGTCCGGATGCTCCGCCCCTAGTATTCTCTTTCTTGCATCTAGCACTTGTGCCTCGAGCTCTTCAGTCTGCTTCCACCGGCCCTGTTTCCAGTACGTTATGGCTAGGTCGGTCATACTGGTCAGCGTGTCTGGATGCTCCGCCCCTAGTGCTCTCTTTCTCGCCTCTAATATTTGTGTCTCTAATTCTTCAGTGTCCTTTGAGTGGCCTAATTTCCAGTAGGTTAACTCTAGACTCTGCATACTGCTCAGCGTGTCTGGATGCTCTGCTCCTAACACTCTCTTTCTCGTCTCCAGGACCTGCATTTCTAGCGATTCAGCCTCTTTCCATCTACCTTGATACCTTAATGTCGACGCCAGGTTTGTTATGCTGTCCAACGTGTCTGGATGCTCTGCCCCTAGCATTCTCTTTCTCGCATCCAACACTTGTATCTCAAGTTCTTCAGTCTGCTTCCACCGGCCTTGTTTCCAGTATGTTAGGGCTAGGTTGGTCATGCTTGTCAACGTGTGCGGATGCTCGCCTCCTAATACTCTTTTTCTTGTCTCCAGCACTTGTGTCTCGAGATCTTCAGTGTCTTTCCACCGGCCTTGATTTCTGTACAGGGACGCCAGGTTGGCCATGCTGGTTAACGTGTCTGGGTGCTCTGCCCCTAGTATTCTCTTCCTCGCATTCAGCACTTGTATCTCAAGTTCTTCAGCTTCCTTCCAGCGGCCTTGTTTCCAGTATGTTAGGGCTAGGTTGGCCATGCTTGCCAGCGTGTGTGGATGCTCGCCTCCTAACACTCTCCTTCTCGCATCCAGCACTTGTGCCTCGAGTTCTTCGGTCTGCTTCCACCGGCCTTGTTCCCAGTATGTTAAAGCTAGGGAGGCCATGCTGGTCAACGTGTCCGGGTGCTCCCCCCCTAACACTCTCTTTCTCGCATCTAGCACTTGTGTCTCGAGCTCTTCAGTGTCTTTCCACCGACCTTGGTTTCTGTACAATGATGCTAGATTAGTCATGCTGGCCAGCGTGACAGGATCCACGGGCCCCAGGACCTCTATACTCGTCTGTATTACCTGCCTCTCAAGCTCTTCAGCCTCCTTGAATCTGCCTTGATCCTCAAAAGCTGACGCTAAATCAGTCATGCTGGTAAGCGTGTCTAAATGTGTTTCCCCTAACACTCGTTTCCTTTTCTCCATCACTAGCTTCAAAAGCTTTTCGGCTTCCTTCCATCGTCCTTGATGATGATAGACCAACGCTAAATTGGCCATGCTAGCCAACGTGCCTTGATTATCTACTCCCAGCAACCTCTTTTTTGTTTCCGTGACTTCCATCAGCCGCTCTTCTGCCTCCATATACCTCCCCTCCCGAAGCAGACACAACCCAACCTTTTCAAACAATGGCAGTTTCACCTCAAAATTATTAAGGAGAACGTCAGAGTCAAGGATATAACGCGCATGAGGTAAGTATGCCTTCCAGATACTCCTGTTTCTGTAGTCATCGGCTGGAAACATATTATTTAGCCGCATACACGCCTTTGTGGTCCATTCTACGAGCAGACCCTCCATCCTCAGCCAGTTTCGAGTCGCAAGATGCACGAGTTGATGGATGTCTAGAGCATGGTCTACTCGCTTGGTGATGAATGAGTATGCACATAGGGTTCCGATAGCCTCAACCATCTCTTTTCTTGACCGCGCCGGTGGTAAAAGCGACTGAGGGATGTCTTTCGGGTCGATGCAGGCCATGAAGGACAGGTATTCTGCCGCCAGCCGGTCGTGACTTCGGATTTGATCGAATGAAACAAGCCAAGTGGTTGCTACGGGATTCTTCATATCCCGGTATCTTCCGTCGTCTTTGAAATCTTCGCTTAGGACTTCGAGTACGTTTTGTTCTCTGTCCTGTAAGAGCGACACGTACTCTGAGAAAGTTATTCCGTTTTTGTCGATATATGCAGCGGCTTGCATAATGGCAAGAGGAAGGAATGTCAGTTGTCTGAGTAGCTTCACCACGGTAGAATCGTCGATTAAAATGTTTCGGTTGGGAAGCGATTGTTGTAGTAGCTGAGTTGCTGCTTGCTCATCCATCTCATTGACTTCGATCAAATTGTGCTGTGCTAGTTCTACCGCGGCCTTTCGACTACGTGTCGTGAACAGTATACATCCAAGGCTACTATTGGGTAGGTAGTCCCTCAGACAACGCAATCCGGTCGTGCTGTCTGGGCAGCAGATCCACATATCTTCATCATCAGCATTGTCAAAGATTAGCAGCCACCGACCCGCGCTTTCCTGGCTGAGGCGCTGCTGCACAAGCTCCCTGACGTTTGCTTGCTTTTCCTCTAGCCCAGGTATTTGGAGCTGCCAACGGATCTGTCGGTATGCTTGCTCGAGACTCTCGGTATTGGTTGCAGGGACCCAAAACACTGAACACTCTGGATACTTGGTCCGGGTCTGATAGGCGAACTCGATTGCAATTTGTGTCTTGCCCACGCCACCAAGGCCGACGAGTGCGACTTTTGGACAACGGCCATCCACGAATAAACTTTCCTGAAGTTTGCCCAGCTGCACGTTGCGGCCAACAAACTTTGGATTTTTTGAGAAAGGGACCAACCAGCGCGGTTTATCAGTTGCTGTACCTTGTGAGATCGAGCGGCACACATTCCTATGCTAATAACTTACTAGTGTGAGACGTAACAAATTCATTTGCTCGATATTCCTACGTGTGGTAAGCAATCCGGCACAAGGCTATCTGCTAGATTACCCTTACATTAATCAAAGACTCAAACCCCGTCTGCGTCTTGCCTGTAACCCGTCAGTCCACCATAGCCACAGAGAACCCTAGGCAAAGTCTTCAATATACACACTTTGCTTCTGCTTGAGATTTCTCGCGCAGTCCTGCACCCGAAAGTACTGTTCAGCCTCGTCGAGATACTCAACTGTCGCCGTTTCAATCGCGCCTTCCTTCTGGTATTCCGCCAACCCAATATCCTGCAGCCCGTGCTGGACATTAAAGCGAAAATACCGCTTATTAAGCAGATGTCCTCTCCAGCGACCTGCAAATTTGGCTGCTGTCTTTTCCGTCTCTGTAGCAAGTTCTGCCAGCGTCTTTGAAAGAAGCTTCCACACCTTATCCTCAATCGGCGCTTTCCCAGGATTCCCAGTACCGATTGAGATAAAGCACTTGACCAGTGGTTTCAGCTCTGCGGTATCTGGACACCAAATCCTGGCAGCCTCGTCTTCTACCTCATCCACTGGGTTGTTTGCGCCCAATGCCCCATCAACAAACGTACGTGCTCCAATTTCGACGGGGTCGAAAAAGCGCGTTGCGGCTGACGTTGCTAAAGCCGCTTCGCAAATTGTTGGGGGAACCTGATTACCGAGCTCCCCAGGGAGACTGTAGCTCCTGAGGCGCGAGATGCCTTTCGTTTCGTGTGCTGTAGTGCAGACAAAGCTAACTCCAAGTCAGCTCAGACTGATGTGCATTATGACCCCATTCTTACACTTTACACCCTCTAGCCTTGCCATCATCCAACGGGTCGTCTTCCGAGACGCCTTCACGACTCGCAAGCACCCTCTTGACAGCGCTTTTCAATGTCTTAGAGGAAAACTGCGCTTTAATGTTGCCCGTTGCGCCTACCCCATACCAGCTGTCCTTGTCCTCGAAAACGGTCTTGACAAGCTCGCGATACGCCGAAATGCACTCGTCTACAGTCATATCGAGCCGTCCGAGCATGATAGCGATGAGACTATTAACCTCAGCATAGTCCTATAAGGAGGGCTACGATGCATACCCGCCTGTGCTTGTGCCACCGATGAGGTCAAACACCTCGGACGGCTTTATAGGAGGGTGCCTACTAGCTGCGTTGCCGTAACGCTCATACGCTAGTTTCACCATCAACTTCTTTAAGATGTACAACGTCGACAACCCGCGGACCCCACCACCGTCCAGTGACAGCAGGCAGAGACCAGTGTCGTCGAGTGGATTTGGCTCTCCGCCATGCTGGATATCCTGCAATTGCTCCATTGATTATCCGCTGTCTCGGTCGCCGTCGCTTCTGTGAGGTCGGCACAGAGAGAAGGGCACGGTTGAAGTGGAAAGGGCCTGGCATGTTGCGCCTGGAAGGAAGGCTGAAATGATGGCTGAGGTGGTGTGGGCGGGGGATGGTGGGCACACATTACTCACTTCCAGCCCGCCACCAAGACATAAAATGTCGGCACTCTTTGTTTCCCAACGTATCTTATACTCGGAGCTATTTTAGCTTTTTTTTTTTTCCTCGGCGCATCATGCCAGTCCCTTTCCGCTTTGACAGCGCTTGTATCGTTCTGCCCCACCTTACACGCGCGAAGCCGACCAAGATGGCAGATAAACAATCAAGCAAGAGCGGGCTACCCTAGGCGGAGAACCAAGCCCTGCTGGAACAACCGGCCAGTGCTTGCTGTCGCTTGATGGTGGCGGGTGGTCTGTTAACACGCCACATTCTGAAGTGGGATCTTCGGGGCTTAACTGAACCAAGCACGTGAGGCGAATCTGCCCGCCTTCAGACTATACGAAGTCTTTGACCTTTTCGTTGGGACATATACCACCATTTCCCGACGCTTAGCCGGCCTCGGGCGCCGTTATGGTTATTATACTAGGTTAGCTTGGGATGGATGCCGTGGGTTACATTTCAGGATACAACATTCTTGTGAAGGCTGTGTTTAAGAACAAGTCAAGTAGGAGCAGCATAGGCAAACTAGCGTTCACGTACCGGTCTGAAGGGCATTGAAAAGTGGACCCACGAGTCGTTTGTGCAGGTGAAGGACACAAGTTTGAAGGTGGGGAAGGTCTTGAACTCAGGCTAACAGCTTGAGGGCCATTGTTGGTTTTCAGGGACGCCTTTTTCGTGGTTGAAATCTGCACACCGCGCTTCGCGATAGCTAAACTTGCATACCCGCGATGAACCTAATAAGCAACACAGTCGCTGTCACCCAATGCTTGCAACCCCAAATGCGCCTGGTATCTCCTTTCGACATACTAACCACAATATACCAAAAAGCAGGCTCCCAGCAATACTAACAATGAGCAAGATAGTGAACGGATTGACCGAAATCCTACTGATAGAGCTGTTGGCATTTCCAGTATTCCTTGTTTGAATATGGCCATTAAGAGCTACTCGAGTTCTTGGAGTCTTGGGCGGCACTAAGGTAAGTTTCGATAAAGTCGTCATACAACCGTTCACCACATTCACTCACGACGCAGAGTCACATGAGACGAGGTCGTCAGATAGATAAAGGACGGATAACTATAACGTGTTCCACCAGTCCACCAGCTTGGCCAAAAACCACCGAAAATGACGAAAATCGCGCCTTCAAATCTCAACTACAGCTAAGCAGAAAGGCTTAAGATTTCAATTTTAGTATTTTATACCCCTTCGAAGATCTATACTGGCGTCTTAGAGCTTATACTCATGCTATTATTAAGATATCAAAGGTAGAGGGCCGAAATCTAGTATCTCAGGAATTACTGTATCCATTCTTATATATACAGTATACTCTAGAGAGGCAAAGAAGACTATACCAGAAACCGAGAAGCGTTCTTTTAGATGTGTATCCAGCCTGGTAGGTGTGGTTGGTCTTACTGAAGAACACTAGCTCTGACGATGTGAAGATTACGTACTGTAAAGTGTCAAAGAACTAAGAGTTTTGCAGGTTTCTGTTATCTCATTGTAATAGGCGTATCCTGCTAAAACAATAATTAAAGCAAAGACTATGCTAAGCATTACAGGGGGCTTGCGAGACAAGTTTCGCAGCTATAAAATCCTGAAGATTTCAGTTACTGATAATAACCACGTGAACAAATACAACTTTGGGGACCTCGGAACCCTCTCATCCTGTCACATAGAAAATAAATGCGATTCTTCTAGGTATTGGTGATTCGCTTCCTGATTGTGTCCACAGGTGTTGTGCCGAAGGGAGCTTGTGTCAGAAAATTGCTTGAATACTTGATGCACGCTGTATTCTCCGTTCTATACGTCTACTATGGTAAAATATATATAATTACAAACGGAGTCAACATGGACGAATGTAGGTGCATGGACGCAGCAGGTAACCGCCGCATCAGCGCTTTTTTCCTTCACTTCATGCTTCAAAGACTGAGACATCTTAGACGCCTTGTTTGAAACATGGCACAACCACAACTCGCTTACATGGGCACCCCTCCAAATCTCTCACCGTCCCCGCTTTCCTTAACATGCGGCGAATGTCGGACTTCCGCCGCAGATTCTATTGGCTTCATGACCTCCTGGTCAGCCTGCTTCAGGCTTGAGACCACTTCCTCCACTTCGATCGGCTTCACGAACTCCTCTTCAGGCATAGCCCCATCTTCCATCCCCTCATCCAAAATCCTACACCGCCTGGCCTCTTCCCAGAATTCCTGCCTCCTCCACATATCCCCCTTAATCCCTCCCTGGGCAACCCCTTCCCCATTACTAACATCTCTAACCACATCTCTCGCGCGCTGGAAATCGCCAGCCTCAGTCAGTGCCCGAACAACAGCCGTCAACGCTGTCCATCCCGGCAGCTTGCCGTGTGCAGACATACGCACCAGAGCTGCCATCATTTTGCCTACTTCCCCGACGGAAGCATAGCCCTCGATAACCCGGTCGAAGAGGATCTTGTCGATGGGTGTGCCGGGTGTTTGCGTGATTTGTAGCCATAGAGAATCAACGGCTGGGATGTTCGGGGGCGATTCTTGGAAGTAGTGTGTGATGAGAGACGTGTAGATTTGCGCACTTGCGATGAGGTTGCGGCTCATCATGTGATCGATGACGGCTCTGACGGCAGAGAAATTACTGTGTAGTTTGAGAAGGCGGTCGACGATGGAGGAGTAGATGTAAGCGTTGAGTTTTATGCCACTCTTTTCAAGCTCCGTGAGGATAGAGATGACCTTGGAGGTTTGTTGCTCTTCGGATAGCCCGCTAAATTGACGGTCATCAAACGCAGAACGAAGCAGCATTGTATAGGTGACAATGTCTGGCTCGATTCCGTCGACTTCCATTTTTTGGAGTAGCTTGGAAGCGGTGTGGTAATCTTCACTGGTGAGGTAGAACTGGATAAGGGTGTTGTACGTATGGGCATCAGGTCTAAGAGCAAATGTGCGGCCCCAAAGTAGGATATTCTGCATCATCTCGGATTTCCGGTTAAAAGGCAGGTTGGGTCGGGGTATGTTGGCGAGGCCAGACAATGCAGCGTTAACTACTTCAATCGTGGGTTTCACGAAAGGATTGGCCTTAGGGGTCGGGGAAGACTTCTTAGCTGAACCCTTCATAGCCTGCTCCCCGGCAAGCCAGCTTTGGCCCATTTCGTCTAAGGCAGCGAAAGCCGCGTTGGTGTTGCGAAGGTACATGAATCCGTGGATCCGCGCAGTCCAGGCATAGATGTCAGGCTGGACGCCGGATCGAAGCATTCTCGTCCACATCTGTTTCATGCCTTCCAAGTCTCGTGCTTTTTCGCAGCCTACGATCATTGCTGTCCACGACTTAACGTCAGGCCTGAGACCGTGTGCTATCATATGATTCCACACCTCAATGGTGCGATCGGGTTCAAAGAGCGCCATGAAACCTGTCAAGAAAGAGTTATATATCTCTGGGGGGATAATCGTCTTATTACCCTTTGGAGTGTACGCTCTAATGACTTCTTCCCATAGATTTCCCAACACGCCTTTGTGGGATTTCTCAAGAATTGCTCGTGAAATGCGCTTGAGGAACTTAGCTTCTCGAGAAGATGCGTTGCTAAAATTCGAAGGCTGGGATACTTCGAAATCTTTCACTCCAAGCACGATTTTGGCTTCGGAAGGCGCAGAACTGATCTGCTTGATAACATCCTTTTGTATTTGTTCCGGTAGTGCTTTGAATTCGTGCGAAGTTTCGATATGCCAGAAAGCAGATCGCATGGAAGCGCCAGCTAGAACATGGACAAGAAGTCGAAGAAACGGCTCATTTTGTGCTCGTAAAGTCTCGTCTAGTTTCGCCGAGAGCTCGTTTCGCTCATTGAAAATATTGAAAACGGCGACGGCGGAAAACGAAAGCCAATTATTAGCCACGAATTTGGGGATATACTGTTGCAAACGTGCCCGGAAGTCTCGTTCTGACGACCCAGCAATCGTAGCTCTGAGCGTTTGAGCATCAGGTATTGACTGCCATACATGTCCCTCGGATTGTAGGGGGACGTCGAGAGTTCCTTTACATTGGAAGAAGAGTTGCCAGACGGACATGAGCTCTGGGAGGACTTTATTCAACTCCCGAGCGTCCGACGCAGCCATCGGTGATTGGCGTAGTACTTGATCCGTAAGGGTGAGGATTGTACTTTTCCAGAAATCAGGACGCATGACACCTATTTCCTCGTACTTTCGCATTAGATTTGTTGGAGTAACTGGTACCTCGGCACCCTCGCACACCTTTCTGACTACAACCTCTAGAAACTTGCGAAACATTCCTCCCTTCAGCAGACGATCGCTCGGGTCTAGTAAGGCAGGACAATCCTTCGAGGTATACGTGTTAAGTATTATTCTCCAGGCTGCTTGAAGATTCCCTGCTTCCATGCGATCATCTATGTAGAATGCACCGGAGACGCCTTGGTGGAGTTTTCGGATTGGGGGTCCTTCTAGTTGTGTAACCTCCAGACCATCCTGGCCCTCTTTTGAATCTTGTCCGAGTTTTTCAGGCTCGGCTTCTTTATTTGGGGGTTTATATCTTGAATAGCGGCCTCCCTGAGAGCGTTCGGGCCGTGCGAATTGAAATGTTTTTGTTGTAGTCGCCCGCCTTATCCGTGCATCCTTCACAGCTTCCGCTTGGGTCGAATTGCCATCATTCGCCTGCGTGGAAGTAGTGTGCTCAGATACTTCCTGTTGTGGCCCGGGGGTCGGTTGCGGGTTGCGCAGGGAGATGAAGGTTGCATTCGGTTGCCATTGGGGGCTCCGCAGGGAAACGGCGCGCTGGAATATATTTTTCCTACATTGTCTGCAAATGTAGGAGCTCATCATGGCTCCCAATGGGAGCTCGGAGATATCACCGACTAGAAATTAGATTAGCAGCCATTCATGCAAAGGAGACTTCAACGTCTTACAAAACAGGCACAAATGGAGTACCGAGACATGCGACAAGATGCCTGAAGTACAAATGCGTTGTTACAACTAAAGTTGGAGATAGTGAAGGTCGAATTTGTGATCTCAGACGATGTTTTCTTGAAACGATAGAGGAGCCCGATATTGTTCTCTAGTCTAACCAGATTCGGACTCGCGTCAACAGCTTCCGCTACATGACGCATGTCGGTGAACACCAACTTAATGTCAGATTCCAGCATCGACACTCACACAGAGTTGCACAAGACTAGTCAGCGGTTCCCTTGTCCAAGAAAGGGCCAATTAGAAGCATAATGACTTCTTTTCAACTGAGAAAGCCGTACACTGCAGAGGAGCTTGCGCAGCTCTATCCGAAAGAATTGGAACTACAGCTTGTGCAGATTGTGTGTTTAACTACGTCTCTTTATCTTTACTCTGAATTCTGGAATGTGTTTCCGAGGAAAGATTTTCTGACCATAAGAGCAGTTACTTCGTCATGGTTTGTGAAACTCTGTATCTGCCACCGGAGAATAATTGCTTATTTACTTTCATGTAGGCGAGCGAAGCCCTGTTTCACCTCGTTTCCAGAATGTGAGACATCAATTCTTCCTCACACAAATTTTTTTGATCATGGAGCTGACAGCATCGTTAGACTGGCCTTCGCCCTTGTAAGTTGCGCTAAATTATCGTTCGGGGCTTCCTTTAAAGATATCTAGATTGGCCGTATTGCAATTCGGCAAGGCAATTGACCAGTGTAGTCATGGCGACCGCGGACTGGTCCAGATGGGATTCGCTCAAGTATCGACGACGAATCGAAACTTTTGGTTTTGATGACAGACCTGGTATGTATTTCTACTATGTCTCTACACTGTATTTCGCGTCTATATGAGTACCAACCCTCGGCAAAAGCATTCCACGCTATAGTCTCTCTTCATATCATCCATCTCTACGTCATCTCTCCCTGGCTGGATTATATTCATAAACCTATATGTGAATCTTCCATATTCACAAGTATTACCTTCTCCAGTACCATCTTCTCAAATATCGTCCTCACACCATCTCTGTTGTCATTAATCCTAAGACTCACTTCTCCTAGTAATCGCATCCGGCCCCAACGGGGAGTTCGATGCTGTCTGGTACAACCCCGCAAACCCCTATTCAAAATCACCCCCCTAACAACCCCCCAGTCAACCAGGTGAGCTCACAGACAAAGGCCGCGAAACCACACTCGCCCTCGGCTCCCGCCTCCGCCACCTCTACATCAACCAACTTCACTTCATGCCACGCCTAATCGCTGACAGTGACATGAGTACGTACCTCCGGGGCAAAAATGCCGAGTTCTCTTTAGTAGTCAGGTTCAGAAGTGATACTTAACCAGCACCCTAGAATTCTGCACAGCTCGAAGGATCTCGTCTCTACCCCAAACCTCCCCATTTATACCCGAACTAACTATACCCCAATCTCCAGTCTACCTCCGCGCAACGCCCATCCCCCGCGCCCTCGAATCCGTCCAACAAGCCTTCTGGGGCCTCTACCCAGCATCCACCCGCACCGCTGACTTCCCCGCCCCGACAATCATAACCCGCACCCCAGCCGATGAAACCCTTTTCCCTAACGACGGCAACTGCCGCCGCTTCGCACACCTGAGCCGTGCCTTCGCTGCCCGCGCTGCCCAGCGCTGGAACGACACAGACGAGATGCATTACCTCTCCCAACTATTCTCAAAATGGATGCCGGGGCACTCGAGGGTGGCTGTGGACTCTCACCCCCGCCTCTCAGGTATCATGGACACGATAAATAGCACCGATGCCCACGGGCCGGCTACAAAACTCCCACCGGAATTCTACGATGCCAAAGCCCGTGGGATCATCGATAGAATTAGTGTCGAGGAGTGGTACGCTGGATACAACGAATCCGCGGAATATCGGACGCTGGGGATTGGTGCTTTGATGGGGGATATCGTATCTCGTATGACCGGTAGCGTGGAGCGGAATGGGAATGATGGAGCTGTGGAAGTAGGGGGAGTGGATGAGGATTTGGAACATAGGAGGGGCGGGGAGATGGAGGTTAGGTTTGCGTTGAGTGGATGTCATGATACGACGCTTGCGGGGGCGTTGACGAGTTTGGGGGCTTTTGGGGGAGAAAGTTGGCCCCCATTTACGAGCCATATTGCTTTTGAGTTGTTCAGGAGGAAGAACGGTGGTGGGGTGATGGATGGCACAAATATATCCCCAGGAGAAGGCGAAGGCCTGGGCCGGAGGTCTGCGTCTACGTCTGCCGAAGACGAAGACGCCAAACAAAGAGCTGATGCGCCTAGTCAAGGATGGTGGGCGAGTCTACTCGGAAGCAGTAATAACACGGCCCCCCCATCCCCCTCCCCCAAAAGCATCGCCCGAAAACACGTATCCACACTCTCCCCGTCACAAAGACAATCACTTCAAAACCACTACGTCAGAATCCGGTACAACGACAAAGTGATGCAAGTCCCGGGGTGTAAACTCGAGGGAAAGCATCTCCCCGGCGATCCTACATTCTGCACTTTAGTAAGTAGTTCACGCAAAGCGTAGACGATTTGCACGTCCTAGTCGGATCGGGGTCGTCACTAACTTAGAGATTAGGAAGCATTTAAATCTATCGTCGATTCCTACACCCCCAAAAACTGGAAACATTCGTGTGCGTCTAATATCGATGCGCCATCATTCCCAGAGAAGCCTGAAATGGCGGGATATGAATAAGAGGTAGAGTAGGGGTGTAGTGCGTGTACTGCAAATGAAACGAAAACTACATGCATACAAGGAGCCTAACGGCGGAGATACATAGATCAGATCGGTGTTAGAAGAGCGAAAGAGATAGACTGCAACAACGGTTTGCATATGAAGTCATTTTGTAAACTGCTTAATATATTACGGAGTTATTCTCTACGTACGCACGCACGTACAGATGCATTTCAATGGCTGACATGACATGACATAAACTGCCATTGCATTCCTTTCATCCTTCCCTCCTCAATCTAACTGTTCCCCTATTCGAAGAAACCAGTAGTTACTTCTGCCACTCTGTTCCATCAAAGCGATTATCAGCTACAGCATCACCGATCCCTGTTTAAATCCATCGTCATTTTCTTTTAACACAAAAGTCCAGAAAAAGATCCATTCCTCCCATAGAAAAATCCCGGATGAATCAGATGGTTAAGATGCAATTTCCAGCACCTACGCACGCCGTGAAGAACGCCGCCGCTGATGTAAAGGTGATAGAAGAAGGAAAGGGAAAAAAAAGTACAAGAAAACCCACAAAGACGTGCTTGGGAGGTCGGGTTGAATGAAGCCCGCCTGCACTCTCAGCTTGTGGGTATGGGTATGGGTATGGGGATGGGGTTGAAAGTTTGTGAAAAACCTAAATGTGGAACCAACAACTCCACCACCTTCTTCAATGATGTAGGGTGCAGGTTTGGGGAAACTTAGCTCTTCAACGCGGCCCCGCCGATATCGAAGGCCGACTCCTATCCCTGCTGGGCTCATTTTCATTCTCCGTGTTCTTCAACCTCGCCTTGATCTGCACGAGCGTCTTCTTCTCCTTTCCATCAAGCTCGAGCACGTGTATGACATCGCGCATCTGGATGCCTTTCCCGATCGGTCCCTGCTCAAACGCATCTCCAAAAGTGCGTTTCCTTGCAATAAGACCGCGATCAATGCCTTGCGGTTGCGGAGCCGGGGTAGCTGTGCCACTTGCGCCGCCAACAGAGGTGTTGAGACGGGGTGTTGAAGTGCCGGAGCCAAGCCCGCCTCCTCCCCCTCCGCCTCCTCCGCCTGTCATCCAGGAATATTTCTTTTTGCCAAATCCGAGAGCCATGCTGGCGGTTTCATTGGCTTTGCGATGGAGCACTTCTTCTGTTTGGCCGATCTTGGCTATGCGATCTCGTTCCTTCTTGGTCATCTTTTCGGGGATGGTGAGGGTCGGTGGTGGTGCCGCCTCTGCGGGTGTCGAGGTGGATGCCCGTAGACGTTTTTGCCGCCTGGCAATCCGCTCTTCTTCGAACTTTCTGTCTTCGGCTGCTCTCCGCTTTAGCCCGGCTGCGACGTGATTGGTGAAAGCAACCGTAGGCAGCGGTGTCGGGGGCGCGTCAGTCGGTGGGGTGGGTAATCGGGCTGTATTCGGGTCTGATCATGCTGTAAGTACCGCAAAAGCCTGGAGACGACCGCCGGCAAAACTTACGCTTCAGGACAGTCATAGGGCTGACGGCACTATCTGGAGCCTCCCACGTAGTCTTGGATAGATTGTTTGGGACTGCAGTAGTCGGCTTGACATCTCCATTTGTGGCGGCAATCTCGACTAGGTTAGGAGGTACGACACCATGAGAGGTGCTCTGGCGGCCTCTGCTCAAGGCAGTTGCGTCTTCTAAGACGGTCCGTATGCGCTCCTCAGCAGCCAGTGTAAGCAGCGTGAGAACTTCAACAAAGCTGGCCTCTCTGTTCAGAAGGCTGTCAGCCTCCAGCCTTGTAATAGATTCTCCGTTTGCGCCTTGCATTGTGGTTCTCGTCACGTTTTGCGGAGCTTGCGGAATTTTGTCGAAGAGACCTAAACAGCAATTAGTGCAGTTCATTGGGTGCACGAAGCAAAACGCAGTCGATGAGCAGTATTCCACGCATACCTTCCAGATTGACGCTGATACCGTGTTCGTATGCCCTGTCAGCAACCTTCCGGCGGACGACATTTGCTTGGAGGAAAGGGTCATTAAGGGGCGACTGGGTTTGTTCGGCGAGCGCCCTAGCAGCGCGTTCGTGCTTCTGCCTAAGTTCTGCTTCCTGCTCCTCCTGTGACACGGGCTGGCTCAATGGTCCTGTTCCTTGGAACGCGCCATGACCCGCTGCCTGTTGTGACCACTGGTTGAAACTCCCATGCGGCGAAATCGTGGAGGAAGTCTGCGAATTGAACGAGTTCCCGTATGACCGGTGACCAAGCAGATTTTCCTCCTCGGCGCGGAGATCGATACCAGACCCGGTCAGGACGTCACTGATATTATTGACGTCCATGTCCCGCGGGTTCGCCTTCTCCAGCTCTGCAGTATCCTGTGACTTGCTGTAGGGGACCCTTGGCGGCGGCATAGAGCCGTGAATGGGTCTTGGATCCATGTTATTCGCCTGCTGGTAAGGCTGAGGTTGGTGGAAGGACTGCTGAGGCTGGACATGGGCGGGGGTTCCGGGGTGGGACAAGTATTGGCCGGGGGGCGGGGAGGTAGCATAAGGCGACTGGGGATACGGTGAAGGGTACGGCGAAGGCGGATTTGGGGAGAGGCGCTGTCGCTTGTTTGGCGGCATACCGCCCATATTTGGCGACATAGCACCTGGCGAATGCTGGTACGGGGAGGGGGAGTAGGTGCGCTGGGGTTGCTGTTGTGTCTGCACCGGTGGCAGGCTGCTCATCTGCTGGGCATACTGGGTCTGGTATGGGTGCGCCATGGTGGAAGCGAAGAGAGACAAGAGCGCGGAGAGGGCGACGGTGTCTGGGCTAGGAGGTAGCAGGGACGAGGGAGGAGGGAAGAGGGAGGAGGAGGGAGCTGCTCAGGCTCTCGCGCGGCCTATTGGGGTGTCATGGACGGGTCGAGGCTGCCAGAATGGGCGACCGTGACAGGGCGATTGGGGCTAGATCGAGATGGACGTGGAAAGGGAAGCGGCGATGGGGTCTGCGGTGGGAGGCGGTTTCTGAAAGCGTCGTGTTGTGGTGAAGTTCGCGAGGCACGAGGAAATGACGATCGGGGCGTCGGGTGAAGCTCGGCAGAATCCCCAACAAAGAGCAAGAGCCGCATGCAACTCCATTCAGGACAATGCCATCGCCAGCACAACTCTCCTTCACCTGTGACTCTACACGCCACTCCAGTGTGCGCGTCTCGTGACTCCCGTGCGTGCAAAGAAGCTGCTTGAACTGTCTCCTTCACATTGTGCGCGGTCCCGTGTCGCTACGGCTCTATTCCGAAGCATTCACCCAAAACAAGCGGCCACCAAAGACCGTTGCGCCGCATACGATACGCGCCTTCCCTACTAACTAAACAGCTTTCTGGACAGTGCGCGGCAGCATGGCGACCAAACGGAAGCTCGCTGCTATGGCCCCCGACGACGACGATCCCGTAGACCCCGCCGACGAGCTCATGTTCTTGTGTCTGGGAGGAGGAAATGAAGTTGGCCGGTCCTGTCATATCATCCAGTACAAAGGAAAGACAGTCATGGTACGTCTGCGCTGCTTGTATGATGCTATGCAATTGCTGATGGATGATAGCTTGATGCTGGCATGCACCCTGCTTACGAGGGCTTGTCTGCCATGCCCTTCTACGACGAGTTTGACCTCAGCACCGTCGATGTTCTTCTGATTTCCCAGTAAGTGACCCTGTTCTTTCTCCTTAAGTCTATGCTATGGTGGATGGAATTTGGCGCATCATCACTAGTCGGACGGTGTGAAGCAATCATGGCGCTCCCGACTTGAATTCCTGTATATGAGTAACAAATGGAATATTATTTGCACCATACCTGTTCGACTCTGGTGATGTGCCTTCATTCCCAATCATGTATATATCCGCCTCAAGTCTAGTCGATACTCCACCTTCGCAACCTCTCCTTGATACCACCTTTGGCCCTTCGGTCTGACATGTACTTTATGTTCTGAAAGTCGATGTCTAACTATAATTCAGTTTCCATGTCGACCACGCCGCTTCACTCCCCTACGTCCTTGCGAAGACTAACTTTAAGGGCCGGGTCTTCATGACACATCCCACCAAAGCCATCTATAAATGGCTGATCCAAGACTCCGTCCGCGTTGGCAACATGTCCAGTTCCTCCGAAACAAAAGTCCAGATGTACACAGAAGCCGACCACCTGAGCACCTTTTCCTCCATTGAAGCCATCGACTTCTACACAACCCACACCATCTCCGGCATTCGAATAACACCATATCCGGCCGGTCACGTGCTAGGAGCAGCTATGTTCTTGATAGAGATAGCGGGGCTGAAGACTCTATTTACGGGGGATTACTCGAGAGAGGATGACAGACACTTGGTCTCCGCGACAGTTCCGAAAGACATCAAAATCGATGTTCTCATCACCGAATCTACATTCGGCATCTCAACACACATCCCACGTCTCCAGCGCGAGACGCAGCTCATGAAGTCCATCACCGACATTCTGAATCGAGGTGGCCGAGCTCTCCTCCCTGTCTTTGCCTTGGGTCGAGCTCAAGAACTGCTGCTCATCCTCGACGAGTATTGGACTAAACACCCAGAATACCAAAAGATACCAATCTATTACAACTCGAGCTTGGCCAGAAAGTGCATGGTGGTCTATCAGACATACGTATCCGCCATGAACGACAACATCAAGCGACTTTTCCGCGAACGTATGGCAGAGGCCGAAGCCGCAGGCGATGTGGGCAAAGGCGGGCCGTGGGACTTCCGGTTCGTTCGTAGTCTAAAATCGCTCGAACGTTTCGACGATATGGGCGGTTGCGTTATGCTTGCTTCCCCTGGTATGATGCAATCTGGTACCTCTCGAGAGCTTCTCGAGCGCTGGGCCCCAGATGCACGAAATGGGGTTATCATCACTGGATACTCGGTCGAAGGCACGATGGCGAAACAGATTGTTCATGAACCCGAAAGTATTCCGGCTATTACAATGAAGAACACGAATATGACGCGACGACCGGGACAGAAGGAAGGAGAGCCGACGTTGATTCCTCGACGATGCAGCGTACAGGAATTCAGTTTTGCGGCCCATGTTGATGGAAAGGAGAATATGGAGTTTGTGCAAGAAGTTGCTGCACCAGTTGTCGTAAGTTCATGCCTTCGCAATGCCCTTTTATAGATAGTAACTAACAGTAACAGATCCTCGTACACGGCGAAAAGGGCAACATGACACGCCTAAAATCCAAGCTACTCTCCTTCAACGCACAAAAAACCATCCCCGTGAAAATATACTCCCCAGCCAACTGCGAAGAACTCCGCATCCCCTTCAAAACGGACAAGGTCGCCAAAGTCGTCGGCAAGCTCGCTTCAATCCCTCCCCCACTCCCACGCAAAAAGTCTACCTCAGAAGACAGTGGAGACGAGGAGGAAGAAGGCTTACAGGAACCGAGCCTGCTCCCGGGCGTGCTGGTTCAGAACGATTTCAAGATTTCCCTGATGTCGCCTGAGGATTTGAAAGAATATGCGGGTTTGACGACGACGTCGATTATGTGTCGGCAGTCGATTACGCTGTCGGCGGCAGGAGTGGAGCTTATTCGTTGGGCGTTGGAAGGGACGTTTGGTGCTATCAAGGAGTTAACGGTGACTGATGCGGCGATCAATGGAAAAGAAGTCAATGGTAATGGGCCGCACAAGGAGGAAGAAGCTGACGAGGAAATCGAGAGGAGCAAGAAAGCGTTCCAGGTCATGGACTGTGTGACGGTGAAATGCGGTGCTGGAGGGAACATCGAGGTGGAGTGGGAGGGAAACATGATCAATGATGGGATTGCAGATGCCGTGCTTGCGGTACTATTTACAGTTGAAAGTAGTCCGGCGGCTGTGAGACGTGAGTCAACTACTCCCCCCCCCCACTTATGCATACTCTATCCAGAATGCTATACTAACGAGAAACAACAGAATCATCCCGATCGCACTCGCACTCCCCCCCTCCCTCAACTTCCCACCAGCCATCCCTACTCCTAGCCCACCGTTTCAAACAACCCAACCCCTACAAAACCCCCGACCCCTCCACTCGCCTCTCCCGCCTCTTCCTCTTCCTCGAAGCACAATTCGGTGCCGACGCCATCCACCCAATTCCCTACCCTCGAAACTCCACATCCACCTCCGGTACGACCCCAATTCCACCCTTCTCGACCACACCCTCCGATTCTCCATTCTCCGTAGCAACCTCCCCTACCATCCCCCTCTCCTCTACTGAAACCATCGAGTTCAGCCCCGCGGATAAAGCAGAGTTGAAAAGGCTGCATAATTTGGGAATTCCAGTACCGGGTGTAGAGATCCGGTTTGATAAATATGTTGCGAAAGTGTGGCTAGAGGATTTGGATGTAGAGTGTGCGAGTCGGCCGCTGAGGGATCGAGTTAAGGCTGTTGTGGAGAGGAGTGTGGAGACGGTTGCCGGGCTGTGGGTGTGATTGATGGAGGGCGAAAGGAAGTAGATGAGGGGAAAAGGATGATGGGAAGAAGAAGAAGAAGAAGAAGAAGAAGAAGAAGAAGAAATAGTAAAAGGGGACGATGTAAGACGTCAGTTTTTGATCAGTCATGCAACTGTGATGGCGCAGTTTCATGGCGAGGCGAGCAACGAAGGTAGAGCAGATTGGAGGCAAATGTGAGCTTGGTCTTCTCTGATCTTCTCTGATCTCACCTAGACCATGCGGGCGTTTTGGCATGGATGGATAAGAACTTCGACTTTGGCTATGCGGGCGGGGCATACGGAGGGAACCTCTACCCAGGCATGCCCTCTAGCCCCTCTGTCTTTCTTTTCTCTCTCAGTGGCACGGTTTCTACTTCTAGCTAGAAATATCACCTCCTCATAGCAGTAAGCAATCAGGGAGTCTAACTCAAAGAATACATGATGCAGCAAGTCAGCTATCTAGAGAAGCACACACAGTTGTCTAGGTCTTCAGTCTTTAGTCCTCTAAGCAGGCAACTCGTAATTGGGCTACTCTACATGCAATTCCATGCCATACCATGTCGTGCCGACGTCTCCGTCCGATGTTGACGGCTCATGATGGCATAGAAAAGGGAAAGGCAACTACCACTGGGTCCGAGGAGTCGAGGAAATTTCGTCACGGAAGTGACCTAAGTACTCCAAGACTCAACCTTCACCGCCGTCAGCTAGCCGCTGATCCCATATCCGTAACAATCGATATGTGTAAAGTATCGGACATGGGGATGCATAGGGAAGTGTCGCCGGATGAAGTTGATATAAACGCCATGTGGGAATCTAGAGTCCTAACCACCAGCTAGGGATTTGAAACATGAGAAAGTAAAAAGGAGAGAAACAAGGAAGTTTGGGAAAGGGGATTTTGGAGAGTGCCCAGATGTAGTGGTATTGACCATGGTTTGGGTGGAGGGGTAAGTTGCTGTAGGCCCTCGACTTTCATGGATTGAGTTTGTGCTGTGTTCCTGCTATACTAGTTAGAGGCATGGACGACAGGGAAGTCGAGGGACTTCGTACCGAAACGCCAGGTGACTCCAAGGTTAAAGAGGTGTCGTGGGCTTGAGGTTCGCCTCGATTGTCTCGGTGGTGATATACTGGAAGATGGAGACGTCGACCCTGAGGTAGGTTAGCAGGAATCCCCACATTTGAAAAAGAAGGGTGACAACTTTTTCCCATACTTGAATCCCATTTGATACAGATGACCGCACTTGCGGAAGTTATAGAGCTTCAACAACGAACTGACGCGGTTGATTTCCCCAGTGTCGGGCTCATGCGGGACTGTGGCTATAATCGTCTTGACAACCCGGCCACATCCATTCCTCAAATAATCCCCTCGAGCGATCCATTCATACCCACCTTTTGGGTTGTAGCTTGTGTCGGCTATGGAGATCATGCGATCGAGAAGACACTTTCCGATGCCCTGGCTCTGGTAGGCGGAATGAACGTACAGTTCCAGCTCGAAAGTGAAGCGGTACATACTGCCTTGGTCGCAGTAGTCGTCGATGTTGGCAAATCCAACAATCTTTTCGTTGACATATTGCGACGACCGCCCTTTGGGGTTGTCACCTCGGTTAACAGCTACGATCCATGGCAGGTTACGCGTGGTGATGTCCTCGATACGATGAGCCATCTGAGACTGTTGTCGCTCATTGAACTCGTTTGCGCGGATGGTTTGCTTCACGTAGTAGTTATAGATGTCAGTGATTTGCCTGATATCAGCTGGAAAGACTGGTCGAATGTAAATGTTTGCTGTTGGCTTCAGGGCTCGGTCTGGAAGATTAGTTAGGGCTGACTGGATTGCACTGCTGACCTCCTTGTACGATCGGTTACGCTTCGCTAATAGCTTGCGGACCCTCTCTGCTTGTGCAAAATTCCTCCTCTTCACTGCTTCTTCTGAGCTGACCATCATACCAGGAAGCTGGTTGTCATCAACTGTCGGGTCCACTTTGGCCTCTGGTACCGTAAGGGGGTTGAGCAGGGAGGCAGTTCCCTCTTGGTATGACTCCCACCATGGGTTCTCGGCAAGCTCAATATCACTCAAAGGTGGAGGGGCACGAGTTGGCAATGCACGCCAAAAATGCTGTGGTGCGTCGTCCTCTATCTTGACTGGAACCCATGATCGCGGAACCAACTCCCCGTTCTTTTCAGCTGTGAACTCCGGAGTGATATCCATGGCCATGTAACATGTTCTGTCATCAGAGCGATTGATCCAAGCTTCAATATGATCCCCAAGATGCCGATTATGGAAGACTTTCCTGCCATCCCACTCAACAGGTGCAGGGAGCCAATTTCCTTCCCAATCAATGAGCTTTTTAATGTCGTAGTTGGGATCTCCGTTGCTGTTGCTACGGAAGCTCACTCCACCGTCGCTCTCCTCATCGGTGGGTAATGGTTTCATGTCCTTATTTTTGGGCCACACGGTCTTCCGTTGGGAAGGTTTTGGCCTGCGGCTCAAAGTGCGGTCTTTTGGTCCTTTTGACGCGCCATTTGAGTCTTCAAAGCACACTTGCTTTGGCTGCTCACCTTGCGGCTCGGTCCACTGACCCCATATCGCAACTTGGTCACAGCTAGGCTCTTCTTGGTCATTGACGGGGGATGACGGGGGTGAGGGCGGACTCTTTGGTCTGTTGTGAATTGTCGTGCTAGTAGGCGGTTTAGTAGATGAGGTGCTACCATATACTGCCTTGCTGTTCTGATGAAGATGTGGACGGTATGGCATTGAGCGTTTACTATTCTGTTGGGCATGTGGACCATCTAGTAGCTTCGTATTGTCCGGCTGCCGCGTCACTTTTTGTCTGTGTATGGTCAGCGACAGGCCTGTCAAAGCGGTGGCAAGGCAACATGTGATGCGCAAGTTAGATATGGAGAGTAAACTTACAAAGACAGTTCGCCGTGCGCCGCGTTGTTTTGCTCTTGCGATTTAACATCCATGTCGCCTACCCCAGGCTTGTCCACTACGGTGGTGGCGGCAGTTTGTGGAGACTTATTTCGCATATGCGGCGGGATGTACATGGGATGCATTTGCATGGTTGCGTCAACAGCCATCTTGGGAGCTCTGTGACGTCTCGGGCGCGACTGGCGATGTTTGTACTTTGGGGGTTTCTCGATAAGCTGTTGCAGATCGTTGGTGTAAGAAACGTCTGGGTGGTTAGTGGGGTGGTGAAGGGCTCCCGAGGCGGAAGGCGCGGCGGCACGTGGGTTTCGGTCGTGAATAGCGAGAGTACTTTCACTACTCAGTCGTCTTCCAATTATCGCACCGGCCGAGGGAGTGTCAGACTCATGGTTAAACTTCTTCCACCTGTGCCGTGGCTTCTACGCCATTTCACTTAGCGGTAAACCTGAGAAGCAGCTTAAATAGGTAGCGAACAAGGGACGGTGAGAGGAGAGCAGACTTCTCTGACTTACTTTGGATCTCGCATCACCTCCCGATTTCTGCAGGCCTGGATCCATTGGCCTTACTCCCGCATTACGCATAACTCCCGACTGGCGAGAATACCATGATGCTTCTGCTCTAGGTGCTGCCGGAGCCGTGACCGAGAGATACATTAACTTGCGGGAACAGAGAGCAATGGCCATGGCTGCCGACAACGCAAGCTCGTGCTTTCCCTGTGACAATCGAGGCTGATGGAGTAGCAGTCGCACTTAACCCTTGGTAGAGAAGTTCTGAAGGTTTGGAACGGAGGACCAAGTGTATATGACCATTCAAAGGCGTCAAAGCCCCCTTGGACCATGCTCCGATCCAAAGATTCAGTCCTCCAATCAAAGCAAAGTTCAGCCTTGGAACTACCACCAAATTTGGTTCAACAAACTGTAGAGTCTTATTTTGCTAGGATAGGAGTGTTGAGGAAGCCAATGAGCAGAGCATGTTCTTACAGTGTAGTTATCTTATTGTAGTAAGGGGCAATCTCACCTTGACCTTACTGCCTGGAAGTGGTAACCAAAATATCTCCCTATTGCTCAATGCATTCATGGAAAGAAGTCATGTCTGGGCTTGCGGAAGGTTTAAGCGAGCCCCGGAGACAATCACACCGACAGAACTACTTCTGCCTTAGAGATCTACGAGAAATGCTGAGAAAACCTGGACAACAGGATGTTGTCAATATTACGAAAAGCGCGATTGAAGGACAAGGAGATGAGAATTCTGATGCTGTAAGCTCCGCTCACGTGTTTATCATGAAGTAGGCAGGCTAACTGCAGCTCAGGGGCCTGGACAATGCAGGAAAGACCACCATCGTGAAGAGAATCATGAACGAAGACGTGAACAGCGTCAGCCCAACTCTTGGGTTCATCATCAAAACGATAGATTATGATGGGTAGGAAAGCGCTGAATCCTCAGCAGATCAGAAGCTAACCATTGAAGATACAAACTCAACATTTGTAATTGAACTAGCACGTGCTCGAGAGTATGTACTGATCTGGGATAGGGGATGTCGGTGGCCAGAAGACACTGAGGACGTACTGGAAGAACTACTTCGAGAAGACTGATACTCTGATATGGGTTGTCGATGCCACGGATCGTGAGCGCATCGACGACTGTCGCCAGGAACTTGATGGATTGCTTTTGGAAGAGGTTGGTGGCCAGAAAACGCCCTCGGATACATCTACCTATTAATGTCCTCCTCCAGCGACTCATAGGTGCCAGTCTCCTCGTCTTCAAAAACAAGAGCGACGTGGCTGGCTCAATGACGGAGGACGAGGTTCGTAAGGTAAGTCAACTGGTGACATTTGGGTCGGGACCCGATTGTGACACTGCACAGGGACTCCGCCTGGACTCGATCAAAACACACAAGTGGACCATTATGGCCTGCAGTGCCATAACGGGGTTGAACCTGCAAGAAGGACTAGAATGGGTGGTACAGGACGCGAAAGCAAGACTTTTCTTGTATTGATAAATACCATACGGTGTTGAGTGACTGCAAGGGGTGAACTGACAGGGGGGCTTCTCGAGTGGATCTAAAAAAAGCATAGCGCATGTGCAGCTTCTGGCGTGGCGGCACTGGGCGAAGCCGAAGTTTGAGGATTTGAAAATACAAACAAGCCCATTGATTGCCGATGAAGGGGTGAATTCACAGTTCGCCCACTTTCTAGCCACCTCTTCGTGTTCTTCTTCTGAAGTCGGCAGTCGATCCTGCTAGGTTCACGTTTCATCTGCTGAAACTTCTGGGGTACTCGTATTGAGCTCCGGCCAAGCATGAGGTAACCGACCAGCAAAGTAAATATAACGTGTGCCTAGCTTCGAAATCACTCCTGGGACACCGTCCACCCCCGGCGCAGCTTCACCCCGCGCGTCGTTGTGTTGTACCAACGCCTTGTGTGTTTACCTAGGTACCAAGCCGTCCGCTGCCATCATGTCGGAGGAGCTGGATCCCTCCGAGTTTGTGCAGCGAATTCGACAGCTGGGCGAGCAGCGTGATCAACAAGACGCCGAGCGAGTCCGCAAACTCGAGGAAGAAATCATCCAGGGCCGCAGTGAGAGACTAGCCCGGAGAGCAGGTGTGTCAATGCGTAACCCGCAGTCCTGACTTGTTGACCACGCTGATGTTTATTCCCACCAGAACGCGCCCGCTCTCTCTCCCCCGACAAGCCAAACACACCCCAGTCCCATCGCTCCGCCGCCGATACCCCACGAAGCGTACAAGAGAAAGCTGCTAGCACACCCACCTCTATTATGGATCCTCCGTCGCAAAAGTCCGCCCGCGAGGACTCACTGCAGCGCCTGACTGGTTCACCGGCCCAGCTGCTGGAGGACGACGAGCCGAAGAAGCCTGCTCCCAGCGCTGCGGCATTGGGGCGCTCTGGCACGCTCTCTTGGCAGAGGAGACCCCAATCTGGCGGAATGCGGAGGCCTCTTTCGAGCGTGTCCATGTCCGCAGACAAAGTCGCTGCTAGCTCGCCGCGAGGCACTCCGGAGCCTGGTTCTCCAGCCGAGCCGACGCCCTCGAGAAACCAGATTGCACAGTCGCTCGGCGCAAAAGATCCGTCCTGGTTCAAGCAAACAGCGGATCGAGGAATTGGCTCTGCGGCATACCGCCGGAATCAGGACGACAATATGTCGGAAGCCGGTTCAGTATCCAGCAAGAGACAGCTCCCGGGCATGTCTCGCGATTCAACGGCCGAGCCTGAGTTATCAAGTCCGCCGCCGGAGAGTTTCCGCTCGAGTTCGCCGTCGCGCGCTAGCTCTGTGCGTGGGAGTGCTGCGTGGAGCAACCGCCTATCTACAAACACATCTGTGTCTGGGGGTGATGCTGAGCCAGCAGCAAAGATAAAGTCAGCTCTGCCAGTGCTAGACTCACAGAAATTTGCTCCACCCTCAGAAGGCGATTCTGCGGATGTTGGCGAGCACACCAGCACGGCCCGGTCATTAGCAATGTCGCCGGCGCAAGGAAGGATCTCGCCAGAGCGCGCCGAGCGCCCTCCATCCCCAACAAAAGGAATGGGAGGATTCGTGCAGAGCGCAATGCTTAAGCGGAGCGACAGCGTAAACAAGCGGTGGAGCACCCAGACACCTCAAAGCCCCAGCCGTCAAAATTCTATCATGAGCAACCGAGGAAGCGTGACTCTCGGCGGGTACCCTGCAATATCAAAATTAGATTCGAGACCGAGTAGTCTAAGTAGAGAAAACTCAAGGGAGCCTTCGTCACGGCCTGGATCAAGCTCAAGCAATCTCACAATAACCAAGGATGCTCCAGACAAGGACAGCACGCCGAAGAGCGAATTCGTCAAACCTGCCCTTCCCCACCATAACCGGAGCAAATCTGTTGCATCTACATTCAGCGAGGACAGGGGAGCTCAAGATGAGACCTCTCCGCCCAGCCCGTCGAAGCGGTGGAGCCCTACAAAGTCAAGTTGGCTCGAGAGTGCCCTGAAGAAGCCGGAAGCACAGAAGCCGAAACAACCACCGCCGCAACAACCAGCGTGGATGACTGAGATCAACCGCTTCAAACAACAGCGTAGTAGTGTTGACCTAGGCAAAGGAGACACAATTCCACCAGGAGACACCACCTCTGGTCGAGCATCACCCATCAAAGATATACAATTGAAGCCCACCGCGCCTCGAAGATCTGAGCCTCCCGAAGAGGAGGAACCCAAGGAGACGGTGCAGCCGTTGCCCAAACCAAAACCTGTGTTCTCGCCCAAGCCTTCTATAGCACCGAAAGTAGAAGTTAAGGCGCACGAAGAGGCGACTCAAGCAGCAAATCTGAGTGAGACACCCAAAGGCGATTCTGCAGGGCCTCCCTCCACGTCTCAGCTTCCTGCTTCTCGATTTCCCAAGGAATCCCCCGTAGCTTCCCCCCCAATTAAAGCTAAGCCGGATACGCCACCAAAGAAAGATTTTCGTGGTACTCTTAAGTCTCGACAACCGACTTCAGAAGCGTCGAAGAAAGATGAAGTCAACGAGTTCCAAAACGTATTCGGTCGACTTCGGAAGGCCGAAACCAAAAATTACGTTGCCCCAGACATGCTCAAGAACAACATTCTCCGTGGAAAAGCTGGACTGACCATCACTGGCGGTCCTAAGCCTTCTGTGCGACGAGATGAATTCAAGGAGAGTTTGATTAGTCAGAAATCGGCGATGTTGGCGAAGGCCCAAGAGACTGGCTCAGCGGCACTAAAGAAGGCAGATAGCTCCTCTCAGGAAACTACAACCCCCGAAGCAATAGCAAGAAGGAAAGCCCTTGGGAGAGCTGATAGCACTGCGAAGCCTCTACCCGCACGAGAGCGGGAGGGTACTCCAGAGGCAATCTCTCGGCAGAAGAGCCTCCAAGCTAGTAAAGCTGCAATCCAAGAAAAAGTGGCGCCGCCTCCATCACCATTCGCGTCCAAAGAACCCATGAAATCGAGCAAGCTCGCAGACCGCTTCAACCCTGCTCTTGCAGGCATTCTTGCCCGAGGTCCATCTCCTATGTCCGCCAACGCATCGGCTTCGGGGGTTGCTTCTACAAACAACTCCTCAGTTAGAGCTCCTGAAGAAGAGAACAAAGGACCGGCCCCTGAATTGACGCATATGACAAAGGGGCGAGCTCGTGGACCTAAAAGGCGAGCCCCAGCAGCAAAGCAGGCTCGTCCTATGGAGGAGGTCCCTCAAAAAGTAGCACCACCTACAACTGTCCCTCTTGTCAAGGCTAAAGATACCCTGCCGAGTAATGTCCTTCCCCAAACTAACGAGGCCGCAGAAGAGTTGCCAGCAGCAAGGACTCCTGTACGGGAACCCCTCAGGGCTAAACCAGTGACGCCTGTGAAATCGCCAGAACTCTCTAAGAAGGTCGGAAAGGACGCATCTCCGGAAATACCTCGGAAACCTTCTTCAATCGAAATGGAAAGGAAATCCATGGCTTCTACGATCGACGATGGCCCAAAGAAGGCCGCTCAATTTGAGGCCGTAGAACCTGTCAAAGAAGTCTCAACTTCGCCAAAAGTCCCAAGTTGGAGGTCGTCCAGACCGCTCCCAACGGTGCCATCCAAGACTGAGAACCAAGGTGAATCTAGCGCCACGCTTCGAGAAATTTCAGTTGACGCTACCCCGGAGAAGGTTTCTCAACCTGAGGCTGTAGAACCAGTTAAGGGTTCTTCTTCGCCAAAAATCCAAAACTGGAAGTCATCAAGGCCGCTTCCAGCGATGCCATCTAAAACCGAGAACTTGAGTCAACCCACGACCGCTCTTCGAGAAATTTCGCCCCCGGACTCTGAAATTTCGCCAAGCAAAGAAACCCAATCACCGGAGAAGCCGGTTTTCTCTGTCAAGGGTGCTACGGCTCTGTGGGGTAGACAATCTACCCCCTCTTCTCCCGCTCCTTCAAGATCGAAGTCTCCAATCAAGCTTCCAACCCATGCTGACGAACAAGCTGCTCTGGAGAATGCTGGCCTCGTTCGCTCTCTCGAACCAGAAATAATGGAAACAAACCCCAGGCCCGCAAAGCCCAAGCCAATAGGACTCGGGCTAGGCAGCTTTGGTGGGCTTGTTGGGGCGAGGTCGAGAGAGTCAAGTCCCCCCAAACCTCTTTCGGCAAAGGCATTTCCCACATCACCACCCATCAGTGGAAACAGACCACAGTCAGAGCCATTTAAAGCATCTCCAATGCCCGAGAAAGCTAGCGGTATATTTGGAGACTTCTTTGACGAGTCTCCGGTAACCACAGACGAGCTCCCCAAGGAGATTGATGTCACCAAGATATTGATGAACACACCGATAGATCTTAGCCCCGACAGTAAAATTCGGACGCTACGCAAACAGATCCAAGAAATCACCGGTGACGGAAAACTGCTGTCTGTTCCAATGCAGGAAGATCACGTCCTTTACCAGGATTCGATGTATTTGTGTATCCATGTTTTTGGAGATGTTAAAGGTGCAAAGATTACGGAAGTCTATCTATGGTCAGGGAACGGGGTCGCAGAAGCTACTCTGGAAGATGCTCAGTTGTTTGGACGAAATGTTGCAAAGCAGAATCAAGGAAAGCTCATTATATTGCGACAGGGCAAGGAAACTCCGAACTTCTTCGAAGCTCTCGGTGGCATTGTCATTACCCGACGTGGATCGCAACCCGCGTCGAAGGAATACATGCTGTGCGGACGGCGACATGTGGGTCACATTGCCTTTGACGAGGTGGATTTTTCTCTGAAAAGCCTCTGTTCAGGCTTTGCATATGTCATCTCAACAGCAAGTGGCAAAGTGTTCCTTTGGAAAGGCCGCGGGTGTTCCGCCGAAGAGCTCTCTGGGGCCCGCCTGATGGGCATGGATCTTACACCCACTGGTGAACTCATCGAGATTGACGAGGGCTCGGAGCCACCTGAACTTTTCGACGTCTTTCCACCTACCGACGCCAACGCATCCACTGCCAGGTCCAAGGGGAAGCAATCCGCTACGTCCGCGATTCCCCGATCAGCTGAACATTGGCGCTACAAACCTAGTATCCACAACTACCGTACGCGGTTGTTCAAGATTGAGCAGCATCAAGGATCATCAGGATGGGGACAAGGCTTGCAGGTGAGCTCATTTTTTGCGCCTCTGCTGCGCCGCCCCTCTTGGCAGACGTTTTCTGGAGAGAGGCCAACTGAACGGCCACAGACGCCAAGCACACCGAAGTCCCCTCTACCCCCAGTCACTACGAAGGTCGTCGAGATTATGCCGTTCTGTCAGCGTGATCTGGAGCCTGAACACATCTTTGTCCTCGATGCTTTTTTCGAGATGTATATGTAGGTTTTCTCCTTCACTCCGTGTATTAATCTAACGCAATTTTTCTAGCATCGTTGGTCCCCTCTCTCGTACCCAGTCCGCTGCCTTCTCGACTGCACTCATGTTCGCTCAAGCATATAGCATGACTGCTGCGGCTGAAGAAGACCGACCCTTCATCCCTGTCACAACTGTTGTGCTCGAAGGCGTTCCACGAGATATGAAAGCTGTTTTCAGGTTTTGGGATGACGCTCTGATTCCCGCCGCTGGGTTGATGCGAGGAAAACTCGGTCGGGGTAAGAGCCTAAGGATTGTAGGACTTGAGAAGGCGATCGAAGCTACTCGGCAATAGTTGTTATGAGGGGTGGCAACGAGCTGAATTTGACGTGCATGACTATGAACATGTGGGACGGATCTTGATGATTTGAATGCTGGTGTTGATGAAAGAGATGACCTTTTACATTCTTCGATGTATTACTTGGATTGATTTACTTGTTGCTTGCACTGTAAATACTTTGTCGTTTCGTGTGGCACGAACCGCTGGATGGATTTCTTCTTGGTGTCTTCTAGTATATGGCTCTTGTTCCTCAAGGAACTCTTAAAATTCTCATAATTTTCATTGCATCGAACAGCATCCAGAGTCTTTTTGAGCTACAACCATGGTCGACATCAGGTAGGACAAGATAAGAGTTCGGGTGATAAGTCGCTGTCAGGGGCGTGGCGAGTTTATAAAGGGTTCGGTAATCCGGCCCGACCTAATACTCTCACTACTATATTTCAAATTTTCATTTTGTTTACATTGCACATGATCACACAGAGCGAGGGATTTATGACGACATGACCTTTTGGAAGCGGAGTGCCCCACGGGGTATGAGGTGACACCCGTTGCCTGCAGGTGCGTCTCGGAGGTGTGTGCTCGTATCCCAGGGCTTCGAGGCTGTTGATAGTGAGGCTTCTGATGTCTTCGTATGATGTCCTTTCACGCAAGTTGTGGTCTTACAATTAGTCTACATTCCTTTCACTTGTATAAGAATGACGCTATCCTCTTTCTCTTCAGTTATTTTGTCCAGGACTTGAACATCCCTCTTGTCCATCTCGAAATGGCACAGCCTTCCAATCCTCACCACACAACCAATGTGACTCGACAGAACCCCTATATTAACTCGCGTCCCCCAACGCTCGAGCCTAACGACCACGCATTCAACTTTAAATTAATCACGGTCCTTCTTCAGCCATTGATCCTATCACTCTGCACTCAGTGCTGGCAAGGCGTACTCAGCCTTCTAGTCTGGTGACGTTGCGAGCGGGATCGCTCCCAACTTGGTGTCTGAATTCCAGGTTGAGGGGGTGGGCAATTAATTTCATGACGGTATATCGCCAGAATCTCTGCACCTATGCCTAATACATTGCCGCTCGGTAGGCTCAACATGGAGGGATTGGGCACGCGGACGGGCGTGCTGCCGGCCGGAGAAAGAATATAAAGTTGAGGAGAACCCGGGTTGAGAGGGGGCTTATTTGGTAGGTGCAATGCGGCTTGACCATTTTATATATTGTTGATTGTTTGACGCTTTGAGGTTTCGTGGTGATATTGATATTGTATCGCACTCTTCAACTTTCTCCACGGCAGAAAGTGATTCCAGTATTGTAGTAAGGGATTCAGTGGTTTGATTCTTGATTAGTTACTTCACGATGGCCCCTATTACGACTTACCTCTTTTCCTTCGCATTCGTTCTTCCGACTCTTGTAAACGCCCACGGGCATGTCACCGGGATCGTAGCAGATGGGAAGTGGTACACCGGCTGGAACGGCGAAATGAAATACCAGAATCCTCTTCCAGCGACTGCGGGCTGGCAGGCTGATAATTTGGACAACGGTTTCGTCACACCGGATTCATTCGCCAAGCCCGACATCATCTGTCACAAATCCGCGAAGAATGGGAATGCCTACATCCCCGCGAAGCCGGGATCCAAGATCACATTCCAGTGGAACACATGGCCTGTATCGCACAAAGGTAGGGTTCCTTTCAAGCTCTTCTGACCTGGATGGGGGAATGACGTCTAATCTGGTGAGCCACTAGGCCCCGTCTTCGACTACATAGCATCCTGCAACGGCGACTGCACAACCGTCGACAAAACCAAACTCACATGGGTCAAAATGGACGAAGGCGCCTGGCTCTCCGGCAACGACCCCGGAACTTGGGTCACAGACAACCTTATCAAAAGCAACATCTCTTGGTCTATAACGCTCCCCAACCTCGCACCAGGAAACTATGTAATCCGCCATGAGATCATCGCTTTGCACGCAGCGTCGCAGACCAATGGCGCGCAAGCCTATCCCCAGTGCGTCAATTTTCAGGTGTCAGGGGGTGGGACGTTAGCAGTGAGTGGGGGTGTGCCCGCAACAAGCTTTTACAAGGCCAGCGATCCTGGAATTCAGTTTAATTTGTACTCGAAGTTTACGGGATACACGATGCCGGGACCAGCGTTGACGAAGCTTCTGAGGAGGGAGGAGGGGGAGGAGAGGGAGCATGCGAGGAATTGGTTTAGGAGGATGAAATGAGGGATCGATGGAGGGAGGCAAAGGATGAGACCGTGTTCCATCATTGAAATGTACTTGCATGGTTCTTGTATTACTGAACAAATTATAGCATATTATCACAGAAGTTGACTGTGACTGGGGTGGGGTTTATATCTTAGGGAGAGCCTGAATAAGATGTAAGCCTCTACCTTCAATTATCTTGTCATGTTCTAGTTTAGGTAGTAAGATGCAGTCCAGCATGCTCTGACATGTTGTCACATGACGTGAAAATATGACCAGTGCGGAGTCTATGAGTTACGCCTCTTGCTAGAATCAGGGAGGGCCCCGACTGCCATCAAATTTCGGTCCTGAATTACTCCCTTAGCTAAGATGAAGCTATTTCAAGTTTGAAATCCTGCCGATATTCCGACAAGCGAGGATTAGGTGGAGGTTGAAGATCGACTCCAAGGCTGATTCAGAGTCGTCCTGGTGGACTATTCATTCGCACACCGCTCTTCATTGATATCATCTCGTCGTCGATGGTCTGAGTTGTGTGCGATTCTCCAAGGACACCAAAGTCCTTCTGTATCTACCTATAATCCAGCATTTAGCCAATGTCCTCCAGGACCGACCTGTGAAACTCAATCGCAAAATTCCAGCGATGCGATTGGCCAGGTTTCAATATCAAAGCCGAGACCAGTGCTGGCGGACTTCCACCAGAGACAACAAAGCGAAGAGCAGCGCTCAGAAATTTGGTGCAGAAGAGGGTTTTGTGGTCTTTGGTTACAGACACGAGCAAAAGAAATATGACGAGACAATTCCTGTTAGCAAAAGCCCCTGCGTACTCTCCTGCCTGGAGCGATTAGCGGCTGAGGTGAGCAAAGCCCCTCGTAAGTACTTCGTCCTCGCGCCCCCAATCGGGCTTGGTGGGACGAGGGCAGCAGTGAAAAACCGCCCGCCTTGGGCGCTGGCCATCCAGGACACGGGGTGGCGGCAGAAGCTGAGGGTTGGTGCCAGTCGAGGTTCACCGGAGGAATCATGACCCGCTCTGCGTTTGACATGGCTCTGCAACAAATTTGACAGCAACAGCGCAGCCGAGAGAGCGCAGCAGCGCGGTGGGTGAGAGAAGTACTTGCTACTTGCTGCTCCCCAATTGAATAACGGCACGGACGAATCGCATTAGTGCCTGCGCCTCCACGGCCGCTCGTTGGTGCTCTTTGGTGCTGCGCCTGAGGCTTTGCGGCGGTCCAGTTTTGAAAGCTGGGACAGGTGTGAGAGGTAGGGAGTTTTGGTTCGAGCTCAGCCTTGTCCGTCCAGCTCCCAGCCGCACGTTCGTCTAAACAACTCACCACCCCACCTCCGGCCTCCTTCGACCCTTCTTCCTTTTATCTATGTCGTCCATGAACGCTCGCTTTAAAAACCTCGTGGGCTCGAGACGCAGATCATCAAATAATCCTTCGCCCTCGCCGGGGACCACGACTCCCACTCAGCGGCCTTCCAGCCTCTCCCCGCAGAACACCAACTCCAGCTCCTCGTCGCTGCCCACCATGAATCCGCAAAACCCCCTTGGCCGCCCGCCCAGCTACACCTACGCTCCCCCCGGCAGTCTTGCTCCCAACCAGCAGCAGCAGCACGGCCGTCCCGCCAGCCCGCTGCCGCCCATTAATACTGGTGCGGCCGGCTATCCTCCCCAACAGATGGGCGGGTATCCGCCGCAGGGTGGCCCTCCAGGCTACCCTCCGCAGCCGCCAGCTGGTGGCTACGGAGGAGGGTATGGAGCACCGCCGCCAGCTGCCCCTCCGGCTGCCCCTCACGCGCCCGCATCGTTCAACAGGCCGAACATGGCAGAGGTTGCCGGCGAGGGTCGCTCCAAGGCACAGCTCATCGTCGGCATTGATTTCGTGAGAGCCCCTCCACCCCCCCCAGCCAAGGCTGCAGTGTGGCGCAGATGCTGATCTGAAATGCACCAGGGCACCACATTCTCGGGCGTCGCATTTGCCTTCGCTACCAACACCGAGGCCAAGGAAGATATCATCACCGAATGGCCAGGTGCGGGAAACCAAACAAAACAAAAGGTACACTCTCCACACAACCCCTGGACTATACCTTGTCTAACGCGACACAGATTCCCACGGTGCTGTACTACGACCAGTATCAGAAGGTCGTAGGGTGGGGTCCAGATATCGCCGACGCACTGGCCCCCACCGGTTACCCCAAGCCAGGTGTGCAAAAGGTGGAGTGGTTCAAGCTCCAGCTGATGCTGTCTGGTAACACTTACATTGACCCCATCAACCTTCCCCCGCTTCCCCCAGGGAAGTCTGAGATCGATGTCGCCGCCGACTACCTTTTCCATCTGCGGCAGGCAATGAGGAATCAGCTCCAGAAGACTCTCGGTGAAGTGTTCAACAGAGAAGAGCGCAACATCAGGTACTACCTGACAGTGCCTGCCATCTGGAATGATGCTGGAAAGGCTGCCACCCGTGCGGCTGCGATCCAGGCTGGCTTTCTCCGCGATGAGAACGACAATAGGCTGACGCTGATTACCGAGCCTGAAGCCGCAGCCATGTTCTGTTCTAAGACTGGTCTTCTCAATCTCAAGATCCACGACGCTGTCCTGATCGTCGATTGCGGTGGTGGTACCGTCGATTTGATCGCCTATGAGGTCGAAGAGGAGCAGCCTTTCTCAGTAGCCGAGTGCACAGCAGGGTCTGGTGATTCCTGTGGATCCACGGCTCTGAACCGAAATTTCAGTAACATTCTCCGTGCTAAGATCAGGAAGATGAAGTTGCCCGATGGCTCCAAGACGGCCGGCAAGGTCTACGCCAAGTGTATCATGGACTTTGAGAACAGGATAAAGGCTGATTTCCGAAATAACGGCCAGAAGTGGGCCGTCGATGTTGGTATTGAGGCTGAGTTCCCGGAAGCTGGTATCGAGGAAGGCTACATGACTTTCACGAACGAGGAGATTCTGCAGTGCTTCGAGCCCGTGGTGAACCGAATTTTGGAGCTAGTGAGGAACCAGATCATTGCGATTCAGGCCCAAAATAGGGCGTTGCAGGTATGTTGAATCCGCGTCGAACAATGTTCACGCTGATACTAATTTGTGCAGAACGTGCTTGTCGTCGGTGGTTTTGGCGCTTCGGAATATCTCTTCCAGCAAATTAAGCTCCACGTGCCACCCCAGTTCCAGTCCAAGGTTGTCCGTCCTATGGACTCTGTCGCCGCTATTGTCAAGGGTGCCGTTACAGCCGGTATCACCGAACGTATTGTCACCCACCGCGTTGCCCGTCGCCATTACCTCATGGCCACTCTCCAGCCATTCAAGGAGGGCCACCACCCGGAGCAGTACCGTGTACCATCTTTGGATGGCAAGGATAGGTGCAAGTATACCCGCCAAATCTTCGTCCAGAAGGGTCAGCGTGTCAAGATCGGGGAGCCAGTAAAGGTTTCTTTCTTCAGACAAGTAGCCCCCGGCGCTACTCTGATGTACGAAGACATTTTATATGCATGCGATGACGATGTTTGCCCGGAATATACGAAGGATCCTCGTAAGTCCAAACCCACAAACAAACTTGGGTGGTCGGTATTGACAGTCGCGCAGGTATCAAGGAAGTCGTTACCCTCACCTCCGATCTCTCCCGAAAGAACCTCGAGAAGGACTTCGAGCGCATGGACACGCCACAGGGTACTTTCTACCGTGTATACTTCGACATTTACCTCACGCTTGACGGCTCCGAGTTCAACGCCGAGCTTGTGTGTCAAGGCGAAGTCATGGGTCGCTGCACGGCTAGGTTCAGATAGAGTGGGCGTGTGCATAGCAATGGAAAAAGTTCAGATCATTTCTTCTACGATAATATGTGGGATATTAGATACATTACGACATCAAAGACGCGGGTTAGTGAGTGTCGAGGTCTATGGTGGCGAAGGACAGATCAATGGCCCTGAGGATGGTGGTTGGAATGGTCGGCAACAAAGATTCTTCCCCAAAGCATACCCCCAGAATTCGTCTCGGTTTTGAGTATTTAACCATCATTGGCTTATTAAGATGGGCGTAGGCCTTGGATATACATGTTCTTATGGAGTTGTTGATAGCCTTGGTAGCTGAGCGCGAATTTTGGATGTTGGATGTTGGATGTGTGGGCGAACGTGGTTGTGGTTGAGTAGACGAATCCTGGAGTATTGAATATAGGTTCTATCTTATTCGGCCAGATGTTTATTTCGATGCTATGTGCTTGACTCTTTCCGAGATCTACGAGTGAGTTCCACGGTTCTTCATCCAGCTCGGAGGTTGAAGTTGGTTCCACTTTCCAGTGTTCTCGACACGTTGAACTATGCCAAGACACCAGCTTCGCAGAGTACCAGCTTCAGGTTATCCGACGCTTCATTCTTCCCCAACTTCCCACCTATGTTCAACTTCCCCAAAGTTATTATTCAGCCTTCCAGTAGCTTTTGTCACTATTTGGACACCGAACCGCACTTCGAGATTATTTCTTGGTCGTCTGGTCAATTAGGCGGGACTTTAGAAACAGTTGCTCATTACCATATTGACATCTAGGGTCTCTCTAGGAGAAAACGCTGCAACTTGCTGCTATAAGGTCTTGATTGGTGTTCCAGTGGATTTTTTTCAAATTCTTTCATCTTGTTTGATCTTTCAAGAAGATTATGGAGCAGAAGAAAAATTGCCCAAGATGGAAAGATAGACTCGAAGGCGAAATCTCATCATCGGTACGAACTTGTAGAACCCAGCCACGCGTAGTTTTCCCGCCTTCCATCTTTCTCTACCGTTTCCGGGGAAGGGCTACATTCCTGGATCGTTGACCTAGGTTGGGTTCCTCGAGTCGACTTCCGTAGCACTCCATGGGATGCGATTCGGAGATTGAAGAATTCGTGGATACTAGAAGCGCTTTCCAATGGAAATGTGGTCAGCCATTTGCTTCAACGGTAAACATGGCCGCTCTGGTGGGCTGTCGACCACTGTAAACTATGGAGCTCTCCGGCAACATTTTTATGTCCGTGTTCTGTTGAACTGCGCTCGCATGTAAGTATAGGAGCTCTCTCTTTCCTGTCCTTCCCTTACTTCTGCTCATCGCTCTTCTTCACTTAGAGTATCAGTCGTCGTTTTCCACCATGAGGGCTTGGGCTGTTTCTCTTGCTGCTGGCGTGGGTTATGCCCATGCCGCTCAATCTTACAGTGGCCCTTTCCGACCCGATAGACCTTCCTATGGCTCCCTCAATGAGACTTGGGATGATATGTGAGTTTAGCCTCTTGTCCCCTATTCTCCTTTATTAACACTTGGACACAGATATGATAGGAATGCCATATTCTCTTCCATCGATCGTATTGCTCGGAAAGAGCACCTCCTGGGAAAACAAGCAATCACGGCAAAGCTGAGGGCGTCTCGCCGGGGATCTGATGGACCTGGAATGGGCGACTGCTCTGATTTCCCTGAAGGGGCGGCCCCTCTTCCTGACGAGGACACCTGGGAGAAGTTTGATGCCATGGATGAGTACAGCTCATTTGCTCACAACGCCGTCACCCCTTCAGGGTACGTCAAGATCTTCGAGGACTTTAACTCCACAGTAGTTTCGATGAACTACATCGGTGTCTGGACTCTCTATGCCTACGAGCCGCAACTCTGCGCCGACTCTTGCACCGAACAACCGGGATGCAAAGCTTTCAACATCTACGTCTCCCGTGATCCGTCTAAGGACCCTGGACCTAACTGCCCCAATCCCCCATCTGTTTCTAACTTCAGATGCGCTCTTTACAGCTCTGAGATCAGCGTGGCAGATGCCACCAACGACGGTCAGGTCCAGCCTCCTGCTGATGCAAATGGAGACATGTTCATTATCAAGCACAAGGGTTCGAACGGTATGATGCTTTTAATCTTATTGTAATTTCTGAGACGAGTTAAAATGTGACATTACATTGAACTAATTGCTAACTATACGTTGTAGGCTACAACGCCTACGATATTCCTAAGACGAAGCCACAGAATATCCTCGGCTTCGATGGACCCACCCCTCTCCCTGCCGCTATCAATGCTCCCCCAACATACGCCGAGTACCCGGCTCAGTTGGAGGCGGGAAAGCTGATTGGCATTCAATTCTTCGACGCTGTCTATGACCCATCCCTCTGCGCCAAACTCTGTAACTCCATCACGAAACAGAGACGAGTCAAGGGGCAGGTAGAATGTGATGCTAATGTCAAGCCGGAGTCGTGTCTTTTCAACCGTATGTTGCTCAATTTTATCGAATTGTTCTCGTAAAACACTAACGACAACTACAGCCTGCAACTACATCAACACCTACCAGATAACCAACGAAAAAGGTCAGACGAATGGCTTCTACTGTCAGCTCTTCAGCCAAGAGATTAGTCCTGACAATGCTACCCTTACTAATGGAAAGGATAACGCTGGGTACTCCGGTACAGTCAACACTAGCTGGGGCTACTCTCGCAACCCTGAGGTCTCGCCTGAACTGTAAGAAGCCTTTCTTATTACTCCGTTAATCCGGCCCTCGTATTTCGAAATTTAGTGTCATGTCAGCATTTAACAGCAACGTAATGTTGTGGTTCTTATTTCCCCTGTCCTTCAGATTCAGCGTTCATTTGGTGGACTCTTTTGGACCTAGCTTCTAACATTTTCTCAAGTATTCCAGCCCCAGATGACTATCCCGACTCTTTCCCAGGCCCCAACTCCATATTCAGCTCTCCAACCCCTATCAATAAGACTAGAATCTCCGCATCCACATCCTCCACTAACCACGACGAGACCTCCACGACGACTGAGACGGTAACCATTACGAAGGAGATCGTTCGCACTTTGACTGAGACTACCACTTCTTTCATTGCTTATCCCTCCACTATCCGCACTACGTTGACTCGGTCACAGTATCCACTTGTTATCTTCCCCTCTGACATTCCAGAGGACTCCATAAGCAATGCTTCCACAGTTGCTCTCACTGTGACTGTGATTCCCACTGCTGCCGTTGCTCGTGCCACCGCGGCAACTGGGTCACTGTCTCCCGCTGTTCTCCTCCGTCATCCTACAGGCGCTACCTGGCAAACACCCCAACCAGAATTCAAGGGTATCAGTCAAAATTACCGCCGCACGGGATCCGACTCTAGCCCTAGCTCCGCAACGTCTTCTCCATCTTCCTCTCCATCGAACTCCGCGTCAGCCCTTCCCGAAGTGGACACCCTACACCAGCTCTTGGCTGCGGAGAGCAAATACAAAGATGCACAGGAGGCCCTAGAAGAGGCCCTCGAGAAGCTCAAACAATGGAGGGAGGTGGCTAGAGAGATGCGAGGTGACCTCGAAGAAGCTAAGCATAAATTCAAGGCCGAAGAGACAGACGAAACCTATAATGCCTTACAGAAGGCGGAGTCAGATTACGAGTCTGCAGAGTCAGATCTCGAGGACGCAGCGCGCGATGTTTTGAAGTTGCAGGATGCAGTCGAGGACGCAAAAGAGGAGCTTAAAGATCTTCATGACAAGTGGGATGAAGAACTTGACGAGATGTCCCCAGAGCAGCGGAGAGAGGCCGAGAAGGAACTTGAATTGGCAAAATACCGTGACTGGCTGAAATCCCAATACGACAACGCCACGTCAGCGGAGAAGGAGGGACTTTTCACCAGTATGAAGACGCCGTTGGAGAAGAAGAGCCCGCACGCAGAACCGGCATCCGAAGAGAGAACTGTGAAGCCGGACCCTTACCTTTCTGAGCACGCGCCGCTGGTGATACAACAGTTTGTCAACGCTACTAGGGATGTCGTTGCGGCCGCTATTGACAGGGCCATTGCTACCGCCGACCAAGAGGTTGTGCATCTGAACACCAAAGCCCGGAAAGCACTCCCCCCGCGTATCATAAAGGAAATCCTCGCCGCAAAGGAGTTCCTAGCGCGCAACGCTACCAACACGATCATTCTTGCTCAAGACAACGAGAATGAGCCGCCTATCGAGACAATGAGCTACTATACCTCGACGATCGCAGCAGAGCTTCTGGTCGCGAAGACGGCGTCGGAACAAGCCGCAACGGCTGCCAGCTCTAAAACTGTCCATGCTTATAACTTCAGACGGCCATCTAAGCAAGAAGTTGAGGAGATCGAATCAGACGTCTTCTATTTGCTGGAGCAGTTGGGACTGCCGGAAGAATTTCGAGATCCTTCCAAGGATGACAAGGTCGCCCGGGCTACTCTTACTTCTCAGGACATCAGTGATGAAGACGGCGGAGCGGTCCTCGCCTCCAAGGTCCTTATCGCGAAGTTATTCCTGGAGGGAAAGATTTCCAACGCTACCGGTGTGGTTGATAAGAAGGCCGTCGAAACGGTCGAGTTTGCAGAGCTGATGATTGTGGAAGCTGCTAAGAACGCAAAAGAGGCCACTGTTGCTGACTCTGCGGATACGGATGCGGCTATGGCTTGAGTCTACCGACCTTGCTCTGCTCTGCATTTGCCCGATATCTTTGATGTCCAGTGGGCTATATGGCACAGCGGAAGCTGCAACCGCTTACATGGAATTGTCCTAGTATAGACTAGATTAGGCTAGCGCTAGCATTAGCGGGGCTCTCTTACCTTCAACTCCAACACGCCTGCGTTCCGTCGGTGTCCAGAGGGAAAAAAAAAAGAAAATCTTTCTTTCCTTGTATGCTTTGCTTGCTTGATTTCTTTCATCTTAGACAAAAATTAGCCAGGCGTTAGAGACTCGGTGGTCATCGCAATGGCAATGGCAACAGTGGATGGCGTCAATGGACTGGTGATTGAGGACAGTTTTCGTAAAGAAGTCAAATGAAACAAAAAAGGTCGAAAAGAGAAAACCAAGTCAAAAGAGGGAGTGTTTTACAATTCGTATGAGATTATAATTAGAAATTAGTAGGTAATTAGTAGGTAATATATGTTATGTACTGTACTGTACTGTACTGTGCCTATGACCAAAGGTCACGCCCTCCCTTTCCTTCCTTCGTTTCTCTGAACCCCGACACATGCGCAGAGAACACAGACTCTCTGATAGGTGAGAGATTTACATATCTTATGAACTACACCCAGAAACCCATTCGTATGCGCCGGTGGTCTATAAGAGGGATTTAGGAGAATAGCGGATTGGATGGAAAAGCATATGACTCTTCAGCTTGGCAAATAGAAGGGAATAGCGGGAGATGGGGACTGGAAACTCAGCCGGTCAGTCATGGCCGTCGGCCATCGGATAGGCGAAAAAAAGCAGCAAGCTCTTAGCGAATGGAGACTCAGGAAAAGAAAAAAGAAAGCTCTTAAAACCGGTGTACATGAGCTTGAGCCGGCCGCTTGTGAGGGAAATAGAATGTTGGAAGGAGAAAGGCAGCAAGAGTAAGAGAATTCAGACCAGAAAAATGCCATTCAACGCCGTACCTGTAGGTACATCACGAAAGATGCCCGTCTGCCCGCCCAGCCAACGTTCAACCCCCACTGTCATGGCTACCTTCAAACATCAAGAAATACTATCCTAGCCCAATAATTTGATGCCTCCAATATGCCCTAATATACCAGATCCTGCCCCGCCTCATTTTTCCTCTTCTCATTATATATCTGTCCACCACCCTTCTACTGCTTCTTCTTCCCCTTACTCTTCCTTCTCGGAAGCCCCAGTTTCCGACGCGCTTTCCGATCGCCTTCCGCAAGCCATTTACTGGCTTTAACAAGCTGGACCACGTTGATCCATTGTTTTCCGAACATGACGGGGAAGGAGATGACGGCGAGAATCCAGGGGACTGTGGAGCTCATTTTGTTTGCTCTGAACAAAAGGCAGATTAGCATGTTTCCCCCGTAAACGCCACGCCACGCCACATCCTCGATCGGTTTATCGAGTGTGGGGGAGGATTTTGGGATAGAGCAAGCTTACCGTGCCATTTCCATCGCACCAGCAGACCAGGGGCTTGTAAAAAGCATGGAAGGTTTGGGGGCTGCAGGGGTCCCGGGTTGGAGGGTTGAGGGGTTGGATGAGTCTTTTAGGAGGGTGGGGGAGAGGTAGGGAGAAGAGAAGGAGAGGAGGTAGAGAGCGATGAAGAAGAGTTCGTTTAGGGCGCAGAAGGTGAAGAGGACTTTCTGTGGGACTTTTCAGTGCAACTGATCCTTCAAATGGTATTTTCTCCATATGTCCAGTTTGAGCAGCCTTGGTTTGAGCGTAGGCTAGGGGCAGGATTTGGAGGGGGGATGAGACGTACGTTATTCGAATAATACATCTTCAACAGCCAACTCCGACTCTCATCCACATTCTTATGGCTCTGTCCGCTCTCGCCCATACTCAGCGTCGCATACATGTGCATATAATGACTTGCCAGATCCAGACTAATCAGGCCTTGGAAAACGATGCTCCATCGCGGAAATGCGCTCGCCAGGAACACCAACAAACACGCTGTTGTGCACCGATCGGTCACCATGTCGAGCACAGCCCCGAATTTGGTAGATTGTTCAAAACGTCGCGCGGCAAACCCGTCGAGTGCGTCGAGGAGACATGATACGCTATAGAGGATGGAGCAGGTGCGGGGGTGGAGGGGCATGTAGTAGAGGGAGGCGATGGCTAAGACGACGCGGGAGTAGCCTGTGGGAGGTTAGATACCGGAAGTGGGGTACGGAGCGAGCAGAATGGGTGTGGAGAGGCCTACGCACCGATCAGGTTGGGGTAGAATAGGAAGATATTCTCCTCATCCTCTTCTGGCTCCGGCCTTGAGGACCTAACAGCGTTGCCGTTACCGTTGGCCAGAGGCCTTGCAGTCGCCATTGTAGAAACAGTGAATTCGTTCAATCGTGTATGCTCTTCTCTCTCCTAAGCCCAGATTCTTAATCTCTCTAGAGTCTTACAATCTAGACTACACCCCGATATCTCAGAAATCAGGTCCGAGTCGTCGTTGCCTGATTTTGTGCGCGTTCCTTTCTTCCAAGCCGCTTGTAAGCCCTAAATATCTGAGACACTCGTGCAGGCTCTCTGGTTCCCTCGTCGTGCTATGTCGACCACGGGACTCAGGAATGCGCAGATTATTAGTACGTTCAATCCCTCGGGCGGCAGATAACGGCGTAGGTTAAGGGTCTGGTGTGGAGTTTTGCTGATAAGCCGATAACGACGAGAGCTCAGGAGCTAGGGCTGCAGGACGGTACAGGGGCTCGCTGCAAGAAACTGCAGGCTGCTTCGTTGGAATGAGAAGTCGCGAATGCGCAGGGGTATTACAAGAGCTATGGGAAGGAGAGGGCGAGAAAACAAAAGGCAGCGAAGAAGACGTGGTTCGGTGGTGAGATTGCGAGCTGCTCTTGGGAAATTGGGTGTTGAGAAATATTTGGTCCGAAGCTCCCGAAAGTTACGCTAGTCTGCTTCAGGAAATACATGGGCACTTTGTGCCAATCGCGCATCATCTGCTCTTTGGTCATTTGCACTGGAGATAGCATCCAAGTTAGCATATGCGATACGCTCTCCAAAGCTGAGGAGGTGACTATGGACATTTGGGCTGTCGAACTGGCGACGCCAGACGTGGATGCATAAAATATAGCCCTTGTTCGCACATGCTCCAATCATCGACCCTTCACCTTTCCACCTATTTTGCCCTTGCTATTCATCTTCGCATCCTTCCCCTTAACTGAATTCCTGCCTCTCTCCTCTTTTCCCTTCTTCCACACCTTGCCTTCAGTCCTAGCATCCCGGAGCTCTAACTTCTTCTTGTCCTTGCCACTGAGCTTCTTCTTCTCCTTCTTGACCCCTTCAACTAGTCCATTCAGCGCAGCAGCCCCTTTCTGCTTCTCCAGCAGCTTCTCTTTCTCGCTCTCGAACCATGTCCGCCTTGGTCGAGACTTGATCTCATCCTCGTGCCTGATGAGGTTCTCGCCGCGCTTCAAATCACGTTCGGTGATGCTGAGCGCTCGCTCCTCTTTCTCTTCTTTGAGGACCTCATCGATCTCATCTTCTAGCTTGCGAAGCTTCTCAATCCATTTTTCTACCTCCTCTGCTGGCACTTGGCGACTGACAACCTTGGCACCTTGAGCACGCGCAGCTTTGACGGCCGCCTTGACGACTTTGCGATCTGGTTCTGCGGCAATGGTACATGATCGACCGGTTCGCCCAGCACGAGCAGTACGACCGACACGATGGAGATAGATCTCGTGGCTTTGAGGGGCTTCGTAGTTCAGGACGGTGGAGACATTCTTGATGTCGAGACCACGGGAGGCCACATCGGTAGCTAGCAGGTAGGACGTTTTGCCAGAGCGGAAGGATTCGACGCTCTGAATTCGCTAGAAGTAGTCAGCACAACAATGGGAATTATAAGAAGTATGAGATGTCTTACCTGCTCCTGGCTCATGTTTCCGTGAAGCTCGCTCGCCTTCAGTCCGCACAGCCCGAACAAGACGCGCACTCGATGCGCTTCTTTCTTCTGCCTGAAGAATACGATGACTCTATCCGTGTACACGCTCGCGCACATGTACATCAAGTAAGCTTGCCGCTTATCCTCTTTCCCAGGCCGAAGCCTAACAAATTCCTGCACCAACCCGGCAACAGTTTTCTTCTTAGCATCAACCATTAGTCGAACAGGTCGGTTCATTCCAACGCGAATCAACGTGTCAACTGAGTTGGTCATGGTAGCAGAGAACAGCATTGTCTGTCGTGACTTGGGTATGGTAGTCAAGATCTCGTTCAATTGACTCTCGAACCCTTCCTCAAGCATTCGATCGGCTTCATCGAGAACCAAGATCTCAAGACTCTCAACTTGGAAAGCTGCCGAATTTCGCATGTGGTCGATAAAACGACCAGGGGTCGCAATGACAACATCCGGTCTGGTTCGGAGAATAGCTTCCTGTTCACGAGACGAGAAACCGCCAGCCAGTTGCACAAACGTGATATCAGTAAATGCAGCCAGCTTCTTAGCGACGTTGAAACATTGGACGGCTAATTCACGCGTGGGCATGAGGATGGCGACTCGAGTAGCGGGTATCTTTTTCGGGCGATGTAGCAGACGTTCGAGGATCGGAATGAGGAAGGCAGCGGTTTTGCCGGAACCGGTTTCGGCTCCTCCGACAACATCTTTGCCTAGAAGGGCAATCGGGATGGTCTTCGACTGGATTGGAGTTGGTTCGGTGAAGCCTACGGAAGCTAAGCCTTTAAGGATCGGGCGTGAGATGTCCATGGATTGGAAGGACCTGGAAGACTTCGATCCCTTCTTCTTGACGGAAGCACTTTCTTCAGGAGCAAAGAAGTCTGCACGCTTCTTTGCTTCTACCGCATCCTCTTTGTCGCTATCGTCCTCCGACTCTGAGCCCCCGAAGTCCATTGGATGAGGAACGGGCGCGGCAACGGAGTCGTCATCCGAATCTTCTCCCGCTTGTTGGTTGTCACTGCCCTGAAAACCACTGCCGCTACCTGCCTCTGACCCCTCCTCTTCGTCTTCTTCATCACTCTCTGCTCCCATCCCGAAGCCGTCATCTGCCAACAGCTCATCGTCGTCTCCAAACCCTTCAAACTCTATGTTCTCTTCCTCCTCCTCCTCCTCCTCCTCCTCCTCATCATCATCATCCTCAGCTACTTCCCCGGCCTCCTCCACAATGTTATTTTTATTCCTCCTTCTCTCTATAATTTCATCCACATCAACAGCTGTACCTTTTTTCTCCGCACTTTTCGCCTGAGCTCCGATTGCCTTTGACTCTCCCCAACCATCGAATTCCTCCATAAAGCCCGTATCCACATCTCCAACCTGAAATTCGAAGTCGGAGGCAATGTCGGCATTATCCTCGACCGGATGTTCTGGTTCAATATCCGCGCCGGAGTCTTCCACTTCCTCGGGGTCGAGGGCAGCCTTCTTCCCTTTCTTCTTCTTCTTATCTTTCTTCGTTCTCTTCCTCGCGCTCTCCTCAGTTTTGTCCGTTATCTCAGCATCCTCGTCATATCTCCTTTTCTTTCCGTGCCCAGATAACTTTGTCAATTCGGAGGAAGGCAAGTCGTGCAAGTCGTCGAAGTCGCCATCGTCGGAGACATCATCGTGATCAGAGATAGTGAACACAAAGTCATCATCTGCTTTAGGAGCCATCTAGTTCGCACTTTCTCCACAATGGAGAAAAACGAGTTAATTCGAAATGTTTGGACGTTGGCAGAAAAAAGTCGGCAATGGCCAAGCGCGAAATCTTGGCAAAGCGGTGAACGTGGCGAAGGTGAATGTGCACTTTCTCGCAATAGCGTCGGAACGGGAGATCCTATTTCCGACGACGTGAATTAGGCACCAGAGACGAGTTGACCACCTTCTTATCACGCAATGTAGTTACCTGACCAATAGCCGTACTGAGAACCCCGCAATCACGCTTCTGTTACAGGAGCTTGTGCTTGCAGCCTTGGACCAGCCCCAATTGATACGGGTTTACGCCACTAACCGTGCATTTCAACAGCAAAGCTGAAGACCTTCTCGATCAGAGAACTTGAATTAGGCAGAGCCGTTCGGGTAAGTTCCTCTTGTCTTAGCCCTTCGATTAATTGACCGATCATGAGTCACCAGCCCTAAGGAATAAGTAGAGAGTGCCTCAGCCTTCTGCTACCTTGAGTCTCAGCCTCCTTATTCATCTCCCCGCAATCCATTCACGGGCTTCCCAACTTCTGCATTTCATCTTCACTTTATCTTCCTTTCTGTCAACACTAACACTTACTCTGTGATATCACTCCACTAGCTTCTTATCATTATATCTACCTCATCTCTGACTTTCAAATCGCATACCCATCCATCTCACAGCCTCAGCCTGGTCACCAAATACTTTTCAATTTCCCAATCAACCCGCTCAACCTTAGCCATGAGTCCCATAAAACCCTCCCGCCCAACAACACGGTCTCAAACCCAAACTCAAACCACCCGTATCCAACCACGAAAAGCAGCAAGATCCTCCACTCCACCCCCCTCCTCCCAACCCTCCCAACCCTCCCAACCCATAGCTCTGAAACGTAAACGCCGCATCCGCCGCGCGGGTGCCGACCCCTGGACTCCTAAACGCAAGAAACCTAAGACCACTTCTCCCCGTCCGCGCAACCCACCCCCAACCCACTATACCTGTCGAATCTGCGCTGAAGAGCAACCTATCGACCAATTCATCAAATGGGTTTCACCATCTCGCAAGCTGCGCATTAACCGCTTCTCCTCCGCTCTAGACATCCCCCATCCTTGTATCGCGCATCTATCCCGCAATCCTCGCCGGAAAAATGACCCTGTGTGCAAGACCTGCATCAGCAATAGCCTCTCTGCCAAGCTCGACCAACTCGGTGCACGCAAACTAAGTCAAGGCTGCTTGGAGCCTGATTGCTATACCTACTGGTCTTTCGAGCACATCATGCGGCACCTCCCCGGCACCGCGCTCGAGAAATACAATATCGGGATGTTGCCTGTATGGCGGGAATCTGTGCAACTCATGACGTGCCCCGTGGAAACGTGTTCCGCAATTTCCCTTATCGATCCATTTGCGCCAGGATACCCACACGTCGCTTGTCCATCCTGCATGCAGCGGCTTTGCGCAACATGCCTGATTCCTTGGCATGCGGGGCTCACGTGCGCAGAGCATGCGGCACGCCATGTGCAGGAGAAGATGACAGCGCCAGAGATAGAAACGCTGGAGATCATGCAGGCCAAGGATGGGAAGCGATGTCCGAATTGCTTCATGGTGATTGAGAAGGATGGTGGGTGTGACAGTATGTATTGCATGGGCTGTCGGACATATTTCAATTGGGCCACGGCCGCGAGTGCCGTGCCGGGCAAGGGAACGAAGGTGGTTCCGCCTGACGTCTTTGGTCTTGGAGGCCAGCCGGTTGTTTGTGAAATGGATAAACTGGAGGGGAAGGGTGTGGCGGAGGAGGGTCAGAGTGGGCTTTATGCCGTTGCGAGTGCGGCGTGACTTGCAATCATACGGTTTGCTATCTATGCGGGTCTTATCCGCGTTTCATACACAGATCGTGATAGGGAGCAGGAGTGGCATGAGTAGCGCTCTGTGACGAGTGCTAAGTCTTCAGGTATCAGTGCTCAGGCTGCCGGCTCCAATACAATACATACATAATACACACACAAAGGCACAAAGGCATGATTTGCCAGAGCCCGTAGGCTCCATAAATTTAGTAAATTTTGGGTTCTGAACAATTATCTACACGAAACCCTGGCTGCATTGGTGTCGTGTCGCCATGCGAGAGCATGCGTAAAACAACTTCATGTCAGTCTGCCCACCCCATTCCCTTCCAATCCCTTCCATCCCATTCCATTCCATCCCATTTGTTGACATTCAAAGCCGAAGCCCCCCAGCCGAACCCATCCAACTCCATGCTTCCGCCCAGGCCGTTAGGGAAGGTGCAAACTGAAAAGGTTGAAACGCCCTTTCACGCACAAACGCCAGTTCCTTTCTTGCTGGGTGAAGCCTTCGAAAAAGCTTGAGAGAGAAGAAGAAAAAAGTCTAGTCTGGACTCACAGTTCGCAGACTCGTGTTAGGGGCTGCTGTGCTGCTCCGTTTGATTGAACCCTGCCCGTTTCGGGACAAACCTTTTGGTTTTGTGACACATGACTGGTGTCAATTTTCTACTTTTTTTTTTTCTGGTTTCTGGTATTAGAGCTCCGAGCATGGCAATGATACGAACCTGAATTGACATCGGATCGGGAAGCCGGGGCCGGTGCGGTAGGTAGGTTGAATAGCGGTCTATTCGCCGGAGATATATGAGGGTTGCCTTCTACTAGCGCTACTTCATGTGGCGGCCGCTCGGAGTCGTGACTGGACAAATACAGTGTTAGAAGTTGGAAAAGAATTCGTCTGCAATGGACAGACTGTGAAACCTTGAACATGAACAAGGCAGTCTAAGCCGGGGTAGGAGTCGGCACTCCGTTGATCTCGGATTGTCGGCGCTTTGCTAGCGCGTTCTGTGTGTTCTACAATAGTGGGTAAAGAAGTCAGCTTCCCTTCGTATACCTTTGAGAGCAGTGTGAGAACAGGTAAGCCAAAATTTAGAAAAACTCTGGAGCTACCCACGTCGAGTTCAGTCTCAGTAAAACTGCGCTTTGCGCCCTTACTCGAATGTTTCTTCTTCTTTTCCTTGACCGGCTTTGTCGGACGGGTCTCTCCCGGTAGGAAAACGTCTGCAGGGAGATCATAACTATATCATGTCAGCAGCTGCAAATTCATCGTCATAATAACAGATACTCTTACTTTCGAGTATGAATCACACGAACTGACATCGTTTCCTGCTCGTAGATGTCGGACATCGTAATGAATCTTTTGAACTCGGAAACTGGATATGAAATATCAAGCTGCTTGCCACCGTCTGCAAGTGGTCTTAATGTGTGGGGCTTAGACGCGGAGGAGCAGAGAACATACCTGCGGCCAAGGTGAGGCCAATGTAGAAAGTGGTCGTGTAGATGGTGTGTACCTCCTCTGCATTCTCCCCATTCTCCGCTTTTTCGGAAGATCCATTCACAGCAGCCTCCTCACTACTGATTTGAAAGGCCATATTGCCTTGGATTATTCGATCGATCTGCTCTTCAGTATGGCAGCGATGAACACGTTCGAAAGACTTGACATATGGACGTGCAATCTCGACACCAGCTCCGGAGTCATCGATCCCTTTGACTAAGAGGCGCACTTTGGATTGAACGAGGCCTGCGAACAGCTCGTGTGATTCCTTGGTCCGACATGCTGCAATCACACTCAGATAGTACTTATGATCCTTCGTGAAGAATGTGTGCCGTTCGAACAAATCTCCCCAGGTCTTCTTTCCGGCTATTATTAGGTTGACGATTTTCTCTGCTCGCGTGAACTCTTCTAGCATTATCGCCTTTGTAGAGTGCATGACGGTGTGAGTCGCGCACATAGACGGAAAAGCCGGTGTTATTATGGGCATGATGTGGGATTTGTCTTGGGGATATATCTGGTTTATATCAGGACATGAAAGTGTGACCGAATAAAGGGGCTTACCAGAGGATTCCACACCCGGAGACCCATAGTTCCCTCTTCGATTGCCTTGAGCATCACAGGCCGCGGCCAGTGCCACTTACCCATGAGAGTAAAGAATTTGGAGAGGATAGTGGCCCCACAAGCGAAAGGATACAGCTGGCATATGCGAGCAACCATAATAGCCCAAGCTACACCACCAGGGTATCCAAATACAGCACCATATATCGCGCGCTCTGATTGTACATTAGCAACGTGCTACCCAAATGCGGGTTCATGACCTACGAGTAGACCACAACTTGATTGCCCTTGTCGCGTGCCTGAATGCTTTGACCTGAGGTACAAGAGAGAGTAATTCAGTCGTCACTCGCGTCCCGTTCACGCTTCTCATGCCTGTGTCATCCAGACCCCGCAACAGGTTTTTGTCCGTAAGCTGCAAGTCTTTTGGAACTGTTGACACGGAGTTCAACGACACGAATAGCAAGTCTATGCTCACACCGCAGTATTCCATCTTGATGATAGGGACGTAGGCTTCGCGTACAGGAACAAACTCGGTGATGTCGGGTGCAGAAGACATCTCCCTGAAGATTGGAGGAAAGTGGTCGAAGAAGTCGTCGAGACCGACATGTTTTGGTGCGACAGCCAGGGTGTCGATATCAGAGCCTGCATGTGAAAGTGAGCAAGGCCATAGAACAGATAACAACACGAGTTATTTGGCGAATCCACGAACCTGGGTTGTACACTCCAAGCGCATAACTACCGAAGGCAAACACCTTCCCTCCAGCATTCTCGATGGTCGATTGGGGGAGACCTTTCTTCTTGCAGACTCGGCGGATCAACTCTTCAATGACCTTCTGGAAATGGCCCAGGACCTTGACCCTGCGCAAATTCAGTGATGGCCATAATTCTAGACGCGAGACTCTAATTACCTGTTCTCAGTGCCCTCGGGAGTCTCAAAGTTGTTCTCGCGCTTTAACACCTCGACGAGCTGGTCGTTGAGCTCGAGATCTCTGGGACCAGGCTGAGCCTCCGAGATAGCGCTCGTGACGCCCCACTGCTTCTTCGGTTGACCCTCCATTAGGGAAACTGTGGATGATGATGCCGGATTGAGCAACGGCTCAAAGGCTAGGGGACTTGGGCGAGGAGGCAAGGAGCCTGACGTGCTAGATGCGGAGGGGGAGAGTCGTCGCGGGCTGCATCCAGAGCGATCGTTCGGCCTTCAACGTTGTCTCATGGCTGGGCGACACGGCGCAGCAGGCGGTGCGGGTGAATAAGTGTCGTGGACTTGGTGTTCCTGCCAACGTCTTCAACCAGCCTCAACCTTGAGGTCGCGCCAAGCCACTAGCAAGCCACAGCACAAGCCACACCATCCAGAGTTATTCTACGCGTCCGAGGATGAGGTGAAGTGTCGGAATCAACATCATCGTCCTATCACGAGGTTCTGCAGTGCTTTGTGACTCCGCCATGGTTCCGCCAAAATTGGCACAGCACCTCTCATACAAGAGTGCCATTGCGCTGATTCCACCATCCTCCCTTCAGCCACCTATCGAAACAGTGCGGCGCGTCTACGACAAGCATTTTTCCCGCTGGCCGCCACACATTAACCTCATCTATCCCTTTCTTGCATCCCCATCTGAAGCGGAAGGAGGTGTGCAGCAAGAAGACGAACAGCAACAATCTCCTGATCCACAGCTACCTCACTTGAAGCAAGATATCCGCACCCGCATCTGCAGTGCATTGCAAGATATCGAGCCCTTCGAAATTCGTCTAAGTGCCGACCCCCCGGGTACCTTTTCCCATGGCGCGCGAAGTAAGACTGTGTGGTTGGATCCGGTGCCACCAAATTCGGACTCATCACTTCATCCGTTGCACCGCCTTCAAGCTGCCCTACAAGCCGAGTTCCGAGAATGCGATGCTGATGATCGACCATTTAGTCCTCACCTATCCATTGGCCAAGCAAAGAGCAGTCAAGAAGCCCAGAACCTGGGTGAAGAAATCAGGAAAAGCGTATCAAGCACCCTAGCTGAGCAATCAACAAATGATCTTCAGGAGAGACAGCCAACTGTCCTTGACTGGTACGTTGACAGAGTATACGTGCTTGAGCGTAAGGGATACTATGGCCGATTCGCAGTCGTTGAAGAAGTAAATCTCGGAAAGAAGTAAAGACTTCTTTGCCTATGTTCATCCTCCTTTAATACGCGAATTAATGCGTGGCATACCAATACGACAACATACACGAAATTCCGTTCTTAGAAGAAAGGATACTCAAGCTCAGTCATTATATGTTAAACAACTCAGTTTTTAGCGAAGAACTCTCGCAAATTATCATCGAGCCACTTCACATCCTCCGCACTTTGTCCAGGACCTACGCATCAGTCAACACGAGTCCACTTCAACTCAAATAGAATTCCACTCACCACCAGCCCAATGTCCCCAAATGCTCGGGAAGACTTTCAACGTCCCTACCCCTGGTCTCATATTCTCAACTTCCATGTCGCTATCCTCCGGCGGAAAATACAAATCCGTCTTTCCGGGCAGTACCAAAGCCTTCGCCTTAATCCCGTGCATTGCCTTTTTAAAATCCCCATTATACGGTTCCTGCTGCGAACAATCTCCTGCCTGCCACGTATGAGCCATGACCAGCATATTCTCTGGGTCCTTCGAGCACGCCCAAGCCTCCCAAAAATTAATCAGAAAATCGTCAAGATCCTTAAATCCAAGAACCGATTCGTACAATCTCTCGCGATAGAATGCTTGACTAAACCCCCAGCCTGCATACACTCTACCGAGCGCTTTCAGGCCGTTGGACCGGGTCTCTGGGATGAAAGAAGAGTATCCGTACTTCTCTGTGTGTAGATCGGCTTTGGAGACGCCTGCAGAACTCGTACCTTTTGCTGCGAATAAGGCGCTCTTTACTCCCTCAAGGAATACTTGGTTATGGAGACTTGTTTTTGCGCTCCCGCAAAACGGCACCACTATGTCCATGAAATCCGGATACTGCGTCGCCCACTGATACGTCTGACCTGCACCCATGGACCATCCGAGGACAGCGCGTGCATGTTTAATCCCGAGATGTTTGGTGACAAGTTCGTATTGGGCGCGCACGTTATCGTAGAACAGGACTGGGGGAAAGGGACGTAGTGAGGGTGTGTTGGAGGGCGAGCTGGATTGACCGTTGCCAAAAAGGGCTGGTATGATGATATAGTATGTCTCGGAGTTGAGAGTTTTATCAGGACCCGTGAGCCAGAGGTTGTCGGATATCACTGGAGAGATGTTTTAGTAGGGATAAAGCAAGGAAGGTTGGTGAGGTTGGAGGAAGGCTTGAAGAAAGGGGGACGTACAGCCTGAATACCACGACGGATAGATAATCGCCGGCAGCGATGCATCTCCAAGCGTCTTATATGCAATGAACGCATCTGGAATCTCTCCGCCAGACTTCAACTTAAAATCCCCTAACTTGTAAACCTCGTAATCGTCCGCAATCTTCAACTGCTCGACTTTCGCAAGCTCTTCTGAAGCCATCTTTTAGCAGCCAAAAGAATTCGAAAACCGACTTCAAAAACTGCGACGAAAGGAATTTTTTTTAGTTGAAAGTGCCTTCGTCAACCCCTCACCTTATCACGCCCTCCCCAAACAAGCTTCTAAGTCCCGACATCTCTGGTGTTGAGCAGCTAGGGCGGGGTAGCTTTTTCAATGGTGGGGTAATTGTGCTGCATGACGTTTACCAAAATGTTCACTGAGCAGAACGCGATGGACGGATATTCGCCGGTGCAACGAGACCTATCGGAAGGGGGGAAGATACTTTGGGCCGCGGAACGATACCGCTGTCAATTGCCGGGAATTTATTGAGGAAGGACTTACAAATGCTGCGGTGTTCAAGTATATTTTAAAGTGTGTATGTAAAACACTAAAGATCTCTTAAATCCTTTGAGCTTTTATCTTCGCTTCCTCGCTTCGAATTGGACCTCAACTTGCTTTCTCTCGAGATCTCCTGCACATATCTCTAGTTATGGCACTGGTCTCCGCCGACCCCTCCGCGCCGAAACTCGACGCCGAAAACACTGTAAAGCGCAACCCCCACCCCGATTTCAAGAAAGTCGAAGCCTCCCGTCCACTGTTCAACACCTCTCATCAATGGCACTTCACCCAAGCCCCAAAGCCCAACTGGAAACCCGGGGACGGCCCAAACGATTCTTCAGTCCTTTCAATCCCCCACCGAGAAATTGATCCCTATGCTGAAGGCCGCCCTGCTGTCCACAACTATAAACTCCTGATCTCGGGCATCGTTCCTCGACCAGTGGGGTTCGTTAGCACTATAAGCGGGGATGGGAAGAGTACGAATCTCGCGCCGTTTAGTTACTTCAATCTCATCTCCCACGATCCGCCGCTGTTTATCCTTGGTTTTAGTGGAGGTTATAATCGCCCAAAGGATACTCTTAGTAATCTTCTTGCTACGCAAGAGTGTGTGCTTAATATCATATCCGAGCACTACATCGAAGCGGCTAATTACACTTCACTCAATGCTCCAGAAGGAATCTCCGAGTGGCCGTTCTCAGGCTTACATCCTGCGAAGAGTCGGATAGTGAAGCCAGACCGAGTGCAAGAGGCGGTGTTCAGTATCGAGGCAAAGTTGGTCGAGACGAGGGAGTGGGAGAGTAGGGTTACGCCGGGGAAGAAGACGGGGGTGTTGGGTGTGGTGGAAGGAGTGAAATTTTGGGTTAGGGAGGATGCAGTGGATGAGGAGGGTGTGCTGATTGATCCTGCGGTACGTGCTTGTGCTATTGCTGTAAATGGCAGCCGAGGATCTCAGATCCACCCCGATCTATTAAATGAATCTCGCTGCCGGGGTCTGTTTCTCCTGCTAGGATCATAGTAACGCTCTCCAGGTTCTAAAACCCATCTCGCGTCTAGGCGGCATAACATTCAGTCGTACCACCGAAGGTTTTGAGCTTCCGCGGCCAACATTCGATGAAGTAATGAAAGACGAGGAGGTGGCAAAGCTATCCAAACCCAAGGCAGACTCTCAATAGCATGTCTTACCAAAGCAGATCATTTTGGCGCTGCTCTGAAGACGAAAGGTCCAAACGAGCAACTCTAGGGAAGAACATGGGAAAAGCGGTAAAGGATTGATAAAAAGAGAAACGCAGATTAATAACGTTCCCACCACGTCCCGAGTGTGGTGAAGAGTATGCTTCTCCGATCTTCCACCTTTCTCATGTGTGCTCCCATCCACGGTACTTTCCAGAAAGCCTCGGCACAGATAGTTACAATGCACTGCTCGCGGCTGAAATACCTGTTAATCACAGTGTCTGAAGTAGAATTCAGAGGAAGATTACGTACAAAATTTCCAGGCTCATTTGAGGCGGTTTGTTAAGCCAGATTGTAGGACCGAATCCCTCCTCAAAGTTGACAAAACTCTTGCCCTCATCTAAGTAGAATCTTGGTATCCAGCGCCTTCCTGCTCTGTTATCTGGAGGCACCCCTCTATATTCGGGTTATTGCCGAGAGCTTTTAAAGATATCCAATGCAGAACAAGGGCGCGATATGTTGTATTGGATTTCCGCCCTAAAAAAGAGGAGTCGAATCTGACACGTACCTCCGCCCACCGATCCACAAACTCACGTAGGGGTACCGGAATACGGTTATTGTCATCAAGCACGGTAAGTCCTCGATAGAGTCTAGTGAGATTCTGGCACCTTGTACGCTCCGTTACAGCATCGAAGTTTCTTTGTGCCCGAGTGGTTGTACATGTGGTTGCCCATAACCTAGCACACTCCTCTAATAGCTCTTTCACTCACTCCAGGCTATTCCACCGGGCCAACGGATTCGTAGTCGTTCTGGGGGGTATACTGAGAAATAGCCTGAGTGGTTTCCCTCAAGAGAACATCTCGCATCCATCTGAGGATGTCCTGTCTGTGGAACCCAACCGCAAGGAAGACGATAAGGCGACATATTCCCTGTTCAGCCTGGACACGAGGTGACTCAGACATTCGCCGTGCATATTTAGGGTCTGCGCGAAGAGGTTTCCCAGCCTCATCGAGGACTTGGTCGAAAGCTTTCCAGATTCGAGGACCTCCCCGAAGTATCTCTTCCTCATCTGTTTGCTCGGGATAAGCTACCTCCATCGTCGCGCGCAGTTTTGACTTCATTCTTTCCCATTTGTCTACTTGGGTTCCAATAGAGTACGTGGTCAACTATTGCTATAGCCGTATTCAACCCATCACCGTCTCCTTCGTTTCCTATCCCAATTCACTTAGGCGAATGCGCGAGAATACTATTAAGGACTGAATCTTCAACAAACTCTCCGGCGCGTATGGCTTCCGTTATCGATCTCCCAGCGTCTTCTAGATAGGGCCCATTCATAGAATCGTCCAGCGGTATGCCATCAGATTGCTCAAATGTCGGAAAATATTCGTTAGGGAAGATGGCGAACGCCATTTCGCCCCACGGCGTCGCTGGGGTGCTGCACATGTTAACGCCGCGAGATTCCGCTTTTAAGTTGAATTGGTGTGTCCGCCGAAATATGGAACTATGCTGTGTGTGGGAGAGTCATGGAGCTGGCAGGGAGACATGATGGCCAGGGAAGTCAAGGCCAAAAAGGGAAGAAAGCTTCGGTGGGTAACCAAGTTATAGACCTCAGGGTCTCTCAAGTATTTTTACCCCCGCCTTGGAAGCTTCGAGTGATTCTAGATCTTGGTTGAAGGGAGGTCAGTATTCTGCTATAAGTCGTGCAAGGAGACCTCGTCTAAGCGTGACGAGCACAGCTTCAAAGCTATTTTGTGGTAGCAGTTGCATCGTCAGCGTTAATCGTAACTCCGGGGGCTGCAGTGACATATGGGGGGAGAGTTTATTTCTTATGGTGAAAGAGGAAGTTGTCACCAATCATCGAACAGCATATAACTCGGAATTCTTGAGATGCCCTTCCAGGGCTTCCAACGGGCCGTACTACGGTCCGTACAAAGTGAACCGTAACGGTCACGTGTTCAGTACGAACGTACCGAGTTCGTGAGCCGTACCGTACGATTAATGATGCCCTAGGTACGGTACGTAGTACGGATGTCTCAAAAATGCCTATTACAGACCATTTTCTATTCCAGAGTTATCTATCCACGCCTCTTGCCGCCTTACAGGCCTCATCTAGTCCTATCTGCTCTTGTTACTAGGGAGAACTAGTTATTTTATAGTTAATTAGACCTTAATCTTGCGTCTCTAGAGACCCATAGTCTTAGCTGTTTCGACTAGAGTACGGCGTACTTTAATCGAATCGTACTACTCGTACAGATCACGTGAGCCGTAACAGTTACGATACGTACACCTACCTCTCCTCCCCCCTGTCGTACGAACGTACACAAAATCTCACCCGTACAGGCCTCAAAATCGCCCAATCGTACAGTACTACGCCTCGTTGGAAGCCCTGTGCCCTTCATTAAATCTAAACTACGTGGCTTTAATCAGATCGTTTAGACCTAGAATTCGCTCCTACGTGCTAGGGTTTGGTGGTAACTACTAGAAGACTACAGTTCCTGCATCTGCCCTTGACGGAGAGGCATCGTGATACACCTCAGTCATCACACTCACCTTCATCCGAAATAGCTAATTCCTCGAAGTCCTCTAAGTATTCTTCAAATAATCACACAAGTCGCTATCTAACACTCCTACCTTTACTATCAATTTTTACGCTCAACTAGCAGATGCAGTACTGAGATTATGAGCTTCTGTGCTGCAATAGCCTTCGTTATTGCGAGGTCGTAGTGGTATCCTAAAGTGAAGTAGTGCTATGATTGGGACATACTTATGTACCCATGCGAAATCTCAATCCTCATTCCGTTGGGTGATATTTATCCTACCACCCACCATTATTCTTCCCACTTAAAGGCAGGCCTCAATATACCGGGGGTGAGAAGATCCGGAGAAAAAGAGGCCGTTGTGATCTCTGGATACTCTGGTCCACCTATGTTTGCCTCCGCTTGGAAAAGATATCCTTACAAGACCTTCATATATTCGTTATTACTATCCCTAGTAGTTGCCAGCCTTGAGAACCAATCCTTATGCTGGTATAGAACACAAAGCCCCTCGCTTTCCGGTTCCAGAATATTTAGTAGTGGGGTAGTCAAAGGACAGGTCCATGTGTTTGGTAGACCGTCGGAAAGTAATATATCGTATGTACTTTTGAGATTCAGCCAAGATTAAGGGTTGATAGGCTCTGAAAAGTAGTAGCACCTAACATATAAGGAGACTGCGGAGAGAGTCGCCTCATGACCCCTATACCGGCTACTTGCCACTCTAGTCTTTAGTCCCACGGACAGAACACCAGCACTGAACTTTAGGACCTGCATCCAAATTCAGCTCTTTGGTGATAGCCCCCACCTAAGAGGAGGTCCAGCATCTTGCTCAAGCGGTGGGTCATGCCGTTCTGTGAAGCTCGAGGAAGACTGCGTTTGGCCATCTCGTCCCATTGAAGTGAGAGTGGAACAATAATATAAAGAAATTGTTGTACTGAGCTTCCAATTTACATATGAAGACAAGAATGTGCTTTATCTTGGACGGGTAATTGTACAACTACTCATCAGTGACAAGAAATCGGAAACCGTGAAGAGTGCCAGGATGGTTTCCCATAATAGGTTTAGTTCGAAACGCGACTCTACTCAAACACGAGCCCCCCACTTTCATTCCCAAGCTGGGGGCCGACAACTCTATTTAGAAGTTACAAGCTCCTCTTACTAAAATTATTCCCCTGTGATGTTAGACCTAGCATGCCAACGGCTCCTATGAGTAAGTTGCGCACCTTAAAACCCACTAAAAATTAGAAAAAAAACAGTAACTTAAGATCTTAACAACTGCTTAATAATCTCTTAATAACAACTTGGCTTATTCCTCAAGAACTTTTGTAGGAGTCTTAAAATAGGTATTACAAGCTATATATACACTTTTTTAATTTATTATTAAGTCGTCGTTAAGATATCAAGAAACATTTCTGCTGGTTTTTGGTGGGTTTGGGGTGCGCAGCTTACTGATAGGAGACGTTGACGTGGAACACTCAGCATTGAGTAAGCATCTTTACGAACTCACGACCAGTGAACGCCGCGATTACTGCGCACACGCAGGGATTGAATGCAGAGCACAGTGTGCCGAACGTTGAACATTTTCCTATTCAGGCTACTCTCGCACCAAAGCTCGAATGAGACTCAGTCCAAAGTTGACGCCGTCAGCCAAGCTGTCTCCCAAACATTTCCCGGAACAAGATATCTACCAGAGAGCCTCCCAATCTGCAAGCCAGTCATCAAGGCACCCTTTTACAAAGTACTTGAATTCTAGTTGTTAGCAACTCCATAACCGACCTGGGCACGCAACGATAAGGTGAAATAAGGCCACTTTACTTACTAGATGTAAATGTTCGAGAACTGAGGAAAGGATTTGGAATATTTCTTTAAATATCATTACACAGATCCTGTGAGCCTTGCATGCAGGTACAGAACGGCAAAACCAGTTTTTGTACTGGCTGGGATGCTTTTTCCAACGAATAGCAACCAGTAGCTGGAAGCAGGAATTGCCTATTCGGGCGACTGAGGATGAACTTCACCTTCGTACCCCACAAGGGCGCTCGCCCTGAGAGGTCAGAGCTTGTCAAATCGCATGTAATGCGGGAGTCGCAGAGAAAGCGACGGGAAGCGAAGCAGCATCAAAGCCGTATGCAGCCCCCTCTTGCTGTAACTGATAATCAAATTGGTGCGCTCACTAACTTCCCTAGAAAATACAACAAATGGAGCATCATCTTCGGGGACGACGGCCACACCTCAGGGCAGAAGGCAACACCCGTACTCCTTTAGCCAAGCACAATCATCAATACCCACACCGCTTCCTTTGGAACCAATAATTCAAGGCGAAGCAGAGACTCCAACCGCTGCCGGTCATTTTCACACTTCCTCGGATAGTCCCGAAACTATTTCCTCGGGGCAAAGCAAGGTTCATGGCTTGTTAGCAGGGACAAGTGATCTGATGTTTGGAAATGAGATCACCGCACATCAATGGTCTTCAGGAAACACCTTTCCTAGTTTCGACGGCGAACCATATTCATTTGTCGACTCACAGAATGGGATGAATTGTTGTGAGAACGGTACGAATGGGTCATTGTACAACTTCTTACCGACACTAACACGGCAGCCGTCGCTCTTATATCCAACACTAATAGGCCAGAGTCACCCTTCAGATATAACATGGGTTTCGCAAACTTTGCATAATCGGATGTCTGAGTTAGTATCACACTGTAAGCCGCCTTCCGTTTCAGCATATCTGAGTAGGAATATCTTTTAAATCGATTTATATCCTCCTCGCGGATCACGATACTAAACCTGCCCTCCACTGCAGATGTTACAACGCTCTTTGTCGAGAGACCTGGTTTACCACCAGCGAATCCCGTAGCATACTGGCAGCAGGTCGCTGCCGTGAACCCCAAAATTCTTCTCAGCTGCGCACTTTTTTATTGCGCATACAGAGATGTGGTCAGGGATTTTCAGGGGGAAGATCACCACTACTTTAAGGATCGGACTCTCCATCTTATTAATGCAGCTCTTGAGGATCCCAATACCGCCATCACTGATGACAACATTGGCGCAGTGATATCTATCTGCATGTATGAGGTATGATTATTTCTCTGACACTTGGCACAGGCTCTAATCATCCTTAGAATGTGCGCGGAACTGATATAATCGTGACACATTTGAAAGGACTACGACAAATGATTGATATGAGAGGCGGTGTAAACAACCTACCTGCTGACCAAGGACAGCATCTCAGCGAGCAGGCACTCCTGTGAGCTAATTCCCCAACCATGCTCCTGGAAATGACTAATTTGATGGATAGTCAGGATCTCATCCACGCCATCTGCTCTAACATGTCACCCTTTATGATCGACATATGCGGCCCCGTGTTACGAGATATCCGCACGACTGGCGCAGAGTTCTTCTACCCACAGTCGCCTCTGCGTATTGTTAATGATGTTGGATTCGCTCGCTCGGACACAGAGCTCCAATCAGGCTTTGAGTATCTCAAAGATGCTTTTGATGCGACAGAAATGCTATGCATAGAAGCATTTGATAAGGACACAGCAACGGATGAAGCGGACTTGTTCAAGCTTCGCCGAGAGAGATGTTGGAACCGCTTGATGAAGAACGAGGAGGCAAGCGAAGAAGTTCCTTTAACGAATAAAAAGAAAATCGAAGAATCGATTCGATTAGCCAGCAAGATTCATTTTCGCGCAGTTGCGCTGAGGATACAGCACGATAACGAAGTGAATGAGGCCGATATGAGAAGGCTCCACGTGATAATTAGGAGAATCGATTCTGCTTTATGGAAGGTGGCTCATTATGTCTATCTTTGGATGTAAGTCTCTGTTTCCTTTGTGATTGGGAGGTGGACTAAGAACTGATTATACTAATCCCTTGTCAGATTACTCACTGGAGGAGCGGCATCAAATGGACACCCAGAGCAACGCCCATTTTTCGTGAGTGAGATCATACGCATGGGTCTAAGCATCGGACTCTTCGACTGGCGCTCTTTCAGACGTGAGTGCAACTCTCTAATTTAATATTAGCCCTTTAATGAGCTGTTCATCTAGAAACACTAGGCAATTTCCTGTGGTTGCAGCACTTCCTACGGCGAGACAAATCACCCTCCAAGTGAGAAGGCAGTAGCAAGCTGCTAAAAGAAGAAAATTAAGCGTAGTTTTTATATAAGGGGCTGAAACTAGATACTTCCGCGAAAGCGTGAAAGATAAAAGGTCATTATTTCAATCCAATATGCTGCATCTTCTCACCTAACGCGGAACCTGGCAGGGGCATTTCAGGTTAGAAAGTTGCATCCCGCTGTCTCCCTGCCTGATTCCGACAAAAGGATTGGATATACTCAACTCTAGTCACGTTCCACGTTCTGTGATAACACGCTGTACAAAACTCGCCTGTGTTTTAGACACTGGCTGTGCTGGACTAGGTCTGCAATAAAGAGACGGCCCAATTCCTACCTTACCAAATACACGCACACTTTCTGGCCTCTATATGCAATCTGCACACTCATATTTTCCCATACCGGACCTCTGTTACCATCGTCCGTGGTGCTTCAGTAACTTTGCTACCGAGATTGTCTGCAGGGAGTGTCGGGTTCGACTCTCCAGGAATCAGTAGGACTTGCTCGTCTTCCAGATTTCCCAGTTCGTGGGTTCAGAAACGATCCCCGCACTTGATCAGCCTAATACTGCGCTTTAGTTCATTGTTGGTGAATTGTCGCGATGAATTGGCCTCACGAACGACGAAATGGCCGTCTACAAGGGCCATGAGCTCATTACCATCGAAACCTCTTGTCCCAAGTCCCAAGTCCACGAGCCACCAGCTCTAGCCTACTTAACTTTGTGGAGGCTAATTGGCTGTTGACTGGAGCAACAGAGTACTTTTGATTTAAGATCAGCAAGGACAGCCGAACTGGGCGCCGTATTGTACCAGTTGTCGTCCGTGAGGAGCACGAAGCCAGGGTCTTCAGAGACAATATCTTCCGGCCAGCATGGATTGGCTCTTAATCCCCAATCGTTCCCGTAGTTAGGAGTCAGGGCGCCTGCCCAATTGAAGCTGATGGAGAAGGTGGTGCGCATTAAGCCGGCTTCGTAGAACTCTGTTGTCGATGTGCCTGAGCTCTTGACACTTTTGCTTTTGAGAGACATCAGCTTCGTATTCACGCTTCCGTCCGAATTCATCTAGCCATTACCAGCCCCGCCATCATTGTCGGAACAGAAATCGAATGCATCCTGCCTGTATCTGCGAGTTTTTCTTGGGGTCTGGAGAGGGAGAGGGTGGAGCAAACGTACCCATGCCAGCGTTGACTGCTTCTCCGACACCTGGAATCGCGTCTAACATCACCTCGAAGATGAGCTTTAGGGTGGAAATGATGATAAAACAGCCGATCTAAGAGTAGATTTCAATGTCAGTATATATTTCATCTCGCTCGATTTCTAGGAGGAATAATTACCTCCGCAATGGCGGGTAGCGCTTCAATAACTTTTCTGCAATGTTATTTATTGCCTGGTTGTCGCACGAACACTTCCCCAGCATGTACGTTTTGCCTAAGCTGACCGTTTAAGTGAACATCTTGTCAGCCTTTCAGTGTCTTCCTCTTCTAAGCCCAACATCAGGCGGAGTTGGAGAAACGTACGGTCTAGTGTCCATGGTATTACTTGGTAAAGTGGAACGTAGCTCACGCAACCATACGAAGCTGTTCTTCCTTCCGCCGCCGCATCGTTGATCTCCCTTCTACATGCATTGTAGCATTGGTTCGTCGCCGGTTTCCAGTCCGGTGGTTTGTAAATCATACAACTCAGTCCGTTCTCCCATCGCGCACCCGTAGTCGAACGTTCCTGGATCGCCGACTGTGACAAGGGGTTTCGTGGGCGTCTGTTCTGGAGGGTCGGCTGGAATTACGAAAACTCTTTCGTTTGTGATGTTCTTGTTGCAAGCTTCCGTCGGATGCAGCAAGAGTCACAGAGACCTAGGTAGGAGCATTCTTTCCCAGGATTAGGATACCCAAGGCGTTGATAGTCGGGGGTTACTTTCTCCTGACGTCCTTGAAAGTACAGGTGCAGGGTCCAAAAGGGCAATAATCCTGCCCACACGAAAACTCGTAGAGCGTTTTGAGTTCGCCTTTGCCACTACGTACAATACAGCCCTGCACAGAAAGGGACACGGGCTTACCGATACGCCTCCTGAAGCCCACGCGGCTCCCACGGATTCCAGTTGTTGATGTCATTCTGGAAGTTGTTGTCGATATCCTTCCCAGCGTTCCCAACCGTACGTAATACGTTACAACTCGCCAAATTAATGGTTGTAACTTCTTAGATTGTGAGTACGTTTTAACATAAGCATAACATTTAAGTCCACTTATAGAGCGTAACTGTTATAATTTACATTTCTTCTACATTTTAACATTTTATAAAAAGTTATGTTGTAACAGCTTATATATAGTCTACTAAGGATAATAATTTACTATAAATATAGCGCTAATATAGCTAGTTTTTTTATAGTTAAAGAGCCTTAATTATTAAGCTAAAAAGCTTATTTCTATTATAAGTAATAGTCTTTTTACTGCTACTAAAGCTCCTCTTATAGTTGCAGCTTATAGATAGGATAGATAAGAAGTTAAGAGCAATTTTATATAGCATAAAATAAGTAAGCTGTCTAACTTATTCCTACTATATAAATAGATTAGCAAATAAAGGGCTATTATTTTTAGCTATAGTAATGTCTTTATAGTAACTATTATAGTATTACTGTAATTCTATTGTTTTTTACTGCTTTTTATATAAATAATTACTAGTAAGAAGGCTTATGTTTATAAAAAAAGTCTACTTAAAGCCTTTATTATAATACTTGCTACCTAGTAACTTATGTTATGTAGATAGCAGTTGCTTATTGTCCTCTGCCTTTACCTCTACCTTAGTATTAACATACTCTTAAAAAATAGCCTTTATTAAAGCCTTAGCTTTTTTATGCTATAAAAAATGCTTACACTAGTAGTCTTTAAACTAAAGAAGATAAAGCTAAGAGTTAAAAATAGTTACAACATAATAATAAAATATAAGTAGCTTTATAATAAACTTTTTTTAGTATGTAAGCAACTTCTCTATGCTAAATGCTATGCTAGATTTAAAGTAGTAATTATTACTTTTACTCTTAAGTTTATCCCTTATCTAGAGAAGCTTAGTATATAAGTGTTGTAAGTTAATAATAGTTATTTATAAAGATCTATATAAGCCTTTACCCTTAAGGTGTTTTATTATAAAGTAAAAAACTTTAAAAAACTTATAAAAGTAATTAACTTTTTTTTATTTATTTTTAGTAATAATCTTAGTAAGAGTAGCATTACTAAAGATAGTAAAGTTAGCGCTATTATTTTTAGTGCCTCTTTACTTATAAATAAACTTAGTAATAGTGTCCTTAAGCTTATAATAGCAGAGAAGCATAAGATAGACACTATGCTAGTATACACTACTATCTTATATAAGATTAAGGGTCTTAAAGCTCTAGAAAAAGTCTTTATTATTAAAAGTAGCTTAAAAAGTTATAAAAGCTTCTTAGCATTTATATAACACTAACACTATGTTTATAAAGTTATAAAGCTTACTTATAACTTTATACTAATAGTATAGTTTAAATTAATCCTAAGAAGTAGCTTAGGCTAGCGCTGCTTTAAAAGCGTTTATTTTTTTCCTATATATAACTGCCTTAACTACTAGCTAGATTGTATAACTAGCGCAGTGTATACAGTGCTTAGAGGTAAGGGGCCTTTTAAGATGTTATGTAAGAGTAGAGATAGTTTTATTATTATTATTTAACATATTATTAGCTACTAAATAATAAAATTTTAACATAATTTTAAAGTTATTAATAACTTTAATAATCTCTCTAGCTTAGTTTGCCCTTATATAGTTACTATATAAGTTACAAAAGCTAATAAGTATGTTATAGTGCTAGTAGTTAACATCTATATTAGCATAAGTAAGCATGTTATTATTAATTTTTATAGTGCTAAGGCGCTAAAATAATAAGCTAAAGTACACATACTAATAAAGTGTAACACTACACTTAAGAAGAAAAAGTAGGTTAAAGAAGTCTATATATTAATGCTTAATATAATTTTACTTTAAGCTATTTTTAGTATTATTTAAATCTCTGCTCTCTAGCGCAGGCAGGCCTTATTTATGTAGGAAGAAAATGTAGTATCTAAGACTAAAAAAGCTATAAAAAGATTAGCTTAGTTTTAAGTAAAAATGCCCTAAAGTTTTACTAATAATACTATGTTAAAAAAAATGTTATAAAGAATAACTTAATTAATAACTACTACCTGCAACACTTTTTTCTGCTATATGCTGTAAAAGATAATATATAATAAGCTAGTAACTTTATAAGCAGCTTTAAATAGACTTACTAAAATTTTTAGTGTGTTAAGTAAGAGACTTTTTTTAAAAACATTAATTTTATGTTTTTTTCTAAAGTAGCTTATAATATAAGTGTAACTATTAACTTTCTTTACCCCTTTATAAACACCCTTAGCGTAGCACCTTTTATAGAGCTATAGCTTTACTTTAAAGCTGTTCTTTTTATTATTGTACACTAAATTTGCTTTATGCTGCTAAATCTAAAAGAGCTGCTAGTTCCTACAGAGCTAGCTTTTATGCTTTACATAATACCTAACTTTTTTAAGCCTTAGCTTTCTGTTTGCTAGCTAGAGGTTATCCTACTTTATAGTAAAAGCTACTTTATTATTAAGACTAGTGTTAGCTAAGTACTTCTTTAAATAGGCATTAAATAGTGTACTGCCTTAGAATAAAACTAAAAAGGAAGATAATAAGGCTTTTAACTTAGTAAAGTAATAAAAATAAGTATAATAAAATATGTTAGTTTACTAGAAAAAGCTAGCTCTAAAGAATCCTTAAAATAAAGCAGTACACCTGCTATGCTAGAGGAATTAGAACATTTAGCTTATAGTAGGTAGAATAATAGATGTAAATAAATTAATAATAATTTATAAGCTAAAAAGCTAACTATTTACATAAAATAGTATACCTTACTTCTAGCTTTTACTATAAGCGCTAATGTCCTATAAACCTTAAAGTTTTTACTTAATTATTACTCTAAAAATATAACTTTAAACATGCTTTTAACATAATCCTACATATGTTTAATTAGGTCCTATTTTAGTAGAAAAAGTTGCCTTTTTAAGACGTACTACAGTCTGTAATGGGCGCTCCTCCAGTCATACGTTACAACTTATATCTCTCCTACGTTTCAACGGCTCACGTGACTGTTACGGGTCGTATACTACGACTCGTAGTACGTACGGTTGGGAACCCTGATCCTTCCCTGTCAGACCAAGGACGGTTTCAGACCCTTGGGATATATCAACCGTGACTTCTCCGGGTGAGGCCGCTAATGGAACACTTCCGTGCCAAGAACCAACATTGTGGTCGGGTATATCGTCCCACTCCCCTATCATTCAGTCCGATGCCCCGATCTTGACCCTCACTGTACAACTTTCTGATAAGTAGGGCAGAATAGAAGACTTGATCCGGCGCAAAGTCTGACGAGTTCGCCTCTTTTTGTAGCTGGCTGGCCGTATTTCATATCGTTCCGCCCGTTGAACACGCACGCCCGTGATTGAGGTGATACCAAGCAGTGAACTCTTCTTTCGTAATTGCGGGCGTACCGCCTTTGTACATATCAATATCATAAGGCAGAAATTGGCGTCGTGCGTCATGCGACCGTCCAAGCGCATAGTTGAAAGGGGCCTTACAGGTGTCAAATGCCACCATAGCTTGTTCCAGGATAGGACCAATATGATGCGACTCCCCGTAGTCATTCTATGAGATAATCTCTTGGGCTTGAAACACCATATCTGGTTCCAGCGCTCGTACCAAAGATCATGTCCTCCCTACAACCAAATCTTGTTATACCCGGGCATCTTCGTAAAGAACCAGGGGGATACCGGCATCATGTACGCACTTCCAGCCAGAAACTCCTTGTAGGAAGCTTCGATCTCGGTGAGTATTGAACTAGGACCTTCAGGCCAAGCAGCGCAGCTAAAAAGCCCATCAACCACACCCGTCACCACGGCTTTCTTCGCTCCGGGAGGCGAATATGATGGTACGAAGAACGCACCGGATTTCTGTTTGATTTTGGTCTAATTTGGTGCGGAGCCAGGGCTCTCGTCTTTTGGCCAAGGCCCGTTTCCGGCATAAGAGAAGGAGAAGATAAGCTTGAAGCCTATGGATTCGGCCGCTTGTAACATGGTATTGATGCTTTCGTCATTGGGGTCATCGTTGTAGGCTATGTGTAGTGCGAAGCCATCGATGTGGGCTTCTGCGCTAGGCGGATGTCGATTTGGAGATCACTATAGTATAGTTTGCTGTGCTGCCAATCTAAGGTTGAGGAAGTGTGTTAGGGGTTCCCTAACGATATAGTTGAGTGTATATGTTTGGAAACGTACCATAAAATGCGCGAATACAGTTTGCCCTTCTACCCGAAGGCCAAAGGAAAAAACAGCCCATATGATTAACGATATGAGGATCATCACGACGACTATAGAAAATCGTCGAATGTGTGATAAACGGGAACATCTTTGATTAGAGCACAGCTCTTAACATCTTATTGTCTTGCTATCGTATTGTGAAATGAGGAAATGGAAGTTTCTTTCTGTAATGCAATCCTTCACCGCAGATTCTTAGTGTCGTTGTCTCCGAAATCACTCGGGAGTACCTCGCATGTCTTCACAAGAACAACGCGGCGGTTGATCTCATCCTCTATCTACATTTCGTGCGACGAGATGACTTGTAGGATCCACATCACATCTTCGAAAGCATGGCGACAGTAGACTTTGCCGGGGAATATGCCAGACGCGCGTAGAGCCTATGAAAGAGTCTGGAGATATCCCACCGCATGTACTGACGCTTGCTACTCCGATAGTGAGAGGGATGGTACTACTTCTTTGTGGATACGGAAAGAGGGACCGTTGTTATTCGCGATTTTCAAACAGGGCCAAAGCCGACAGGGCTATCGCAAGTGAGTGTATTGATTTACTCCTCTTTACATGGTGAGGTAGCTAAAGTGTGTTCTCTAGGAGGCGGAATCGGAAAGAGACGAGCGGCGGACGCATGCCACTTACGCAGTGAAGAGTTTCTTCGAGCGGCTGAAGCAACAATGCATGTCATTTCAAGTAGTAGGCTCTTCGCTGAGCATACTCGCCAGAGTAGTGCTCGGCCCTCAGTGTGTGTCTAGCACATGCTAATGGCTCCGCTAGATTGCAGTCAGTGAGAGAGAGGCGGAACGAGGCGGGAATCTGGAGCATCCCCCATTGCGAAGAGTAAAGGAAATTTACGAAGAAGAAGGACTGTTTTCGGAGGGGCACGATAGACTAGCATGCATGGAGCGACTTGCAGATGTAGTAATACAATCCGTTGTACGCATCTTATCACCTAATGTGGAGCGTGATAGGAGCAGTATAGAACAGAAGCTTGTATTCTGTTAATACTCTTCCTGATTCTAGCAACACATCTAGAAGATAGACACCACCCTAGCCGTGTTCCACGTTATGTGATAACATGCTGTAGTCGTAGTAAAGTGATTACGGTCTACGTCACTGGCAAAGACCTCGATATTCTGCGCCACAGTGGCTTGGCATTCACTTTTCATGAAAGCGCCGTTCTTCGCCTCGGGCTTGGGGTTAACTTCCCACGGCTGCTGGCGTAGTGATATTGGCCGCCGTCATTCTTCCCCCTCCCTGTTCGATATCGACTTTCTTGTGCAGCATCATGAGTTCTGAACCCGATGTCCATAGGGCCATTTCGATGAAACCGAGCCCGTTTCATGCACACCCGCACAGATCGGAACGGACTGCCAGCCCCCACCCGGCAGCCTCCGTCTCCGATGCGGCCCTCTGCGGCACCAGCACCGCGATAGAGACGTCTAAGGCGCCAGACAACCACGATCCCGTTGCCCGTCACGGACACAGCCACGAGAGCGATGTCGAGAGCCAATCGCTCCCCCAGTACACACCCGACAACGACCCCTACCGCCTCGCGGCTGCCCTGAAGCCAGAGAGTGAACTTGCCGAGATAAGAGCGAATACCTCCAAGAAGCGTGATGGCTGCGGCCCCATCACATTGAACAAGAAGGCCTACCAAGCGAGGAAGCTAGAGAAGTTCTACGAGGCCCAGAATGAGAATATCGAGCGGTTACTGAAGCCCGTTGACGACCACCGCCGTGATGCAAAGGAGGAAGAGGGTGCCAATCACCTCAAATATCGGATCGCTGTAATTGGTAGCTTCGTCGCCAATATTATCCTCGCAGCATTGCAGCTGTACGCCGCGGCCTCATCACAGTCGCTGTCCCTGTTCACAACCATGGCCGACTCTCTATTTGATCCTATGTCAAACCTTACCTTGATCCTGTGCGCTCGGGCCGTCAAGCGCGTCGACGGCCGCAAATTCCCCTCTGGGAAGGCCCGGATCGAGACTGCGGGAAACATATTCTTCTGCTTTCTCATGGTCACTGTCTCTGTCGTGCTAATCGTTGAGTCGATTCGGGATTTGGCAGTACACAACTCGAAGCAGGACACCAAGCAGTTCCATCTTCCATCCGTCATCGCCGTGGGCATCGCATTCGCCACCAAGTTCTCCTTATTCCTGTATTGCTGGGCTCTGCGGAACATGTACTCACAGGTCCGAATTCTTTGGGAAGACCACCGCAACGACTTGTTTATCAACGGCTTTGGTATTCTCACTTCGGTTGGAGGTGCGAAGCTCATTTGGTGGCTGGATCCGATGGGAGCTGTCATCCTGTCGACCCTCATCATCTTCCTGTGGATGCGCACTGCCTACTCAGAGTTCCAATTGCTCATTGGAGTCACTGCCGATACTAACACGCTTCAATTGATTACCTACATATGTACGCCTTGCCTCCTCTCCCTCCCATCAACCCAATGTTCTGACAGTTATAGCCATGACACACTCCCCTTTCGTGAGGCAAATTGACACCGTCCGCGCCTACCATTCGGGTCCTCGATTGATCGTCGAGGTCGACATTGTAATGGACCCCGAAGAATCATTGCGTGCGACGCACGACGTAGCGGAAGAGCTCCAGATGAAACTCGAAAGCTTGCCAGATGTCGAGCGTGCTTATGTTCATGTCGATTATGAGACTAGCCATGCGCCAGAGCATTTCCTGAAGAAGGAATTGTAGAGGACATCGATTCTCTCAGCTCTGGATCCCCACTTCCAATTCACGCCATTTCTCATAGGATGAATTGAGAACGAATTTCCTTCATGGAGTCGGATTTTGTTACAGCGAAGTACTTGAGGCCCAGGCGATATCGCTTGGCTACTTCGTTGGTACGTTACGGGCGGTCTTGTGCATATTGCTTTTGCTGCATCGCGGGGACTGGCATTGTAGTCGTGGGCATGACCGACTGGGTTGCATAGATTGGCTTAAACGGTTCTTATTAATACTGTTCTTGGAATTGCTGCATCGTCTTTTCCAGTGTTCCCCCGGACACAAGCACGTTGCTGCGAATGAACTCTTGCTTTCGAACTCGTCGCATGCTACCTGCACCCCACACTACAATCCTCTGGCGTCTCCCACGTGCACCATCCTAGCGAACCAACAGCCTTTCCCTCCCACCATTGAGCATCACTCCTCCACCCTTACATCAGCCACTCAACCCACTCGGCTTGAGTTAACACGCTCCATCTGGACCTCCAATCTTGCCTTCAGAGCTGCGCGACATGCGTTTCCATCATTCCTTGCCAGCATCTTCTATGCCAATGTTGCTCGTTTCCGTTGGTTTACCACATCAAAGATGTCGCCGAACTTGCAGCTGAGCTTCTGGAAGCGGATGGGGCTAGAAGAAGAGCATCGCGATTTATGTTTAAGAATAGTGCGGGATTTGTATCCAAGATATAAAGTAGAAGAGTCTAAGAACCAGGGATATTGCAGTTTTACCATATTGGTATCGCCGTCGGGGAAAAGTGTGGCGTCTTCACTGCATAACTGGGAGGAACCGCTTTCGACAGACATTGCCGGCCGCATACGAATCCGCAATCTCCCCAGCTTCATCGTTCAGCTCCGTCCTCCACAGCATACACTTGACCTCACTCTCACACACGCCGCCGTACAAACATACGGTCCACTTGCACCCTCTGTTCAGCCCCTCGCCTGCAATCTACCATGTCCATTACACGCCTTCCAACTCGACAAGATCCCCGGCATCCCATTCTCCCACCAGCGACCGCACACTGGCACCCTTAACCCCTCAGCCTACGACAAACAAGCCACCCTCATCAAGTCTCTCGCCATCTTCCTCGCAAAAGCATGGCCGGCACCCTCACCCTCTCATCCCTCAACAAGTTCAAATCCAAGTCCTCGGACCATACGAGCCGACTCCCCACTCGCCGAAACACCGGAATTCCTCTTATCCCAGTGCAGCGGCAATGTCGGCGCTCGCCTCATCCCTAAGCTCAAGAAGTTGTCTCTCTTGCTACCACACGCAAGCTTGCGCGCCCGAGCAGCGGATACGCTTGCACAGTTGCTAGAACTTCGAGATTATCCGATTGTCTTAAATCATGGCGATTTAATTCCCTCGAACATCATGCTCGATCCTGAGACCTGGGCTCTGCAAGGCGTAGTAGACTGGGCAGAGGCAGAGTATCTTCCCTTTGGAACCTGTTTTTATGGGCTTGAGCATTTTCTTGGATATCTAGACATGCAGCCCATCCCTAACCCCAATCCCAATGCCATCATCTCAGATCCCTCCCCTCCAGTCCCAGTCTTCCGATACTACACCTCCGCGCCCCAGTTACGCAAGCTTTTTTGGGAGACGTTGGTATCATACGCGCCAGGTATCCAGGACCGAATTAATGATGTCATGTTGGCGAAGGATGTGGGTGTGTTGCTCTGGTATGGGTTTGCATGGGATGAGGGCGCTATTGATCGTGTTGTTAATGTGGAAGAGGATAGGGAGGAGATGGAGTGTTTGAGGGCGTTCTTGGAGGGTGAGGGTGAGGGTGAGGGAGATGCGTGGCCCGGAGGTGGGGTTTCGGATATATAGGGAGGGAGAAAGACAGACTTGGGACGTAGAAAATGGGTTCTAGGGATTGGATAAGGGGGTTGGACCGGAATACTGACTTTATGGATTAGATGAAAGATGGAGAAAATATATCTGAGAGTGAGGCTGAGAGTGAGATCGAGAGTTTTGTCGTGCGGACCTACGTGCTCCATCCGTAGTTGATCCATACCTATGTTTGTACTATATGGTCCAGGACCTAGGACGAGCTTCCTGCCGATCTCGCTCTCTTAGACAAAGACTTCCGAAACCACAAGAATCAGGGCTGTAGAATGCAGACAGATCCTATACTATACTTTGCGCTACATCTTCAGGCTCCGTCGACCTCTTCCTACGATAAAAAAAATACATAAAAAAACTATGCTATCTAATCCAATCGTACACACAAACCCTACAAGACTCCCCCTGCCACCTCAAACCTAACTCACCCCTTCCCTTAATTCTGCGACTTATGGCTAATAACACTCGCCCGTCTCGCCTCTAGCACGGCATCTTCATGCGTAGGCGGACCTTGATAATTCTTCTTCCCCCAGATGAAATACCAAGCGCCTGAGATAACGAAGAAAGCGAAGAAGACAACGGATGCATAGTTCATGGTTTCGGCGGCAACCGGGATGGCGGATGGCATGCAGAACAGGGGGATTGCTAGGGCGGACCAGCCTAGGATTGTTAGTACGAAATAGGTGGTGGGAGGGGAAGAGGCTATGCGCAGTGGGGATGGAGTAGGGGGAAGAGGGCTTGAGGGGGGAATGAGGACGGGGGAAGCTTACATAGCGCGATGACATTACACACCACACCAAAAACGCCTAGATTAAAACTGCCTTCAGCAATATGTCTCCTCCCACCCGCCAGCGACACCGCAATCGGCACCGCATAACTCAACGTCAAGCAAATCACACCAACACCTGAGAACGCATTAAACGCGGCAGCAGAACCAAAATATATAACTCCCAGCAATATTTGCACAACCATACTCAACATCATAGCATTCAGCGGCACATCGAGATTCTCGTTCACAGCCCGCCACCACTTCGACCCGGGAATTGCACCGTCGCGCGCGAATGCCCATGTACAGCGCGATGCGGCCGTTGTGCAACCAATGCCACAGAAGATGGCGAGAACGAGGAGCGGGACGAGGAGGCCGAAGGCCCCGCCCGCGGAACCTACAGCGGATTTAAGGATCGGGGGAACGGGTTGCGCGGAGAGGAGGGAGGCGAGGTACGCTTGGTCTGGCATAACAAAGAGGAGGGGGATGAGGAAGACGAGGCCTGCGAAGGTGTTGAGGATGATGGTGCCGACCATGGCTTTGGGGACCTGGGTTGCGGGTTGTTCGACTTCTTCACACATTCTGTGGGTGGGTTAGCTGGGGTTTGGAAAGTGGGATGTTACCGTTGCCGGAGTGCTGCTTGGGGACGGAGGGTTGCGTTGAAGAGAGGGAGAAAATAGCCGCAAGGGAAGCTGTCGTTTTGGGATATGGGAATGGTGCATTGGTTGAGAAGGGCTGGCGAGCGGGCGTTCTCACGAGATAATCATGCCAGTACTCGAAGTCGCATAGGCAGCCTGCAGAAGTCCGACACAAAATGACCATCCCGCTGGCCATCCGGAGATGGGATTGAATTCGCCAAACACATAAGAGCCGTTATGACGGCCCTGTTTCGCAATGGCAAGCACACACACCACAATGCAGATAAGGCCTGCAAAAGTCCAGAAAATGGCGAATGTCTATACACACGATAAGCATCGGCATTCGGACACTTGCGCGAGAGAGGGATTCATTTCTCACATCTAGGAGAGGCAACCAGCGGTTTCCAAGCGCAGATACGGCATTGCAGAGCAATGTAATTCCAACAAAGATTAGGAAGATTTGGTAAGGTTCGCCTGCGAAGATGCCGACGCCGGGGGCACTTTCGAAGACATTGATACATGCCGCTAGAAATAAAGTGGTTCCAAAATTTACGGCGAGAGTGATGGTGATGTTTCCCACCACAAAAGACCATCCGCAAATCCAGGACGCGATTCTTCGATAGCTGGGTGGGGAAAGCATGAAAGTCTGATAGTACACTCCTCCGGCTGTTGGATACACAGACGTGATTTCTCCCAAAGAAATGGCAACGCAGAGAATGATGATGGAGACAGTGACCCATCCCCAAACGATGTTCGCAGGGCCCCCCCCAACAAGAGGATAGTAGAACGTTGTTGCTAGACCGTAGGGAATGGATGCCAGGACGAAGGACATGAAAGCGACTTGGAGGGTTGATCTTGATCGCACGAGTTCGGACTTATAGCCCATGGCAGCCAAAAGGTCGTCTGCAGAATTGTGCCCGCCATCTTCACCCAGATTCGTTTTGCCCGTTAGACTCAACTTCCGCTCTTTGCCTGCAGAGCCGCGTCGGTGGACGTCGTTCTCGGCTGCATATGCATTTGCCTGTGTCCCGTAGGTCTGGGTCCCAGTCGATGGATCGGCCATGGTTCGATCGTATCACGATTTGCAAACAGGAGGGGTAGAAACCAGGGTTAAGGAAAAGAAATCCTTTAAAACATGAAGGCACAAAAGACTTCTCCCTCGGTTGCTGCGCGATCGGTGATTTTGAGCTCCTGCATCCAAACGTCAGGCGATGCAGAGTCCGGGCCCGCTACCAAGCATTAGGAAGTTGGATGCAAACCGAGACGCCGCGAGTCCAGAAAGAGTTTGTAGCCCGCTCCTTGGCAGGCCCGTATCACGGTCCAGATATCGGCAGCACCGCTGTTGGAGTATCCGCGAGTTTGGCCGAGGATCCCGAGCTTGGGCATTGGGACAGGCTAGCCTGGAGTGTCATAGCACGGAAGGTTGAGGGATTACTCAAAGTGGATATTCAATGGAAAGGGGGTATTTGCCTTGGGAGTTTCGATGGAGATGTAACTTGGGAGTAACGGTGGACTGCATCAGTGGCTGCAGGGCTTGTGTGGGATTGATGTTCCCGCTTCATTCATGCGTCTAACGACCTGGTGGCTGTCATTGGCCGGGGTCTGGAATTACTAATTGGCATTTGATGATAGTTTTGAGCAAAGAAATTAGAGTACGTGTCTGACAACTAGAACCTTAGTTTGAAATGTGGATTGACGCTCGAGAGTTGCGTGTAGTGGGGAGTGCTCTTCCATCAGATCGGAACGCGCCCTACTAAAGATTGATTCCGAACTAGTAGCGACATGAGAGACCCAGTCCTTAAGATAGGAAGCTTTAGTTCATATCAGAAGGAAAGCATATCCTAATGCAGCACTCCCACTGCCTCCATCGTCCCACACTCGGATCACGAAACAGCGGGCCGATTCTGAATTGTCGTCAGCCATCATGCATCATGAAATCGTCGCGCTGGAGCGCATCCACCAACCCCTGCCGTCGCAATTCACTTTCCCCCCACCAACAACGTACAACCTCATCGCGTACGACCGCCCTGAGCCCGAAAAACTTCGCGAAAGGGTTAAAGATGCTACGATCATCATCGTCACGACGATGAGAATCTCCGCTGCACTTCTTGCGGAAGATGTAACCCCAAAGCTCCGCCTCATCGCCGTCATGGCGGCGGGCACCGACCCCATCGACCTCGGAGCCTGCAAAAAGAGAGGGATAAGAGTGACAAATTGCCCTGCAGCGAATCTCGATTCCGTCAGCGAGCATGCGATTGGTCTCTACTTTGCGACCAGGCGTAGGACGGTGATGCTGGATGCATTGACGAGGAAGGTGCCAAGTGAATGGATAGAGAAGAAGAGTCTGAGCGGTTATTTGCGGTTTGCGGATGGGAGACCGCCGCTGAGCTGTGGGGATGAGGTTATGGGGGTGGTTGGCTATGGGGCATTAGGTATGCTGGGAGAGATGCGACGACGGAAGGAGCGAATGTAGATGACATAATGTTTAGGGAAACGTATCGCAAAGGTTGGCCGCGCGCTGGGAATGCAAATCCTTGTCGCAGCGCGCAAATCTCCAGCATCGACACCGGTCCTGCCTCCCATTGGTGGCCATGAGAATCGCGTGCCGTTCGAAGACGTCCTGCGCAAAAGCACTGTGCTCGTCCTCTCCCTCCCTCGAAGCCCTGAAACAATGAACCTTATATCAACCCCCGAATTTGCCATCATGTCACCCTACGCCGTTATAGTAAACATCTCTCGAGGAGGCATAGTCGATGAAGCCGCACTCGTAAATGCTGCAAAGGAAGGCCGGATAGCTGGCTACGGCACCGATGTCTTCTTGAAGGAGCCCTTGGAAGGAGAAAAGGACAGTCCACTCTTGAGTGAGGAGGCAAAGGGTTTGAATATTATCGTCACCCCGCATCTAGCGTGGTTTGCAGAGCGGACAATGACGAATCTAGGGCAAATATTAAAGGACACAGTGGAGGCGTGGGCCGACAACAGAGCTATAAACGTGATTGTATAATAAACAGACTGGGACAGTGGAGCAGTCCAGCAAAAGTTTGGTGGGGTAGAAGCTAAACTTATACCATAGCTGAAAGGCTCTCATTATGCTATCCTGTCAAGGGACCATTTGCATTAACCTATCTAGAATTAGATAACAAGAAGGAAGGTGATACTTTCGTACAGTTATACCTTTATCATGGTTTGTAACATTAGACAGAAGAGGGAGGGGCAATGCTAAGAGCAAAATCATAGCAAGGTTCCCGAATGATGGAAGCTAAACTAATCGACAAACAGGAAAGCAGTTGCAGTATTATACTAGTTGCACACGCAGTGGAAGCAATTATTGGAGTACTATCGCATCCGAAAAAAAATGCATTACTACAACTACATATTTCTGCAAGAATATTACCAGACGAGCACTCCGCCATCTATCTTCTATCACCTCTTGTAGTCTACCCCTAAGTAGCATGCTGATTTAAAATCGCCCAGGCGTACACACGGTTGACCCAGAGGTCCACCAAGCACTCGAAACAGAATATCTTGTCCTTACGATCGACAATTCTGTTGATTTCGCGGATGATGTCGAGGTGGTCGTCCTTGGCGCGGACGAAGATAGCCATCTTGGGAGGGAAGTGCGGGAGGCTGAGTGGGGCAAGAGTCCTCAGGTCGACAGTAGGCTCGAGGGATATCGCCATCTGTCGTTCTTTGAAGTCGGCGTATTCGTGCGGAACTTTGCTGCACGAAGGATGGGAGCAGGTTTCGGGTGGGAAGACTCGAATGACGAAGACGCTGTTCTCTATTAGGGAGTTAGGGAGATGCTAGCAACGTCAGTTTATAGGAACACTTAACGGCGAAGATCGTCTGCGATGGCTGCTATTACTTTGGCGCAGTCTAGATGACTATATGGGACATAGGTTACATCCGGAATAGCGGTCACGACAGCTACAGGGCTCTTCGGAACGGTGGTCACGGGGCTATCCGAGAGGACAGCAGCAAGGTTATCTGGAGGAGATGGCGAAGGTGCTAGGCTTCGAGGATGCTCGTTCCAGATCCTGGATTGAAGCACTGGTAGGTGATGAGACGGGATGGCTATGACATTGTTCTCGTTCCCATATTCGTCCTGAAGAAGGTCGCGCGGAAGTTGTTGGAGGTACATGCGCAGATACATCTCAGTAACCGTCGTGTTCGGGTGTGAGGGAAACTGCATGCTGACGGAGTGCTCGGAATAGCTGGGATCCCATGAATCGTCATTGTCCTCATTCTCGCCATCTTTCTCCCCTTCAAGGCTTTTAGAGACAGTATATGGATAATCTCCGCCTAAGGAGATGTGTTTACGGCCATGTAGATCCAGAGCTGGCTCCGTGTCGTCCACGTTCTTCTCAGTGTCGTTACTACACTCTGAAGATGTATCGAATGCATCCATTGGAGGACCTGAAAGCGTAATCCAATCAACTGGCTTGCCGAACCATGACATGATATCAATAGCATGGAAATCAGTATATTCCATTTGGAGAAGAGTGGGGAGATAACAAACCATTGACAGTAGTGATGTTTCCGGCCATCTTTTCCCCGGACAGCATTTCTGCGTATGATTACACTCGCTAGCTGTTCGTTGCGTGGAAGACGTAGGAGGTTGGAGAAAGAGAACTTATGGTGTCACTATGTGTTTCTGTCTCACCCTGAACACGACAAAAAATGTTAGCACAGTTACAATTGGAGTCCCTAAAAAGCCAAAGGCCTGGTGGTAACAGGTTACGTATGTCTAACAAGAGGCTAAACAAGAATATAGCTGAGAGTGCGGTCTCTATATGAAATGTGAAGGGCGCTGGTAGAGCAATGCTCGGTGTCGCCGAAACCTTGACGGTAAGTGGAGGGGATAGGCAGATTGCTGTCAAATGGTAGTGGTGATTTATGGTGGTATCAAAGAATCGCAAGAGCCCGAGGCCGCAGTCGTGGAGAGGTCAGACGTTGTCAAAGAGACACAGTCGCTCTACGTAGGTTTGTGGAGTCAATGTTTACGTCTGCTGACGCTCGACAAGTCGTGGTGAAAGAATTGCCACTGTACGACTCCGCCCAATATTTCCTTTTAACGAGCGCTATCACTAGTAGAATTATACTTGCTTGCTCACGTTCTCCCACAGTTCACAAGCCGATTGCGCCATTCTCCCTATCCTTCACCTTGCGAGCAATAGGGGAGTGCGGATGGCCCCTTGGCTGTTAATTCCCCCTAATAAGTCTTGATGCTTACTTAATGTGCTGCTGAATTCTTTGACAGCTGCTTGAATGCATGATGGGAAATTAATTCCTGACAGCGAGCCAATTTCAGAATAACGAGGAATCCTGGGATCGCCCGATCTTCGCAAGGCAGGGCTGCATATAACGCAGGGCAGCATCTAGGTAAAGCAGGCTAAAATAAGAACACAGTTTATATTGGCATTAAGCTCTGAGCGCTTCTGTTGACAACGCCCAACAAGAGAGAAAGCAATGATGAGCAGGACTGAATGGCTCGACACATATAAGGTCATCTGAGTCAAAGATCAACCAAGAGCCGTGATTCCATTGAAGTGGGATCGTAATGGTGATTCTGAAAGTGGCGAAGATGGCTGATGGTCGAGTAGCGAGGTTGAGCGGGACAATGATCTTCCGAATTTTCTCACCGCCCCGGCAGAAAATAGTCGCTCCGGAATTTTGACGCAAAAGTCCAGTTTCAATTTCTTCACCTTCCCACGCTGCCTACCCCTCCACAATATTTGCAATGGGCAAGCGCAAAGTAGGTGCTCTCGAGAAAGTCGACGCTGACTTGTACGTACCCTATGTAATCCCTAAGCTCTTCCTAAACCCTTCTAGATCAAATCTCCAATATAAAGTGCGGCGCGATCCAGCCTCCTACCGTGACGACTTTCAGAATCAGTATAGTCAATATGAGTCGTTCAGGGAGCTATTTATGCAGAATCCCTCCATAACAGAGGATATTGGCATGGTCTCGTTCAGAGACTTGATCGATTTCGTCGCTCATGTTGCGGACTGCTATCCCGATATCACAGCGCGGTTTCCGGAGGACTTGATGCAGATATTGAGTCACCACCACGAAGAGGTGGAGATGGAGCTAAGGGATAAAATGGTTGGGAGCCTGGTATTACTAAGGAATAAAGACATTATTGATTCTTCGACGTATGAGGAACCATTCTCTTCCCCTAAGGGCTGCTCTGACTTTGGGCAATATACAGACTCCTGAACACTCTGTTCCCAATCTTAGTCTCTACTCCAAGTAAATCCCTCCGCGCTCTCTTGTTCACTAAGATCTTATCCGACCTCCGATCGTCCAATTCCAAGGCTACGAACCACAAGCTTAATCGCACAATCCAGACCGTTCTCTACAATCTCCTCACCTCAGATAGGGAATCCCAGAAGGGCATATGGGCAGTCAAGATAACGCGCGAGCTCTGGAAACGGCAGATATGGGCCGATGCCAAGGCTGTAGAAATCATGAAGGAAGCTAGTCTAGCTGAGAATGAGAAAGTTATAACTGGTGGTGTGCGGTTCTTTCTAGGCGGAGACAAAGAGAGAGAAGAAGCTGCAGATGAGTCTAGTGATGACGATGAGAATATCGATATGAGCAAACTCCGACACCAGGCTAACATTAACAAGAAGACGAAAAAGAAAGAGAAGGAACTAAGAAAAGCCGCTGCAACAGTCAAACGGAAAGAAAAGAAGAAGAACGCTCCTCACCCACTTAATTTTTCCGCGCTTCACCTCCTCCACGACCCTCAAGGCTTCGCAGAAACCCTCTTCTCTAGACATGTCCAGAATGCAAAGTCAAAACTCTCCCTCGACTCTAAACTCCTCGTCCTCCAACTCGTTTCCCGTCTTGTTGGCCTCCACAAGCTGACCGTCATCTCACTATACTCGTATTTTCTAAAGTACCTGACACCACGACAAGCTTCCGTAACATCATTTCTCGCATGTCTCGCCCAATCCACGCATAGCTTAGTTCCTCCAGACGTGCTTGAGCCCCTCATACAGAAGATTGCAAACGAGTTTGTATCTGAAGCAGCGGCAGCAGAAGTTGCCGCTGCAGGTTTGAACTCGATCCGAGAGATTTGTGTGCGGCAACCACTGGCCATGAACGACACCTTACTGCAGGATCTCGTCATGTACCGCAAGAGCAAGGACAAAGGCGTCATGATGGCGGCTAAAGGTCTTCTAAGTCTCTACAGGGAAGTTGGCGCCGAGCTATTGAAGAAGAGAGATAGAGGTAAAGATGCTACCATCGGGTTGCGTTCCGGGGAAATTAAAGAGCGGAGGTTTGGTGAGGAGGAGGCAGGTGAGATTGAAGGCATTGAGTTACTGGAGAAATGGAAAGAGGAGGAAAGACGCAAGAAGCGGGAGGAAGAGGGTTTACCCCCCGATGCTCCTACAGACGAGGAAGAAGATGAGGCAGAAGACTGGAAGAACTGGGATATTGAATCTGACGACACTGATTCATCTGGTGGCTGGATTAATGTCGAGAGTGACGGCGAAGACATCAACATTAGCGATTCTGAAGATGAAAGAGAACGCCCGGCAAAGAAAGCCAAACTTGCCAGCGAGACCCCAGGACCCGAAGCAGGTGAGAAGGAGAACAGGTCAAAATCTAAAGAGCCAGAAGCGAAGAAAATCTCTAAGCTTGCAACGACACGCATTTTGACTCCCGCCGACCTCGCAAAGCTCCAAGAACTCCGTCTCGCCTCCTCTGTGGTATCCTCCATGCCTTCTAACAAACGCCGCCAAGCCCTCGCAGCCCGGCACGCTGACGACCCTTTAACAGCTGCCGAAATCGAAGCACCTGGACTACTTGGGAAGAAGACTACCAAGGAGGAGAAGATCGCCATGGCGAAGAAGGAGAAGGAAGAGCATCATCAAAGCACGACGGCCAAAAAGAAAGAAAAGAAGGCTGGCGAGGGAAAGAGCACGACGAACAAGGAGAAGGCGAGGAAGAAGAATTTCTTGATGACATTGGGGAAGGCCAAGGGGAAGCAGAAGAGGAGTTTGGTGGATGTGAGGAAGACGCTGAGGGGCCATATTGATAGGCAGAAACGTGGTGGCAAGAGGGGAAACAGAGGATAATTTTCCTTAGATGTTATGATTAAAACTTGGAAAGGCAGTCGGAATCGATACCCTAATGTATGTGTTCAAGTGGTCTCCTCGAGCGACCTGAGTTCGGGGTGATCCTAAAGGTGTGCATTCAGATGATACGTTTGCTGGAATCTGTTCTTCAAGTACGAACATCTTAACCTCGAAACCCCAGACATAGAAAGTATATATGCGCTATGACAATCGCCAAGTGTATACCCAAACCCCGGCGCTAGCATCCTATCTGCCCTTAAATATTCCTTAAAATACTCACGCTTTTATATGCGGTCCAGCGTCCACCTCTCACTCGATATATTAATTCAGATCTAGCCTCCACACCACGTCTTCCTCCCCCTTCCTCCTCACAATCTTGACGATTGGCTCTTTGACTGGCTTCATCACACTCAAAGGAATCCGTCCATCATCTCTCGTCGGCAACTCCATCACCCCGCCCTTCGCAGACTCTATCTCAAACATATGCGCACACAACGTCATAAACCCCAAGATCTCACTCTGCGCGAAATGCCGTCCAGGACATATCACACTTCCACCGCCGAAAGCGCGATATGCAGCACTCGGCACATTCTTGGGGAGTTGCGACGCCGTTCTTTCTGCACTCGCAGTTGCACTATTCCCTGCACCAGTCTCGGCTGAAAATTGCTCGGAAGAGGTGGTGGACGAGATGAATCGATTGGGCACGAAAGATTTTGCATTCGCGCCCCAGATGCTTTCGGCGGAGTGGATTACGCCGCTGGCGATTTGGATCATGGAGCCCTTTTTTAGAAGACATGGAGGGTGGCCTGGGGCAGTGATGTTGTGGGTGTTGGTTACGAGTCGGACGGAGGAGAGATTGGCAATTGTGCGGAGGGTTTCGCGGTAGGTGGAAACGAGAAGGGGGCATTTGGTTTTTAGCATTGCTACTGAAACTACTTTTTCATTGCCATCGGAGGACGTGGATACCGCTTGGATCGTCTCGGCGCGGATTTGGGCAAGCAGATCTGGGCGCGCGAACACATTGACGAGGAACCAGAATGTAGTTGGTACAGCGTTTCCGAGAATCCCAAAGAGTAGAATGAGCTCCGCGTGGCCGGCCATTTTAGTGGTGAGGCCGTGTTTGAGGTTGATGGCGACGCGCTTTTGGATTAACGGCGACGCCGTTTTGTAGTGCTCTTTCTCAACAAATTCTTGGAGTGCCGCGTTCACGGCTTTTCGCGCTGCCCAAGGCTTGCGCGCAGTTATCCAGGGGAGAATGTTGGCCATGACGCCGATCATGCCAGCTTCGTAGTCCCAGAACTTTTGCACCAGGGACGGGTGTATGGCGAACGGGTTTTGAGGACCATAGACGGTGAATGCGTTTGCGATTGTGAAGGTTTGTTTAACGAAGTCCATGAGATTTATCTCGCTCGCATTGGAACCCGATGCAAATGCGTTTAGAACTTCGGAGAACTTGTCAAGCTGCGTACTAGACATTTGGTTGAGGATTGGTCCGGGAGATAGTACAGCATTGACCATGTCATGAGCTTCAATCATCAGGCCTTCACTATGACCAAGCTCGCCATCTAAATTGTACCTAATGATTTTCATGCTCGGTTCATCAAAGTCGACGAGCCGTTTTGTGACTTCTAGAATCATGCCGTAGAAGGAGAGAGATTTAGATGCTCGCTGGATGGGCGCTGCAAGCTGGGGTGATATCACTACGATGGTCCGCGCATTGAGAGTTTGGAGAGTATAGATGGGATATTGGGTGCGCTCGTTCACACGCGCAAAGTAGGACGCGCCATACCAGAACATGCCAACCACATGCCCTAGGAAGGGGAGACCATGGTGCGGGATAAGCGGCGGCTCTTTCGGGTCTTGGATGGCCTTGAGAAACTCTTCGCCGTCTAAGAGGAAGGCTAGGAGGGCATAAATGATGGCGTTATCAAGAAGAAAGCGGCGTAATCCATGATAATGCATCATGTAAAAGCCTATAGCAAGGACTACGAGATGGAGGAGCCATGGGATTTTGGCGTTCCATATTCGGGAAAGAGAAAGCATAGCGATCTTGAACCGATGAATTGACTCTGAGGAGTTGAGAAGAAAGTAACGGCGTTAAGTTCATGGCTTTGAAAATGTGGAGTGGTTAATCACACCTTTCCGGAAACGGTCAGGTGGCAATCACGGATACGCGGTGGGGAACCTTGAAGGAAGCCGACCCCTGACGCTAATCCTAATTCATGCCCCTCAATCCCACTTTAGTAGGAAACATCACCTTCTTCCCAAACTTCCAGATGTCCACGTTACTCTCCTTCTCTTCTCTCAGCAGGTTGATTCGACATCCATTAATATCTGCATACCATCGGCGGACCCTGTGTTGGCTAAGACGCCGTTGCACTTCGATATCATGTTATTTGCTGAATGTGGGGTATTTAACGTACAAAGACCTGGATGGACAGGTACACCTTAAACCATTGAGGATGCTGTACATTAGTATACCGACAGATCATAGTATAGGTGGACATCAGTCTCTAAGAAGGCGTTGCATGCACTATTTATAGAATGCTAATACTAATAAAAAAACAGAGATACCGATGTAACCTAATCGGGCCCAAATGCACATTTCGCCATACAACCCATGAACCTACCGCTTCTATTCCATGTTGTTCCTTGCGTTTATGTACTGTCAATCGTGGTTTCATATTATTGACAACTCTTCGATGTGACAGGGGACGATAAAGACGACGGAGTTACAACCAATCCCAAATCTTAGGCTAAAGGCAAAGGGAAGAACAAGCAGGCAAGAGCAGCTGTTCCGAAGGCGATTCGGCCGCTAAACGGAGGACCTCAAGCAAGGACGTGGAGGGTGGAAGGCGGCAAACTTCCACGACCTCTACTGCGGTCACACAATCATAACGAGCACTACATAGCCCTCTGTTAAAAAAGCCTAGGGAATCCTGTGGTATGACAAGATCTTGGTTCATCATTCCCGCCTCTGATTAGGGAGTTATTATTCACCGGACAGTCCATGGCCCCCTTTTCACCCCATTCGTCTGTCCACAGTGCATCGAAGTACAAGCAAACTAGTGGGTTGATCATCATCAACGACAGGCAGAAATGCATCGTGCGTTGGATGTAGGCGTACGCTCAGCGTAATGGAGAAATATAGGATGAGACATGCACAAGGCTTCGCTCGAGTGTTTCGCATAGAGAAGTCCGGCTGGAAGACCCTAGTTTCTAGCGCGCCTCAACAAAAGGCTAAAGATTGTGGAACCGAATATTGTGAAACAGATTGTGGCCGTTCGTCTTGGCGTGATCATAACCCTCCCTGAGAGGGGCATTATTTGTGCCGCGTGCGGACTGATGGAACTTAGATATATCGAGGTGAGGATCATAGCTAGAGCCTATCTCCCTTCCCTCATGATGGAGACTCTAATTATGATAAGACGAAGATGCGAGAAAAGAGAAAGAGCCCTGGAAGTATAGGGATCGATCCCCCATTTCTTATCATCGGCAGTCGGATATTATCAACGTTGATGTCGGTGGCCTTACAGAGCCCCTTGTTGATGTTAGGTTGGCCTGACCGCGGGCAAAGCTTTATAGGAGATTCTCATGTCGGAGATAGGAGAGATAGGAGTTGGTCGTAGGGACTAGTGTCCTGGCGTGGCCAACAGTGGTTTGTGTTCCAAGAGCACTTAAGGAATGAGTCTTAGACACTCGTTATCGGTACTAAGTCACTTTTAACTCTAGGGTAGCTAGGCTTTAAAGGGTTTATTATAAATATGAACTGGAATTATCAAGATTCGCGTGGCGTGCAGTGATCATGAAATGGAGGTGGGGAACCCTTCGAGACAGGGTTGGCGAGATAAGAAGCACATCTGATTGACCTAACGCATGTTAGCGTAAATCATGGAGTTGATTAGGGGGGTAGCCTGATCTTTCTTAGCCATTGATGCCTAGAGTGGCTCGACTATTGCTCCTGCTTGGACAATCCGGTCTCAGGTGAACTGTTGGCACGCGTATATTATAGCCCCATATCTCTGCATCAACAATTGAAGGTGGGCTCATGCACAATACATCAACCACGGCTGCGCATGATTCATTGAGGGTTCGGATTTATGGCGAGCTACGAGAGTCATGCGCTGGCTCTGCATAGTCCTGACTAATCATCGCTCCTTCGCTGGTCTCCGCCTAGATTCCACTGAGCTAGAATGCCATATGAAACTCTCGGACACCCTTGATATTACATCCACCACGTTGTAAACTAACCACCGACTACAATATTGTTGAATTTTGATACCTGCCGGGCGCATTTCAGACAATGATGTGGCCATCCAAGTACTAGCTGTGCTTAGCAGGCGGTAAACGCAGGACCCGAATTAGTGAACATAATCAGAGAAAGCCAATGCGCAAGATGCTATCAGAATTTTCAACAAAGATATTTGGTGCATTGCGATACTCTCTACTGTGAAAGTGCAATGCTGTGAACAGAAGGCACCTAATTTACGGTTAAATTTAGGGGAGACGACTATATTAATGTGTGACACTAAGTCTACTTGTCTAATGAGGGCAGCAGTGATTGTTTGAGAACATGATCCAGAGGGTAGGATAGGTGCAAGAGAGAAAAATTGAAGTGACTTAGCCGTTGGTGAATTTATCTAGTGTTTGTATCATGCGGGAGTGAAACCTCCCCAGTAGACTTCCCGTCATGTCTTCCTGTTTTCCTTGCGCTTGGAAAGCATTTCCGCATCTAATTCTCGTACTCTAACACCCGAATTCACTCCAATCTTAACGTGACCATATCCGGTACATTCGAGCCTCATAGGGATGGACCGTCGATGGAATACTCCATCAATCATTCCGCATCGACGACAACCTATATCAATCTACAAACCTATTCAAACTTAAGGTCCTCTGCCGCTAATTGCACACGCATATTAGAGTACTACAAGGCTTCTAACAATGATGTGGAATGAGGATATGTTGCAACAAGTCTTCGAAACTACACCTTTTGCAGCGCAACTCATGGTTGAAGCTGTCGACGCCCAAAATTAAGCTACATCTTGCGCAAAGAACTGCCTGTCAATGCTATGCGGGCATGAAGCTTGTGGAGTAGCAGAGGGAGACCCTACTGGGCTCAGTAATTTTGATTGCGAAGAGTGTGTACAGCAGCGTCGATCATTGCTCACTGGCGTTCCGTAGTCGCTGATAGCAAGGCTGTTCGATGACGGGAAGTCTCTCCCAGCAGTAATGGTCCTTTTAGTGTTGGGTGAGATATTCCATGGATGTTGGCTGAGCACGCCAGTTATCATCGTCGAGAGGCATGCATGTACCCTCCGCCATGGCAGATAGGAACCGAACCCCCGATGCGGGGGAATTAGTGGATCTCCTTCCGTGAGGTGCACACCCGATTTAGTCATGGCCAAATACTTGGTATTTTCCGCTGGATCATCCAGACATCGTAGAATTTGTCGAGAAATCTTCCTTAATACAAGAAAAGGCAGCAGTGTTCGGAATCAACAGGTGGCAGGTGGCCCACCTAAAGATTCTCAGGTGCCTGCAGGTGCGATGTCTGAACATTTGAATTTACTGCATAGAGTAGTCAATATATCCCCTATTGTGATCTTTACCCTTGTATACCTAAGATAACTTACAGGTTAGCCTTATAGAACCTTAGCATTGTCTAATGCAGTTTTCTAACGCTGCTTATGGCCTCCTAATATATTAGTCCAGCAGTAGTATACGAACACAGCAGTGTCTTCAACCACACTGCCTAATTAGGTAGTTTATTAACATGATTAGGTATAGCATTGAGACTCAGGTAAGATCTAAGAATCTACAGGTGGGCCACCTGTGGGTGCTCCACCTGTCGATTCCGAGCACTGAAAGGGAGTTCAAGGTCTCAGCAAGCACAATTGCAATAGAGAACAAAGTATTCTCCGCTCAGTGAGTTAGTCTGAAAAACAGCTCTCTCTCCCTGTGCAGCTTCATAGACATCCCAGAGTTTCTCAGAGTTTTGTTCAGCACTATTCGTGCCAGTTATTTCAATTTCACAGGCTGGAACTCTGCATCAAGCGGGAAATCCATGTAGTGGGCAACCCACGATGCATCAAAGTACGAAGGGGGGACTGGTTGCTGCGCCTCTGTTGTCGAGGCTTGCCTTTGCTGAGAAGGTTGTTGACTGGGTATTCGATAAGTATGCATACATTCACCCGCGCCTCAATGATCGTTTTATGAGGGCGTTTCTGGAACAGCTGACTAAGAAATGTGAATACAAGGAGGAGGGATGTAGAAAGTTGCCCTGCCGGGCAACTCAGGTGCTCAATTTTTCAAGCTTAGGAACGAACCTTCGCCGAAAGTTGAGGACGTATCAGGTAGTTCTGCAGCTTCAAAGACCAGACACTGGACACAAATTTTCGAAGCATACACTAGACACTGTCGTACAGCGAGCGGTCACCTTATCTCTTTTGTCATGTTCCACCATTCGGCAATCCCCGAATGAATCAAGGTAAGCGTTGCGACGGTGGCACAAGGCCATCAAAATTCCCCGGAGCTATCTCCACCCCGCCGAGATGGTGAGTTTCGGGTGACCGCTCGCATTTAGACCCTTGAACCCTTGAACATAATGCAAAATTCATCACAGCACAAGTCACAGCTGTCAAGTGCCGACTGCGACTGCTGGAACGAGAGTTTATGTCCGCGCAAGTCTGCTATAGAAAAGGTTTCGCACAATTTTTTTCGGAATACGTCAAGTACTGCGGCGTACTGCGATCAAGACACGGTGCCCATAGGGCGGTCGCAATCCTATGCAAGATCTCGGGGATTGAGCCTCTTTCAGACGGATTGCGCACTCTGGCCAAGAACTCTTGACTTCCAATGACGATTGCCGACAGATCGCTGCAAGCATTGTTTATTTACCTTAAAAGCTTCTAGGAGTCAATCACCAAAGATACGTATTTCGCTTTTGCCAAACCATGAGAAACCTCCATATTATGAACTTTATATACCCGCAACCTTTGTGAAACAAGGTGAACCGTTCGCATTCGCATTCAGTCAGGAATGTTTAAAAATCGGCAATTGTTCGGGGCGGAACCGTTGTTTGCCGCATTGAGTGCTTGCCATTTTACCGCCGAGCTGCAAAAAGATCCAAAAATTGCGGGACATTCGGCCAATATTCTGCTTGAGGATGACTCGTTGTAAGACAGCTGAATCTGACAAGTGAAGCGGCCCTCAACTACCTGAAACATTGAAAGTCGGGCTGCTGCAGATCATGGATAAACGGTGGGGGTTAACCTTCACCACACAGCGCGCTAAATTCCACAGACCCAACACATTTGCTCCAGAGGAGCTGGCCATCAATAGGATTTGGTGCCGCTGCCGTCGACGACAGAGTTTCGTCTCTTGGCGCTTGACGATTGCTTCACAAGGGCGGTTAGCCAAGCATGCTTGCTGAACAACACTGAAGTTCTCAAAGCAGTCCATGTGTCCGCCACATCGATCGTAGACACAAGCGGCCGTTCTCGGTGCGACCCTAGGGTAGGCGTCTAAATTAATTCTCATTGTGGCAGCGCCATTGGCTCAGCGCAAGGAGCTGGCTTCGCTTCACACGTGGTGCATGCGAATACTATGCGTTACCCAACTCCGGTGGGGGGCCACTTAAGATTTGTGAGCTTTTGGGCTTTGCGCAATTACCGCTGGTCGTTGATTCGCCCAGAGGCAGGTGGCAGGCTGATTCAGGATCAATTCCTCGTAATGTTTGAGAGAAAAGAGCCAACTCGCTCCTTATAGTCAAGGATCGCCGGATCTTTTGCAGCTTTAGAGTCAGCACTCCGTCCTTTGTTCTTCTCAACTAAACTTCACGTCTTCACCCTACTCACAGCGACCCTCGAGGTTGGGCTCGAGTATCACCATGGCTGATGTGAATGGGATCTTAAGTCAAGCTGATGTTCTTTTCCCCCGCGCCGGCGGTCTCTTCCCTCCCTCTTCCGTAATCAACAAATGGCCAGCACCGAATTATATCAACCCGGAGACGAGGGACTGGACTGGGTCAATAATGTTGATAGTCGTACTCGCGATTACTTGCGCTGTATACCTAGCACGCATCTGGGCACGAATGAATGTGGCCAAGAATCCTGGATTGGACGACCTTCTGATGTCAATTGCGATGATTCCTCTCATTGGATTGACGGTAGCAGTCATTTTAGGTTCGTTCTCAGTCACTATCGTTACAATGTATCTAACTTTCCATAGGCAACAGTGTCTATGGGTTTCAATTGCATGCTTGGGATCAAACACCTCGGACCCTCATAACTAGTCGCCAGGTTAGTGATCCAGGGTTCGGCAGATGCGATTCTAATACCCTCCCCAGATCACGTTAGCAATCGAGGTTCTCTACTTGGTAGCTACATCGCTCATCAAGATATCTATTCTTTGCTTTTATCGACGCATCACGAATGGAACCATTAGCAAGGCTTTTGTGTACTGGGTCTGGGTATCTATTGTTTTTGTAGTCTGCTACTGCATCATCTTTGTCTTCATCATCGTCTTCTCGTGTTCTCCAATTGAAGCATACTGGCACCTCTTTGACCTTGCTTGGAGATTATCACACGAGCTGAAGTGCCACAATGAAGCAGTGGAGATTATTTCTGTGGTGGTTATTAGCACGTTGCAGGATCTATTCATATGCGCGCTTCCGATTTTCCTTGTGTGGAATCTCCAAATTTCGAGACGACAAAAAGCTGCACTCATTGGCATCTTTGCATTAGGCTTACTGTGAGTCTGCCCCGGAGATAGTCTTGGTTGGAGCTTAACAAGGAGAGACAAGCTAAACGTTGACAGGACATGCGTCTGTGGAGTAATGCGGACCTACTATGCTATATACGTCTACTACTACACTTACGATATTACTTGGTATGCCCTTCAAATCTATCAAAAGGATTACGAATGACAGTCTTAGGATCGCCCACCATGGTTGGATATGGACTGCATTAGAGGCGGACCTGGGAGTAATATGCGCTTCCGCCCCTGCACTCAAGGTCTTCTTCCGTCGCTACTTTAACCTTTCCGCCAACCAAAGTGGAAACTCCGGTTCTGGGAGCCGAAAATTACCATGGGGCAAATACAGTCCTTGGTCGACAGGTCACTCAACTACAAGCGCAACCAGAGATGGAACCACCTCTCCTGTCCCCCTGAATCGCATTAAGGTCAACACTGGAATGAGCGTCACGGTCGAGGATCGGGATGATTTGATGAGCCGAGGAAGTGATGCGAGCACACGCGGACTCACTGCCCTTCCTCTAACAACGGAGTCGCCAAGCTCGAGGTTATTTGAGGGCCCCCGGAAGTTGCAGAAAGCTCTCAAGTCTGATTCGGAAAGTACCTTAAAGAGTAGGGTGAACAGCATTGACATTGAGAGAGACGCTAGTCGATGCTGAGACTATGGAATCTTCTGTAATACATTAGGCTAAGGGGCAAGTGCTCATCTAATAAGACCATAGGTAAGAGGAGATGTTTCATTTTGAATCGGAACGTGTACTCAACGCAGAAACAGCATCTTACATTGCACTACTAGAGACCCCCGACCAAGCAGTCCCATAATCCCCAATATAATGCTGCTTGCCTGATGCCACCTTTTGTACCTGCTGCAGAATTTCTTCCGGAGTACTCTTGGACGGCACAAAGACCAGTCCCGCATCTACCGCTGCCCTTTCCGTGCCGATGTAATTCCCTTCCGAATCTTTCGCATAGTGTTTCAGATAGTGGTCTCGAGTCATCTTTCGCACCATGACAGTTTGCGATACCGACCCGGAACGACCTTTCAAGACGTCTTTAAAGGACCGCTTTTCGGTGCTAAGAATCATCGGCACGGAGATCGTCTCTGTGAGGTCGCCAATTTGGAGGGAACGGATGTTGGCGGAAATGTCTTCAGCCAATGGCCGGGGCGGTAAGGCACCTATTGCTATGTTGGAATATACCAGGGGTGGTGTTCTTTATAATTCGACTCAGCCTTTGATAATGTTCCCTGGTCGCCAACTCACCCCTCTTTCTGATGCGCCCGATTACTCTCCACCCGAGCGTCTTCCTCCTTCAACATCAGTTTTCGACCTGTCGTAGTATCGACAAATCCACCATTTTCTTGGACCTGCTTTGTTACGTCGACATACTCTTTTTCTTTTCCGGACATGTTCGACACTTTCTGGCCGACCCAAATTGATCCGGGGCTTTTCTTTCCTTGACGAAACGGTCTATGGACTGCAAGTCTGACCTGCGTCTGCATTTCAATATTCGGGCGTAATGGGTCCTCTCTTTAAGTACAAACTAGATTGTGGCGCAGCTGACAAGGCTGAAGCGACACTGTTGCACCAAACTGCCCTTCCGGACTTCGCGTAAACATTTAGATCGCTCTGGAATATTTTTACGAGGCAGACTCTGCATTCAACCACATACGAATCTATGCAAATATTCATGTGCGATATTGGAGGCTTTTGGTGTAGCGTTTGGAATCCGCAAGACCGAGGCAAATTCAAAGAAATGGCCTATGCAGCACGAACTACTGAGAGGGACGGCTGGCGGCAATGACGGAGTTGACAAAATGCGAGGCAGTTCAAGCCGATTGGACAAAAGTCTCCGCAGCGTCTCCACAGCGTCTCCGAGCCTCAACTTGCCCCGCACATCCCGTCAAATATGGCGAAGGTTGATTCCGCGACCATCTTTGAGAAGTAATACATGCCACTATACCCCATCGACCGCCCCACAGATCCCAGCAAGAACTAGGAGGGCCCAATTCTGATCCAATTCAGCTCTACCAGTAGTTTGGATATAATATTCTCTCAATAAAATACAAAATGGAGACACCTACCTATGAAACTCCATCTTATCATACACTGATCATCATTATGCACGTGACTTCATACTTCACCAGAACAACAGCTTACGAGGCACAAGCTAAGCCACCATTGGCGAGCAGGGGTGAGTTAAGTCCAGTGGCAGACTAACGCAGGAGGACTAACACAGGACTGGCGCCAGCGATTCCTTCGTAGCTCCTTGGTTTGCGCCGCCCTGGAATATATTTTCAACCCGCCTCTACGACCAAACCTTCCCCCTCCTCCACATCATGCAAAACGTGAAGCACAAGCAAGGCCTTCCTCCACCTTGGTGTCAGCTCAAACTAATATCATTCAGCCTCGATATGGCGACCAGTGGAAACTAGCTAGAGGCCAGCGTGGTGACTACCTCACTTTCACCTTATTCGCCTTCTAGCTAACCAAAATCTACCACATCGTGACTCCTTTCCTCATCTTGCCCTAATTTTAGGCCAACATCATCTAGGCCTAAAATACCCACGTAGCACCAAATTAGGTGGAGGCCAGCGAGGTGACCATGTCACCTTCACCTCACTGGCCTCCCAGCTCACTGGTATCACAAGATCGTAAGTCTTCCAGTTCATACCTGTTTACTTTAGCTAAAAGTTTCCAAAATCTTCAAAGGACTCGACAAAGGTTGGAGAGGTGCCAATATCACGTCACTTCACTTCCCCCCTCAAATTCACAGGGCGCCAACAAGAGAAAGGTAAGTACTTCGCTCAACTAGTGTTCACTTTAGCCGAAATTCTTTTAGAAACAAACAAGCCAGGAGGTGTGTAGACAGACAGGACCAGCAGCAGTGTCTCAGATAGCGCTAAGACACGCTCAAGAGATGGCAATGAGTCTCCTACCACATGCACAACCTTCTATAGCTGCCTGTGAGCGGTGCGTCGGCAGCCCTCAGGTATGAGACCAAAGCCCTGTATGATAGGTCATCCATGAGGGAGTGACGGGGGTTCAAGTTGCCAGCCTGTCTGCCCCATTGTTGAGGGGAGGTGGGGAGCAAAGAGGTCCACAACTTTGACATACATTGTCATTCACAATCACAACAATCACTGCGGTCGAATCAATCGCATCACAATATGTCCCCTGCTACTCCAGTCTTTCTGTTGCCGTGATGTGAAATTTCCTTACTGCTGTGGCAATGCCATGCCCTCATAAACAACATCCACCCTGGTCACCCGCTGCCTCGCCGCCTCGGGCACCCTGCTTCGCACAAATTTTGCTGCCGCCCCCCTTAGCCCACAATACCCAAGAACGCGCAAACCGCCGAAGTTTTTCACACCCTCATCCAAAAGTCCTCCCCAAAAGCCGCCAACGACTTGAAAGAAGCTCCAACATCTGCTGGTCCAAGCCATGCTGCCCTTCAGGAAAACGGCCATTCCACCTTTGTAGTGGAACACGATTGCCATGAATATTGGGTGGACATGGATGATCGTCTCCATATAAATTGTTCGTCGTAGACAATACAATACAATATCATATTTTCCTCCGCAGGCCATTGCTATCTAACTCGAGCTTAAGAACGCCCGGGTCTCCAGCTCCTGTAACCGCCCAGCACTAGTGCCATCGACTCCATTCCCTTCGAAAACCCACATCAGTGACGCAAGCACCACAACCAGCGCGTTACACGATCTCCTTTACAAAAACTCTCCCACGCCTCTTAATGCACTTATCATCCTCCTCGTCCTCCTTCGCCTCCAGGCTGTCCTTCTCCGAATGTTCCTGATAAAAAGTAATCGGCCAGGCAATACTCCTCCTCGCGCCTCCCCAAACCCTCTCATTCGCCCAAATCCCACTCAGCCGATCCCCTAAAACAATCGCCAAATGCAAACACATCACACACGGGATGACAGCCGCACTTCCAATAAACACATACATCCACGCATGGTTCCTAGCTGCGGCGATTATAAAGCTCAAAGGAATAAACGCAGCTAGCATACGAGCGGCAATCGCGAAGAGATGGTAGACATCAGAGCGAATATCGCGACGCATGATAACATGGAAGACGACGAGGCAACAGAAGATAAGTGCCGTTGACGTCCAGTAGTAGTTGTAGACGACCTGCCAGGCGTTGTATGCGGTTTCTACGACCTCCATATCTTTGGGCTTTGTGATAGATACGCTAGAATATAGCGCTGATAACACGCTGTCGTATAAGTTAACAAGCGGGCCTGGGAATGTGCCTGTCTTATACATTTCCATGAATTCTGGAATATCCGTGGACGTGCATATCCCAGTGCTATTCCCGATGGTGTACAGTTGCGTTTGGATGTTCGATGCGAAGCGGCTAGACTCAGCCTTTTTGTCGAATTTGAAGGGTTTGATTTCCTTGCCGAGGATTTCGACGAGGGCCGCACCATCTAGGTGGAGATCCATGCAGTTTTTGAAGATGGTGTAGTTGAAGGCGTTGGATTGCATAAGAACGTAGCGTGCTAGTGCCATTTGCTGCGAGCCTTCGACCGCGCCGACAATGGAGAGGTGCAGCGGGAAGTGCATGATGGACCATATTTGTTGGCGGATGGTGCCGAATTCGCCGTGTGGGCGGTTGTCGAAATAGAGCATCCAAATGAGGAACTAGGGAATGTTAGCGTCAGCTAACAGGATGAATAGACTAGCGGTGGACTCACCAAGACGAGTACAATGCAGAAGATTAAACCAGACATCTGCAGATCTTGACCTTTACCTAAGAGCTTCCCAATCGTTTTCGTGACTCCAATGGCGCCTTCTCCAATCACAATTAGGGTAAGAAGCCCCATCCGCTCAGCCAAATGTGTCTTCTTAAAGCTCACCATCCGCCACGAGCAAGAAATCGACACAGTACCGAGACCTTCCAAGAGTAGGATGAGATATCCAGTACTGTACATTGCCGGCCCCGGCCTAGACGTAAACGCGGTTGCTGTAACAGCAAAAACGGATGCCGTCACCGCGTACACCAATATATTGAGGAACAACGGGAGGTAGAGTCTGTGGTATCCTTTCTTGTGGACCCAAACTAGGACGACCGCGTATTGGGTGATCAAGAGGACTCGGAGGAGGAGGAGCGTGATAGATAAGATTTGAAACATCTAGAAGACAAGTTAGGCGATAGTTGCGAATGTGGAGATATATATTCATCTCTTACCTGATTGACATCGGTTGGATCATCTGCTGGATTGAACCCAGACCCCACAAGAGCAAATCCAACAAAAATAACAAATTGGGCCATCTTGCAGGCGCGCTCGTAGACCGAGTCTCTAGCGAAGCGGACATCATGAAGTGTGATTTGGAACCAGGAAGACCAGATGATGGAGAAAAAACCGATATATGAAAAGAGTGCTCTAGCATCGTTGATGGAATGATAAGACGTAAAAGTCGCAAGATTTGCAACAAAGATGAGACTTCAATGTAGTTAGCCAATTTTCGAATGTCGGGAGAGAATAGCACGGGTTCAAGTACTCGAAGAAAAGCTCAAGAGGGCTGGCCTCATGGCGCTGGACGAAAATCATATCATCGTCACTGCCAGCAGCGCCTTTGAGTGGAGTCTCAATCCAAGGCACAATTGTGTGTTGTTTAGAGGAACTTCTAGCACCAAGAGAAGCTTTGGCTTTGTCTCTAGACGAGACTTCGGGTCCGTTTGGAACTCCGAACATTCCGTGCGAAAGTAAAGTGAAGGAGGTAGAGGTGGTACAAAAATTGGGCTTTAGCGGCTCTGTTGTAGTGAAAGATACAATGGGATCGTCTTAAGGACTGTCATTTCCTCGTAGGGCGCTCTGGTATAGATATAGACATCCCCCTCTATCGAAAACACGGAGAATTAAATATCTTCCCGATGAAGAGTACCGATGGATCGTATGACTCTGGGTTTAGAAGTTCCTCTCGATTAGAGAGGTCTGGACCATCAACTCCCTCTCAACCCATGTCAATGCAGAATCCAGACAAGCAATCCCAGATCGAGATGCATACTTCTCTTGCGGGTACCTCGTTCAACGCTTTTTAGGGCGAAAGTGAATTCTGACTTTGTGGAAAGCTTCCCTGATCAAGGGGCCCAGACGTATATAGCAAGGTAGGGTGATAGTATCACGTCTGGAATCGAGGATCCCCCAGAGACCGCTATCTAAAACCAGTCAGCGACCTCTCCGGCATAAATAGCCTTAGAGGATAGACAAACATCAAGCCAGTGGGGTTCACTAGATGTATGGCCTAAGGAAAGAGCTCCCATTGGATGTATGGCATGCCAAGAGGATGCACACTGGAGGCTCGATTCAAGCGAAAGCCAGAATGAGGCACAAACAGTTCAAATGGACGGGGCCCCTAGATGCGTGGTTTGAATTTCAGGTGTCTGGCCCTGACCCTGGCTAATAGGTATTCTATGTAGGGGAGACGTACGATGCGTGGAGCTGAGGAGGACCCGTGGAGCAATTCTTCGTGACCATGGTGCGATGTCTATCTATCTGAGGTGCAGAACTAAAGCAGCATACAGCTACCAAGATGTTGGGACTGTGGCCGTTAGTGGTCTGGGCTGTTTCGTTTGCTGGACGGTCTCGATGGCCGAAAGGAATACAACTGGAGCATGAGCTGTGCTGACATTACTCGTTATACCGCGCCCATGGTATACCAGGCCTCTCCTGAGAGGAGCTTCCGATGAGGAGTTGTCGCGATACCCTCTTTCTAGGGAGGAGTTGGAGGCCTGAACTTCCTTTGACCACTTCTGACATTTCATTTTCGCGGCATGCCTCCGGCGTTTGAAGACGTCTACAGGATAGAACACAACCTTGCTTTTCCATTCCGTGCCGTTCTTCACTAATCTCTATCCTGCTCAGATAAAGGATATGCCAGCAGAATCGGCATCTGCGTATATTTCTCGTCATAGGTCATCCGAAGTGAGTAATCAGATATTTGTTAGTACAAGTACATACAAATCCCCTACACTTCATCGTCTAGTACATGGGCATGAGACGAGTGTGTCTGGAAATAGAACCCAAATCCAATTGGAGACCTCCAACAATATGGTGGGACTTGCGGAAGTCAATCTTAACAAGTCGTCGAAAATATCGTGGGATAATTGCATGGCTGGGTCCGAACATGGAGCTAGTTTGCTGTACTCACGAGCCACAAGGTCTCGGAACGAATTTCCTTCCAGTAAGATCGCGTTATATTGCAAGAATATTCCTGTTCCACATGTACTAATATAGGGGGATATCGGATTGGTCAACTGCGCGGCGCCAAAGGGGTTCTTGAAGTATTGACTCAACGGAGTAATCTATCGTCGGCAGCAAGTCCCAGAGAACTGGCCTGAAGTGTTTAGACACAGTTTTCCAACCCACGGAGAAGGTTAGCATACAGAAGTAGTTTGACAACGAGCGCGAAATTAACGACGTCCCTTGCCATCGATCCGAATGTATTATGTATGCAGTTGCGGCTAGTGAGGGCCAATGTGCTAAATTAAGATTGCAAAGATTTTGTTCCAATCTAAAAAGCTCTTTGTTTCGAGCCAGTAGAATCTTTTCCTGGCCTGAAACGTGCAATGATAGACGATGCCAGGCTTTACCAGTGGTAAAAGCGGAAATTTTTGGTTTCTACAAAACGTAGAGGCTAGCGTCTGTTTCTCGAATGTTTAAGCTTGAAAGGCAATTGAAATTTAGAATCATGTGAAGTGTATAAATAACCTGTAGGAAACGAAGTTTCGAGCTTTCCATACCAAATGTGGTGACTCAACACGTGACCCTTGACGTTGAAGGTTTCAGACAGTCCTATTTATGTGGTCGTCCTCTGAAAGGCACTAATCAGATATATTGATGGTAACTTCGAGTTCCGCATCCATCAAGACGGCATGTGTCTACGATACGGCGTGGCGTATCTTCAACACCTGAACTCTGGCTTATAAACAAGGGCTTCTAGGAACGAAGCACGTGGTGTGTTTCAACGGGGTGACAAAAGGGAGAAAGGATGGGTAGATTCCGGTATGTGGGGTTCCCTGGAGAGGCACATCTAGACAATCGTGGACCAGGTTGGGACACTACATCCTTAGAGGTATGGTGGTGGAGTTCTCGTAGATGGTGCGGGTGATAGGAAAGATTGTTGGAGGACGATTTGCGAATGGTGGAAAAATTAAGTTTTAAGAGATCCCAGTATGACGACACCAACCTCAGGTACGTGTGGCGGCCACTCCATCTGCCCTGGCCGATCTATAGGATCCTTGGCTTAGCTACCGTGAAGGAACCCTAAATCAGCCTCGCTGAAAGGGTGGCAGCGGTTTAGTCGCTCTGTTTCTTCTCTGTTCGAAGTCCTCTAAAAAGAGTCAAGACGTATCAATAACGCTTCCGAGACAGACGGCCCTTTCCCATTCAACCTCCCGCCATAGGATCTGGCTTTGGAATCCGAGCCAGGCGCGAAGCGGAGAGAAGGGCCAAGGGACTACCAGACCCGGATTCTTTTTGGGTGTGGGTAACTCTGCCTACCAACTAGGCCCCCCAAACACACATATGCATCGTCTGAGTTTGACAACTCAAATTTTTTGGGGGTAGACAAGGAGTAAAATGAAAAGGGCAAAAGGAAGTATCAGATCCAACATCTCTCCGGGAAGGGTGGATTTCGCGTTGACAACCTTGCTCATCAAAATGCCTCAAAACTGTAAAGCTTACTATTCAGCCGTGAATGTGGTAGTTCGCCCGGCTGGTCGATATTCTGGAGCTTACGTGGCAGACAGGGGAGCCTTTGGTGGATGTATGGGAGGCTCCTAGATCGATTTCTCCTGCCGACCAAATGGGGTTTTCCGTAGCACCGGGCTGATTCCAAGGTCGAAACTGCAAATGAATATTTCGAGGTCTAACTCTCTAGCTGGTCCTCGTGGTTGCCCTTGTCAGGGACTCGACGACTCAGCGAGTAGGTAGTAGCCTCGATTTCGCGGTACTCTCGGTCTTCTGGTAGCACGATATCTCCCTTTGGGATCGTCCGTTGCTCTCGTTGTTCGCCCCCTCCCAAATGCGCACCTGCAAGCTAGCCCTCTGGTTATTCCATTCTATCAGATATCAGCACCAAGGATGAGATTGAGGGAAGGCTCTCTCTCTATAGTTCCATGGCTGTTTCTCTTGGAGAATTGATGGCTGTCCTCCCGTCTCATCTCATGCCTGGACGCGCCTTCTTTCCCATCCAAATGACGACATGTCCTCCTCTTTATCGCTTTAATTTACGAGGCGGCATCACCCCGATGGCACAATTTAGGTCTGAGCAGTTGCTCAAATCCTGAACATAGTAGATAACGCTCTTTAGGAGCACTCTTCTAGGGTGGCGAACTCCAAGACATCTGCCCGAACCGTCTCTCGACGAGATTATTGAAGTTGATGGGGGTATAGTTGTTGGCTTAAAAGATTTTCGCTCGATTACGGCATGGTATGTCAGAATTCCACGTGAGGTACTCTTCCAGGGAACGAACTAAGACGAGTTGGAGCTCGAGGGAAAGGAGGGGAACAAAGTTGTTTGAAGCCAAGTCCGAGAGGCTAAACCCGATTCGGCAAAATTAGAGGGTGGATTTACTGACGGCATCTACTCCCCAATGGAAAACGCTCAATCGAAGATAACAACTTCGACTTCTCGACATCGGTGAGTGAGATTCCCATCAAAACCTTCTCAGAGTTCGTCACGGTGTTAAGGCCTTGGACGAGATCTGACGCTGATTGGCTGAAGCACAGCTGGAAGTCTCAAAAGCTTCATGTTTCCCCGCTCCTCAATCCGTGCACGGAAGTCGCGTTATTCAACCTCAGTCATCCCACTATCCCACTTCTGAAGGACATGGCCTTCCACGACTCTGTTTCCTCTCTCCCTCACTGTCAGCCCTGAACAAACCCTCCATAATCTCCCTTCATCTTAACCAAAATGCCAAAGAAACTGAAGCTGGCTTCGGCACAAAGCCGTACACTCTCTACTACTGCCGACACCCTTCGCGCACTTGAACAAACCGCGACGTCCGCCGCACAGCAGGGCATCGATCTAATCCTCTTCCCAGAGGCATACCTCGGCGGATATCCTCGAACATGCACTTTCGGTAACGCCGTTGGGGGTCGTACAGTGGATGGTCGCGACCAGTTCCTCCATTACTTCCACTCGGCTGTCGATTTTGGTGATACGCCGGCAGGAGCGGGTGACGACTGGCTAAACCGCAAGCTTCCTTTGCCAAAGAACAAGAAATATCGCGGTGATGGCACCCGCGAAGAATTGGAGAGAATTGCGCAAGAGACCGGCGTCTTCATTGTGACTGGTATCGTCGAGCGCGTTGGAGGAACACTGTACTGTGGTGCCGTGTACATCTGTCCGCGGGAAGGCATCCTCGGGAAACGCCGAAAGGTGATGCCCACCGGATCAGAGCGCATGATCTGGGGACAGGGTGCCGCGTCCACGCTCCGGGCTGTGACGACAGAGATCAACGGCGTCAGATTGTGCCTGGCTGCTGCTATCTGCTGGGAAAATTATATGCCTCTTCTGAGACAGGCCCTATATTCCCAGAATGTAAACCTCTGGCTAGCACCAACGGCTGATGCAAGAGATACCTGGGCGAGTCTTATGAGGACGGTTGGCTGCGAGGGTCGTTGTTTCGTCATGAGCGCGAACCAATGCCTGAGGAGAAAAAACCTTCCTGACTGGATCAAAGGGAACACTCCAACCTCGCATGGGGAAGCACCTACGGCCGGACTAGCCCCACTTGCCTTTCACTCCACGGAGCCTTCCCATCCCCATGGCGAGAGGAGAAGGAGCACCATCACCATTACCGATGATAAGCACGAGATCTGCTGGCCCGTCATCGAGAAGCGTGACACTGCTGAGAGCATTCGAAATGGAGACTCTGCTATTGACGAAGAATCTGTCAGTCCTGGTGGTGCAAATCGGCCAACCTCAGGCGTACCTTCAGCTGTTGAGCACCACCGGATATCATGGCCAGCATTCAGGACCAAATCACATGCAGTAGACGATGAATTTGTCAGCCGGGGAGGGTCCTGTATTATGTCGCCCTTGGGTGACGTGCTTGCAGGTCCACTGTGGGAGGTTGAAGACGGAGGATTACTAGTTGTCGAAGTCGATTTCGAAGATTGTGAAAGGGGAAGGCTGGATCTAGATGTTGCCGGAAGCTATTCGAGAATGGACAGCTTTCATTTGACAGTTGACGGATTGGACTTAAGCCCTCCTCCATGATTTGCCCACAGAGATCAATAGGGGCCAGAAAATGGTACAGAAAGGAAACCGGGGGGTTCACGATGAGCCTTCCTTTCTGTTCTCGGCATTCCTTTAATCCCCCTCACAAACATCAATATTACCATCACCCATTCATTATGTTCGCATCCAGCTTCTCTTCCGTTCTCATGGTTGTCAATCTAATCATGGAACCTTGCCATGTGTTTCAGCCTGAAGTCCGCCTTGAGCGGCGTGGTGTTAACAACTTAAACCTGTGGATGCATTTGAAAGGAAATCTCGATGTCTAGCCTTCCGACTTCTTCGACTTCTCTCCTACTATTAATTTTGCTTGTAAGCGCCAAATGGCTCGAAAAGCCAATTTTTCTACCACTAGAAGTAGGTCATTTCCTGGGAGGGTCGAACGGCAACAGAGTCCGGTCAAGCAAGGGATTGCTTCCTGATTGAAGAATCAATGAAAATTTATAGCGGCTATTTACGACGTCAGTTCCGATCCAGGGGCAAATCCCGCAGAGGCAAGACATAGCCTTACAACGCACTCCCAGAGATTAGTACTCTCGATGTCTGGCCCGAAACGTACCATTAATCGCATATCAATCGGAGCTTGAGACCCCGCCTGCCCCACTTCTTAGAACCTAGACATAAATAGTCCCGAATCTATGCGCACTCCCTGGGCTTATCACCATCCCTCTTCTACAATGAGCTCATCTTCAGCTAGATATTCTCACATCTCCTCTTCGGAATCGTGATATCGCATACCCCTTTACTAGTAAGCCGGCTAACCCAAACTCCTAGAAGTGAGTCAACTATTACATCCGAAATCGTCTGCCCTAGTGAAATCCTGTAAAGCAATTAAACCGTCATATCCACTTCTCCACCAACCCGAGCACTCTACACTATCCGCCATCGACAGACCCGAATTCCCGGTATCCAAACTAACCCTTCAACCATCGTTTCCCCAAAGTTCACTATACACCAACCCCTATAAATAAATCCTTCTACCCTCCACCCACCTCTTCAAATGCTGCCACATCATCTCTACAAAGTCCAACTCCCCCTGTGACGCAAACCGTGCTAGAATCCTTTCTTGTCCCAATAAATGGTCCGTCCGACCTTTCGCCTGTTCTACCTGCACTCCAGCTCATGTCCGCAGTACGTGGAGCCGCAGTGCGCAAGACGTCGAAGAGGAAATCCTCGAGTCCAATAAAGTAAAGAAGGATGCGATGAGTGAGTACACAGATCCCAAAGTACAGAGTGGGGTTGGGTTTTTGAGTGGGGGAGGATTGGGGAGGGGTTTCTAGAAATAATGGGGAGGATATGAGGGGAGGTGTCTGAGGGAATTCTGCCATTCGCTGGTTGCGACGATGGGGGGGATGGGGTGCTGATAAGGAGGCTTGGGGGGATGGGGATGGGGATGGGGATGCCAGTTTCACTAGTCAACAAGCATTGAGCTGGCTCCAAGATCAGACTAGAATGGCTAGGTCTTGACTAGTGTAATACAAATGGCTCAGGCGCTGTGCTGCTCCAAGTATTCATTCCATGCTTTGCCCAAATTACCAAGCAAGAAGAGCGCAAGGATGGCGGCTAACACGCCCTTCTGATGTGCGGAAACACCTGTCCTTGAGTTGATCAGCGTATGGTACACTATCGAATGCGGCAACGCTCCCACGGTCACCACCAGAGAGATAGCAGCGCCGACACCAAGCAAATCCCCGGCAGCGACTTGCAGTGCTCAGTCTTCGAACGTGGGCACCTTAATGCTCTTGTCAAAATACGCTACAGCTCAAATTGCCTGCGCCTCGGCCGTGAAGAGCTTGTTGCCTGCCGTAATATAGTTCACGAATAGCACTGAGTCGTGTAATGGCGCCCTACTGTTGTATAAACGGAACGGCGCTTTGTGTGCAAAAGTCGGCCTGCGAGGGTGTGGGGGTGGTCCGCAAGGAGCGGAAGCCTTTTCAAGACTTTCTCATCGGCTGCGAGCATAAACTTGTTCCACCTGGCGATCATCCCGATTGGCTCGTCCTGTCCTCGACCAGGGAGTCCAAGCCCGATGGCGATGTCAGTGTCTAAGAACTCGACCCTAGCCAGTTTCCATCTAGTCCCACATAAGACAGCATCGCAGGAGAAATGGGTTACACTATGGAGATCTAACTCCTCGTTATCTAACGTTGCTAGCAACTAAAGGCGAGAAGTCATCGTAGTCGATTGCGCCGCCAGTATTATTTTGCCAGAAGATGCTTTGGAACGTCAGCGAAAATCTTGGATCTTTCAGTGTGAATTTCAATGAAAAATACTACTGCATGGAAGCACTTCATATTCGAGCTTCTCAGAGCCTTTTTTCCTTTTCCGATTTTTATAAGCTGCTCGTTTTCGCACCGTATATTCCCCAATCCCTTGAGGATACGTTTCACGATGTTAACACTTATACCCATGCTATGAAGAAACCACGTCCACCATGTATCTGAGTTCCATAGCGACGGTTGTAGCGATGAAATCATCGTCGTGTGTGCTGCCTCAATGTCATTTTTGTAGGCTGATGGAATATCCACTAGCGCAAAGAATCCGGCACCCTTTCCCGTATCTCGAATGGTCCAGGAAACAGTCTTGCCCGCTTTAATGGCTTGGTAAATCATACCTGCTGAGGAATTTCCAGCCCCCAGGACCGCGGTGTGCTGGGTCGTCTTATCTGAGATTATGTTTGATTCGCCGATGTCTCGTGAACGCAAGATCTTTCCTCCGGAATTCGTGAATATCCCAGACACTAGGAGATCGGGAATAGCTGGGGAGGAAGCTTCCCCATTTCCGAGCACGGGCTTCTCCGCGAAGAGTACCTTTGGAGTTCCTTTTGAGTTGACAGAGGATCACCAGAGCCTCCATTGCTTGTTGGCTTTGTGAGCTGATTCCACCTGTATCCCAAAACTGTATTCGGTTTTGCAGCAAACTACCGGCATGGCGCAACTTGCTGACATAGTCTTCAATGTATTCCTTAGTATACCTTTCCTTCAACAAATCATTGCAGTCTTCCTCTGGCGGTCGGTCCATTGGCATCCGTGTGTCCATTGCGGCCAGAAACCATCATGCAACCTCCCCGTTGAAGTCAGCATGTACAATAAGGTACCCGCTTCAGAATATCCCTACGCTTGCTCAAACACCTCTCTGATGCAGTAGTTTGACTGGGGAATGGTTAGATGCGTGTTCTTGTGGGCTTGGACGTTACGCTGGCTGCAGGGATACCGAGAATGCCGGCTCTGATGGCGATGGCCTTGAAACTAGCGCGCTGGGTTTCATTTGAGATATCTATAAGGCGTTGGATTTGAAATAAATGGTGGAGAGCTCTTGCAAAATCCATCGCGAGGGCCTAAGCTAATGAGTACCTAGAATAGAATAGGGTAACACACTTCATAAGCGAGCTGCGCATATAAGTGAGTCCTACTAACTTTCTCTATCTTTGCAGTCGCGTAGTTTAACAACGCACTATATTAGAATTGATACAACAGCTAGTATAGGCTAAGCAGCATCTATAGTATCCTTCTTGTATGTATGTAAGTTATGCCCCTGGCCTCACTACCAAAGAAGGCTTACAAGAATCGTAAGGTCTGTAGTCCGCCAAAGCTCTCGACTAGTGCTTTAGGAAACGACAAAACGAGGAATATGATAAAAGTGAGAATGTAGAGGGGATTGGGACCTATTATGGGAATCTCGCTGAGAGAGGCGAAGAGTAGAGGTCTGACTCTATATGCGTGAACGTAAATAGAAAGAGGGAGGCAGAGGTCGCACTAACGCCAAATCTCTCCATGACACCCTATTCTCTGGAGGCGTAGGTACAGATGAGGAAACGCACGCATACTCTCATGCTAAGGACCAGTTGAGCGGGTTTGCGTAGTCGTCAAGAGTGTACCAGCCTACTAGGATGACTCGGGAGGACGTCTTCTGGACGATAATGGGCGTGGGCTTTGTACATGCCAGCGAGAGTTTTTGCTCCAGCTGAAGATGCTCAGGGGTGTTGGCTTGAGTATAGTGGCGGCTCTTTGTGTGTGTCATACCAAGGCTTTCGAGTTCGCTGTCTGGCCAGAGATCGCTCATGTCACTGCCCTCTGGGCCCATGGAAGGGAGCGAGAAATAGGCATATTTTCACCATATAGGTGATTGGAGTATTGATAAAGGAATTAAAAATCTATTCGCTGCTCTGGGTACTTTTAAGAGTCTGTTGTCGGTGAGAAAGCGTATTCTCTGCCCGAGAGGGCTTCTCTGATGACGTCACCCATTTCGGGATTGTAGGAAGTGTGATGGTTTCGTCAATACCCCCCCAATATGACAAAGCTGGAATAAATTGTAGTAGATAAGCTAATGAGTATCGAGAGTCAAGTGTTGGAGGCGAAGGAGTATATATATACATTTTTTTGATGGAATGAGTTGTCAGGAATTGCAACATGGAGACCGAGATATGTAGGAGGACTTGAAATAAAGCTCAGATGTCAGAAGTTGCAAAGAAGCTGTCAATAGGTCGCTGCCGACAGCATCTTGTGCGTCTGCTCTGGGTAACACCTCGTCTCGCAGAATGTCGCCTGGCAGATTCCTCGGTCATCATCTTTACAAATTACAATCAGCACCTCTTCTGTCAGCAGTTAATGCCGTAGCGGCTATACTGTAAAGATCAAGGATCTGTCGGTTGATTACTTTGTGCATAAATGTCGGACACGTTGTGCAGTGGAAGCTCGCAACATCCCCCCTTCTTTCTTCAGCAATACCATCTACTCAACTCCCTTATCATCGCAATTGATTGACAGTGCATCAAGCCTGGTTTAACTCTAATGGTGTCCTGAAGTGCACCACTAATCATGATCTCGGTCGATGGTTGGCTTTCCTGGGGAGCTTTTGAGGGCTTGCCGAGCCTTTCATTCTAATCAGGGTCGGCCCAATCGGCATGTTGCTTAGAAAGTCCCACGATAACCTGCCATTCCGCCCATCTATTGACTACTCCTTTGTATATAGGCTCAAGTACTATCTTCTATGATCCACAGTAACTCTACGAACTACATCCTAATTATCGTCGCCTTCAGCAACAACAATTCTTTTCATCACCACATAAATAAAATGATCAACGAACCTCTTGTCGAAATGCTTGCACGAAACAGGTGCTCTCATCTTCCAATGTTAAAACACCTTCCAAATACTAAAACCTTTCCAGCAAGTTCGCGCAAAGCTACAGAGCACCCCCTAGTCTCACATCCATGGCCTCAGCCATGAGGGCATCCGGTGTCGGCGTCGTAGTACTGTCATGTTCAGATCCAAGATTGAATCCGTACCAGATTTTGGGTATTGATCCTACCTTAAGTAATTTTCACTAGCACAATCAAAGTAGCTATAGTTGATTCTGGGTAGAAGCAACTATGGTTCGAAATGCTGGCGGCCGCGTTTTTGATGCGATCAGGACCTTGTCTGTTTCGCAGACCATCGGCACCCCAGGCACGATTGTGGTTATGCATCATACTGGTCAGCAGACTTCAAGTCCATATCCCAATATCTCCCACCGAGACCATGCTAACCCAATCTAGATTGCGGCATGACGCATTACCATGACCCAGCTATCAAGAAAGCCTTAATCGAAATCGCGCCTGAAGAGCATGAGTCCATCGAAGCTTCCCAGTTCGGAGAAATCATCACCTCGTAAGTTCCTCCCTCGACATTCCGTCCACGAGATGTTTGTTCGAGTTCTGACATCTGAGGACAGAATTGAGGAGAGTGTTAGAGCTGATGTAGCGATTCTGAAGGCGTCGCCGTTGATTAAGAAGGATACCCAGATTGTTGGGCTGAAGTACGAAATTAATACAGGCGTGCTTATGGTTGTTGATGGGGAGATTAAGAGTGAGCTGTAGTTGTAGGTTGAAGAGCGAGTGCCCCGAAGAAGGATTTGGGAATGTAATTCGTTGTCAAGGAATGTAATGTTTAGATCTTAAGATTGATGAAAAGAAGGTGCCTCCAAATCCAAAGAGTATTGAAAGTAGCAAATCTGGGTTGATTGTGCTTGAAACCTATAGTTTGTTGGCTTAGCTTCGGGGTAGAAGACCTTGCCTTTAACTTCCAGATTGTTCACTCGCCACAGCGAACCTCCGTAAATTAGCCCATCCACTCATTCCCAGTTTAACTAACTTAAACCTTCAGCTCTGCCGTCTGACTCCCCACTCTCTCAACCTCCCTCGTGCCTGAGACCTTTTCCATCTGCGCGGCAGCAGCTTTCTCGCCCTCAACATCCATAACCTCCGCGATCCCTCCACTTCCGCGCGTAAGCTGCGCACCCTTACGGCCGATAAGATACCATGGCAGATTGAACATCTCATCCATAGCCTCGAGGGATTTACCTATTGCAATCTCATTAGTATGATTCTAGGTGTAGGGATAGACGGATTAGGAGATGCATGTCTGACCTGTAGTCTCTGGCAGGAAAAACCACACCCAAGCTAAACCGATAGCCGTCACACAGCTGAAGAAGAGCATGGTTCCTCCGGTAGTCATGGCTAGGAACATAAGCGGGACCGCCTGTATACACCCTCGATTAACTTCTGCCTTCCAAGTAAAGTACAGACGTCCAAGGAAAGGGGTGAGTAAGGTAGGACAGAAGACTCACCTTCGAATTCCCATACTGATTAACAAAATGAAACGTCATCGCAATACTCCCGCCCAGTGCCCTCAACCTCAACGGATAAATCTCACTGTTGATCAAATACTGAATACTATTCCAGCCCAACGCCCAGCCGAACCCGGAGAAATAGATCATGACAATGGCGCCCGTTGCCGCTCGTTTCTGGGAGGGAGTTTGCGCGACATCTTTGTCGGCGATGTTGTTATCAATGAGGAGGAAGATCGCCATATACAGCATTGCGAAGAGCTGGAGCGTTATGCCGGAGGAGAGAGCGCGCTTGCGTCCGATGAGGTCGATAAGTAAGAAGGCGCATAAGATGCTGGAGATGAACTTGACGAGCCCGAAGATGGCGGTTGCGAAGAGTTTTTCGTTTTGGCCTGTTGTGCCCCTGGAGAGTTTGTTAATATCTCTTTTGAACGGTGTGGGGAAAGATAGCATACATCATCTCGAAATATTGCGGGGCGTAAATAGTGATGCTATTAGCACCAGACCATTGGGCAAGCAACTGCGACATGATGCTCAACTGGATCCTGTACAGATTCCCTTTGCTAGCAAATAGCTCTCTAATCGGACCGAGCCAACTAGTACCCATAGTAGCTTCTCGTTCGCGGTTTAGCTGGTCGTTAATATCAATGATTTCGCTAGTAACATAGGGGTGGTCGGATGGCAGTTGACGTAAGCGAGAAAGTGTTTCCAGGGCTTCTTCATGTCGACTAACTTTGATGAGCCAGCGTGGAGACTCGCGTGAGAAGAAGGAAAGAGTAAAGATTATGCCAGCAAACATCAAGTGCATGCTAAGATCTCGTTAGCTTCATGACTGAGATCTCGGTCGGAAGTGTTACCTGTTTGGAACAAGCCATTGCGCATCCGTCTTCGACGAGATATGAATCGAAGATCCCCAAGACGCGAAATAGGCGAGCATGATGCCACTGTGCCACACATTAGCATCTATTGCAACTGAAGCACCGGGATCAGGGCGCTCACATATAAACCGCACCAGCAAACGCACAAACACAAAGTCCCCGGATGGCCCTCGGCGCGGTCTCCGCCAAATACGTCGGTGCCACAACTGTTGTCTGTCCGATCCCAATCCCTGCAATAAACCTCCCCGCATATACCATTCCAAGATTTCCCGTCCTCGCACTAGCCAGGAAAATACTAATCCCTAGTACCCACAAACAACACAATTGCCTTGTTGCCCATAATCTTCCAATCTTGTCCGTAAGGTAGAAGGCAATAAGTGCACCGAGGATAGATCCCATCTGGACCATGGAAGTGATGTTGGAGAGTAGTTCCGCTCGGTCGTGCTTGGATTTAGAAGGATCTTTGAGGCCGAATTTATCCTGGAAGGGCTTCAGTTCCGCAGTTGTGCCGATTAGACCTTCATCGATGCCGCGAGCAGCACCCATCAGGCCGAAGACTGGAGGATCTTGTTAAAGATGTGAAGGGGCTTTGGTGGGGAGATACCCTACCGAAGACGCCATACCAGAGTCTCCAGTTTAGAGACTCTTTGGGAGTGTCCTTAAGATTTTCTCGCCAAGGGTTCCACATGGGGAAAGTGGGACTGATGTTGAGCTGATATGGGATTATTACTTGGCTCCCAAATGGCTTGGGTTTACCAGCGAGAAAGTCGAGGAACAAGTGAAATGAACACTAGGGTTGAGGTTTCGTGTGTAGTAAGACGAACTTTCACAACACGCAATGCCAGTTTGAACAGAAGGCAAAGTTACTCAAAGCTTAGGGATGGCGGGGTTTGATATCGTGGTCAGCAGTCAAACAAAGTTTCGTGCGCGTCTCACAAAACCCAGGTTCGGGGAACAGAACGTGTGACCACATATATATGCTACGATGCCTCCAGCTTAGTAGGCTAATTGTGCATGCACCTTCCAAACATGGCCATTGCATGCACATCCTGGCTCTTCACCAACTCAATTCCGCTCCTCTCTCTATCGCCAACAACAGGGAAGAAGGCCGCACTACTTATGCTTGGCTGGTCAAGTGCTAACACAGGTGTAACAAGGAGACATCAATGTTGCAATGCCTAGAAACATGGCGTAAAGCTTTGCATGCTTTAGTCGTGAAGCTTTTGCACGGCGAGAGAATGCGAAGCTTGGCAACGGAAAAGCCGACGGGGAGTGGTTGTGATACGTCGGAGAAGACTGGGGGTTGAAAGAGAGGTGTGAACATCCATGACCACCCCGCACTTGATCCATTCCCCCACATGCCAAGCACCTTGGCATTAGGGGTGCTATCGCACACATCAATTCAGTGCGCTCGTCACCGAAGAAAACCCGGCTAGAACTGTTCATAAAACAAAAACGACTAGATGATTCAAGACCGAACTAGGTTTTGACGATGGTCCACCTCAGGGCTCTTCTACAAACGGGATTTTACGGGACAGGACGACACCGAAATACTTTGAGCCCCAACTCGTTGAGATTCTTTGTTGAGGGCTTCAACTTCCGCTTGCACAAGCGGGATTCCATCGTGTAGGCGCTCTTCTTTCATCAATAGCTCAATCTCACCTGGGAAGTAGATGCGGTCTGTGCCTGCCATTCGGTCCGAGCCGATTACACGGCCATATAGGTAATCCATACGTTGTTTAAATTCCTCAAGACTCATGAACAGGTCTGGCTTGAGAGCGACGAGGAAGTGGCCGACGTCTGCGGGCTTGGAGGGATCGTAGGGGTTCGTGACGTGCCCAGCAAATGCGCTGCCGGAGAGAACGCCAGCGAAGACGTCCTAGAACAAAATATGGGTTTAGAAAAGCAGTATATGTAAACTTGACAGGAGTTACGTGCCATCATGATGGCAAGGGCTGAGCCCTTGGGTCCGCCTATTGGAAGCATGACACCTTCTAGAGCCTTTGCTGGGTCGTCAGTCTGCTTTCCCTCCTTGTCTAATGCCCAGTCTTTCGGTATCTTCTCCCCTCTCCGTAGGGCCTTGTGTATCTTCCCTCGGGCTGCAACACTGGGCGCCATGTCCACAATGAAGGGTCGCCCCTTCCCGGCTGGGGCCCCACAAGCGATTGGCGAAACACCCATCAGCTTTGACTTGCCTCCCCAGACTGGCACTGCAGGAGATGAGTTGGTGAAGACGAGGCTCACCATGCCTGCGTCGAGAGCCTGCTGAACCACCCAGGCTGACATGCCGAAGTGATTCGAGTGTTTGACAGACACCAGGCCTATGCCCACCTCTTCGGCTATCTCTATGGCCTTAGCCATTCCCATGTGTGCCGCGAGAAACCCAAATCCATTATGGCCATCTACTTGAGCAACGGCTGGTGTGACTTGGCGAAGTGTAGGAGCGGCTCGGGGGTCGAGCACGCCCTGTCGAATGCGCGCCATGTAGCTCGGGATTCTGTTGATGCCATGTGTATCCACTCCCCGTAGATCTGCTTCGACCAGACCTCTAGCAATGATAATTGCATTTTTGCGGGGGACTCCGTTACCGGCGAGGACGTTCTCGACGAATGCTCTTGCATTGGGGGCAGTCACATACATCATGCGGTTCTGTTCAGTGGCCGAAGACATCTTGGCAGACGTATAAAGCAGTTGTTCAGAGTGTCAATTGAGTTTTCAAGACAGACTTTGCGTCAGATATAGGGAAAAGTCGGAGCTGGAGGGTCAATCGCAGCGGATTTCCGGATATTACCTGCATGTTGAACATAACTTAGCTATCGGGAACTCGTATCGGTAAGAAGACCGTTCCGTGGTCTCCTCCGTTTGCCAAGCCGAAGCCTTGGATCTATTGTGTGCGTTAATCCGTGCAATGTCTTGGCAACACCTTAAACTTTGCTTTCCGCCACTAAATTTGTATAAGAACTTAAAATTTTGCCTATAAAACTCTATAACTACCTAACATCTTTTAATTTTAGTAAACATTTAGGCGCTGTACGTACTTCCTATTTAGGAAATAATAAGGCTAGGTTTTAATGTTTAAAATAGCTTTCTAGCTATGTTTTAAGCTTACAGAGTCTCTTGTCGCCCACCACCTACTCAGCAACCCCCAGCGCTCACTGTGAGCGCCTGTGGCCTATCTAATTGTACGCGTATTAATATATGTTGTTTTTTACTGCTTAGATAAAGGCCGCAGGCAATTGCTAATTAAAAGGGGTGCAGCAACTGCGCAGTATACAATGTAATAGATAATTTAAAGACGCACAGCAGCGTAAGAGCACCTATCTAAGGCAGGCTTAGTTATCTACTAGCAATTAGTAAAGAAGATGTAGATGCTTTTTTTAGTAAGCTTATCTACTTTAAGTAGATGTACTAGAACAAGATTGCACTCTAGTTATAAGTAAAAAAAGGCATTTAAATTAATTACTTAAACATATTCTAGTTTCTCTTTTAATATAAATAAAGTTGCTAAACGCTTTAAGCGTTCTTTATTAATTAAAATAAGAAACTTTATAACTTATATTATAACTTAATAAGACGCTTTACAGCAGAGGATTTAGTGTTTCTTAATAAGTTAATTTTTAATAAGAAGACTAGCTAGTAGCACTATATATACAGCTTAGTTAGCTATGTCTTTTAGTATACCTAGAATATTGCTTAAGGCAGTACTTAGTTAATTCTTCTTATGTATATAATTAATAGCTATCTTTTTTATATAGCTGTAAAAAAAAGCTACTTTAATTAAGAGTAGTTTTTTAAGTAGATTAAAAAAAGTCTAATCCCTATGCTTTAAGTTGTGTATAGTAAGAAGCACTTAGTAATTATTCTAGATAACGTTTTAATTTATATAAATAATAAAGTAACATAGATTATTAAGGCTAGCAGGTATTTAGTAAGGTATCTGCCTTTATACTTGCTTAACTATAATCTAATAGAGCTTACCTTTACAGTGCTTAAAGTATAGATTAAGAGGAACTATCTATATATTTAAGGGTGTTTTAGTAGTAACTTTAGTGCCTTCTTAAGGGCAGCTATTTAAGAAAGCAAATGCAACTGTTTTACCTAAAAGCACTTTAAGTACATAGTAGAAGGGCTATATATTAAGCAGGAGGAGCTAGAGTGCGCAAGGAGAGAGCTAAGAGAGCTTAAGAGAGTAGAAAAGTTTAAATTTAAATAGATTATTTAGCTATATTATTTCTGCTACTAGTTCTGCCTTACTTACTACTACCTATCTTAAGTAGGCTGCTAGCTGTATAATATATTAGCTTAAACTAATAGAGATCTTTGTAGAGATAGTAAATAAGCCTATCTTTAAGCCTAAACTAGGTAACAGTAATAGTATACAGGTCACCTTTAACTCTGCTTATCTTGCAGAGATTCTTTATAGTCTATAGCTTCTTAGTTGCTACTTTTTACGTGTAAATGTAAGAATCTTTTTTATTCTCTAGCTATTACTTAACTAACTACTTAAAAAAGTCTTTTACTGTTTTTTAAGTATTCTATTTACTACCTTTTATTATAGGACTTAAAGAATAACTTAAAAATTAAGGCGCTGTTAAGGTAACAACTAGTAAGGCATGTAGCTGCTAGTAGTAAGAGAGTAGAGCAGCTTTTATAAGAGAGATACTAGCCTACGCTTAAAGCTATTAGAGATAGAGCTATTAAAACTTTTATTACTCTACTTAAGTAGCTTCTTTATTGCTTATTCTTACTATTTAGTTAAGTAACTGCTGCTAGCTTATTTGCTTTACTAGCTTCTTAAATAACAGCTTATTTAATAATAATAAGCCTAGCCTTTTCTTTTTATTTTTCTGCGTGTAAGGGTTTACCTAGAGCTTGTTACCTTTCTACTGTAGCGCCCTAACAATCTTATAACTAGGTACTATAACAGAAGACTCTTCTATAACTATAGACCTTCCCTACACCTTAAAGTTAACTAGTTTAATAGCATAGTAAAATTAGTCTAGGTAAATATAGCACTACTCTTTATAGTTATTGCAAAGCTCTATCTAGCACTTCTATGTACACATAATTGCTAAGTAGTAGTCTATTGCCTTAGATATCTCCTCTACTTACTCTGCTGCCCTAGCTTCACGCAGCAGCTGCTAGGTACAACAGCTGCTTAGTATTGTTAGTATAGTATCTAGATCTAACAATAGCTTGTTAGCTAATTACTTACACAGAAATGCCCTCTATAGAGCTTTAACTTTAACATAGAGCTCTACTTTAAAATCTACTCTATTAATCCTCTTAGTAAAGCGCTTAACATAGTAATTAACTGCTTTAAGCAGGTAAGCGCCCTCTATAAAACTAAAGTTAGCTAAGGTAATGTGCTGCTAGGTAGATTTAAGGTGCTTAGCTTAATAGCTTACTAAGTAACTAAGCTAAGTAACTTTTTACTTATTAATTATAAAAGCTGCATTAGCAAGCACTAAGTCTACTTTATCTTTTATAAATAACATAGAGAAGACTAGCTACTAGTAGTTATTGCTATTATTAACTACTTAGTTTCTATTTATGCGCAGAATATACTTTATATCTATCTTATAGTTAGGCTCTTTAGGAGGTGGGGATAATTGCTGCTAAGGTAATAGTTAACACTCTAGCTTTACTACTAATAGTAGTAATAATAGTATCTTAATAGCAGCTATTAAAGCAGCAGCGCGCTGCTTATCTATAAAGGTAACTTTCCTTCTTGTCTGCTTATTTAATCTACTAGCTTTTTAACCTCTAGAAGGTGCTTTAGAGGCTGCTGCAGCAAGGGCTCTAGCTAACAGTTAACAGGTAGCACTAGTACTTAAACGCGTGGCTGCTCTAGCTATAGCTTTTTAGCTAGAAATTATTTACTAAGGGCTATTTTAAACTTCTAAAATTTAGCTTTATTATTTCCTAATTAAGAAGTATGTATAGCTTTAAGATCTAACTAAAATAATAGATATTTAGGCATAGATAGGGGCAAATTGTCGCTTTGTCAAAGTTCTTATAGATTTGGTAA